TAGGCCAGGCTTTCAAACCATTTATCCTTAGCCAAGGAGGCCTACTGGGAAAGGAGACCTCGCAGACCTATAAGGAGCTGCAACAGTCCTTCTCTCCTAGTATAGCTGAATGGCTAGACAAGTACATCTCTACTTTACTTGTCCGACTCCGAGCCCGGAACTGGATGGGATACGGGATTAACTAACACTACACGATCTAAAGAAGGTAGACCACCTGTTTCCTTACCGCACCTAGGTTTCTAAGTTTAGGAGCATAATATAGCTTATATAGTATTGTATCGAAGTTCTGCAAACCCTAACCCTAAAACCCTAAACCTCTCATCACTGGCGATCAATGTGCCAAGTGGTCTCGACTTGACCATCTCAGAAGCCACTTTCGACATTGGGGTATGCTAATCATAGAAAAGCATGACCTTATAATTTGTGTATATGAACCTCAGAAGAGACCAAGCTGAAATTCAATTCTTGAAGAAGGAAAAGGTCAACGAAAATTGTGCTTTGCCAGACGGTAGTGACATGGTAGCACTACTGCCGCCATAATGCAGATGTGGCAGACTTTATCGCGTGGGTAACTAGATTAGGACAAGTGGCATGGAATTACTTCGTCTCAGTCCTCTCAATCCGCTCCTCACGAACGACATTCTTGTCCATACTATCCCTTCCCTCCTCGATATCCTTTGCCTGCATCATGTCGATCTGTACCGGAACTTCGAAACTCCTTCCTCTCTTTTCAGGTCCAAGAGCTGTCGTGACTGCGATACCTGCGGCGATGATCGCAGTAGCGATACCCATGACAGGTCCGTAAGCTTCAACTCTTTTGCCATTGGGTCCCTTAACAAAGTTCGACTCCGCGATGGCGTTGACGATCTGAGCAGAAGGTGAGGAGATCATGTTGCCCAGCTGGTACGTTATACCAGGGAAGGACGATCGGAAAGCGGGAGGTGCAAGCTCATTGAGATGGATCGGGATCACGCCCCAGGCGCCTTGGACAAAGAATTGCATCATGAAACCTGAGGCTGAGAGTGGACCTTCGCCCCTAGGAAGGATCCATGCTGGGATGAGGCACATACTGACCACTAATACATATGCATGTCAGTAAGAGGTTGTGTTCAGCATTTCTAGTTCGCTTACAGGCAGCCACGATGATGGCGCGACGGCGGCCTACAAACTGAGAAAGGTAACCAATGACTGGCAGGATACCGTCAGTACAGGTGGCAGAGGCAATGACGATTTGATCCAAATACGTACTTGTCCCACCGACACAGGCACCAGTCTTCATCAAGATTGAAGCACGACTGGCACCATCATTCTTAAGACCCTTCTGGGTAAGCATGAAAGTGGTGTAGCTGTCCTGGGAAGTATGGCTGTAGTCTGCGAAAATGTCAGTACCACATATGGAATAACGAAGTCTGGCAATTACTTACAGTTGAACCAAGTCATCAAAATGATACAGTAGATACACATCTTCCACTGCTGAGCAAGCATGAGCTTAGTTTCTTGCCAGAAAGCACCAGGAGCACGTTTGTTGCCGTTCTTCCTGGACTCAAGGAACTGTTTAGACTCAGGGAAGCAGCATCGAATAAGACCAACACCGATGGAGAGGCCCGCTGCAATCCAGAAGACTGTCTTCCATGTCTCGACTGCACCACCAACGCCGAGATTTGCGCAGGCGGCAAAGACATAGCCCATGGAGTATCCTTGTTGTAAGATACCAGACATCAGACCGCGAGCATCTGTTGGACAGTTCTCAAGAGCCATAGCGACAGCGTTACCGTACCTGCGATCTGATCAGTCTGGACCAAGCATAGGAAGAGTTCGTCTTTGATTATTTTGATTCCCCCACCAAAATTGTATGAGGACATCGAACCGACCAAAAACTAGACTGGGGAGATACTCACACTCCACCCATGAAGAGACCAAACAGACTGCGAACAGCCAAGAACTGCTGGAAAGTTGTGGAGTAGATGGTGGCGATCTGCAAAAGACCAAGGATAATCATGTTGGCGACCATAGGCCATTTGCGACCCCACTTGTCACCTGCGAAGCCGAACATAGCAGCCCCGACAGATCGCAAGAGTAGGGTAAGAGTGATGGCTTCAGAGATATCGGTCTTGGTGACCTTGTAGTACTTTGCAAGTTTGACTGTCTGAATAGACAGAGCATGGAAATCGAAAGCATCAGCAGTCCAAGCCGCAAGACCAACGATGAAGAAGACCCAATTCATGGCAGTGAGCTGCGCCATCAGGCTGAAAGGGTTGACAAGCTTTGGAGGTCTTTGCCATTCGGTCGTGGTCTCTCCACTCTCGTTATAGACGACTACTCTCTGCTTCCACTTGAACAGATCGGACCATGATTGTTTGGCTGTAGGCCAGATTCCTTGAGCGATTGGGTCGGCAGGCTCATTGATGGTCGACATGACAGGCTGAGTTGGACGGTTGAGAAGAGAAGTAACACAAGACAGAAACAGAATTGAAAGATCAAGACTCACACCGTCTGATCGTACGGCAAGCTTACTTACTTATAACCAGCCATCCGGATCCTTGCTCGTCAGTTATGAAAAGGTCCAATCCTCCCGCACCTCCATTCCATATGGCCAAGAGAGCTCCCATGACCGACATCGACCAAAGAGGTAATTCTTGTTGACACGACCCCGCAACTTTTGTTCAATTGTTGGTATGGGTTGTCGTGCCATGGCCCCGCCAAGTAACAGTTGTCTTGGCCTGGAGAGGGATCGTGGAGAGCCTCTTGCCCCATGGGGATATTGCCATAGATCTATAGACAACTTTTCGCGTGTCTGAGAGCGGTAAACAACGGCTGGTAGTCATTGCAGCATTCTTCTCTTTCCGGACGAGGAATCTCGGTAGGAGTGCTGGAGTTGGAGACCACAGCCTCGTTGCCAATAACTTGGCGTGGGTGATGGCTTTCTGGCAACGGCTTCCTTGACAATCTTGTGTGCTGACAGAGAACGACAAGATCGAGTGACGCCTTTGCTTGTCTCACGCGATGGCCCTTGTTCTCATGCTTGTTCAGGCTTATGAGTCGCCTCTACGCCCAGATTCCTATGTGGATGCCAATTGTCATAGCTTCGTCGTGAAAATTTGTCGCCAGGCAGTGTCGGTGTGTTGGGCTGTATCACACTCTAGCTAATATGCAACATTGACTTCCAGATCGAAAACATCTGAACAACCCTTTCGTAATCCAACAATGGGTCGAAAATTTAGGTTCCGAACTCTCTGCGGTGAGAAGGCCGAATAGATTAACAAGAAAAAGAATCGGGAAGCAGGTGATACATCCCAAGCCAAGGATTGTGGCGTATCATGTCTTGTCCAAGCCAAGTTCATTGAAGCCAGAAGTCGATGATATTTTTGTTTGAGGATGCCGATACTTGTAACATGGGAACTCATGCTGATTCCATCACAGTCTCGGTCTCTCGTCCCTCGTAACATTCTTTTCTCTCTTCATCTGTGAGGTATTCGCTCATAATACGTCAAATATATCCATCCGGGCACTATAAAACTCTCAATTCGGTTGTGTTATTTCAGGTGTGTGATTACCTGATAGACGCCAAAACCCTGCAACGTCGGCTATCTCGTGCTAGGTGCTTTGACCGGACAAGAAATTGAGCGAAAGGCTATAGGCACATAGAGAGGTATGGCAGCACAGTAGCAGAAAATTGTATGTACCTATACTTCTATTGGAATACTCCACTATATGTCACAACAATAAATTCGTAACCAACCCTGAGCTTGCTGATGAACTTAGTCTAGCACACAGTTACCCACAGTATTGCAGATGTAGTCATCCGGGCATCCCACATATAGACATCCATGGCCATCACCGACCGGAGTGATGATCTTTGGTCTGTCATCGCTGGTGGGACTTGCTGTTGCGGTCGGCTCACTTGTGTCAATGTCGCTTCCATCTCCGGTCGAGTCAAAGTTATTGTCGTCAACTTCAGCCTCAGTGGTCGCTGCAGCTGGTATATCAGAGAAAGATTGTGTGATTGTAGGTTCTGCTATTGGAGTCGGTTGAGGGTCTTCTGTTGGTTGCGGATTCAGAGTAAAATCTCCAGTGGCTGTGACAACTTCGAAAGGATTGTAATCCTGATTACAGACGTCAGCAATCGCTGTACGAAATGGTACATTGAGAATATATATGGAGGTATGAAAAGTCAATGGCGACTTACTGTCTGATATGTGTTGTCGACACCCTCACCGACGCCATTATAGGGATCCTCAGCCGGTTTACCAGGATAGTTGATACCGCTAGTGACCATGTTGTTCTCAGACCCACCAAGGTCAGCTCCATTCTTCCAGTCAGTAAGAATACCTCTAAGGAGGTTGGCATCCAGGCGAGACCTGATCAAGTTGGGATTATCAAGACCTTCGTGTCCTAAATTCTCCCAACCCATGAAGGTGGCAAGGACTCCAGCGACAAGGGGAGCAGCAAAGCTTGTGCCAGTCTTGAAGATAGCTCCTCCTCCTGGAGCCAGTGTTCTGATGTCCGTGCCGGGAGCAAGCACAGACACATTCTTCCCCATATTCGAGTACTTATCTTGTTCGTACTTTCGTGATATTGCTCCGACACAAATAGAGTTAAATTTGCAGGGCCAAATGTTGTCAGCACTTACACCTGCCTCACGGGCATTTCCTGCAGCTGTGACGACAGGAACGCCAGCCATATAGAATCTATCCAGTGTATTCCTGACAGCATCACCACGCCCTTTATCCTTTCCTAAAGACAGGTTGACGACAGATCCTCTGAAGCCGGGTGGCGGATTGGCGACGTTGGCTAGATGTTCATCCAAGATACCTTCCAAGGCTTTCTCCAAGTCTCCAGGCAATGTCTGCGGAGGTCTCTTGCTGAAGGTGAAGAAGGCCTTGACATTGATGATGTTCGCCCCTTGGGCAGAGCCGAAGAACCTTCCGGCGGCGCAGCCGGCGACAGCAGTCCCATGACCGTGGAAATCTTTGAAGCAGTCCCCATCGGCCTCAACATAACATTGGTGGAAGTTTCTGGCTCGTCCCTGGAAAAGAACATGGTCAATGTCCACACCACTGTCGACGATATAGATGTTCACGCCTTGTCCACCTCCAACGGTGTTGTTGTACTTGATTTGAGTTGCAGGTCCCTGGTCGGGCATGTTGTCCAGTTTTCCGCTTGCAGTCAAAGCTTGTAGGTGCCATGGAGATTGCTCGTATACATCTGGAAACCACGGTTGCAAATCTCTTTTCACAATATCCGAGTTTGCACGGGCAGACGCAGGGGGCGGTTCAATCAATTCCCAAGGCTCGTATTCCTCAACGGATTCGACCGCAGGATCTCTGCGAATCTTGTCGATCTGGTAATTGATATACTCATTAGCGCAGAATAGTTGGTAATTCGTGCTTTTACTCACCCAGTCTTTCGTAATATTGGCGGCGTAATAGGAATCGGCGTACTTGAACCATCTGAACGCCGTCGAATTATCGGCTTCTAAGTCTCGTCCGATCACCTTGAAGTGGTCATGGTAATCTTTATCCCGAAAGAGCGTGACCATGTAGGTATCCGGTCGTGTTTCGTTGGATTCGCCTCTGTAGAGAGGTGCTAGGTTGTCCCCGCTCCTCCGAGTGCTGGGTATTACTGAGGCTTCAGATATGTAAACGATTCCTATCAAAAGCTCGCGAATGTACTTCATGCTGTACTGGGTATTCTTCTGCTATGGTGTCTGTTAGTTTCTATCACAATGGGGATTCTCCCTTTTATGTTTAAGACGAGTCGTACTACGCGTTTCGATCTCCTTGTCTATATCTATCCCAAAGGGTCCTGTTCCGCTTCCGACTTGATTCCTTGTTGGTGCCGGTCCAAGACCCCATGCTGGCGCCTAGTTGGAGGCACTCAACTTGAGGTGAACCAACATTGGCGATTCATGCTAGTCGGTGCATACGCGATTGGGGAAAAATGGTGTGGGCGCCTATTTCCAATCGTATGGTGCCAAATGTCTCACCAGGTTTGTGCCACATAGGACTGTTGGTTTCGCTAACTGTCCCGTATTGATCCTCCAATGAAATCTTTGCGACCTACAATGCGTACATTCAATCCAACATAATTTGACAGGTGTTGACAGGTACGAAACGAGTGAAGCCCTCTCAACTATGGCAGCAGCAAAACAGAGCCGCTAGAATCCTATTTCCCAACTGACATTCACCTTGGCAATGAGGAAGGTTGCGAACATTCAGTCGCGACGAGACTCTCTGCGTGCGTATGACTAAAGCCTGGTTTTCGCCGACCGTTTTGATTCCCACTTCTGCCCGATGGCTTCGATATCGTTCACATGATTATTGAAGAGATGTCTACGACGGCTTCACAATGTTCAATGTCCATTCGTTGAATACAAGCACCTGATCATGGTGAATTGAGATGAACTGCCATGTCGACGGAGATGTCTCCCCAGTGAAGCTGCTTGCTGCCATCCGATATACAATTGCTTCGATCAAGAGCCGTGATGACTGTCCGATCATCTTACGTACACCCGAAGTCGAGCACGGTGCTCATGGATTGTCATGAGAGTTTAAAGGCTGGTTGAGTCAAAGTTCCTCCCGCTCTTCGAATGCTGAAGCGCCTGAGCTATCACTTCCTGGCATCTTGCCACAAATCCACATCTCATCCTCTGAAAGGACCTCTTTCTTGCATACATCAAACGGGTCCGCATCATAACATCGGTTCTTCTCCTCTTCAGAGAGCGCTGGATCCTGACAACGATCAACCTCGACCATCTCAAACCAAGATCCCTCTTCGATACTCTCCACACCCGGATCCTGACGAAGCAGGTAAAGCGAGTCTGTCGAGACATTACTGGCGAGATAGAATTGCTCGTTGAGCCACTCTAATTGCCATTCCTCGACAGGGTCGATGCGGAGGGTCTCAGAAATGTAAATGAGGTGAGATGATGGTTTATATCCTTTGCGTAACATGACTGTGTATTGGCCATCTACCGTGCCACATGTTGAGCTGTTCGGTGGGCAAGATTCGTACACTGGAGCGAGGTACGTAATTTTGTCGCTAGAGGTGACTGTCGCCGATGATGCGGTTGTAAGAGCAGTAGTGGATAGAACCAGGGCAGCAATGGCGACAATAATGAGTCTGTACCACAGTTGCATGTTGACTTGCGAAGTGAAATGAGGGGAAGAGATTTTGGTGGTAGATATCTTGTGAAGTTCGACTCCAGATGAAGCCAGGCAGACACGAACGCCACGAAACGTGTCTTGTAGCAGACGAGTCAGCGCTGCAAGCTCATGAGTCACACGGAGTTGAATCGAGCGCAGCTTTCAGAGGCTGAGTCTAGTGTTTCATTGATGGTTGCGCTGGGTGAGGCCAGGCGCCTAATAGCGCGTTGTCCCGTCCAAACAGGCGCTTGATGCATATGATGTTGGTGTTGGTCGGAAGGATTGCCGAAACCAACAAAACGAAAGCTGTTTTTGGCGGATGACGCATCTTAAGCGCTAAAGATCATGATGCTAGCGATGTATCAGGCTTGGCATCATGATGCTCTCAAAATAGAAGTCGTGCTGCAAGCAAGAATATGAAGACTTGAATGCTCATCGACAAAAGTGCACCGTAAAGGGCATTCTGCCTTGTGATAAGGCAGCGTGACAGGGGACCCGATTCAAAATCACTTCCCGTTGTTATAATTCGTCAAATCTCTCATAGCCTTGTTAATCCAGCAGTTCTCTGCTCTCGAAACAGTACCGCCTCTCTTCTTCTGTCAAGTCCCAGTTTCCTATCTCACAAAAAAGCAACATGTTCCTTCTCAAACACTCTTTCTTTTCTTCCTCTGTCAACCAAGATTTTTCACATTGTGGAACATCGATTTCTTCGTAGCAAAGCCTTTTTCTCTCTTCAGACAACCCAGGAATTCTGCACTCTAGGTCCCATCCATCATCCACCTCGAACCAATAACTCTGTTCCACTTCGTAAACGCCAGGATCTTTTCTGATTGCTTCAAGTTCGTCTTTGGTGACATTTTTGACGGTGTAGGACGCTGATTTGGGGTCGTCGTCCCAATTTGCCTGCCAATTTACGGTTGGATCGCGTTGAAGTGTACGTTCAAGAAAGGCAAGATGAGTAGAGATTCTGTAGAATCCGTGCAGTGCGACCATGTATGAGCCTTCTTTGATACCGCATTTGGGATTGTCGTCCTGGCAGTCGTTGTATAGTGGTGCGAGGTATTCATTGTTGTTTTCAGAGGTCGCGGTGGAAGTGTCCGTTGCTGCGAAGGCAATGGTGCTGGCAAGTGCTAGCAACGCGACGCCGATATAGTTGAGCTTGCAATAGAGTTGCATGGTGTGACGCTGGTTGGTTCTTCAAGTGAGTGGAATCGAAAAAATATATATGAAAAGGAACTCGCGAGAGTTGCTGTTGATCGGCTTGATGACTTGAGAAAACTGTGTCGTGTTTCAAAGTATGTGGTTGCCTGAACGCCGAGTCCTGTCTGGCGTCCCGCGCAGCCGCGCTTGGGGAACGATCTACTCAAACAAGGAACCAATGATGGCGAAAAGAAAACAGAAGAAACATTAGTGGATGGCAGAATGTCAGTATCACGAGAACGTAAATGTGATTTGGAGATCATACATAACGGACATTTTATTTGCTTTTTGATCTTCTGGTAAAGAGAAAACAAGAGTCTTTGTCTTTTCACGCATCTTCCCTCATACATGTGTGATATCTTAACGGCCGCTGTTGTTGTAAATGATCCGGTTAGGACTGCCACTACGCAGATCAGTGCCCTGACCAGTAGTAGCCAGAGCGATAATTCTGTTAGTAGTAGCGGCAGGAGAAGAAAGACCAGACTCGAGACCCTTGAGGTAAAGAGCGAGACCAACAACGTGTGGGCAAGCCATGGAAGTACCAGAGATGGTGTTGGTGGCCGAGTTGGAGCCGATCCAAGCGGAGAGGACGTTGAGACCAGGAGCAAAGATATCAACAGTGCTGCCGAAGTTGGAGAAGTAGGCGCGAGCGTTGTTGCTACCGATGGCGCCGACGGTGAGGGCGGAAGAGGCAGAAGCGGGAGAAGTGCGAGAAGCATCGATAGCCTCGACGAATTCGCCGGTATAGGGATCACTTACACCATTACCAGCGGCGACGACAGAGAGAACACCCTGCTGGGTAGCGGCGTTGACGAGAGAGTTGAAGGCAGTGGAGACGGAGTCTTCGGAACCGAGAGACATGTTGATGACAGACTTGCCGGCGCGACCCTTGTTGATAATGTCGTTAGCAGCCCATTCGAAGCCTTTCATGATTGTAGAAGTAGAGCTTGACTATTGAGTTGTTAGCGTATATTCAACAGCCAATCGCAAGGTTACGTACTCCAGAAGCACCAAAGACCTTGACGGAGATGAGGTTGGCTTTCTTGGCAACACCATAGGTAGAACCGCCAATGGTGCCAGCAACGTGAGTACCGTGACCAGCATCGTCGATGTGAGAGCCACCAACAAAGTTCTGACCGAGAGAAGCACGACCACCAAACTCTCTGTGGTTGATGTTGATGCCAGAGTCAATGACATAGCCATAAGTGCCAGCACCAGCGGAGGTGTCGTAGTAGTATGTGTTGGCAGCATAGTTGCGCTGCGAGATGCGACCGAGGCCCCATGTGCTGCCAGTCTGTGAGGTAATGGCAGTCATGTAAATAGGAAGATCCTCCTCAACGACAGCCACCTGGAATCGAGGTTAGAACATTGATAATTCAGTTCTGCATCTGAGATGGACCCACCTCATCGCTAGCCTTGAGTTGAGCAATGGTCTCCTCATCGAACGAACCAGCATAGGCGTTGAAGTCTGCAACCTTGAAGACCTTCAAGTCCTCCTCAACAGTGCCGTTTTCCTCACGGCGGTATATACCACGACGATGAAGGTCGCCGGCCCAGTTGATGTGCTGAATGCCAACTTCAGGATCAATGCCGGGTTTGAGAGTGATGATGTACTTGGTGGTAGCAGGAGCGGCGGTAGCATCTTGCGGAACAGGAGCGGCCATTGCCAGACTGGCAATAGCGCTGAGAACGGCAACACTCTTCTTCCACATCTTAAAGGACTGAATGTCGGAGGTGTAAAGTGGCTGGAGGTCGGCAGTCGAGGGTTGAAGATGTGATGATTGCCTTGAGAGCTGGCCGGGAGGTCCTCTTTATACCGTATTCATCTCTCCAGCAGCAAATAGCTTTTATCTCGTTACTAAGCGCCCATGCGGCCATCTTGCCACTGTCGATTGTGTGTCGATATACGATGCCCTCGGTTGTTGGTCCATCTGGCATCAACAGTGCTATACAAAAGAAGAAGGTGGCAAGTCTACAAGGTTCGTTCATGCAATGTCACCTTCTCTATCAAGATGCATTTAACGAGAAGCTCTATCAAAAGCCAATAGAGCAAGGCCGTCCGACATGCGAGGTAACCTTGAGAGAGTCTTTTGATTCCCCAGTCATCTCTTAAAAGTCTTGACATTCAATGGCGTCAAACCTTCAAGATATGGATAGCCAGGGGCATATAATTGATAAGTCAGTACTAACCTTTTTGAGAAGCTCAATAGGCATGTATTCAGGATGCTGCGGTCTGGCAGATTGCGAGCTCGGTCAATATCACACTGCCAAGCTAAACCAAGAACATTGGCATTATTTGACGCCGCGCGGGGTTCGTGATATGGTATTTCGTCTTTTCTTGGCACTCTTAGCAAGTGTCCAAGCTTGCAGTAGAATGCTGCAAGTTTGACTCGTCGCCGTGATTTGACAGAACATGCCGAGGTGAACTTGACTGGGGAAAGGAGATACGGGTCGGCCCTCGCCTACCAGTAGAACTCATGTCTTCAGTCAACTTCGCCGAAGTCAGGTATCCTCATGGTCAACATGCTGTTGTGACGATCCCAAGATTTATCGCAGATCTTCCCTTAGGAGCTAAAAAAACATGGTCTTCCATTCAGCTGTAGCGCTCTAACCCGTCGATAGAATGGGAATGGCTCAAGCATAGTCGTTTTCTGCCAAGTCGTATACTGGCGATTACATAACCTTCGTTAGTCTCGACTGGAGAATAGCATATCCACCTTGATAAGAAGTGCGAGCAAATACCACGCAGCACGCGATACTAGGCGTTGAGAGCGTGCTGATCCCGTGCGGTGTTAGCGCGGCCAAGTCGCTTGCTGGCTACTTGGATCGTATGCACCACTCGCAAACAGGATGAAGCATGTGGAAACCGTGTGGTCTCATGGATGATCGGTTCCTCACAGATCCCAGGAGCAACACACATGATTGACAAGGGCTGCGAAGTGTTGCGACCAGGGACATGACCCAAAATGGGTTTGACGGTGTAGAGCCTGAACACTGAAGATATTCCTTGGTTGGGAAACTCAACAAGATTCTGAGATGGCCGTCGTTGGCGTGATTCGCTGGGTCCTGGACATGGCAAGTCGGTGGGTAGTCATCGCCAATGGCATTGAAGATATTGAAGATATGGCATGCTGGGCGCAGAGCTGAAACTGTTATTGTCACAGGACTATCATGCCCGACCTTGTAACCAGAGTGTCCTCAGACATTGACATGTAATGCTCCAGCGTCGTGTCGTTGCATGAACACACGCGACAGGACCAGGCTCGAAACAAATGACAAGACATGTTTCCCGACAGGCCAAAAGTCGTGGTTCTGGGTTTCCTACTCGAGTGTTGTCTCATTCCACCACAGCATCCTTCCTTCAAATGGCCTTTGACATCACGATAAGCGCGATTAATCCGAGACCAAGTCCACCATAAGCCCCCGACAGTGTCGCCATGGACCAGCAGACTGCCCAGGCAAACGAGGGCGCCGTAGGTAGTGGTTCATCAGGAAGGACGTAAGCCAAACTGAGTGCACAGTGTACGATGATCATCATGAAAGCGACGAATTGCGCTGTAAATCCCTGGTCTGGGGTCAACGCGCCCCAGTAGTTGGATGACCCAAGCCGAATGAGCAGGCGCGCGGACACAATGAGAAGACCGCAAGTAATGAAGAGGGCCGAGCTGCCAGTGAACACAGCTTTGAAGGTTTGGAAAATGCTGTCGATGAGAGTCTCTGGTCCATAGTTGGTGATGATTTGAGTTGCCATTCTTGCCATTTTGATCTGGGTAGGTTGTCATGAAGGTTGCAACACGAAAATTCAAGGTTGAGAAGCTAAATTTGTTCATCTCCAATTGCCAAGTCTCGTTCTTGGTCATCGGCATTGAACGAGTTGATCTCGAATCGTTTGTCCTCGCATGAACTACGTTAACATGCCGACTATGACGCTCTGGTTCTGAATATCCAAGTACTGCATAGGACAAAGCTGGAGCTGTTCATGAGTTATGTTCAATTTATGGCAAAAGTTTGTGGTTGAGAGTATGACCCTGCTCAAGCACCAAGGTCAGACATAGCTTCGATAGCAGTCTCCTTCCAACCCATGACACTTCCTCTAGCCTGATTTCTAGGGCAAACCTCTACAATTGCCCTCAAGAAGTTCGCAGCAGTCTGCATACTTTCTTGTTCTTTCGACGTAAACTTTGCATCATCGATCAAACACCCAAGTCCTCTTTCTTTCACTCTCTTCTCATACCGTTCCATTAACGCTGTCTTCTCGGCCAAAGATGTGTCATTCTCTTGAGCATTCCAGAGAAAAGCACGGCTAGGGTTCCATCGCGTGAACGGGACTACGCCGGCAAACTCCCAATCTATGATTGCGGTTATATGGGCGGTGACCGGGTCGACGAGGATGTTCGCAAAGTGTAGATCTTTGTGCGCGAGGCGCAGAGAAATGTCGTTGAGCTTTGATTGCATTGGCTCAGCTGAGATGATAGCGAGGAAGCGATCGAGCTGTGGGAGAATGTCACGCATGAACTCCAGAGATGGATGCGTTTCAATTGCATGCTTGTACTTGAGCAGATGCGCGGAGATGTATGCCACGTAGGATTTGAAAGGTCCGGAGATGTTCAGAGATTCAAAAGTCTCATGAGCCGGCCACAGAGCTAGAATGTCTGGCTCGAACCAGAATGTCTCTTCAAGTACCGGTCCTGGGATGATGTGGCCTTTGTTGTCAGTGAAGAGCCCACCAACGTGAGACCATGTATGTTTGTGCAATTCGGCATTGACATCAATCAATTGATCCAGTATATGGTTCATCTGTATCGAGGTGAAAGTATTGTAAACGTCCGCTAAGCTCTGTCCAGGCTCGCGAGTCATCAAGATGAACTCATGACCAAGCGGGTTATCTGTGGAAGAATCGTACGCCACAACCCGCGGAACTGGTATTGTGGTATGCTTGTCTAGCCACGACAATACAGAAGCTTCATTCTCCGTTTTGATCCTCGAGATGTGATTGCCGGATATGCGTAAGATTAATTCCGTGGTTGAGAAAGGACAAGCTTGATGACATTCTTTTGACGCCAACCATGATCTGAGACTAGATGCCGTGTAACTGATCACGAAAATGATGTGGAATGCTGCGGTAACTTCGAGTTTACGTATCGCTTGCGGTGACGGCGAAGATAAGGTGTCAAGCAGAGAGCGCACATGGTCTTCTGTGAGAGAGTGAGGGAGATGTTCTTTTGGAGAGCCCATATCAGCTTGTCCAAGAATAAATGCTATCAGTACTATACAACTGAAACTTCTCCGAAGTTGTTTGAAAATGAAGGTGGTGCATGTATACCCCAGGCTAACCTCGTATCGCGATAAGGAAATTGCAACGTGTTCTTGTCGATCACATCTTCCTACATGTTGTGCACTTTGTTGTTGACGCTCTAGGCGAGTGAAGACTGTCTCACGATGGACAAAATCGCGAGTAACATCACTTATTTTCGAAATTACTAAACTAGAGCTTTCATTATCCTAGCACTCACACGACTTGCGAACCAAGCGCATTTTAGCACGTATGGTCGTTCCTCAAACTGTGACACCAAATGGTGCGACATTAGGGTCAAGAGCCTTCCAGACGAAGGGCATACCTTGACTCAAACCGTTTGAATCGAAAGTTCTGGCCTTGACCTTGTCGCTGAAGGAGTTCATAGAGATCATGAAAGTTGCAGCCGCATTCCTAGTGTTTGCATTCATTTGTTTAAGCATATTGGGCTCGTCGAACATGTGGCTCACTAAGTCACAAAAAAGTCAGCATACAAGAAATGGTGGATCTAGAGATGGTCAACTTACGCGTTCGGTTAGTGCCTGCGAAGTAATTGCGAGCGAAGAGAGAATTGATGGCAATCTGCTCTCCGGCTTGCTCGAGCGGAGGAAGGAAAGCCACGAGGTTTGTCACACCCTTCTGCGTGGGGACAGGACTGTAAAGGGACATGGCGTGGAAGGGCAGGGTAGATGAGGCAGACATGAGCTGATCGGTGTTGACAGTGTGGTGTGCAGTCGAAGAGAGATGGGCCTGTCAAAATCATCAGTCGCCGCGTCTAGGAAAGATGCAACTGAGTTCACATACCATGTGTGTCAGCACGTCAATGAGTGTGTTGGTCGTTGTGATAGCAGATGGGAAGTCCATCACCTTGGCGGGACCATTGCATTCCTTGACCCAAGCTTGAATCTCCTTGTCCGCTGCCACTACAGAGTCTGAAGAATAGTAGGAGTTGACGAAGGAGGTCATGAAGGTGTGGATAGCAGAGTAGATGACGGAAGCGTCTTCGTAGTATGGGAAATTCTTGAGCTGAGGACCAGTCGTGTCGTTGAGCAATCCACGGTTCTTGAGATCATTGAGGAAGTAACCCGACTGGAAATTACCACTACGAGTGAAATAGTAGTTGCTGCTGTAGTCTTTCGCTGATTCGTAGGTGTAGGGGAAAGCAAGGTCAACAACGCCGCCAGGTGCGAACAAGACCGACTATAACAAGTCAGAAAATTGAGACAACGACTTGAGTCAATGAAACGGTATACGGTGACTTACTTGTGCTAGAGGCTGGATCGCAAAGACTTCGAACATCACTGTAAAGACGTAATCAGCTATCGATTCTTGATAAGGCTGTGGTCGGAGCACTTACATCGGTCAAGAATGGCCTTTACGGGATGAGCATCACTCAGCGAACGGATAGCCGCCATGTACACGATCTGAACGACTTCATGTGTTCTGGCCAGGTGCTCCCACTGCGCGAACCACAAGTCACAAACATTGTACATAATCTTTGCAAGCATCCAGTCATCTGGTCTGTCGGCTGGGGTGTAGGTGAGGTTTGCACCCTGATTAGTACGAATGGCCAATGGCAGGAAGTCCCCGGAGTTTGGGTCGATGTAGAAGTAAGCATCCACGGCAGCCGAATAGCGAGGGTTGGACGTGGCGGTGAGCTCCGCTTGATCTCTGTAATCGGCATAGAACAGGCGGCCGGATGTCAAAAGCTGTTGCTGTGTCATGCCGGTGAGATTGGTGGCAATCTGATCATCGACCTGGAAGTTGAGAGTATCCTTGCTCGAGTTCAGTCTTCGGATCTGGTACGGGCTGAAAGAAAGACGCTCCATCGAGAACAGCAAGTCCTGGGTGTAGTTGGTGAGAATGCCGGGTGCAGGACCTTGAGGTAGAGTGGCTGTCCATTCTTGGTCGTACAGCAAAGTGTAGTCTTGCAATGTCTGCAAGCCGTTGTACTTGTTAACATCGGATTCAGCTTTTACAATGTCCGAGGTAGTGTCACTCATTTGTGGACCAGTCTCGGATTGGAAAGTCGCAATATCGAGTGCAACCAAGGTGTTACCAAGAGTACCGTTGGGGAAGAAAGGTCCACCTGCGACAGCTGGTCCATACCCGAAGTTCTGGCGCGTCAATGAGATCGCTTCTGCTCTGCCCACAGGGATTCCTTTTTGAGGAATGGCATACCATCCAGTATAAGTGGCAGAAGCGGCAGCCGAAGCGGTAGGTCCTGTCCTTGGATTGGTGATTTCAGCAGCACCGAAGATATTCAAAGCAGCCGAAGAAGTAGCGACTAATTTGGTTGAACTAGTTTTTGGTTTCGAGGTTGCCTTGGAAGAAGATGAAGAGGTCTTCGATACGGGCTTAGAGGAAGCCTTGGAAGAAGAGGAAGGAATCTTCGATACGCTGCGGCTGGACGAAGTAGCCTTGGAAGAAGACGAAGAGATCTTCGACACGCTGCGACTAGACGAAGTTGCTCGTTTCTGGATAATAGCAGAATGAACAGTCGCGACGCAAAGAAGTAGAACGAGCAGTGATGCCACTGAGAACCTGTGTAAGGCCATCATAATTTCTAGCGCAGGGCAACAAAAGGAATCTACAAGAAAGCTCAGAGCTTCCCAGAAGATGGCCTGCGATGTGTATATATCCATCCACGTTTAGAGATCATCTTGCACTGATGTCAACGTTGTCTCAAATTTCGATACCAACCGTTGCGCGCGGACAATCCAAGACAAGCCGACAGAATACTATTGATTTCAGGCCCACCTTCGGTGGAGTGCTCTCCATGAAAGACGTCAGCACATGGTTCCCCGAGAGTAGCAAATAGGAATTCGACCCTTTGATCAGCAGGCTCATCCTTTTGATGGTGATTCCTGCGAACGCAGATCATGGCTTACTGCTTGTTCTAGAACTGGACTGTCCAAGCACCGTTCGATATAGCAACGGCGCAAGGATTCTTCGCGTACTGGATCTAGCTTATAGATAGGACATGAATTCATATATATTCCGACCGGTGAACAGCTTGGAACACGAGACTGAACGGGAGTACATGCTTGTTAATATATTGATGTCAAGCGAAGTTGATCATGCAGACGTCTGCCAAGGGGTGGGATTTTTTCGGTGGTTGGCAAGCTCGGGAGAGGCCCGTCCCTTCGATGTATTACCGTTTCCAGAAATGTGGGGAGGGGCTAGCCCGATAAAGTAGTCTGTTTCTCTGAACAAATCCGCTGCTTAATGCCCTTTATGCTCTCACAACAGCAGAGATCCTCTTCGGATAACTGATCAATCACGAAATCGGCCATGAATGGAGATATTCCCAAGCTTTACCAAGCAACTGACAGTATTTTACGCTTGGCGCAGTTCAGCAAAGGGACAAATCATTGTGGCTTAGGCTAATTGTTCCTACCGGCAAAACCAACCAGGAAAACTGATCGCTGAACGTGTTTGTTATCACCTCCTTCTAGTCAGCCAGATGACCTATCGGCATGAGTGGATGATTCATGCACACGACTGTTGCAGTAAGTGCCAAGCATTCAACTCTTTCCGCTAGCGTAACGAGCGGCTTGCATACAGATGTGCTAAATCGGGGGATTCAACGTATGTATGATGGACAGAACTGGACCCTTTCCAGTTTTAGGCTCATAATCGACTTTTCCGAGCTACTTTCATGTTCAGTTGTCTACTGTAGTAGATGGCGTCGAAGATTGCAAGGGCTAGGCTTCTGTCGAGCGATTGAGCACGCACCACCAGATCCTAGATCAATGTACATTACTTGCACTTCCAGCAAACTCAAGGGATAACTGGAGAAGTCTTAATCTCCCTACGATAGTACTTGACGACCAAGTATCATGGAATGACCCGCCGTCTATTATTGGGCGCGACTATTCTGGGCTGACAGATTCTCGCTTTGTGGTCTTGAGGAAAGGAACCCATCTTTCCCACGCCATAGATTTCATTGGATTGAGCAAGGACCAAGTTCCCGAACATAGTCGGTCCTGGCTTGCTATGCCTCTCAGAAGTCCTCTGGAGCATAAGAGGCTGACCTGGGTCACGTATCAAGGGCCAAATGCCGGATCCGTTCTTATGGAGCTGGTCAAGCATGCCAACTAAGCTATCTTGAGTCCGGGACATGCCTTACGATTCTGTCCAGTGGCGATTGATGTGGACGATCCTGAGACCTGGTTCTTAATTTGCGAGCGCAGCTCTCCAGCTCGATAACTTGACGTAGTCTCCGCAAGTATCCCAAGTATCCAGGATTGCGTGTGGTTTCAGCCGCTGATGTTTCAGTGATCTTCAAAATGGAAGTACTCGACACGATCGGACTATTGAGTCTTGTGAGACCACCAAGCACAGCATTATGCTCCACTGCTCGTCTCGCCAAGTGATGCTTATGTGATTCCGCAGCCTCGGTGCACAAGAGCGGTCTTTGTGGTGGATTCCTGAGATCGCTTGCGATGGTACTGGCTGGAGGATTGCTCGTTGCTTCCTCTTGACTGCTCTGCTGATCTCTGATACCAACGCTTGATCGTTGGGACTTTGACGCCTGTTTCAGCTTCCACTGGGCTCCAGCCAGCAGCTGTTTCGTATATTGCAAGTCTTTGTCATCGGCATGAAAGGTCTTTTCACCATGGTCTTTCACTTCCTCAAGCAATTTCACCGCCTTGTCCAACTTCTCGCCATCTTCGAATCGCATGTAAACTCGTGCTAGCTTACGTAAGGTTGAAAAACGTCTTTTGTCATGAAGAGACAGATATGGCGCTTTGAGAACGACTTGCTCTTCAAGAATAGTGGCGGCCAAATCCGTTTCCCCAAGGTCGAGATAGATGTCTGCAAGTTGGCCCGTCATATCAGCAAGCCATATTGCAGGGACATTGTCTGCTAGAAGCTTTGCGAGCTGGGAACTGGCTTCCGTAAGATGTGGCATGGCTTCTTTAGGCTTGTTCAGTTCGATGTAAGCTTCCGCCAGCAACATCATGATCCAGACCCAACGTGGATTTGGCGAGCTTGATTTATAACAAACTTTGGCGATATGCTCGAGCAGTGTTACAGCTTTCTGGGCGCGTCCATCGATGTACAGCACACATAGCATTGCCAGAGCTTGTAATCGACGGTTTGAGTCAGGTAGATTGATTTTCGATGACTGAAAGTTGTTTTCGGCGAAAAAAATTGCTTGCTGAGTGTCACCGAGATTTTCCTGCACCAATACTAGATTCTCGAAAAGACGTTCCATCTGCAAGTCTTTCAGTATTGAGAGCTGTGAATAACTTTCGTACAACGGCTCCAGCAAAGTAAGTGCACCTTGGTAATCGCCAACTTCGCTATGAAGCTCAGCCAGTCGCACCTGCCATTCGAATGCATTGCAGCTAATTTTACCATAACGCATCTCGGTAGACTTCACCATACGATTCACCAAGTTTCGCGCCTCTTCGTGTCGTCCCAACGAAATCAGACAGTTTGATGTCCCGATCATGCAATCATGAATTGCAAGATGATGCATCTGAGGCTGAATCTCAAGTGACAAGGACAAAGTCTCAAAAATGGAGAGTGACGATTGATACCTTGAATCCTCGTAAAGATGCCACGCCAGACGGTATAGCGCCTGTACAACAGGTAAGGAAAGCGGTGTTTGACTGCCTGCTTGGCCCCGGCTGTGAAAGCAGGTATCTATGTGCGGTGCTAGCCTTGGTGTGAAGGTATACCAATACAGATCGATCGCAGATAGAGCAAGTATTGACACAGTCTGTTCCCATGCAAATGTCCGTGTGGTCTGGTCCAGTCGAATACGTGCCCATTCGTGTACGAGAGGGTGCATCGATATTCTATTGTCATCAACTCTGATGAGCGACAGATCTGCAAGCCGCGTACGGGCACTGCGAAATCTCGTGATCGTCTGTCGTTCGATAAGGTTACTCGACCGCACCTTCTCACAATGCCACATATGGAGGTGATTGATTCGCTTTGTCGTACCATCATCACACTCGTCCATATTGTCTCTACTTACACAAACATAAGATCTTGGAAGTCTTTTGTTCTCGTCGTCACTGGTGTTGGTGTGACAAGTGCGCTGCTTCGCAGAGATTTTTCGAGAGTCCGAAGCTCCTGAGAGAGAAGAGCTTAGTGGTTGCCTTTCGGATACTTCATGACATGTTGCGTTCCAACCACAAGCAGAGTACGTGCCGTCATTCGAAACTTCTGGAGTGTCAAGCTTGCTCCGACTCTTAGTGACTCGATCGTCATCCATCACCGATACAGCGGGACATTTCAGACATTGCATGCCGTTGTTCTCCCACTCTTTCTCCAGTTTATGGCATTCACCAAAAGCTCGGCTAAAGATGTCCTCTTCAACTGCTTCACGATTCAGAAATGCGAGTATGTCCAGGAGTCGCAACCCCAGTTCACACTCATAGTCTCCAGATGATGCCAGAGCCTCTGCAGAAACCTCGAACGTTGCATAGACACTTCCATAACGGGAAGCTTGTTGCTTAGGTTTGAAGTTTATCAAACGAGCCTGTTCCTTGCGAAAAGAATGGACATATTCATCCAAAGTGCAGAGTCCCTTCCTGATGTAAGCCCCAGCATGGACGAGGGCGAGTGCATGCTGTCCGAGGATGGATACCACTGCCTGCGCGGCGGGTATATGAGCTTCTTGATTACCGGGATCGTAGCCGCATGCTCGCAGGAGTAGCTGCGTGGCAGTTTCATGGCCAAGATGATCAAGATTAGCCCAGGTTCCAAGAATCTTGCACTCAGTCAAGCGGGTGGTAAGAATGATACTGCCACCGCGAGAGGGCATGTATGCAGCAAAGTCCATCATGCTATCGTCGCAATTATCCAGAATGAGGAGCCAAGATTCCTTAGTATTCGCGAGCCATCGCAGTACACCATTGCTTGTTATATCTGTAAGTGGGGGAGTCTGCATTTTGGCAATCTCCGCAAAGCCTTGTTCGACACTCTGTTCATTGTCGGCGTCTATCCAGAAGATGCCCCAGAAGCTAACTCAGTCAGCTAAGTCAGATGGCTGCATTCGTAAGAAACCAACTTGTCTTGATTTTCCATTGCAAACCTGACAGCCGCCTCACTCTTTCCAGCGCCGCCGATGCCTAGGAGTACGAAGACTGGGCGGTCGTTCTTTGCAGGTTCAATAACTAGGTGCTTTTTCATGTCGTCCAGCAAGCCCTGGCGGCCTGTGAACAGCGGGTTGGGAGCGCGTGGTACATTCCAATGTGCGTTACCTGGTGAGGACCCTTTCTGTTAGCTGAGACATGTAGACACTACGTAGGGAACCAAAGTCAATAACCAAGGATCCTTCCACGCTGCTTTGTAAAAGACCACAACACGGGGAGATCTGCATAAGATAGCTTCGAGATGTTGAGTCTATGCTGGGAAGCACTAACCGGTTCTAGGAAGTCCTGCAACGGCAGTGACAGGGACAACCGCTAAGAGCTCCTTAGCATAGGCTGCTGCTGTTGCTGCAGCGTATGCATGCCAGTCGTCGTTCTTGTGGGTGTCCGCGTAGTCAGAGATGCCGCGTATGACTAGACAGGGGAAAGCGTCCAGCCCAGCGGCTTCCATCTCGAAGCACATAATGTTGTGAGTTCTTCGAATCTTCTCAGCCATAATTGCATCTTTGATGACTTGGTCTCCCGAAGCTATAGCGCCATAATGAATTCTAGGAGTCGAATCGCTGCGAAGAAGGCGAGCACGAAGATGAGCTGTGTCGCAGCCTTCGCAAGTACGTCCGCCTTGATGAAGGTACGTAGGACAGAACAGGCTGTCAACGCTTGGATGGGGGGCATGACGCTTAACCTCCGGATTTTCTAAGATAGAAACATACTTTCCAGGCCTCCGCATATGCTTTCGTTTCAGCATTCCAGCTGCGGTCCGGAGCACATCAGGAGCTCTATTGAAAGATCCCTTAGGAGAGAATTCGCGTTCCTGTATAGCTTTACCATAATCGTATTGTATAACACCGGGGCCACCATCATCTGGTACGCCGACAATGACATCACCCAAACGTATATCTTCTTCTTGAGTCCAAACTCCACCAGCAATGCCGACCATGATTCCAAACTTCAAGTTTGGGAATGTCCGCCGCATGTTGTTAGCTACCGTTGCGGTAGACGACTTGCCGGGATTGGACAGAGGAAGCTGAGCTATAGCCACGATGTGCGATGCATCGCTTCCGCTGATCTTGATACGACCGTAGGTGTATATGTTATTATCGTTGGGAGGAAGTGGAATTGTCTGCTCGATCAACTCGTCGAGCATGATTTCGGCCAACAGAGCTTCAATTGGTAGCGCAGATATCCAGCCGATCTGGATTTGGGCCAAAGTGAGAGTCATGTCGCATCACAATATGAACTTGAGCGAGCGAGATGGTTCTTCGGTGTTTTCGCTCCGTGATCAGCCTATTGAAAGGATAGGTATGCTGCGGAAAGTCACCTTCAACTCCCTGGGGACCCAATCTTGTCGAATTTGCGCGCGACTAGAGCTTCCGCCGTACTGGATTATATAGGTATGTTCAGCAGTTATGGATCTGGGCAACGCGGAATACCCGAGTAAAAGAGGATGCGAAAGTCGAAGAATGCCCAGCGAGAGGTGAGCGTGCCGGCACTGCTCTTATCGATCTGGCCAAGGCAGAGGACATGCAGAAACCGTGGCTTGCATGATCCGCGCTTCGATGGCGCGAGCGTATCCCGTTCACGGCAATATACAGTAAGCATTTGTTACCGGTTGTGCAAATCGATCAACAAGCCCGAAATGCAATTAACTCGGCAGCCTCATCTTCGACGTTAATTTCAGCTGTTCAGACACCGAAGTCTACGGTTTGTTCAGCGCTCGAGGATGCGCTCGAGACAGACGAAACCCAACATGGCTGCGAGAGCTGGGCGGCAACAGTCACGCTGCTACTGGCTCAGCTTGACAGTTGGACAACAGGCTAGATACGGCATTCGAAGTACCCGACCATGCGCACGAGAGAAACAGATCTCCGGATACAGACTGGAAAATCATGAGCGGGATGTGCAGACTGCAGACAAACTGATGCAGGCAGCAGATCATGCGCTGTCGCGCTAGATTATCTTATGACGAGGCATCTTTCTTCCTTTGAAGTGAGTATCTCGCAAGAGAATATGTGTGAAGAACATTTGACTGTTTGCGAAGAGAGATCAAGACGATGGACGAAGCATATACGTGGAAAGAAGATTCCGTGGTTGACAGCAAGAAAGAATTAAGTTCAACAGGTGCAAGCGAGAAGGCGCGAGTGGAAAGCAACCCCAGCACGGACATCACCGAAGCTGGGCAGCAGCGGCGCCTTCCTTTCGGATATCGAGTAAACAAGACAACGACGACTTTGTACTGTTTCTATACATAAAACGCGATGGCCAAGGCCGATCATTTGATCCAATCGTCTTCATTGCAATCTCACACCCGCCTGTCTGTTCTTCTTTGCCGTTGCGCCGACAGCCTCGTTGGCACCAGTAAAGCCCAGCAGCGACTTCCTCTGCCTCTCATCCTCTTCCTGTTTCTTCTTCATACGCTTTTCGGTCTTTTGTTTACCACTGCCTTTACCGTGGAATCTATGACTGAGATGCTTGAACGCCTCCTTCTGGTTCATTTCACGACCATCTTCATCATTGTAACGAAGCTGGACATTAGGCTTGTATGAACGCTTGAAATGTTCGGCTTGTAGTTGTGCAAGATAGGCATCTCTTTGCTCATTCTGTTGACGTTGATAGTTCTCACGCTCGCGGTGGGACATGCGATCCCAACGACCAGATTTGCGGTCCTTTTCACGCTCTTCCTTTGTTTTGCGATCGTATTCGTCGACAAGAGCTTGGTTCTCGGCAAGGAATTGTTGTTGTGCGCGAACAGCTGCGTTGGCTTTGTCGGCGTCACTGTCCTGGACGAGACCTCGTTTGCGAAGCATGTTAAGGATTCCTCCAGCTCCAGTCATTGTATTCTCTTCCTCTTCGAAACCTGTAGATGTCATTGCTGGTGGAGCGACTGATTCACGTTCCTCGGCTTCGCGGCGAGCACGAGCGTCTTCTTCGTCTTCGACTGCAGCGTATGATTCTTGCATGGTTTCGTCTTCATCCATGACTCTGGCAGCAGGTGTTGAGGTTGCTCTACGGCGGCGCTCATCCGCCGAATCTGGTGATTGTGGACGTCTCAAGTTGGAGACGAACTCGGTAGTTTCATCGATGACAAGACCGGGCTCTTCATCATCTTCGGCAGTGTTCATAGGTGTTGCAGATTCTTCTTCGCGAATGCGGCGAGCCAGCTCAGCAGCATCAGTCTTCTTACGCTTCTTCAATGCTTGACGACGTTGTTCCGCCAGCTTCGCTTGTAGGTCATCGTCGTCAAAGGTCTCGAAAGTGCGTTTCTTAGCAGCACCGTTTGATGACGGTTGACCATCAACATCCATTTGGTCTCCAGAAGGTTGTTGTGTAGGTAGGGGGAAAATGTCATCATCGTCAGCGGCCTTTGTACGGGTCGTTTTGGCCTTCTTCGGCTTCTTGGGCTTGCGGATTTTGGCGGTCGAAGGATCTTGGTAATCTGAAATGGGAGTGTCGTCCTTGAGCTCGTCCAGACTAAACTTGATGCCTTTGACACCAATACGCTCTGCTTCTGCAGCTTCCCTTTTAGCAGCAACAGCAGCTTGATCGACTGCACCAGATGTGTCCAGAGTAAATGCCTTCTTCTTTTTGCCCTCAATTTCTTCATCGTAATGCGCGAGAATCGAACGGTTTCCATCATCCATGTCATTGGGGTTGTAGACAGGCTTGTTCTTCTTGCGCTCCAGCTTTTCTTGTAGTTGTTCTTTTGCGCGCAGATCCAGGTTTTCCAGCTCGTCATCCTCACTCTCATCGCCAATGACAGCATCTTTGAGTGTCAGGATTTGCTCGCCCTCGGCGTCAAACTGATCTAGCTCGTGTGCAACCTTGACACCAGCCAGATCCTTGGCCGAATACTCTGCTTGTGCCTGACGCTCGAGTTCAGCTTGCTCTTCCTCGTACTTTCTCGCCTTTTCGATCTTCTTTTGACGCTTCTTTTGTTGCAACAGCCAAGTTTTTGTGTCCATGTCTGCCTCTTCTGCATCTCCCAAACCCGTGCCTTCCAACTTTGCGTTCCGTAGTTCGAGATCGCGGGCTCTCTTGATGGCTTCCTTGCGCGCCAGACGCTCTTGTCTTGCCTTTTCCTCGTCTTGCAGCTTCTTCCAGTTGTCGCCTGCAGCTGCTTGGCGCTTTTCGAGAGTGCTCATATCGTCTGGATCTGATTCTTCGCCAGCGTCTTTTGACTTGAACTGAAGACCATCTTCGCCGGGTACGGGCAACGGCGCAAGGCCCATGGCGACTCTGATCTTGTTGGCATCTTGGATTGCGACGGCGTCCATCGTGGGCGGTGTTGAGGGTGGCAGGTGTGGGAAAGTCGAGATGCGCGGTCGCAGTCGTAGAAGCGATGTCGACAGATGCTGGTGAAGTAAATCACAGCAAGAGGGTGAGCAGGCGAGTGACGAGAGCTGCCTTGAGATCAAGACTCAAGTTCAAGAGAAGGCGCGAGTCGGAGTTTGGTCGTCGTAAAAGCCGGCGGCGTCTCCCGGCTTGGCAGTCGTCCCAGAAAAGATCTATATCAAGACGGCAAAGTTTCTCTCTTCCTCTTCTCTTCTCACAACAAACATCTGTGTTCAGCGATCCTGGCGTCTCCTTTGTGGGACTGATCGGTCGATTGCTGTCCAGCTCGACGTTTATGGAGCCATCAGATTATTGTGATGTCAATTTTCCGGTCGACAGATTTGAGAAGAATATGGCCCTGGGACAGCACCTGAGCTCGCTCCGGCTGAGCTCGGTGTGTAACCTTGGTCAAGAGCGTCATATTCCTGATCCCTTCGCTGAGGCCGTCGGCTTGTGAAGTTGGGGAAAAACCATGACCTGCTTACATCTTGTGATATACAGAAGTGCTTTGAAATGTTGTACGTACAGTTTTTGACGCGCTCAAAAGTGCAGGCGCCAAACACGCAGTCAAGACGAGTTGCAAGGGACAAGCCACTCGTCGTCTTCTTGCGTCTTGTGTCGCGTGCTGCTGCTTCCACTTTTCCTCGGTGTAAATATTGCATCAACTTGTACCTGGCTATTTTGTTGCTACAATCACATGCAAAATGCTTGTTTCCCAGGCCGGATCTGCAGAGCGGGTCTGGATCTCTTGCGGCAGGAACAAACGCCAGTTCTCTTGATCTCACTCAAGTGGCCGTTCTGGCGTGACTTCCGTTGGTGGCTCTCATGACGTTGACTCGTTGACTCGTTGCTCCTTCCGCCAGTCCAAACTTGGACCATTGCCTCTGTATCCAACGCGTCGTCTCTTGCCAGTCTTGTACCATGCACATATTCTTCTACTGTCATCGCCGTGCCCAGTGAAGCGGCGTTCTCATCGTCATTCTTCTTGAGCCCCGCCGTCATCCCAACTGTGTCACGCTGAAAAAAAGACTTTACAAGCCCCGCACTCTGCACACCAGACTCAGACTCGAGTCGGCCTTTCGCATTCTTCCTCTTCTCGACCATCACGTCAAGTATCTAGCCATGGTACTCTTCCCGGCCCATCGTGCGTCTAATGGACAAACCGAACACTTAAGGGCCGCTCGCGCCACGGTTCAATCCAAAGTTCGCAATGACTGGGAATTTCCCGACGTCAAAGTCCTTCACGCCCCCCAGCCCGTCGCAACTATACCTGTCGCCTCCACCTCAGCTACTCCGAATGCAAGAGACCGCGTCAATGAGCACATCAGACATAATCCCACCAAGTTCCTGCAAGAGCAATCAGATCCCGTCAAAGCCACTGCATGGCGACCACGCTACTACAGCGACGGTGAAGACTCGGCCTCGGACAATGACGACGACAATGCCCCGCCTGCATACGATACTCCCGACTCGGTCGGCAGAGACCTCGAGGCCCGCAAAGAACGAAGACGCAGACGTCGTCAGCTGAGATTCGAGGATGAGATGAAGGAGAACATTGGCCTGGCCCATTGGAGCGCCCAGAGGAACACATGGACTGGTGCCGAAGATCGATCAGCACTTGTTCAACAGAATTCCTCCGCAGTGAAATTGTCACCTGGACAGCCGCAGTCTCCTCAGACCCCGTCACAAGCCCACGCCCCTTTCTCGTCGTCAACTCTTACCCAAGCGATTCCAGACACAGATTTGAGCATTCCTGTAGCCGAAGCACTCCTTCCCGGCGACCCCATCCGCGACCGCATAAATCAGAATGCCTATTCGGACATCTACACAAAGGTCATCCTGCAAGGTCGCACTCCTTCTATTCCAATCAGCCTCACAGACGTCACCCGATCCTTGGTACACGGCTGGAAAGAGGAGGGACAGTGGCCACCAAAGCCTACACCTGCAGAACCCAGTCTGGTCAAGAAAAATAGTCATGCACACATAAAAGGAGTGTTGAAAACACTGGGCAAACCATTTCTAAAGGGACAGGGAGTACCTGTTGAGAAGGGTACAGCACAAGGCCAGGCTTAGGCGGCCATTGTTGCACGATTCCCTGGACTCCCGGCTGCCTATCTTGAACACAAACCACATCGCGATGCTGATGATCAGGAAGAGTTCGCGATCAATGTACGCAAACCAAAGTACCTTCCTCTCAAAAATGTCCCTCGCATCAAACAACTCCCTATGCCTGCGGCTATAGCCAAGCTCGATCATCTTGCCCAATCCCTCCAAGGGCGTTCACATCAACGTTCGCATGAGGACTTGCAAGCTTTTACTCAAAGGCTGGACAAATTCCTTCCAAGAGGCAAACGTGAGCTTGATTCCGTCCATGAGATCCGGCTTGCCGCTCGTCGCAAGCAGCGACACGAGAGTGAAGCCGAATTCCAGACCAGAATGAAAGCTCATCACGCGAGAGTAACCATCGATAATGACCCGTTGTTCGATGAGGATGAAGAAGGGGATATGTTCGAGTTGAGAGCTTGTGACTTCTTCAAAAAGCTGCCTATCATACCTGAGAGGATCCGTAAAGGATGCGAAGGCCCGTATAAGTGGCGGTTCTGTTCGCAGAGAGCTCTGTTGTTCCATTTCGAGCGTATCGATCAGAGGAAGCGGAATATTGAGCTCAACAAGTCGATTTGGGACGACCTTACCTGGGGAGGCGCTGGATGATGTTGATGATGATGACGATGAACTTCCTCCATTCTGAACGTTCACTTTTCGTGGAGATTATCTTTTCAGGGCAGCGTAGGAGTCAAGGCATTCTTTTCTGTATCTTTTGGGCAAGGAGGAGCAAAATATTCATTCTCTTGTATGTCCATATAAACTGTCTCTATGCATTCGTCATTGTACATCTACAAAGAAGCCTTTTCAATCCTGCGACCAGTCTCATCAAACTCAATCTTCTTTCCACTGTTGAGCGACTCTTGCAAAGCACAACCAATCTTGACAGCCTGAACCGCACCGCTCAACTTGAAAGGCAACTTGGTATCATCCAAACAAGCCGCGGTAAACTCATTAGCCTCCCTCACAAACGCCTCGTAGAACCTTCCGTAGTAATCTCCAGGAATCTCTCTTCTGATTCCTGTCGGCTCGGACATTTCCACCAATGTACCGCTGGGGTTTGCGTTGACTGTCAGTTTCCCCTCTGTGCCGATAATCTCCGTCATATCGTGTTGACCTGCCGCCATCATTCTCGAAGAGTATAGGTATGCGATTTTGTTTCCATAAAACTCCACAACGCCCACGCCATTGTCTACATCTTTCCATTTCTTGAGCCCTGGCTGGACTGCCGTGACTCCTACCGCATACACACTTTTCACCAGTGTATCTTGCCCGAAGAACCACAGTGCCAAATCGATATCGTGGATATTGCAGTCGACGAAGATACCGCCAGAGAATTGAGCGTAATCGACGAAGAATCCTGACGGATCGAGTTTATCGCAGGTTTGGGAGCGGAAGATCGAGGGACGACCGATGGCGGCATTGTCCATACGGTTAAAGGCATCGCGGTAGGAAGCATCGAAACGACGGGAGAAGCCACAGAGCACCTTTAGGTCTGGCCGTTTGTTTGCTGCATCAACAACGCTTTGAGAGATTTCGACGGAAGTGCTGAGGGGTTTTTCGCAGAGGACGTGTTTGCCTGCGTTGATGGCTGCAATGGCTTGGGGTGCGTGGGCAGTAGTCACTGTAGCTACGACTACAGCTTCGAGACCTGGGTGTTTGAGCATCTCGTCGTAGTCGGAGTAAACAACCACGCCGGGGAGGTGAATAGCTGCCCATGCTGCTTCCTTGGGTTCAGGAGTGAACGCTGCAATGAGCTCTGCGCGTGGAGTGCGTTCGTGGAAGTTTAGGGCGTGGCGGGCGCCCATGCGTCCCAGGCCTGAGATGGCGACTTGGAGTTTGCGTTGCTGTGGTGGCATTGTGTCTTTGTGTGGAGTTTGAATTGATCGAACAGAGACAGAGGCAGAGGAAGAATTGAAGGTAAAGGAGGAGACAACCAGTGGTGGGTATGAACTTTTCAAGAAATATGGAAGTCTGTCTCCGAAACAAAGACACAGCAGAAACGCAAGAAGAGAGAAAGAGGAAAGAAATAAGGTCGATCAATAAGGGCAAGGGACCTGTACTGTACCGTCTTGCAGGTGTTGCATCAAAGGAAAGCCCTAACCTTCGACATCTTTCGGGCATAATTGCTTCCTTTGGACGTGAATGTCGGGCATACTTACTATCCTCGGACGTGGATGAGAAAGCTCCAAGAGCTTGCCCTCGCTCTACCTGCCTTAACAACCAAGAAACCAAAACCTGGAGATCCACCCGAGTGGTCACAAAGGACCCGGAGACCCCAATTTTCCTGCTCCTCTTGGTGACCTAAGAAAAGTATGAAGGATGGAGAGAAAGCCGAGCAAGAAGTTCAGGTCGAGCAGAAGCCGATATGCGGGGAGAGGTGGACCGATCTTGTTCGCCGCTTTCGGCTCTTTCGAGAGACTTTTTGGCAAAGGGCGGCGGAACATGTTTGAGTTGCCGATCATTGAGAGGTTTTGCCCGGTGTCTGACGGAGCATTCGAAGCAAGCGCAAATCGATATTGGCAAGCACCTATGTTTGACAGCGAATTCGAGTACTACAAGCAGCTGCCGAGGCTGTTCTTGCGCTCGTGGTGTTGTCATTGTGCTTACCATGATTGAGTCCTTGGGTCGATGGTTGGTATGTTGACCAGCTGGCCAAGGGGTTCGAGGCACGACTATCTTGACAACCTGCCCAACTGTCACAAGTCAAGTTCTTAAGAGTTCTATCTCTGATGCCGAGGCACAGGAAATGCATTCAAGTGACTTTGACAGAAGATGAAGAAATGTCACAGCGGCATTTGAACAGCCTTGTTGTTTATAGTGGTCTGTGCTTACAGCCTTCACCGAGCAACACAATCGCCATACTCGTACTCAGTAAGTGTTCAAAGAAATGTACAATGTGCATACAGAATGTATTATCTACCTAGCCATCCAACTGCCATCAACAGTCAAAATCTCACCACTAACATAGCCACTCGCTCTGCTGGCAAGGAACACAACAGGACCCTTGAAATCTTCAGGCTTGCCCCATCTGCCAGCAGGAATTCTCGCCATGATCTGTTCACTCCTCGTCTTGTCCTTCATCAAAGCATCGTTCATTTCTGTCGCAATGTAACCAGGCGCAATACCATTGACATTGATGCCCTTTGCAGCCCATTCGTTCGACAAGGCCTTTGTCAATTGCGCAACACCGCCCTTGGAAGCGGCGTACGCGGGTACTGTGAATCCACCCTGGAAAGACAGCAACGAGGCAATGTTGATAATAGCGCCTCTACGGCCGAATTGATCAGGTTCGCGGGAGAGCATGTGTGCGCCGACATCTCTGCATAGCGTGAACACCGAGTTGAGGTTTACGTTTAGAACTTCATCCCAGTCGTTGTCGGGGAATTGGTGTGATGGGTGTCGTCTTTGGATGCCGCCGCAGTTGAGCAAGATGTGGATTTGGTAGCCGTCTGAGACTACTTTCTTGACGAGGGCAGAAACGGAGTCGCGGGATGCGAGGTCGGCGGTGTAGATTTCGGCTTTGCGGCCGAGTTTTAGGATGGCTTCTCTTGTCGATTGGTTTGACTCGTCGCGCTGTGAGAACAACTTTGTCAGTGATAATTCGACTAACGGGGCACAGAGTATATACCTGTACTAGCAAGATGTCCGCGCCAGCCTCAGCGAGGGCAATGGCCATTGCCTGACCAATTCCTAGTCTTGTCGTCAGTCACTAGCAGAGAGGCCCTTCTCTGGAATAGAGACATACCGCGAGTACCGCCAGTGACCAGAGCAGTCTGGCCTTCAAGAGAGAAGAGCTGTTGTACAGAAGCCATGATTTGCTTGCGAGATGTGAAGGTATACAGAATCAAGAAAAAGATGAACAGAGTCAATCAACAGAGTATTATTGTCTCTCTACAATGCCGACGAGAAGGGGTCAACGTCACCCTTCCCCCTCTTCCGTTGCCGATAATGAGGGAAAAATGTGGGCAGAGTGGGGGAGCAGATGCCGACGCTCCACAGCCGATGCCTTGGATGACATTTGAAGTGTTATGTATTGATTGCTTGCCGCTGCATCTTTTTCTCTTCCTCATCTATATACTGTTTGGTCGTGTGAAGCTTGCACTTGTTCTCATACTTCGTCCATCACAATCATGTCGTCGACACAAGTACAAGCCAGCGTCTTGCACGGCGCAAAAGACCTCCGCATTGTGAGTCTTGATCATCCGACGACAGTCATGTCTTGTGCATAGATAGACCATGCGGAAGTGCAACTAAGAGAATGACGGGCTGACCAAGATATCAGGAATCCCGCGACCTCCCTGCCCCCTCAGCAAATGAAATCCAAGTCGCAGTCCACAGCACCGGCCTCTGCGGCAGCGACCTGCACTACTACAACCACAACCGCAACGGCGACATCCTCGTTCGCGAACCCCTAACCCTCGGTCATGAATCCTCAGGCATCGTAACCGCCGTCGGATCCTCAGTCTCAAACTTCTCTGTCGGCGACAGAGTGGCTCTGGAAGTAGGCGTCCCTTGCGACCACTGCCATCGCTGTGAAGAAGGCCGCTACAACATCTGCAAAGACATGAAGTTCAGAAGCTCTGCAAAGAGTTTTCCGCATTTTCAGGGCACTTTGCAGGAGAGGATTAATCATCCTGCCAAGTGGTGTCATAAGTTGCCTGAAGCCATGAGTATGGAGTTGGGCGCTTTGCTCGAGCCTTTGGGTGTTGCTATCCATGCTTATCGCCGCAGTTTGATGCAACTCGGTCAGACTGCTTTGGTCTTTGGAGCTGGTGCTGTGGGATTGCTTGCTGCTGCTGTAGCCAAGGCAAAGGGAGCAAAGAAAATTGTTATTGCTGATATTGATGCTGGAAGGGTGGACTTTGCAGTCAAGAATGGATTCGCGCATCATGGCTTTGTGGTGCCGATGAAGAGAGGAAAAGACACAGAAGAGAATCTTGCCATTGCAAGAGAGACTGCAGATGGTGTGGCTGCTGTTGCTGATGAGTCTGGCTCTGCAATCGGCGAGGTCGATGTTGTGTTTGAGTGCACAGGCGTACCTACCTGCGTGCAATCAGCCATTTATGTAAGTCTACTCTTCGTCCCCATTCCCTCCTCCCGACACAGCATACTGACCACCAATACAACAGTCCACCAAGCCCGGCGGTCGTGTAATGCTCATCGGCATGGGCGTCCCCATCCAAACCCTGGCTATCTCCTCCGCCGCCCTCCGCGAAGTCGACCTCGTAGGAGTCTTCCGCTACGCAAACACATACCCCGAAGGCATTTCTCTCGTCTCCTCTCCCTCATGTCCTGACCTTTCTAAACTTGTAACACACAAGTTCAAGGGTTTGGACAATGCAGAGCAAGCCTTTGGCATGGCTGGAAGGACCAAAGACGACAAGGGCGATTTGGTGCTCAAGGTTGTGATTCAGAATTGAATGCGCATAAAAGGAGAAAAGCTGATTTTGGATGATACAAAAAGGTCATAGTCGATACTGCTGCCCGCAAGACATCGAAGCTGTAGACACATCCGACCTATATCGCCTTTTGGAAGTGCAAAATACTTTGGCATGGTGTCGCGAATTTTCTTGGTTGTATATAATAATTTTTTTTCTGTATCACATTGTCACAAAACAAACAAACACCGACGTGCAAGTTCCTCAAATTGTCCATAAATAGGCAGGGGACCTTCCGACAAAAGTCTAGCCCTACGCGAACAATGCGCAAGCTCGACAAAAGGCAGTGTGTTGCGCTTTTCGGCCCAGCTTGCCGCATTTTGCCTTCGGAAAAAGGTTCCCGTGTAGACAGTTGTTGGTCACAACACATCTCCGCCTATGAAGGCATTCAAGACTCAGGTCAGAACAGCGACAAGAGAGGTATCGTTTGCAGAAGAATATACAGAGAGCGAGCTTTGTATTTCCAGGGTCATTAGAGATAAAACGATATAAGAGTGAAAAGAAAATAACCAACGCCGACCACCGAATCCATCATGAGGTGGATTTATGATATCCATTCCATTTTCCGCTAAATCGACAGTGTTTCGTGAGAGCAAGAGTAGTGCAAGAATCTACCATCTGATGACCTTCTGAGGGAAGTATTCATCGATGAGCTCCATGTAGTACTCCTTGAGATCCTCGACCTTGGGAACATCATCAGACTTGGAGTAGAGATCGTAAGGGTTGAATGCTTTGACGGCAGCCAACATCTTCTCGTCCTTTTCGTTCATCATCCAGCGGTAAGCACCCTCCTTGTGCCAAGGGTAGAAGCTGTGGTAGCGGATCATGGCGAGTGCTTCATCGGGAAGAGTGCTTTGGTCCTTGACGACGTGGTATAGGTACTCGTCGTGACCCCAGCTGATCATGACATTGTCAAGTCCACAGCCAGGAGTGTAGATGCCGTGCTCGGTGCTGTAGATGGGGTCTTTGCTGTCGGGGTTGTTCTCGAAGGTGCCTGGGTAGATGATGCGATCGTCGAACTTGCAGCCGACAACAAAAGTATCGCCAACAACATCCCATTGGCCCTCTGCATCGAAGAAGAACAGAAGCTTGCCCAAGTCGTGGATGAGACCGGTCAATTGGAACCAGCGAGGCTTGCCATCACGACGGATGGCCTCGGCAGATTGAAGCAAGTGCTCGATTTGAGACAGCGATGTGTCAGGGTCAGATTCATCAATCAATGTGTTCAATCTCTCCATAGCTTGCCAGATGGTCATCTCGGCACGAGTCTTGCTGTGGAAGCGGTTGCGAGCACGCAGGTTGTAAGCGACTGTCTGCTTCTCATGTTGCTCCTTGTAAAAGTTCTTGACGCGATCGCAGGCATCCTCGTAGTTGCGGAATTGCTCCTTGTCCTTGTCGGCATCGAATTGTGATTTTTCGTAAATGTCCTTTTCTTCTTGGGTGGCGGTGCCGTTCTTGACTTTTAGAGCGGCCTTGAGGACGTTGACTTCGTCGATGTTGTCAGAAGTTGCCTCTAGTGCAAGACCATCTCTGTGGTCGTTGAAGTTCTCAGCAACATTGGGCTGCTCAAGTGCGATGGGTGCCATGTTGACCGATGTGTATGTGATTTATGCAAAGTGTTGTGCTCAGAGTATAACAAGAGTTGATGCTTTTGATATTTCTGAGGAAGAGGAAAAGATATGAGATTGACCAGAAAGACAGATTGCGATGATGACCAAAACAAGAGACGAGGAAGAAGCGACTGTCTTTTAACTACCTTTTCTCGGGGACATGTTTCCTACCTTCGGCTTCTCCTTCTATGATCTTGCACTCTCCACCACTGACTGACCACCACTCTGGGGCCCCATTATTTTCCCCCAGCAGTCTAACCTCAACCGCCGACACTTACCCTATCTGGAAAGTCTGGACTGATCTCAAGCACAAGGCAATGCCCTGGCGGCGAACAGTTTCAGTAAGCAAACCCGTGATTCTTCGCCGGATGAGCTACAAACAAGGCTGTCTTGTCTCCCATCAACAATGACAAGTTGTTCGAAGCCTGTTGTACTTTGATGCTGGGCATCACCCTCTGCGGATCATCTTGCCTCCTAGGTCGAAGCTAAATCCTTCGTCGGCAGAACTGTCGGAGCGACTGCCAACGATTCTTGATCTCATGACGACGAGGGTCAGAGAGTACGTGTCTCCGATTGGATGAAGATGCCAGCCACTCTCTCAGATTTTTCCGGGACCCACCATCGGACTGCAACTTGCCTCTTTGGACGGGGGAAGCCCCCTGCACAGAGAGACAGCCGGAAAAAGGTATCAGCGAGAGGGCTAAGGTGCGGCGTCTCATGCTCTTGGCAAGAGCAGCATTTGCCGATCTCCACGTTCTCGAGTGCTCGGGTCAATCTTCTCACGAGCTCGAGCAGAAACAGGGCATGACATGGAAGAAAGTGGGGGAGGGGTGCAAGCTGTATCCAGCTTCAAATGCCGATGGAGCTCGATTTGAACAAAACAACATTCTTCTTTACTGAAAATGAATCCTCAACTTGCAAACTTCATCCTTAAGAAGACTCCGGACTTTATACTGCATCCCAAAACAATGTCTGATACCGAATTTACTCTCAACACTGGCGCTAAGATTCCTGCTCTCGGTATGTTTAGTTATTGTTCCCTCAGCTTGACGTGTAGACTGAGCTTGAAACAGGTCTGGGAACATGGCAGTCTGCTCCCGGTGAGGTCAAGAATGCTGTTTCGCACGCTCTAAGGGTCGGCTACAAGCACATTGACGCTGCTTACGTCTACGGTAATGAAGATGAAGTTGGTCAAGGTCTGGCCGAAGGCTTCAAGTCGGGCATCAAGCGCGAGGATATCTTCGTTACCACCAGTGAGTATCTCAAAAGTGACCGGAAAATTACAGTCGAACTGACATCATTCTGTAGAGCTTTGGTGTACATATCACTCGCGGGTAGAGGAGAACCTCGACCTCAGTCTAAAATCCCTGGGTCTTGATTACGGTGTGTCACTCCGCTTTTCTCTACTCTACAAGCAGGAGCTGACAATCAACAACAGTCGATTTGTACCTTATGCACTGGCCAGTCCCCATGAACCCAAATGGCAACGACCCAAAATTCCCCAAACTCCCCGACGGCTCGCGCGACCTCGACAAGTCCTGGTCATACACCCAAACCTGGAAAGAAATGGAAGCTGTGCTCAAGACCGGCAAAACAAAGGCCATCGGTGTCGCCAACTTCTCTGTCCCTTTCCTGGAAGAATTGATGAGGGAAGCCAAAGTCACTCCCGCTGCTAACCAGATTGAAAACCACCCTTATCTTCCTCAACAAGAGATTGTGGATTACTGCAAGGAGAAGGGAATCTTGATTACTGCATACAGTCCTTTGGGTAGTACTGGTTCGCCTCTGTTCCAGGAGAAGGAGATTCAAGAGGTTGCGAAGAAACATGATGTCTCGCCTGGTACTGTTCTCTTGAGTTACCACAGTAAGTCGTCCCTGAGTCTATCCTCTGCCACAGGAGCCCGCGCTGATATATTTCACTCGTACAACAGTCGCTCGCGGTAGTTCTGTCATTCCCAAATCGGTGACACCATCGCGTATCGAGGAGAACATGAGATTGATCAAGCTCGACTCGGATGATGTCAAGGCACTCGACAACATCTCAAAGACACACCCGCCCAACCGCTTTGTGTATCCTGCCTTTGGCGTAAGTATCGTCCTGGCTTATACTCCTGCAGTTGCTGATTCTGTTTTCTTAGGTCAACCTCGGTTTCCCAGACAAGCAATAAACGATGTGAATGCTTTTGCGACGAAACGTAGAATAGGAAGGAAGGCCGTACCAGGGATAGAGAATGTAGCCGAGGGCGCAATCATGATAATACCAAGCCAACTTTTCGTGCTTCGAGTGCATGTCGGCATGTTGTCGTGTAATCTTCATATTCATTTCTTGATGTCCTTCAATGCTTCCTCCAGTACTTCTTTCAGCTGCTCGTTTCTGCGCACGAGCAACAGTACATCCTTGACATCCACTGTCTCTCTACCGGCGTGCCTGGACTTTTATCAGCAAGAAAGGCGAGAAGGAAAGGTAATACTCACTTGGCAAATGCTTCCAAGTCAGCACCGGAAGTAAGTATCTGAGACCACACCAGCTCTGTCAAAGCACCGATGAACTGAGGAGTGGCGTTGAGATCTTGGTCAAGGGATATGGCGTCAATGATTGTGCCGATGCTGTACCAGAGGGCGGATTTGAGACGCTGGTTTTGGAAGAAGGTCAGAAGATCGTAGATAATATTTGTGACAGAGAAGAGAGGAGGAGGAGGAACCAGGATCAGTGATGATGATGACGATTGTGATGGCATTCGATGATTCTCGGTGATGGCATTGGTATACCTAGAAGGCGAAACGCGAAAACCAATAGCGGTGGACGCGGACTGCTGCCGGAACGGAAAGACGAAAGACTCACATCGGCTTTGTCGTTTGCATCTACATCTGCCATTTTCTCTGGCCTGACCTTGCCGGACTATCTTGTTGTGTCGTGTAATTTTCCTAGGTTCAAGAGTTAAGCAATCAAGGTAGATTCCCGACGCGTTGTTCGCTTGCATAGTTGTGCATCTGCATAACGCGGCGCATAAAGCACGTAGCACAACATCGATCTTCCGGCATGAAGAGACAACTGCGATAGCCTACTCCATCTCAAATTGCTGACATTTATCTCTTCAGTCAAGGAGCAGATACCCAGCGCTTGAGACGGCGACTCGCGCGGAACGATGCACATGACTTTGACTGTCTGGTCGTTGCTCGGAATGGGCTTGATCTTGTTCGTTTGCTGACAGATTCGATATGGCATTACCTACTTTCTTGTTTCGATCAGTCTTGATCATAACACAAACGACAGACGTTCTGAACGCTAACACAGCCAATCCACTAGCCTTATTTCAAGTCTTCAAAACTTGAAGAAGGCGTCTCCAGGCGATCACAACGAGGAGAGTTAGGAAGATATGACCAGGGTCATACGTACAACCATGACTTTTGCCCATGTTTCTGTCGTTTCTACCCGTAGCATCACTCAAATTTTCATTTTAACCATCAAGAGACGTCGATAAGATCAGGGAGAATGTAAGAGAAGGCTCATGAACTGTTTGGAATGATCTTGGCAGCAAAAACAAGATTTGTCAAGGCAGACGCCTCAAATTACGAGCATCGAGATTTGATATTCATCTGGATGGTTGATCTCTGTTCGATGAGCCAACAGTTGTGTGAAGAGAATGGAGATATGCAAGAAAAGTGATGTATTTTCAATCTTCTAGAGTCTAACGAAGCAATGATTCTAGTATGTACAATGAATGCTTATGCAAAAAAAGTGACAATAGTGGTATATAGCGAATGTGTGGTTCAAACGATGACGCTTGCAATGCAGAAATAAGCAGAACAAATGCTGAAAGAAGTGATCGAAAGCAGATCAAATCCATGCTAAAGGCTCTCTCCAGGAGAAGCGCTTAGTTGTACTCCCAAGCAGCAGGAGTGTTGGAGTCGGCGATTCTGAAAGCAAATCCAGTGCAAGCAGAAGCATCCTTAGCAATGGCAGCAGCGTAGATAGCGTAGTCACCATCACCAGGGCAGGCAAGCCAGTCGTCACCCTGGAACTGGATGTGCTCACCGTTCTGGGCAACACTGAAGCCCTCAACCATGGAGCCAGCAGCGCCAGTGGAGGCAGAGTGAGGGGCAGTGAAGCGCAAGGTACCGTCAACGGCAACGTAGACCTGCTGGCCACCAGGGACGATGGTGTCGAGGCTGAGCGTGTTGTCACCACCAACGAATTGGGTAGAGGTGGTGTTGGGGCATGCAGAGCCGACGACATCAGGACAGTAGGTCTTGGAGTCCTTCAAGAGCCAGAACTTGCCGCCATTAGCGTTGACAGAAGCGTACTGAATGTTGGAGCCAGAGTGGATGGCAACACCGCCAAAGGCACCCGAAGGAGCAGAGCGCTTGTCGAAGGGGTTCTCGCCCAGGCAGGCAGCGTAGTCGGCGGCACACTGGGCCATGTTGGCAGAGAGGCCGTCAGGGCCACGAGTGGTTCTGCAGGTGTTGTATGCATCCTCACAAGCACCCTTGCAGGCGGCGTTGTCGGCAGAGCATTGGGCCTGGTTGGCGGAGAGGCCAGTGACGGGGTCGCTGGCACGGCAGGCGTTGTCCTTAGCGACACAGCCAGAGGCAGCGGGCGAGGAAGAGGCAACAGGGGCGGCGAAGGCAGAGGAAGCCAGGGCCAAAGAGGAGAGGATCATGGAGGTTCTCATTTTGATGGTGGTTGTGTTTGTTGTTTGGTTGTGTGAAGGGTTGTTGAGAAGAGGATAGTAGTGAAGATGATTGTTGTGAAGATGGTTGTTGTGATGATGGAGTTGGATGGGAGGTCAAGCAGGAGTCTTATATATCCTTTGAGGTATTGCAAGATCTGTGTGACGACACGGCTGTCACCTACCTCTGTGTCTACAATCACATAGAGATCTACATTGTATACGAGGGTGATTCTAAAACCAGCAGATGAAAATAGAAAAGCATGTGGCAAGATAGATGATGTGCAAACCGTCAGTGGGTGTTCGCAGAGCCGACTCGGCACTGACCAGAGGCTAAAATGATGTCGGCCAAGGAGGTAAGGCCGTTTGATGGGGTCCGCCTAAGCTTATTGAGCCTTCGGAGAAATGGTCCTGAAACTGTATACTTCATCCGCTTGTATGCAGCAGTTGAGTATGAATTAGATCTGGAACGATTGTGCGCCAATCCTTCATTGTTCTGCTATACGCTCGTGAGACGCTGGACTACAGCATGTTTGGAAGCACTTGATTCGATTGCAATCGTAGAAAGACGAAAGACATCCGGGTTATCCAGAGTTAGAGTTTTTGCATGTTGCTTGGCAGCTTAGCTAGATGAAACGTGGGGTCCCATTTGCTATTATTAGCATACGGTGACCGCCTCCACATTGCGGGCCGAGCTCGTAACACTTTTCCGACAAGATCTTCTTTTCCACCTACGTGATGTGAGTGTCTAGGACGAAGATCCTCGTAAATGTCCCATCGTTATGTAACGTGGTAGTGGATGTCATTGAGACGCGAGAAGAGTGTATCCTGATATAACAGCAGAAGTGGAGTCCAAGTCGTATCGGATGAGGGCATCTCAGAGAATGTTGTTGAGATTGAGGGTGCAATGTAAGGCGAGACAAAACACATCCTGTCATGACGATCCCCCTTGGTCACACTTTGAGTGATTGCAGTGGGAGAGTCGTGTCAGTGATGGCCCTCTCAGACTATGCAAGGCGGCCCTTGAGAAGCACAGCAGAGTGTGACTGATTGAAACTGAAGACGTGCGTAGCATCTCAGGGGTGCTTTCGGATGACCCTTGTGTGGAGCAGAAATGCAAGTGGCATGGTCACGCTGGACAATACGAGGACCTAGTGATGAAGCTGCCTCCTGAAAGTGGACTATGAGACGGTGCATAATGCTAGTGAATTGCAATCAACGACCATCGCACATGGACATCTGCTGGTTTACGAGACGTCGCAGCGCTAGGTGAGATTGCAAGCAGGTATCGGTCAGTCTCATGGATCACAGCGTGAAGGCGCAGGGAGATCAAGGAGAAGGAAATGGTTTACGAGATGATGACACAGAAACCGTCGATAGGGCAGTCACCATGGGGTGTGCCATGTATGCAACATGCGCAACTGATCGTAGACAAGACGTTGACTACCTAGAGGGATTAGAGAAAGATCGAGTCAATGTCGTGAAGCTCCTTGAGCTCTTGGGGAGTAAGGATTTGACGGCGATAAGATCGGAGTTAGCAGTGCCAAGATGTTCCTGTCAAGAAATTCTAGGAAGGCGCAACCAAAAAAGTTGGCGGCCAAACCAGCAGAGAACAAGCACTTTTGACGCGCAACAAACGGAATGACTGTTTAGGAGAAGGAAAGACAGGAATATACACGCGACCGCAATCATGGCATCTTCATCGAACCATACCGCCCTCGCCGAGCGACCGACGACAGCACCAACAAAAGCTCGCGGACCCACAGCACCCATCGACCCAGACGCCGCCGAGATCAAGAGACGCGCCCTCGTAGCGCAAAAGCAGTATGGCAGAGGCGATAAGATTTCCACCCGCGGAATCCAAGACCGAAAACTGCGCGGCAACTTGAGAGCGCTCGAGAACAAGTACAAGGACGCCGCCGTCAAGGCAAAAGACGCCGAGATCCTGCTCGAGAACACTGCTGGCTTCCTAGAGACTGAGGGCGAGCTTGAGAGGACGTACAAAGTCAGACAGGATGAGATCCAGAGCGAGGTTGGCATTGAGACGGCAAAGAAGGGCTTCGAGTTGAGGCTGGACGGCATGGGCCCCTACAACGTCGACTACACGCGCAACGGTGTGCACATGCTGCTTTCTGGTCGCAAAGGTCATGTCGCCACCATGGACTGGAGAAAGGGAAAGCTGGGCTGTGAGCTGCAACTCGGCGAGACTGTGCGCGATGCAAAGTGGCTACACAACAACCAGTTCTTCGCCGTCGCCCAGAAGAAATACGTCTACGTCTACGACCACCAGGGTGTTGAGATTCAGACGTTACAAGACCACATTGATGTCACACACATGGAGTTCCTGCCCTTCCACTTCCTCCTTACCACCATTGGAAACGCAGGCTGGCTCAAATATCAAGACACCAGCACCGGCAAACTCGTCGCTCAGATCCCCACAAAGCAAGGTGCCCCTACTGCTTTTGGCCAGAACCCTCACAACGCCATCCTACATGTCGGTCACCAGAACGGAACAGTCAGCATGTGGTCTCCCAACGACCAGAAGCCTCTCGTCAAAGTCCTTGCACACAGAGGCCCCGTGAGATCATTAGCCATGGACAGAGAAGGACGCTACATGGTCTCGACCGGCCAAGACTCCAAAATGTCCGTCTGGGATATTCGCATGTTCAAAGAGGTAAACAACTACTTCTTGCGCTCTCCTGGCTCCTCCGTCCACATCTCCGACACAAACCTCACAGCCGTGGGTTGGGGCACTCAAACAACAATCTGGCGCGACCTCTTCAACAAGAATCTCAACGACCAAGTCAAAGTCCAAAGTCCCTACATGGCCTGGGGAGGCGAAGGTAATCGCATCGAACGCGTCCGCTGGTGCCCCTTCGAAGATATCCTCGGCATTTCTCACAACAAAGGCTTTTCCTCTGTCATCGTCCCCGGCGCCGGAGAAGCCAACCCAGACAGTCTCGAAATCTCCCTCTACGAAAACACAAAACAGAGACAAGAACGCGAAGTCAAGTCCTTGCTCAACAAACTGCAACCAGAGATGATCTCCTTGGATCCAGAGTTCATCGGTCAATTGGATCGTGCATCGCATGCTCAGCGTGAACAAGAAAGAGATCTAGACAGAAAACCTGAGGATCCTCTTGCCAAGATTAAAAACAGGGGTAGAGGCAAGAACAGCAGTTTGAGAAAGTATTTGCGTAAGCAGGGTTCGAAGAACATTATTGATGAGCGTAAAGTCAGGATTCAGGAGTTGAGGAAGGAACAGGCAAAGAGGAATAACAAGGCTAGACAGGGTGAGGTCGAGTTGGGTCCTGCGCTTGCGAGATTTGCTAGAAAGGCTTGAGCGAGGGAGAGAGGGGAGACAGAAGAGCATTGTTCGGTTTTGCATATGCTTCGGCGATCTATGGCGTTCTTTCAAGATGGAGTTGGGAAAAGTGTGAGATATGAAATGGCGTTCAGGGAAGAGCAGCTCGCAGTGTAGCTGCAACAAAGGCATCAACAGGCTAGGATCTTCGATGATCAACATAACAAATTACTGGTTACAACTTTGCTCCCAAATCTTCCTCACCTTCCCCATCTGCTTGCCTTTCAGCAGTAGGCCACTCCTCAAAGTCTTTAGACGGATTGGCGTCGTCGATATCAGGCAAGTCTATAATGAGTAGGCTATATCTAGTGCGGACCGCAGGATGTAACGATAGGAATGCAATCATGATGTTCGCGTTCGCTGACCGCTGTCTTCATTCTTCGGTGACCATATTGCATTGTAGTTGTGAACTTCGGCCGGTCAAGGTCTGATTGGTCGCCTCACGAGACATGCTACACCATTCCTTAGGTTACGAGCTACATAGCAACGCAAAATCAAAGATTGAGCGATAAGAATCGACGTACTTGGTGTGACATGTGTATCATTTCTGATGATTGATCAAGAACAATCATAAGAGTAGGGAGGCTAAAATACAGGAAAAGATGGATATGCCCAATCCAGGTAGTACAGAAAGAACGACATAGATGCAATGCTCAGATGCTGAGGGAAAGAAAAAGATTACTTTCTTCTGTTCTGCTGCATGGCCAGGATCTGGACCATGCGAACGAAGATGTTGATGAAGTCGAGCTCAAGGCTGATGGACTCGTTGACGGGGTCACGCTTGATCAGACCGCGCTCGCTGAGACGGGCGTGGTGCAGGACCTTCTGGACGTCGTAAAGGGTGAAGCCACCGAAGACGACAAGACCACCGTAGAGCCAGATGTTCTCAGAGAACATGAGAGCACGGGTGGCGGTGGCGGGAAGGACCAGAGGAGCAAGACCGGAGAGAGCGACAACAGCGACACCAGCAAGGAGAGGGCCACCGATGTAAAGGTACTTGTCGGTCTTGGCAGTGGCACCAACAAAGGCAATGCTGCCCATCAGACCAACAGTGTAGAGACCGGCACGGGCGAGGATGGCGGGGTTGTAGAACATGAGGGGAGACAGGAGAGCGGCTTGGGTCAGGTTGAAAGCGGTCCAGAGGGCGTACTTGGCGACGTAGCTGCAGGTGGAGGTCAGCACAGAGTTTGAGAGATGGTAGACGCAAGACAACTCACTTCTCAGGAGGGCACATGCGAGTACCCATCATGGTACCGATAGAGCCAACAAGACCGATACCAAGAATCAACCAGGGGTTGGCAGCCATGAGACGGTAGCTCCATCCGTTCGAGTGAAGAGCGCGAGCAGCGATACCGATGATGCCGATGCCGAGACCAGTGTGCAGGAAAGTGTCGTTCAAGTAGGAGCGTTCAAATGGGGGCATGCCGCCATCTTCTCTGGTTTCGCGGTTGAAGACGAGGCTGGGGACAAGTCAGCATGGGTGTTGAGCAGAGGGTGGATGATGGCCACTCACTTGATGGCAACGAGGGTACCGCCGAAGATGGCACCGCCATAGAGAAGACGCTGGGTGAGGTTTCCAGAGGCAGCAGGGTTGGGGAATGCGCCAGCGGGTTGTTGGTAGCCACGGCGGAACGAGTTTTGGAAGGCGGCGCGGAAGGTGTTTCGTGATGAGGCAAACTTGGTGGTGAAGCTGGACGTCTTGGGAGCCTTCTTGATGGGTCCTTGGTGGAATGCGCGGAAAGCCGAGGATGCGATGGGTGTTGTCTGCTTGAGCGCAGCTGTGACCGCGAACGGTCTGCGCATCAGGAACGCCATTGTGTGATGTTGGTTGTTGTAGGTTGTCTGAGTGCAGAGACAGAAACTCGACTATGAGACGACGCAACTTCAGTCTCTCGCTCTCCCCACGCGCGCCCTCCTCGGCATGACGAAATGCCGACCGCATCGATCCAAAGCAGCAATCGCCCGCTCACCAATCACAGCCAGCACGACCCCGAATCTTCCAGACCCCTCCATGATCCCATCTTGCTTCTGCCTGTTGTGCCCCGTCTTGTTTCTTGCACGATCCCGTCTCGCTTTATCTTGTGCTGCTTGCTTTAGGTACAAGTGACCAGTGCCACGTTCCTTGCAGACTCCTCTATCAACATCCACCACCTTACGACTGGCTGGAAATCTTGCGATAAGTATTCTATCCCGCTGCTGAAACACCTTCCGAGGTGTTCCAAACTTGGGTAATCGCGATAACGGTAGGTTCGCTCCGTCCCAAATCAGTTGCATCACTATTATTTGTCCAAGTCTTCAACCACGCCCATCTTTCCCTGTTCCTGTCCCTCTTCCTGTTCTTCCGTTTCTTCCTCCTCTTCCCACCCCTGCTCTGCACTCTATTGCATCCTGGTCAGTTCTCGTACCTGCACCTACGCCACATTCTTTAGTCTTTAGGTCATCATGTGTGGCATATCTTGCATCCTTGCCCTACAGCATTCCCATCACAAGCTTCCAGATGTAGCCAAGCTCAACAAGCCTATTCCTGGTGTTCAAACAAACGGTGACACAGATCACACAAAGCTTGCCGTCGAGCTTGATGCTTCTCTTGACCAGATCAAACACCGCGGACCCGACTCTCGCGGCCAGTGGATCAGCAATGACAAGCGCGTTGGTCCTCTGATCTCATTTACCCTGTCTTCACTTTCTTCCCAACTCCCACTAACACCATAATTCCGCAGCTTTTGGTCATGTTCGTCTAGCCATCAATGACCTGTCACCCGATGGTATCCAACCTTTCCATGACAATGATCGCACCGTCCATGCCGTCGTCAATGGCGAATTCTATGACTACGATAACATCCGCAAAGACCTCGAAGCCAAGACAGACTACAAGTTCCGTGGTCGTTCAGACTCGGAACTCGCCATTGCTCTGTACAAGTACTACGGTCTCAACTTCCTTCATCACCTGAGAGGCGAGTTTGCCTGTGTCATCTTTGATGAGTCGCAGCAGCTCTTGATTGCAGCCAGAGACAGATACGGCATCAAGCCGCTGTTCTGGACTGTCCAAGACGGACGTTTGCTGATTGCGGCCGAGATCAAGGCTTTCTTGCCTTTGGGCTGGAAACCCGAGTGGGACGTCAAAAGTCTACTCGATGCTGGCTGGAATCACGATGAAAGAACTCTATTCAAAGGCATTGCCAAGGTATGATGGGTGGAGTCAAGACAAAAGGGTGTCCTCTAATACAAGTCTAGGTCCGTCCTGGCCACTACCTCACCTGCCAATCTTTCGACCACATCGAACAGCGCCCTTACTGGGACATCAGCTACCCCGACAAACATGCAGTCGATCCACGTACCCCCGAAGAGATGATCGAGGGAGTCCGTCAACGCATGCTCGACGCCATCAAACTACGTCTCCGAGCCGATGTTCCCGTTGGAGTCTACCTCAGTGGTGGTATCGACTCGTCAGTAATTGCTGGAATGGTCACACATCTCGTCAAGGAGCAGGGAATAGCCATGGGCAGCGCAAATCCCACAGACCGCGTTTCGTGTTTCAGTATTGCATTCGACGAAGAGTCTGGCTTTGACGAATCCGCCATTGCCAATCGCACCGCTGAATGGCTCGGAGTGCGATACATTAAGAAGCACATGAATGAGGAAGAGCTGGCCAAGCGTTTTGAGGATGCTACTTGGCACTGCGAACACCACAACCCCGACTTCAACTTTGTCGGCAAGTATGCACTTTCAGAAGTTCCTCAAGAAGTCGGATTCAAGGTTGTTCTGACTGGTGAGGGCGCCGACGAGAATTTCGCCGGCTACCCTCTGTATCTGCCAGACTATCTCCGCGAGTCTGACCTCAGTTGGACAAAGCACAACACACTGCCTGAAAGTGAGAGGGAGCACCAACTCGATCTCGCAGAAACGGCCGCCATCGACTACTACACTTCTGTTGGTGCTGATGTGTCAAATCGAGGTCCATCTGTTGCACGCCGCATGCTCAATGACATTACTACTGTCAGTAGTATGGCGGCTTTCCAGCTCGACATCTTTGCTCCTTGGACGAGTTGCTACGGTAAATGTGATCCCCAGGTCACAATTGCCAACAATGCCGATGGACGTGTTCGTAATCTGATCACTGACTCTTGGCATCCTCTCCATTCGGCGCAATATGTTTGGTCCAAAGGACATTTGGCCAACATTTTCTTGACATGTCTTGGTGATCGTACAGAGATGGCACACAGCATTGAAGCACGCACACCCTTCCTTGATCATCCGCTGACCGAGTATGTCAACAATCTCCCGCCATCAGCCAAGCTCAGGTGGGAGCCCGAAGCAAAGAGGTTCACCGAAAAGTGGGTACTGCGAGAAGCATCAAAGCCTTTTATCACAAAGGAGTTGTATGAACGCAAGAAGCACCCCTACTCTGCGCCAACAACTTGGCCCAAGGGTGGACCTCTGAACAAGCTCCTAGATAAACTGATCACTGAAGACAGCATCAAACAGTTGGGCTTCGTTGACTGGGAGAGATGCAAGGGGCTGACGGCTAGGGCGTTTGGTGAGAATGGTGACCCTATGGCAATGAGATATGCCATCGTCGTGGCTGAGTGGGTCATTCTGGGGCAGCGATTCGGTGTCGCAAAGGCCGAGAAGCCTGAGGGATATTGATAGCATGCGACGCCATGTAATGCAATGAGCTCGGTGGCTTCAATGTCCCACTCTCTGACTGCCTCACAGTAATGGATGCATCAACTTAATTTGCAAATCGATCTTTAACAATGACGTCTGATACGCATTGCATGCATGTCATCTCCACCGATATCTCCAGAGCGAATGAAGTCGTTTCTTCCAGAAGCAAGAAGGAAGGCTAAAAGTGAGATTGGTGTTTCATATGCATGCAGAGTGATGATTTATGTGGCAGGGCTGAGATTGAGATACGATCATGTCCGCACGACCAGTGATGCATATTGTCAATGTAGTTCCGATAAAGGAGCTGCGAAGACGAATGCGAATCCAAGAGATGGTACTCGAGTAGTGTTGATATACAGCATGCTCGACCGGGAATAAACCGATGCTGTGTGGGAATAGAAGATCAAGAGCGGTAAGAGAGGTTCGTCTCGGCAGACGGAGCGTGCCGGCCGAAGGCGAAGCGGGCCAAAGTATGACATGGGGTCGATCGTGTTTCTCCTTAAACGCGTGCAGTGCATGTGTTTCTGATGGTCTGATATATTTCATGCTTGCTACTGTCATTTTGTGTGCAGCTTAGCGTACATCTTGTGGATGTTTACAAGGATTGTCTGTACCCAGGAGGACAACTGTTGCTGCCGTCAGATTAGCCAAGCAACTTGTGTCGCATTGCATCGCTTCGCACCACTGAAGCCTGCCAGCCACAAGACCATGATAAGCTGAAACACTTGTACATGACCGATATGTTCAGACCATGGCCTACGACGATGCCTACACTTACGATGCTCATGATATACGACCCGACGACAGCATCAGCCGCCGAGGAGACCAGGCCAGCGTTGGCAGCTCCGGTATGAAGTCGACCACGTCCTCTCTCGACGGAGGTCCAGCAGACTCGCACGTTTCTCAGTCGACATACAAGAATGACAGACCCATCACTCCTCCATCGCGATCCATTTCAGAACGCTCAGCCCAACCGCAAACCCCCGCGACCATCTCTGGCAACAAGGAAAGAGTGAGGTACAGTTGGCAGTCGATCCACGAGGACGAGCCCAACAGGCCAAGAATACATATCGTCAAGATTGTTTCAAATACTGCAACAGCTTCGGCAGCTTCTCCCCAGGGTGAAGCCTTGGCCTTTTCCTTGTCGCCCGCTGGAAAGAGGATCGCTGCATACAATTCGGCCAGGTTGTTTGTCTTTCAGACTGCTGCTTTGCCTGTCAATGTGTCGCACGAATATGCTCTGCGAAGGCGACCACTGGCTGTCGAGATTTGCGACGAAGCCAATGTGCTCGCTGTTCTTGTTGACGAACATACAGTCAATGTTTATGACTTGTCGCGCAATAGTGCTCGTCGCATGAGGACCGTACGCACTGACTTGCCTACATCAACAATCGCCTTGTCTTCTACTGGTGGTCTTCTCGCTGCCGCTTATGAGGGCGGAGTCGAGGTCTTCTCTCTGGCTCCGAGTGCTCTCATCACTGATCGACGTGCTGTGAGAGCACCAAAGATGGACAAGTTGGTATTCTCTCAGGACGACTCAACTCTGCTTGGAACAACTACTCGCATTTTTGCTTCGTCCACACTTGTAGTTTCTGTACCAATCTTTCCCTCAGACTCTGCTTCCCAACCTTCGCATCAAGAGCTTCAGGAAGCATGGTGTACTGGAATGCTGGAGCCGCAGAACATCAAGAATAGCAGCCATGCGACTTTCATGCGTGAGGAAGGAGTCATGACCAACGACAAGCTTTTCGCCTGGAACGGTCTTGAAGACACATTCGGTGTCCTGCATACTCATGATATGGTCTACAATCAGGTCGACTTTCCAGTAGCCATTTCGCCTCCGTTGTCTACGTGCGGAGGCCTTGGAGCCGCCATCCACCACTGTCCATCCATTGATGAACACGGCAAGATTGTGGCCATGATCGTGAATGATCGCACAATCAGATTGTACATTGTCCCTCAAGATGCTGAAGATAGTACCACAAAAGTAGAGGCTCACAGCATCGACCACGAGTTGGACGAAGAGTATGGGTGTCCATTCACAGATCTTCGCTGGGTTCATTCACGTCTCAACCTACCTGCTTCTGCACACTCACCTCATCAAATAAGAGGCAGGTTGGTCGTCACAAGTCCTGGATCTTCAGTAGATGCAGAAAAAACAGAGCTGAGTGTGCAAGATATCGAGGGTGGTCGAATCATCCTTTTCGACTTTGATCCACAGTTTGCTGGTCAACCGGGTCAAACCTTTGTCTTCAATGTCGGCAAAGCTCCGCCAGTAACACTAGAGGAAGAAAAGATGGAAGTTGCAGATGAGATCGCATTGGTCAGACGGCGGACAGTCACCTCGACCCGAAGCAACACGCTGGGAAAGAAAACACCATCTCTTGGAAGAGCCGCTACAACTATTTCAAGACGCCAAGATAACTCTGCGTATCGAGATGGAAGCCCAGTGGGGTCCGCACAGCAACTGTCTTTGAGTAACCCGCCGTGGAGGAGCCGTCGAGTCAGCTCTTCTCTGGTCTCTTTGTCTGCTGATGCAACGCGGTCATTACCTGACTTGCTCGAAGCAAGCGAATTGGCTGCTGAGTCGCTTGAGCAGCCATATTCACAGGGAGCACCTCGCTCGTACGTATCAATGGAGCGGGCGACCACTGCTGCGAACGCGCATCGCTTTCAAGCACTTGAAGAACAAGAAGCAGAATCAGACCATCCGGGAGATATTACATTACCTGCCTACACTGAACATCCAAACCAACCACTACCCCGAAAGTATCGCGCTCTTGCTGGTCTGGATATACCTCAACAGGGGAGCTTTGCTCGGCAAAACAACAATCCCTCATCTGCCATCCACACAGCGCCTCCCACAGTGCCGGAACATCGTTTTCCTGCTCCTACCTTGACAACGTCTTCCGCATATGCTGTGCCTCAATTTGCGACCTACAATCAACCTCCTAGTCCCATGAGACCTGTACTTAACTCAGCCCACAGTGACCACTCTGACTTTAGTGCAGTGACCTCGAGATCCGGGACACATGCAACTTTGCGCACTCAACAGTCCTGGGAAACAATCAGTACATCTGCACAAACCACACCACATGGTCCTGCGACATTGCGATCTCAGCCAAGTTGGGAGAGTGGCAGAACGATGAGTTACTTTCCATCAAATGCATCTCAAGGCACGAGTAGGACCGTGCCGACGAGTCCAGAGCACATGCGATCACCCCAGATGATGCAGGGCTTGGGTCTTCAAGATTTCCGGCACTCGATGCTACTGCCTCAACACCGCCATGAGCAGGAACGGCCACGTACGACAGCATCGGACTCGCAAGTCAGAGAAGAAAACACAAATTTCATTCAACACCGACCACCACATGTGAATGCCATGCAAGCAGTCAATTTCGCTGCTGCCAATACACGTACGCCTGCAAACGCTTCTGCACCACGAACGTCTGCTGGAGCAGTCTCAGCCATCAGTACAACATCCAGCAATGACACTATACCGCACCGTCCTGCTACATCAGCAGCCGCAGTCGGCTATCAAGTCACCGCCTGGTCACCTCCCGCGCCCGCCTCTCCACAGGAAGACTGTCGCCCGACCATCGCATCTCGCTCCAAGAGTGCTGGGTTCCCATCCTCGCGCATGGGTGCTAGAGCAGCTTCTTCTTCTATCGCTTTGAACAGAGTTGGCCTCGACAGAGATGAAGATGCGCAAATCAAAAGGAGTAAAAGTGTGGGTACGGGACGTAAAGCGTGGTTTGCGAGGAAAAAACAGTTGGAAGACAGGATTGGAGGAGAGATATTGCCGACGTTTGGGAGGGGCGTTAGAGAGGACTTGTTGCATCATGAGGCGCAGGGCAAGAAGTGTGTTATTATGTGATGGGGGTTTGGGCATTGGCTAAGGGCAGTAAGGATTTTTAGGGATATAGGCGTTTCATCTAGCTGGACATACGTATCTTACTTGACATATTCCAAGTTCTGGAAGGCTTGCTTAATCACACTCTTGTATTGACCAAGGAGGCAGAGAAAGCATGCGGAAAACCGAAACAAATGATAGCTGCTTGGTAATGAAACGCAGATTGACACTACGCCTCGTTCTTTCACATCATCGAGCTCCAGATTCCTGACATCAGCAGCTCAGCAAGGCCGCAGAAAGTGTCCAGGCTAGGCAGTAGGAGAAACAACGATATCATCCTCAATAATAGCACTGCCATCCGCCAACGCAGCCAACTGCTCATCCGTACAAGCTTCCGCTGCCGCCCAGATGTTGCAAACAGGAGTCGGTACATCGGGCAAAACTTCAAAATGACTCCAAGCACTGATTGGACCACTGGTTGAATAGTTGCCATCCGTAGCCAAAAGACGAGTCCCAGTAGCAACATCAGTGTCCCATACACTGCTACGTTCAAAAATCTCCAGCACAGTTTGTGGTTGGAAGTATCCTGCTGCATGACCTGCTTGGAAAACTCTTGTAAAGCTGAGGTTTTGGAATTGTCTGGTCAGACCACCGATGTATGTTGAGTTGATCTTGGTGTTTTCGTATCCAGCAGTGGAGAAGTGTTGTTTTCCGGGCCAAGAAGCGGTATTGGTAACTGCTTCGCCATTTAACCAGTTACATCTTGTATCCCTGTCGCCAAAGACGAATGCAGCTTTGACTCCTGCAGTCAAGGCTTGATCTAATGCTCGCATACCATCGAAACGTGCAGCATCGCCTGTGATGGCGACGAAGTTGCTCTGTACGCTTGCTGCGTTCTGACTGAACATAACTGGCACACCGAGTTCTTCACGAACATCTTGTCGGTTGAGATATCCGATAGCATAGTAGGGTGGATATGGAGCAAGTGCAGGCTGTGCCATGTCAAACACACTTCGTCCCGAGAGTGCAGAGTAAGCTCCACTACCTCCGTAAGCAAAGCAATATGTCAGAGCTGTAGCACAAAGTTCATTGACAGTATCGTTGTTTCCGTTGCCGTTTGGATCAGACAATGCGGCGAGAGCTTGACATTGATCGATCTGATCGTAACAACCACCACTTTGGGTAAGGTTGTTCTGGACCTCGGCGTTGATGTCGGCGGATAAGAAGTGGGTGCCGTAGGTATTGTTGTAGATGATATCGCCAATGGATTCTGCAGTAATATGTGCATCTACGCATCCATTTGTCATTCCCAGAGTATTCACGTTGATGATCCTGCCTGGGATTGTGTTATTCCGAATTCGTGCGTTTTGATCCAAGATATAGCTTGTCAAGCCAGTGGTCCAGAAGCCTCCATACTGCGCACGCAAGTCAGTTACGTATGAAGAGAAATAGCGGCACTACTTACAGAATTGCCCCAGATGTTGACTCGCTGGTCTCGAGTCTTGTATTCTGGAAAGCTGAAAGCCAGAGTCAGCATTTCCTTTGGATAACGAGCAAGTGTAGATTTAATTACTTCTCAAGCCATCCTTGAAGAAAATGCCATAATGGCTTCATCGCATTTTCTGTAGTATTGGCAGTACGATTAGGGTCCTGATCAGCCCAAAGACCATACTTGAAGGTTGCGTTCTCCGCCGGAACTTCGCCATCATAAGCGTCAACAGGAGTTATCGAACTTGCATAAGGATTCAAGTTGTTGAAGTTGAAAGTGCTGTTCATGTATGTAGAGTAAGAAAACCCAGCTTGAACTGGCTGGTCAATGTACAACACATTTGAATGTTGGTTCAGGGAGTGTGGGTTCAGAATCGTGGCATTGGAAAATTCGTTCACGTAGCAAGGACCGTTTTCGGTCACAGCTGAGAATGAAGATGCCTCGCCTGGACCACCGGCGAGCCAGATGGTGAGAGGCGCAGCTCTAGGGTCATTGCGAGACTGTTCAAGTATCAGGGATGTATTGTTAGTCACCAGGTCATCATTACTGACCTCAAAGTACCAGAAGAAAGTTGAGATATTATATGGATCAGATGGATCTTGCGTATCTGTCAAAAGGGATGAGGGAAGGTGTACATAGCCCGAGAAAGAGTTGACTCCAGGAGTGGTTTCGCAAATACAGCTCTGAACAGCGTCAGCAGCGCATGCAAATTCCACATAAATTAGAGGAGCGCACCTTCTTGTATGTGACATTCAGACCACAGTAAGGAGAAGTTGGCTTATGATGGTGCTGATTACCGTTTGCAACACACGTCCCAGCGAGTAAGACAGCAAGATTGAAGAAGGTGAGACTCATCATGTTCGACAACAAAAACACAGTTTCGCGATGGACAGAATTCGCTACTAATGGCGAGCAGAGCAGACTATAAGTTCCGCAATCCTATTGACGACCTTACCATAATACACATGATCAACCTCGTATGGAGACGTAATTGTGGTCAGCAAATTACGTCTCCTTGCGTGGCTCAAAGTAACTCTCCCAGGCAGCGATATTGAGTGTCAATAGGTTACCTATATACAACGCAGGGCGGCGTCGGTAGGTTAGGTTGACGACGCACTGCTGTACGTCAGTTTCAGCCACTTTGAGCGAAGGATCCAAGTATCAGGGATGTTGTTGCACAGCCGCCCTCGTTTAGTTGTGAGAGACATGACCACATTTCTGCGATCCAGATGAATCAGGTCGCTGAAAAGTGCTGCATCCAGCTGAAGCCGCACTGATCTGATGGAACTGCCAGAGGAGGTTTGGTTATAGTTCGATCTTGGAAGTTATGCCGAAGTTCAAGCGTACCAATTCTACTCCTGCCGAATTGAGACACCGCTGCATGAACAAGCAAGGATTGCCTGTCTTGTCCTCAAAAATACCACTTCGACATTTCTTATTCAGAAATTGGATCCCTGGCTGTCCTCTTGCCTCAATCTCATTTGCGTCCCTTTGTACAAGCCAATCAACAAAGATGACAACCACACTAAAAGAAACCCGCATATCCCTCCGTCCACGCCGCGAATCCGACGCCGAAGCTTTGTATGCAACAATGTCACACCCCGATTCGATGCATTGGTGGTCCCGCGGTCCCTTTACCTCAATCTCAGAATTATGCAACTACTTCTCTCCAGACGAATCTTCAAACTGGAAAACCTGGGCAATAGTCAAAGCAAGCGACACATCAGACACCGCCATTGGATTTGTAGCTGCAGGCGCAAAACGGAAAGGTGTGACCGAGATTGGGTATCTCGTTGCTCGTGAAGCATTGGGGAATGGGTATGGACGTGAAGCTGTGTCTCTGTTGATTAAGAAGTTGTTTGCAGAAGGAGAGAGAAGAATCGTTGCTGATGTTGATCCGGAGAACAAGGCGTCTATTGCTTTGCTCACAGCATTGGGGTTCGAGCTAGAGGGACATCTGAGAGCTGAGTGGGAGACGCATATTGGGATTCGGGACTCTCTGATTTATGGGTTGTTGATTGAGGAATGGCAAGCTTCGGCTGCTCGGTAAGACTTGGAGTTGACAAGGGGATTCGACGTCTGGAATTCTCAAAGCCACGACCGTGTTCGTGATGTTCAATGGGCTCATGAGTCCCTCTTGTTGATGTGCGTTGGTCCGAGAGCAGAGAAAAAACATGTCATGCATGATCTCGCATTAGAGTTTGCTCAAAGGTGGAAGGACAGTGGAGCAAGAGAGAGACAACTAACAGACATCTCATGAGCACGAGCGAGGCAAAATTGATAAGCGAACATCCAATTCAGCCGCGAGAGAGAACGAGAAGTCGCTGCATACCTAGCCAGATTAGGCTAGATTAGCATACAATAGGAACAGCGCCTTCCATCTTGGTCCAGCCCCTCGTGGAAACTCCAGAGGTCGATGCACAGGTTTCAAGATCGTCGTTTTCCATTGACGTGCCTCTGTCCTGCTAGGTTCTCGAAAACACAATTATCCGCCCCCGAGATGCCACTCAAGTTGTGAACTCACTTCCAATGCATTCTGATCAAGTCCGCTGCTTTCTCAGCCATCGCATAAATCGTACTCGTTGGGTGTCCATTGACCTCAAATGGAATCGCACTCGCATCAACAACACGCAGGTTACTTGTCCCATAAACTCTCATCTGAGAATCGGTCACACCACCCAGCTCTCTGCTCATCATAGCTGCTGTGCCGACTCCATGCCATATAGGCGCTCCTGAAGAGTTCAAGAAGGCACGATATTGGTCATCTGTAGCATTGAGTGGTAAGACCGAATAACCAGGAGAAATCTCACCGAGGCTGTGGAGATTGGACAACGGAGGACTAGAGTACAGTCGCCTGCAAAACTCGACGAGTGCGACTTGGATGCGAAAGTCGAAATCGAATTGGAAATAGTTTGGATTGATTAGAGGTCGCGAAGGGTGTTGAGGCGAAAGCTATAGTGGGTTCAGTAAGGTGACATATGTGTTGCTGTTGGTTGGAATCGTACATGTACTGAGCCAATGGAAAAAGGCAATGTTTGCCAAAAACTGACGAAGCTGGGATTGAGAATCAACTCCGCAATGGGCACGTTCTTGTCGAATATCAAGTCCACTCGAGCACTCAAGCGTTGCATCTCTGTGCAGGTGGTTGTTGCGCCGTTGCTTTCTGCTGCTATCTTCGCGGCATATTCGGGAATACTGCGACGTAATTCGGCTTCAATGCTCATCGTGTTATTGCCAAAGAGGTCTTGTGCATTTATAAAAGCATAGGTGGGTATGTTGGTCAAGTCGTCTGTGGAATTGTCGTTGCCTGTTGAGTTGAAGACAAGAAAGGACCCGATTTGATCTTGCAAGTGGTATCCTACACCTGGGAGATTCACCTTGACTGGAAGGGAGGCATTGGTTAAAATTCTTTGACCAGACGTCAGCAAGTCAGCACTTGATTGGATTGAGCTTCTGCTGACCTAGAGTTACCTATGCCCGAGGCTTCTAGCAGAGTTGGGGTCCGCCAGGTGCCGAGCGAGAGGACAATCTCACGATCTGCGAGTATTGTCTGGTTTTCGCCAGAGGCAGTGATGGTGTCAACTCCCGTCGCTACCACGTCTCCAGATTTCATGCGATGCTCCAATCTGACTTTCGTTGCGGTAGTATGTGTGAAGATTTTGAGATTAGTCCTGTTTGCAATTGGCGCCAAATAAGCTCTATTAGCATCCTCGCGAATACCTCCCTCTCGAAGATTGTACTCCGAAGGCTTCAAGAACAGACCGCGTGGTAATCCAGAGTTCGCATCGCGATTCCACTCTAGGCCAAGCGATTGCCATGTCTGGTTGAGAGCTCTGCCAAAACTGCCAACATCCATACGTGGAGGCCAAGCTATGTCGAGAGGGCCGTCGAAGCCGTGGAACTTGGTAATATAGGTTGCACCTTGATCCTGTTGAATTGCAGGTGGAATTTGTAAATTCTCGCTCTTGCGGAAGTAATGGAGGAGCGACTCCCACGACCAACTCGGGTTACCTACAGCTTGCCATGACGAAAGTTCTGCCATCGCAGGGCGTAGGTAAGTCCATCCTGATGAGAATAAGTCATGTTCGAATATGTTTCAAAAGACTATTACCGTTGAGATCACTTGTCCCGCCGAGACATCTGCCAGCGTGATAAGGCTTCACACTGTCATTGAGATACCTTTGAGGAATTGTAGTGTAATTCCAGTCCAGTGGAGTATCGCAAGCCGGACAATTCCCGTAAATGGTCCTGGCCAAAGGGTTGTCGAGAGCCGATCCACCGGCCTCGATCAAAGCGACCGAAACAGAACTGTTCTCAGACAGGCGATTGGCAAGTACAGTGCCTGCGGTACCACCACCGACAATCACATAGTCAAATATCGGCTCATCGACGATTGATGCTGCGAATTTCAAGTTTCCTAATACGAGGAGAATGAGCCAGGTGTGCATTATCATCGTGGTGTGCTGCAAGATTCGAGATGAACAAGAAGAAATAGCATTTGAGGTCGAAGGCTCCAGAGTCAGACCGTCGAAGTGAACTTATATAGATCTCGAAGAGGGGCTTGCAGCCTCCTGTATCCAGCCAAGTCACCAAGACGACTGATCATCAGCATATTTTCTGCTGACTGCATATCCGTGGAAGCCGCAATTGGTCAAATACAAGAGGCTGGATGCATCGTCTTACAGGACACTTATATTGAAACACACCGGAAGCTCCCTGACCCTATGATATTGAGCCTGTGGGAGTCCATCTGTGTGACACGTCAAGTTCGAATGGAGAAGGTGATCAAAGTACGAAGGATTGTTTGCTGACGCCGAGATTTCTCGGCGGTTAAGCTCCGCCTAAACCTCGGCTCTAGCATCTCTTAGCATGGGCTCGTCATCCAGACATCAAAGACAACGCTGTCCAAAAGAGCTCACAATAAGACTCGAGAAAGACTGCAAAATCGGATTCCAGCAGTGTGATTCGAGAGCACCAACTCAAACCAATGCGACTATCCAAGTACTGACGAACGAGGCGACACTTATCGAATCAGTCTTGACCGTGGCAGCTGATCCTTCCTTGCCATCCCCCTCGTCCGTTCTGCTGCCGTTGATCGCTGTGCCCAGACTGAAATCATCCGAATCCACAATCTTCATGCATGCCAAATTGACCTCCACATCCTTGTCCGTGTTATTGCCAACAGGGGCAAGTACGTTAATGAGAGGCGTATAACCCAACCAGGGTACCGTCTGGTTGAGTTGAGCGACATGATCGTACTCGAATACCTTGATCAGGTTCTTCGTCTTGGGCAGCGTGGGCCAGCAATTGGAAGTGCTGTTGTCGCTTGAGGTAATGACTTGCTTGGCATCAGGCCCTGTAAATGCAACTGCTTCGAGGCGAGGCTGTTGACTGAGAATGTAGCAGCTCGAAGGCGGGTTGTCCTGGAGACCGACTGCGATGGTCTCGAGAAAGCAGACACATCTGAATCCGCACTGGAACGCGCCAGTTCAACAACTTTGGCATACAAATCTTCGACGCAGTTCTCACCCATTGACCCAACACAGGATGCAGTACTAGTATATTGTGCCTTGGCCATCAACCTGATATACTCCGGTTTCCGGAGAGACGACGAAGATCGCACACCCTTTGAAGAATAGATTTGAGGAAGTCAGATCAATTGAATTCGGGGTTCCCAGGTAGAAAGACCGTGTCACTGTTCTCTCGTCGCCCGCGATGGTGCTCTACAACCCAGAATCTCCAAATGTCCAGGTGAGATCGTTGACGAGATCCGACTGGGTGTTCATCAAGCCAATGAGTCTCATATCCGTGTCCACAACTTGGCAAGTTGGTGATAGCACATCTGCATATCGATCGGGGCAATAAACAGCGGCACAACCTTGCAATATTTCTGCTTGGATATGTTGAAAGCGGCTGAGTAGAGCGGAAGAGCAAAAAGCGGTAAGAAACGTCGTTGAGTAAGTCATATTGAAACAGTGTGACTAGTACACAACCAGTACGACTGGGACCGCAGCAGCAGTTGTATCTTTTCCGGCAATAAACCTTAGGTTTCTACTTCCGAGAAATTCTGACGTCGTGGTAAATCTTGGACTGCTAACGGAAACCGTAGTCCAGATGCCATAGTCCAAGAAACTTCTGCAGTGCACGACTCCCACCAAGATACAGAACCACACAAGCTATACTCGAATGTTGAGGGAGCAACCCTGCTTGATCACCAGAATCTGGCAGATGCGGGACTCAAAGGCAATCGCAAGGGGTATTGTCCATCAGCGTCAAGGATTATCTACACAGGAAACCGAGTCTTTGTCCAACATACACGCAATTAGCTTGTGCTGTGCCTCTTGGCCACTTCAGGAGCTTCGAATGTCACGCGCAGATCAGATACTCATATAGTAACATCAAGCACATTGTTTGATCGTCGCAAACTGGGCCAATCCTCATGGCTAGCAGTTTGCATCACTTTTTTGAATTGAATATCAATATGCTGGGGATATGGGGGAGTTGCTTCTCGGTGAGTTCGCAGGAATCGCGTCCTTGGTGAGAAGTGCGAAGTAATCAAAAACGAACTCTTTCGTATATCACATTGAGCATTGCTTTGGGCAAAGTCAATTGCGATCTCGCTTTCTGCAATCGGTCGTTACGATAGGCAAATGTGAAGGATTGAACTTGAGATCAACCCCGCTTCCAGATCATCGCAAGACGTCATCTACAAATCCCCTTGCAGAACACCAACCGATAGTGCTATGCAAGGGGAGATCGATGCGGCCTGCGTCATGCAGCATGGGCTAACGCTATACCCCAGGACTCCATACATTTCCAATCGCTTATCGCCAACTCCGCACTAGTAATTGAGAAAGCAAAGGGGAGGCAGCATTGTCCTAAAACAGTCTGTATGCTCTTGCACCAAAGTTTATAGGCGTTGCAGCAGATCGGAGGTCTGGAAGGTGTCGAGATAAGAGTCCCGCATGTACCGCGCTATCCGAAGGAAGCCTCACCCTTCCGTACGGGAGGTGCATACGAAGCGCATCAATTCAGCTTGCTTCTTCTGTGGTCTGCTGCAGACAGACAGACATAAAATCTCTCTGCCGCCAGTTTCTGGTTTGCGACTTGGCTTCACCGAACACCACAAATATGCTGCCGCAATTCTCAAACGTCTTCCTCGTCTGGCTTTCCATCTTTGACAGAGCTATCGCCGCACCGAAACTGGCTGCAGATCGATACTCCATCAAAGAGCGTCACAATGTACCTCTCGGTTGGAGAAAGATAGGTGCTGTACCAGATTCCCATTCAATCAACCTTCATATTGGTCTCGCACAAAACAACCAAGCCGACATCGAAAGACATGCTTTGGAAGCCTCGAATCCATCTCATCCAGGCTATGGCCAGTACCTCTCAGCCGGAGAAATCCAGAGGCTCATTGCACCCTCAGACGAGACTGTTCAGATGGTTTCTACCTGGCTTGCAGAGCACGATATCACAGCTGCGAGACTCAGTCTGTCCAAAGACTGGATCACTGCCAATGTACCTGTTCGAAAGGTTGAAAGCCTTTTGAACACTACCTATTCTGTGTATCAACATCAGGACGGTTCGACATTGATCCGAGCACCTGAATGGTCATTGCCACAAGCCCTTCATAATCGCATCGACCTCATCCAGCCTACAAGCTCATTCTTCAGGACCTCCAAGCTTGCAAGTGACGCAATGCCAGAGCGAGGTCCAATCAAATGGCACAAATCTTGGAATCAAGGTTGGTGGAAGGCACCAAAGCATCATGTAAGTCCTTTCTAACGACATTGCTTGCCATCGAAACACACGACTAAGATGACAGATAGAACTCTTCCACCTGCAGTGTTAGTAGTTTATGCAATGTGACAGGCACGAACTTAGACGGAGACATTGTCACTGCTACCAGTCTCGACTGTCTACGTTGTCTCTATGGCACACTCAGCTATGTACCGAAAGTTCCTGATCGAAACATGATCGGCGTTACAAACTATCTGAACGAGGTAAGAATGATATTGACTTCTTGGAATCTGCAAGTGCTAGGGCGCTGTAGCTCACATTGTTCAGACTCAAGCGCGTTCTGACCTAAGATTGTACCTTGAGAAATTCCGTCCAGAAGCTGCAGGCGTTGCCGACACATTCCAGAACGTCAAAATTGCAGGAGCACAAGACAACCAAGTGTTGAATGCTGAACAACTTGAACTTGGATACAATCAGGAGGGTGATCTGGATGGTGAATTGGCTATCGGTATCAGCTGGCCAACTTCTTTCATGTCTTGGTCAACCGGCGGATCGCCACCTTTTGTACCAGACCTGGCTAGTCCTACAGATACTAACGAGCCTTATCTGGACTGGCTGACGTACGTACTTGCACAAGACACTTTGCCACAGGTAATCAGCACTTCATATGGAGACGACGAACAGACAGTACCGTACTCATATGCGAAAAGAGTTTGCGACGGCTTCAAGCAGCTCGCAGCTCGCGGTATCTCTGTACTGTTCTCTAGCGGCGACTCTGGCGTGGGTGCTGATGGATACTGCTTTTCCAACAGCAATGTTTCACAACCCACTTTTCTTCCTGAATTCCCTGCAACCTGCCCTTGGGTTACCACCGTAGGCGCGACTGCAAGTTTCGAGCCCGAGGTGGCAGTATCTCGCTTCGGCAGCGGTGCTGGTTTCTCGAACTACTTCCCCATGCCAGACTACCAGAAGGCCGCTGTAGATGGCTACCTCGACAAGATAGGCGACCTGTACGAAGGGCTTTACAACCGTTCTGGAAGGGCCTACCCAGAAGTTGCAGCGCAGGGTAACCACGATATCATCGTCTGGGCAGGCAATGTGACCACGATTGGCGGTACAAGTGCATCAGCACCGACTTTCGCAGCTGTTGTTGCATTGGTCAACGATGCACTCATCGCAGCTGGCAAACCACCTCTTGGCTTCCTCAACCCTTGGCTCTATGGTGGAGCTTTCGCTGCTCTTACCGATATCACTGAGGGATCTTCCATCGGCTGTAATACCAGCGGATTCCCTGCCGAGGTTGGTTGGGATGCAGTGACTGGATTTGGAACACCAGTAAGTCAAGCCTTGCCATCATCATTCGCCCTCTACTGATACTTCTTGTTTAGAACCTTGACAAGCTTATCGCCCACGCGTTCTATCCATACAGGAATTGATGTCGAGGATATTCCAGCAGTTTGGTCGCTCGTGAATCTTCGTTGAGCTTCCACTCTTTTATATATTGGAACTTAGAATGGAATATCTGCTACTGTCAAGTAGGTTGGGCTTGCGATTATCAGAAGCTAGTACCAAGGAATAAGTATTCAGCATATGATCGCTGTAGAGATAAACTTATTCCTCATTGAATGAGTCAGCTAGCATATCTTACCACTGTCCAAGGGCTCTGTGATCGTCGCCGTGGCAGCCTCTACAAATGATGCTGAAAGCATTTAGAAAGTTCCAGGGACAGTGCTTGATACAAATGTACGTCAAATGTGAAGCTGGTTGTACTTGCTGCTGTCTTTTGAATCCTGGTGAACAAAAATCTCACTTATACCCTCTGGGCAACGCAACACAGTGTTGATTTGGATAGACGTGCCAAACTTTTTTTTTCAGCCGCGAAACAAACTCATTTACACTAACTGTGCCCACACGGCCAGAAATTGTGATGTAGAGGTCTCTCGGATCTGCGTTCTCCTATCCCTTGCGCGATAACTCGATGCTCCATTCATGGGAGCTTCGGCAGCTTTCATATCAGACTCCAAACAGAGGCTGGTAGACTATTGGGAACCGATGAGATTGTGTAGCGTCATTGATTGGGTTAACCTATGTTGGTCTATGATGAAAGACTTTTAGAGTGCTCTTTGATGTCCACCAATTTCGTGATTACAGACGTTAGCTCGGGTATCCGGAATGGCTTAACGATGAATCCATCCACACCGGCATCGTAGGCTTGTTTCGTTTGTTCGGTTCGCGCGTTCGCCGAGACAGCAATAATGGGAATGTGGCTGACAATGTCTCCGGAAGCCTGCAATTCACGAATCCGTCTGGAGCATGTCAAACCATCCATGACGGGCATCTCTATATCCATGAGAACCACGTCCACGTCTTGTAAATTCCTCGAAGGATTTAGGCTATCTTGCTTCCAGAGACTCGTCGTCGCAAGGTAGTCCAGAGCCTCTTGTCCGTGATTTGCGACTTGCACTTTGTGACCAAGTTTGGTCAGATGTTTCTGAAGCACTTTTTGGTTGACCAAGTTATCCTCAACCACCAGGACCGAATAGTTCGACGAGCGCTGGCCAGCACTTGTACCATTGACTGCTGTCGGAATGAGGGTCTTGGATTTCGTGCGAATCGCCATGTCGGGTCGTAGTTTATCGGTAGATTGTGCGTCCTCTTTTGCAGGAACGTAGAAGGCAAATCTGGAGCCGACATCTACTTGTGATGATAGACCTATTTGTCCGCCTTGGAGTTCAACCAACCTCTTACTGATGAACAGTCCGAGCCCAGAGCCGCCATATTGGGTATACGTTTTAGGAGAAGCTTGAGAGAAACGGTTGAACATGCGTTTCTGCTCCTCCTCGCTCATACCACAACCAGTATCAGTGACCGAGAACCAGAGGTAGAAGGTTGCATCCGTAACAGGTTCTGGTTGCACGCGAGCTTCGGGATTTTCTGTGGTCGCGTAGGTCACCGACAGATTGGTGGGCCGTTCTTTAGATGCTCCGAGACGAACAATAACTGTACGCTCGTTCTCGGAAGTCTTTGTGAACTAGAAATGACAGTACAATTAGCATTTTTGTTGCGTGCAGCTGGTACTGTAGCAGTCGAGAAGCCACCTTATGGCTGTCAACCCCATCTGATGCTGATTGACCCATGCTATCTGTACCTTTGGCTTACGTACCTTGATTGAATTAGTCACAAGGTTGACTAAGACCTGACTGATGCGACCAGAGTCTACAACGACCCAGTCAATGTTTAGATCGCTCAAAGACTTATCCAGCTGAGTTTGAAGTTTGACCCCCACACGTTCGGCTTGCACAGCGAAAATGTTCGCCACGTTATTCAACATCTCTGTAGCGCGGACTGTGATCGGAGCTACCTGGAGAAGGTTGGAGTCGAGTTTGCTGAGGGAGAGTATGTCATCTGCAATCTTCCTCTGGTGCATGGAGCAGGAGATGATAGTATCGACAGCCTCGGTTCCGCCATTGAGATGTTCTTCTAGCCGTGCTTTTGTTTTCTGAGAACTGTTAACATCTCCTTTCTCTTTCTCGAGCGTATCGATAAGCTTTCTCATCTCCACCAAGGACTCCTTCAAAAGATCAGCACAGTGCACTGTCGCTCCAAGCGGATTTCGAATTTCATGGCTTGTGATGTCGATGAAAGCTTCAGTCCTCTTTTTGGCTTCAATGGCCTCTTCAAGCCTTTTCCGCTGCATGTGCTCCGAGAATTTTGAATGCGATACGTCAGTCCACGTCGACATCATCCGATTTAGGGTACCATCTTCACTAAATTCTGGGAAACCTATGATGGAAACCCACGCCTGCCCTTTAAATGAGCCGTCAACGCTACTCCAAGTCTTCTTCAGTCGAGTCCGGAATTCAACAGCCTTTTTCTGCTCTATGATCTCATTGCGTACTTCCAAAACTCTTGGAAGGTCCTCGGGATAGAAAACAGATAGGAGATCCACGTCTGAGGATGCGGTCTTGCAGTGACCAGTCATTTCGAACCAGCTATTGTTGGCGTACAATGGTGCATCTGACGTGCGAATCATGATGCCGATGGGCGCGTTGTCTGTGAATTGTAGCAGACGTGATTCACTGAGTCTCATTTGTTCCAGCGCCTCGGCTTTCTTTGAGGCATGCTCTTGAGCGAGCTTTTGTGCCATAATATTTGTCGTACAGCCAGATATACTGATAATATTACCGCTATCGTCGAATACTGGTGTGCAGGCGGCTTGAACCCATTGACCGGTTGGGGTATCATTTTTCCACCTGAAACGGAGGTACGATTAGCATAATTCGATAAACTTGCAAAAGGAAAACTCTACGAACCGCATGTCGAATGTGATTGGCTTCCCCTGCATAAGCCAGTTCCATTTTTCCATAATCATCTCGGCGTCTTCTGGCATGCAGAGGTCCAGAAAGGTGAACTGCTTGTTGAGCTCCGGGTCTTTTGGGTATCCGCTCAATTCGTAGAATGCATTGTTGGCTTGAATGAGCTCTCCCGTCGGCAGGTAGTCAAAGAACCCAACTTCGATAGTCTCTGCCATCGCCAATACGCTTTTCATCCTTGAGTTGGCTAGTTTAGCCTCTCTTTCGCGAAGTTGGAATTCCCTCAAATTGATCTCGGCCTCCTCACGCGCTCGATCTGATGCTTTTCGTCTTTCAACCTCTTTCGACTCGACGCATGCTATTGTGAAAGCATAATCTGCTATACACTTTTGCACCTCTCGGATCCATGACTGATACGCCTCGTCGAAAGGTCTGCGCGGTGCCACACCGACTACCACCACAGCTTTCACACTATGGAAGGCCGAATAGCTTAGTGGAAAAATAACCGCCTGTTTGCAATTGTCGCCATAGCCGCGGTTCCTTGATGCTTGACACCAGTCAGCCAGCATGACATCTTCCGTGGCCCTGATAGTAACGGGTTCTCGAGACGTGATAGCTTCTCGCATGCGCTGTGCCAACATATCGTCCAGGGTTCCAAGGTCAAGAAGTCCTGGCAAAGGGCTGTCAAAGTCGCCCACGCTGCCTGCCAGGCGCAGGCTGACATCGCCTTCATCGCGTCGCGGACTGTCAAGCACACTCTCTGGGATCGACTGGTCTTCGGTTTTGTACACTGCTGCAAAGGGAAAATCGATGTCCCAAGCGCTAAAATTTCGGAGCGCAGATTCCAAAAGTGCTGGTAGATCGTTCGTTGGATAGCATGAACCCTTCAATGCGGTAAGAAATTCATTCCTTCTTTTTGTGACCACTGAGCATGTTGTGTCATTGAGGGTCGAATGGTAGCCTGGCAGATGCGGTGGAAGTTTGACCATGGTTCCCGTCAAGAAAACTTCTTCAATTTCACCGCCATTGTCCAGAAACGTCAGCTTGTCCATCTGTCTAGCAGATGCGCTACCTTTGCTAGCATCCTTGACGATTTGGTCGAGAGCGCCAGCTTGGGGTTGCAGACGATCCAAGGTTGCAAAGGGCTGCGCAAAATATGCAGGATGATGGTCGCGGAGGATAGAACCGTAGGCGGTGTTGTACAAGAAGATTTGCTCGCTACCCAGAAAGAAGAGTTGTGGCTGAGGCGAGAGCATTGCCACATAAATAAGGGTTAATAAATCCTGTGGCCATGAGGACATTGGGCCCATCGATGTAGCAGACCAATCCTTGTTGCATAGCAATCGCAGGTCACGATCAACTTTTGCATCTCTGGTTTCGAGAGTCTGCAACAACGACAGCATGTCGGGTTGTTGATTTTGCGCCATGTTCGGGTGTGTCGGATGGCGCGCGGCTTTCTCACCGGATATGCTGTCAATCCGCTGAGCGCTGCATATGGCAATGCCCTTAGGCAGACCGTAATGTGTATGCAAGAGAACAATGGTATTTCTGGCCAGCCTCAGCCGATGAAGAAGGAGAAGAGTTAGGAAGGCCGCCGACCTCCTTGCCGCCTTGCGACGGTTGAGGCTCATTCAAACTTCTCCTCGCTTCTGCGGGTGTTCTAGACCGAACGTTGCGTTCATGTTTCAGCTGCGCGGAGAGCCTTTCCCAGCCAATCAAAACTTGTTGTGATGCAGCAAGTGACTTGAGATCATTTTGGCACTGGAGCCTACGGAGTCGATTAACAGTAGTTTTGCCTTCTAGCCCAAGAATATTCTGGATAAGGACGCTTTCAGGCTTGGTGTTCTGAGCATGAGCAGCCGGAAAGTGCATGCGAATTCCAATCGTGCTGCTACTTGAGCATCAAGGTTGACAAATTCAAAAGGAGATCTTGCTGCAACAGGAAAGCGCTTCGCACCTCGCGGCTAGTCGGCGTCAAAGAATACACGTCTCAGTCCGAGATTTGTCGCAACACCTACATCTTCATGATTACTAAAGCTTGTCAAGGTATACAGGTAGCTGTTGCGAACGATTTGCACCAGGTCCCTTCGAGATTCGATTTTCTGCTTGACATGTTCTTGGTCCTGAATTCATCGTTGACGCCCATGCGGCACAGATCTCAGAGGGAACCTTCGGCATCCCACATGCGGCGAAAGTTCTTGCCCGAAAGTCAGAAGTCATGTCCATCTGTCGCTCTTGGGTCGCGACTTGAATTTCTATCTGCGATCGCTCCATCTGATATCGTCTCCCAGTAAGGACAATGTCACGAGAACCTCAGAAGACGTATATCTCATCGATCATGATCCGGCCCGATCTCACAGCGCACCCTGTTCCGCATATGCCTTTCTACCTCCTTCTTCACAAGTCTTGATTTGCTCTTCCGTCATCTTGTATCCCTTCCATTTGCACGATTCCTCCCAACACTCTCTCCTCTCTTCATCGCTCAGCCACGATCCCTCACACTCTTGAATATGAAGCTTCTTGTAACAAAGTCTCTTTTCCTCTCCCGTCAAGCTCGGGTTCCTGCATTGCAACCCCCATCCAGTGTCCACCTGAAACCAATAATGTTGATAAACCTCGTCGATTCCTGGATCGCGTCTGATAATCTCCATCTCCGTATGTCGGAGGTTCTTGATGATGTAATCTTCGTCATCACTGTACCATCCGATGCTGGTGTTTCGTAGTGCTGGGGAAGGTATGTGGGACGAGAGGTAGAAGATATGCGCAGATTTTGGGTAGGATGATCGAAGTGAGATGATGTATTCACCTTCCATGATACCGCAGGTGGTGTCATTGGGGAGACAATCGATAACCAGGGGAGCTACGTATGTAGTTTCACCATTCTCGTTGGTCGTCCAGCAGGCCCGGTCTGAGGGCAAGGAAACAAGTCCTGGGTACGCTGATGCGAATGCAGCGAGGATGGCAACAATTGCGATCCAGATAATCATACGTCCAGGAAAAGGCCGCATCGCCAGTCTAGAGAGATGGTGATGCCAATGTCTAGTTCTAACCAGTCCTTGATGACTTGTTGAAGAATTGCAAGATCAGGCTTGGAAATTGGGACTGTAGGTTCAAACAGACATCGGCAGACGCGACAACAGGATCTTAACACTTCTCAATACAACAACATGGCCTTACGCCGCATTTTGAAAGAACAGATGTTCTCCTTCGAAGGGTTAGTGTTTCACTGGTGTTGGTGTTGGCGTTGGCTGCCTAAGCGCCCGAAACACCTTGACATTACTCGTTAGCCGCTAAGCCACATTTCCATGATCAAGACGACTTCGGATTTGACGGTCATGGGAGGATATAGATTGTAAAATGGTTACTTTTACACTTCCTGACGTGCGGATGAACTCTTAAGAATATAGAAATGCAATTGATCGCGTGACACCTAACTATACCAGCTGTTCGGCGTCCACTTGAAGTACTGAGGTCCAATATCCTTGATGGAGATCAAGCCCAGGTGCGCGGCATCACTAGCAATCTCTGCCTTCAACAGTTCCACAGCTTTAGCCACTCCCTCAGTGCCATAGACATTGGCATACATGAATGGTCTGCCAAGTCCGACGGCACGAACGCCGAGAGCAAGCATCTTGAGCACGTCACTGCCGTATCTGACACCACCGTCGGCATACACTTCGATCTGCTGGAAGACCTCAGGTGCCTGTTGGTGAATCTCGAGGGCAACCTCAAAGCCGGACGGACTACCGTCAAGGTTGCGGCCGCCGTGGTTAGACAAGATGATCGCAGGTGCCTTGTACTTGACCGCCATCTTGGCGTCTTCGACCGTCTGAATGCCCTTGATGACGACAGGTAGTCTCGTGAAGTTCTGAAGCTTCTGGTAGTATTGCCATGTGAAGGCTGAGTACTCTGCATCTGCTGAGCCCGCTGAGTAACGCTGAGCACGTTGACGTACACCAGGCCCAGCACTATCAACAGTGAAGACAATTGCACGAGCACCAGATTCCTCGATCTCTTTAAAGTGTGCTTTGGTGGCAGTATCATTGGCGGCATCGAGGTAAACCTGCTGCCACATGACCTGGGAGCCGTTCGAGGGTCTCGCAGCGGCCAGATCCTTCAATGGCAAGGAGCTGAAGTCCGAAGGGATGTATAGAATATCTCCTTGATAAGCACCCTCGACGAGTCCGAGCTCAGCTCTCTCATTAGCAAGAGCACCTCGTGCACATGGACTAATGTAAAAAGGTGCGGAGAAGTTGTGGCCGAGTATTGAGGTCGTCAAGGTCGACTCGATATTTGAAATGTCCCTCAATACACGGGGACGAGCGGTGTAGCGCTGAAAGACCTCCAGATTATTACGGTAGGACCACTCGCCAGCAGCACCGTTACGGTAGTAAGTATAAGCACTCGTATTCATGTAGCGACGAGCTGCCCAGTCAAAATCCGGAAGCCCGACGATATCATCAAGTGGTGGCAGAGTGCCGACAGGTGTATCTCCCAGAGCTTCATCGATACTATGAACAATCCTTAGATTATGGGCTTAAGGTATGAGCTCGACTAGCTTGGCTTACCCAGTATCAGGCTCGTTGAGGAATGGTCTGGCCGCAAGAGCCAAGCTTGTCAGGGTAGCCAAGATGATAGACTTCATGGTGGAAAGTTGTCTTCAGAGAAACGAAGGTGCAGAAACTTATATGTCTCATCAAGGGCAGCGCATGAGCTTCTTATATGTTTTGATGGCGCCACCTATTTGCACAGCCTACATTCAAAAAGACAGTTATGCCTCGTGTGTTGTACTCTGCGACATCCAAGATGCATCAATCTGCTACGTGAACCCGCACATGGCAGGCCGCAGCAAACCATTTGTCTCGAACCCTTGACCAGATATCAGTTTTTTTCGCCAACTAAGCTCCTTCCAGACCATAGCCTTAGCTTTTCATTGGCGAATGGGTCAAGTTAACAGTGATTGATTGCAAAGCGAGAGCGGCCGACCGTCGTCTCGGAGCTGAAAATGGCTGCCAGGTACCAGGGTCGATCTCGCAGAGCGCAGAAATACGTCTTGGTGTTCTTGGTGATGGCTTGGCGACCGTGATGGCATACACAGCCGAGGAACGTGGTTGAGGGTTGAGGCATGATCTGCAAGCCATGTTCCTGCATGAGGTTCACATATGGGTAATCCAAGCAAATAAAGCAGCGGTCGAGTATTGATAGTCGGCGATAGCACAATCCCACCACCCGTCAGTAAAACGTTCTTGGGAGTTGTTGGAACCTGGAGTTGAAGGTCGAGAGCGAGGAGAGCCAATTTGCGCAGACCTGAAGTCTGTGCGGCTTCCGCAGCAACGATCTTATCTGATCCGCTGCACTTTATTCGTCAGGCGAAGACACTTTATGCCAGACCATCGCCAAACCTTTCATGTTCCAAATTCGCAAACTAGACAAGTGTGTCGCTTACACGTCGCACTTGATGTTACTCGGCTATGTTGACATCCTCGAGGCCACGATATATTAACAGCGACCGGAACACGCTGCTCAGCGTTGCCTGCGTGCTGGTTAATGCAAGATGTGTGCAACGAGCTTCCAATCAAGCTCGAAGACAGACATTGAGCAGCACAGACCGCTGGCGTCCGGTCACCTTGGTTTTCAAAGAAACTTTCGAGATATCATGTTCTCTTATCTTCAAAGTCTGAGATGACCCAATCTTCGACATCATCGCCAATCGTCAAGACATACGTCTTGAATACAATACTCTCGTACCAGACCGCTGCAGCAGCTCTTGCCTTCGCATGCCAAGGTCCTCTACCCCCATCTCTCGCATGTTGCCTGCTTTCCCAGAAACCTAAGCACCTGTCAGCATATCTCCCTGAGACGCAGATCTTACATACAAGTCGCTAAATTCTGCCGGTCCTGATCTTTCACTCCGTACCAATACTTCAGCAGTCCTCCACTAGCCATGGCTTCCTGATGTGAAGAGGCATCCAATTGGAACAGCCTCTCGGGATCTGCGTCAGGACTGAGCTGTGATCGAAAACTGACGACGTAGAACTCCGTCGCCTTCCATGTAAAGCCTTCGTCTCTTGCAAGGTATCTTAAAGTCCCCATGACCTCCCCAAAGTTGAATGACGCTGTGTACTCTGCCGTTGCATAATCTTCCCGGATAGGTTGAAGCCTTGTCAAGGCTTTTGCAAATAGTTGACTTGCCCTGGAATATCTGGCAAGATCGAGTAGATGCGGCGGTGAGGTGTATGGAGATGCCACAAGAAGGGAGCTATCTGTATCCGCTTCTTTGACGTTGACTTGTGTAGCTCCAAACAAGTTGTTCGGATGACTAGGCTTCAAAGTGGTTGTAGCAGCGCTCATCTCGGGACTTCACATGGACTTTCTGCAGCGTGTGCGGATTTATTGTCTGAACTTCCATCGCAGCTACCACGTCTCTTCTTATACAAGCCCATGGAAAACTGACGAGATTACAATACGCGATTGCGAATTATGGTACGAGCACGACATATGCACGCAAATTATAACAGTAATCTGCAAAGCTTCGAGAAGTTGCGCCATCCATCAAAGAACTCACGCAACATCGAACTCTTCTGGCTCAATCGAGGACACAAGATCCTCTCTTTGTCCGAGAAAACATTGAAATTGGTTTTCCTAGTCGCCTGTGGAGATAAACGAGTACATCGTCCAGATAAAGTGTTCATGAACAGAGGATCAGGGTCGCTGCACCTGCATGGTGTTATGGCCATAAGTCTTGGTGTCGCAATTTTCTTCTTTTGGCAGTTCCTCCGCCTTGCCCAGCGCCCTGCAAATTGCGAAAGACGCCTCTCCTCGATTGTCACTCTTGCGCCATCTTGACACCATTTGTGTCATCTAAACGTAAATTCAATCTAGTTATATTGATCAACTCGCGTGCACATTGTTGCAGCACGCGATTGTCGCTGCATCACCTTGTCCTCTAGGAGATTCTTGACTCTTCCATTCTACCCACAGACGCGATGAATGGATGATTGATGCTTGAGACAGCGAAAGCTCAGATTCCGATTGCGTTCGCGATGCACCGCAAGAAGTCGTCCATGATGTAGCGATCAGATCCTGGCACGCCCATCTGCTCGGGATACACATTGCGCAACCTTCGTCCGCTTCCCCGACGTCTGGTTATGTTGCTGCCTGTCTCGCTTTGCAACCTCGGTCCTTCGGTATGGTCTACGAGGGATGAGCACTCTGCCTTCTACCCTTGGCCCGAACGCACTCTTGAGAAATTCGCATGCAATTGATGGTTCAGAAAGCTGGTTTGGAATGTCACTACAGCCACCATAGGGCTACAGTTTCGACGATCACAGTGTGGCGCAGCCTACCCCACTACTACCATATGTTCTTCCCGCAAGCGTGAGTTCACATGAACATGGCGAAACCTGGAAGTATGAAGACCCTTCCTTCCCCAAAACCTGGAAGAAATTACCCAGACATGACGCCTTGTGTGCCTGGCCTCCTGTCGCCGTCCGATCATCTGCATCACAACATGACAGACTTGACTGCTTTGGGAATTGCATTTCTTCTCAGCCTATCAAGTAGACCACTTCATCTATGTGGCTTAATCTAATAGGTAGGAAGCGAAATCTTCTTCGTAAAACTGACGTGCAGCACTTTTCAGCTACAAGAGCAATTTCGTACTACCCCACTAACCGCAGTGAGGTCACTGGTGTACTCAATTGGTCACCTTCGTCATGTGTTTGGGAAGGTCCCTTTAAGGAGCAGCTCTTGCAGCTCAGAATCGATCACATATCTTCAAAGCGAGCAAACAAACAGCTCACCCATACTTCAACTAAAACCCTACTCTCACCCTCAAATCACACACTATGGACGCCGCCGCCAACGCTGTCAGCAAGCTCCTGTAAGGACATTCTCACACTATCATTATTTAGGCAAACATGCTAATATACTCAAGCTCCGGCGCAGGTGAGAAATTCAACGCCAAGTCCGAGCAGGTCGACACCGCGCAGGTCAAGACTGGAGAAGTCAAGACCACGCAGGACAAGATTGAGGAAGTAGCCCCAGTCGTTGACTCTGCTGCTACAGGCGAGAAGGACACCACTGTCGACCAGACTATTGCCCCGGCAGTTGAGCATGAGCATGTCAAGCACGAGCACGAGACCAGAGAGCAGAAGGTCGTCGACCGCGAACGTCATCAAGACCACTACCACACCACCATCCAGCCCCTGAAAGATCAGGAGGTTGAGGCTACGAAGCACAACACTGAAGTTGATGCAACTCAAGAACGCCAGATCAACAAGGACAAGCAAGGCGACCAGATCAAGGCGAAGGTTGCCGCCGACCAGGCTGCCTTCAAGAACACAACCGAGGAGGAAGCCACGGAGGAGACCAAGACTACTGAGCCTGCCGCTGTCGCAGAGTCTGTTCACCACCACCTCCACGAGACCATCCAGCCTGTCATCGAGAAGGAACGCATCGTGCCCGAGGTCACCCACAAGGTCAAGCCCGTGCATGAGGTTGTTCAGGAACAGACTAAGAACCACGGCGTGACCACCAACCAAGCGATCTCGGTGGATGAGTTCCAGCACCGCTTGGGTGGTGAGAGCAGAACAGAGGTCAAGCACGACGGAGAGCCCTCCGTTGCTACTACCGCCACGACAGCCGTGACGGAGAAGTAGAATCACATCTGTGATAACAAAATTTACCCTTAGGCTTTAAATTGTGTAATGTACAATATGAATCTTTTCTCTCAATTCTCCTCGATATCATTGCAGATTGCTTGATTTGCTCCAATCACTCGGCAGTATACAAAATAGGAGTGTCAGTGGTCGTCAATCATGAATCCGTGCTCGACAGAACGGACTATGCGGATCGCATCCTTCAAGAACGTTACGGACGTTACGAACAATACCCCTCCTATGAGTGAACATAGGAGGTCGCGCTGTTCGAATCCTTCAAACACTTCGTCCTTCAATTTCCGTCACGCGGTACAGTCCTCTATAAGCTCTCTGATCATCCATGGCTCTATTACCAGTCTCCTGCGCGGCAGAGTTTGATTCGAAGGCAAGTGCACACCAGAGAATTGGACCACAGATTATCCCTAACATTCTCCCAAAAGTTTCTCGATCGATTCATCGAACTAAATCTCAAGCAGAAAGAAGGTCTAGACCTCGGTTTGAGTATAGTCGTAATCACCTCTCTTGACAAGAGATACACAGAGGCCTCAACCATTCCTATGGAGCCAACTTCTTCTGCTGCACCTTTTCAAGGCAAGAACCCGAAAGAGTGCTTTGAAATACTTCAAAAGTTGGTCAAGGATACTAGATCTGAAATCAACGTCGAGAATTTTGCAATTTTGGATGAGAGGTCTAAGGAAGATGATACTGTATGGCTTGTGCAGGCTTTCAAGAACTCGCCAAGGATCAAGATTGTGTGTGGGGCTTTGAAAGACACGGATATGGCTCTTGAGAATCTTTGGGTTGGAAATATGAATATTGAAGAGTTAAGCTACGAGAACCAGGTGCTTCACCATTCGACGACTTAGCCCTTGTTGGTAGAGACATTCCTAGAGTCACTGCTATGATTCTATGCTGATCTGAGCAGATCAAATGTGCATGAGATGTTGAAACAAAAGACATCATCACACTAGTGAGCAACAATTCGCTTTGATCGCTCGTCTATTAGATACAAGCGGGCTTGTGAAGAATATCTTTATCACGTCCACATTTTCCCCAGTCCCCATTCGCGTGTTGAGCTACTGGTGTCTTGTTGACTACCTTGTTGTTAGTCTCAACCCTCAAGGTTCATAGCCATTCGTGAGATATCGGCGTATAGTGAAAATCACAGTTTAACCCGTCGCAGCGCTAGCTTCCAAGACGCAAGCGTGAGCAATACACCTTGCCTTGCACATCAAAAACTCATTCATCTTCTCAGCTTTCGAGTCTGGATCGGAGTCCACGACCTTCATTGCAGTCTGGGCCAAAACGACAAGGTCGTGCAAAATCGAAATATCGGCATCAGGCTTGACATTGTTGATCCACTGCACAACCTCTCTGACTTGCTCTTCTGCATCGGCCACATCTGTAGTGCAGGTCGCTGTGTCTTGTAGTTTGGGAGCCCGTGCAGCGGCAAAGGCTAACCGAGTCGTGCACTCGACTCGAGCTTGTGCAAATAGCTCTTCTGAAGCGGCGCCGAAAGCGAGCAATTGGTCGCGAAGGTCGTGATGTGCAGATGGTAGGACACTCCAAGCACCAAACAACCAGGTTGCGATCTCTTCGGTCCTGGCCGGGGGTGAACCTGCTCCTTGCTGCGTAGTGATTCTCGCTGTCTCGACTGCCACGCAAGCAGGACCAGAAGTTTCATGGATCGCAGGGGCAAGCGATGGCGACGCATTGTGATTAGTCTTTTTGTCCTGGGATATTAACTCGCGGCGCGCAACAGTCGACTCGCTACCAAGCCCAGCGAGAACAGGAGCAGAAGCCTCATGAACCGGAGGTCCGAGTGAAGGCGAGCGGCCGGTCCGTACCTGCTTCCGTCTCAAATTGCTATCAGGCAACGAGTCAACACTTGCAGCACGCTTGAAATGGGCTCTGCTTGAGTGCTCGACGCTCGGGGATCGATAGTCCAAAATACGACGCATACGGACCCAGAACGGCGTCTCAGGCACGCCTTCACCATCACTTTCCTTGTGTATGGGCAAAGAAGCAACACTAACATCACTGAAAGGCACTTCAACCTCTACAAGGGGCTCAAGGGGCTCGGGAGGTTTGTTAAGGTCGAGAGAGGGCATTGTATCCCGAGTATAAGGGGGAGGGGGCAGGAGGTTCTGAGGTGATTCGGGATGGGAGTGGCATCTTTTATCCTCGGATTCGAGATCTAGACCTTGATTGAGCCAGAGGTTGACTCCGCCTCCACGGCCATCATACATGCTGTCAAGCAGCAGAGTAGGTGTGTTGAGTCGCTTCATCGAGTTTGAAGCAAAGATTTTCCGCAGCTCGAGTTGTGCAAAGGTATCGAACCTGAAGTATATATCGAAGGAGGTCGTCTCAGATAATGACTTGAGCCTTGACATCAACTCTTTCGGTGTGCCTTTGACAGGCTTCTGACGCTTGGCTCGAGGCATGATAACATCGCAAGGCATGGCGAGTCTGAAGGAGAGATGAAACAAGTTACAGTCAGCAAGACCAGCACTCTCCAGATCGACTCGTCCATATGCCTGTATAGGTGTAAATGTCATATCGAGGGCGGAAGTGTCAAAATCGCAGGGGATGATCATGAACATGTCGCGAGGATGTTTCGAAGCGCGTATTGATACTGGTAGATGTAAAGCTATCAACAGCTCATCGGCCCGCCATCCGATGTTAATGGTCAACCTGGATGTCGAGTTCAGTGGTGATAGTTGACCTAGACATACTGGTCCCTCCTCTTTGCTGTTCCAAGAAACAAAACAAGGCTTTTCGACGACCCATTTCCATGGCGGGCTGCTCGAAACAAGCCCATAGTCGTCCATGGCTGAGTTCTGACACGAAACCACAACTTGATCACCCAGAACAAAGGGCGTCAGTATTAAGTCAAAGAATATACGATACCTTATTGTCCCTCCTCGTAAGAGAAGATAACCCGCCCACCCAGGCTTTCGTGTAGAAAAGCAGCCTTGACTTTTGCGTAAGAATAATCAAGAGTTTGCAGCATTCAGTACGATCAAGAAAAGGCAGACGGTAACCAGACACACGTCGGGCTTGGAGAGGTACGAGCGATCAGTCGTCGCGGTCGCGTCGCGTCGGCTTTTTCACAGCGGACGCAGGCGTGACGGCTAAGAGCAAATCTCTGACACGAAAGCAAGCACACGAGAGGGTCAGTGTGGTCTACTCCTTCATGAAAGAATGGATCTGGCGGGCGATGTGATGATGATAAGGATGAGAATGATAAGATGATGATGGTGCAGTGTTGATGAGAGCTGTGGCAGGCAACGACGTTCCAAAAGCTTGGCGACCCGACTTCCCGCGAAATCTTCGGCAGTACACAATGCCAAACCTACAACCCTGGCTGAATACCAAAGACTATTGCATTCTTGTAGTCAGACCCTTTCCCAATCCCGAGCCATAAGAATCAGATCTGACCTACACTCAAGAGCAGATCATCGCTTGGTCAGTAGTGGGGACTCCATCCCCAACCTGAAATAAGTAATTTAGGGAGAAAAGAGGGAATCTTGTTCTTGAATTCAGGCACTCTCCTTCGCATCCCACGTCTTCGAACTCGGGAGCGCTCTAGATGTGAGTTTGCTTATGCATAATGTCTAGGCTGGGGTTTCTCTACGGCAAGCATGTCGTGCGGAAAACAAATTTGCCCTTCTACAACAATTTCATGATTATCTTTGACGTTCAAAGCCTTCTATTTACGTGATCATGGATGTAAGACAAGGTCAGAGGCTACGACACACTCTTTCAGACACTCCGATCACACAATTGAAAGAAACTTGTAACATTTTTGATAGTCGTCATTCTTTCTCCTCAAGCTATTCCGTGAGCGCCTTTAATCCTTATCAAGTCTAACAGCAGCATTACTCTCAATGAAGCCCAAATCAACCTTATGACCCAACAAATCACGAATATTTGACACCTTATACTTGATCATCGTAGGTCTCTCCAATGACAATCCAAAGCCATAAACCCTCAAATCCTTGGGCAAACCCATGGATTCCAACATTTCAGGACGGAACATTCCAGAGTTGCCGATTTCAACCCACTTGCCTAGGCCTTGGTGGTAGCCGAAAACTTCCATGGAGGGTTCGGTGTAGGGGTTATAGGCGGGTTTGAAGCGCAGGTTGGAAATGCCGAGTTTGGCGAAGAAGCCTTCGAGGAAGGCCATTAGGCCGCCGAGGGTCAAGTCGTAATCGGCGATCACACCTTCGACTTGGTGGAATTCTGCCAGATGGGTAGCGTCGACGGTTTCATTTCTGAAAACGCGGTCGATGGAGAAGTAGCGGCAAGGACGAGGGTTGGCGGCAAGACGGTGCAAGACGTATGTGGAGACGGCGGTGGTGTGTGTTCTGAGGACGAGTTTTGTGGTTTCGGCGTCGTTGTAGGGGTAGCGGTAGCCGATGGAGCCGAAAGCACCGTCTTGGTGTACTTTGCGCACGTTGTCGTAGTATTTTTGGTAGTCGAGTTTGGGTGTTTCTGTTGAGGCGAGACGGGGGTCGTAGAGTTTGGCGTCCTTCTCCATTGCCTCCATGGCTGCGTCTGCGATGGGGTCGGCACGGGGGAAGTCGGCAGATACGGGATCGGAGACGTAGAAGGTGTCTTGAAGATCGCGGGCAGGGTGTTGCTGGGGAACGAAGAGAGCGTCGAAGTTCCAGAAGCCAGTGTCGACGAATCTGATTGGAGAAAGTCAGTTGGAGACGATGAGAAGAGCAAGTTCAGGACTGGTCTCACCTGCCAGTGGGCATCTCAATGAAGCCCTGGTGGAAGAAGATCTTGCGGAACTCCTCGCGCACCTTCATCAAAGGATGCAGAGCACCAGCATGCTGCTGCGAACCCAAAGCAGCAAAGTTGTAAGGCTTGAAGTTTGCAGTCTTCCACTCGCCAGACTCGAGCATCTCGGGGGTGAGATCGGTGTGCTCGACGGGCATCTCCTTTGCGTACTTGTCGCCCTTGGAGACTTTGTAGCTGATGACTTTTGTGACTGTGACCAACTTGCGCTTCTTGAGATCGGCGAGGAGCTTGTTGTCGGAAAGAGACTTGCTGCTCTGAATGGCTGCGAGGGTTTCGCGGGTTGTGTCCTTGGGAGAGTCGACCAGCGAGACGAGGACATCGCCGTCCTTCTTGATCCACTTGAGCTTGAATGCGTTGCCTTGACCGACCTTGGCTGAGTCTGCGCCAACCTCGTTCTGTTTGTCCTTGCGTCAGCAACTGCCAGACCTAAAATCAGATTGGCGTGCAAGAATTACCGTAAGCTCCTTCAAGGGCATTTGTCCTCTTCTCTTGACAGCGTCCCAGACCTTGAACTCGTGACTGCCCTCAGTGGCAATCTGCTCGCCCTCCTTTGTGAGAATAACCTGCTCCTTGTCGTTGGTGTCGTATGTGACCATGTTTCTCGAAGCCAGTCTGTCCAGAGCGGCCTTGATCTCAGCCTGACCAACATCGGGAAGGTCGCTCTCGGTCGCAACAGTCTGCTTGGTGTCCAGAAGATCCAGCACTTCCTGAGTGAGGTCGCGGCCGGCAGCCTGGAGCGGCACCGGTACGGGTCCACGTTGTCCGGGCATTGTGTGATGTGTGATTGTGCTTGTGCGAGTGATGCGCAAACAATTGGCGGCTGTGACTCTTTCCAAAGCCGTCGCTGGCGTCTGAATTTTGCTGACTCGTGGCGGGGATGACCGCTGCATCGGCTTGAGTCAAGCGCCAAGCTTCCCTTCTCCTTGTCTTCTCACCTCGATGCACTCTGCATTTCTGCATATCACTTGGTTGTTGTGAAAGTCGTCAAACACAATTCGTCCATTGTGACATACGTCTGGTCTAAGAAAAAACGTTCCTCATGCGCCTGCGATCAACGCTGTGTAGCGCTCGCTCATGCTCACTGAAAACACCTGCACCACGCTATGCAGAAGCTAAAACAAATAAAATGCATCACATGTATCATCTTTCAGATCTTCCTTCTCAATTGGAACACCTTGTTGGTCGTTGCTGCCGGCAGCCCTTCTGAGAAGCGATCGCGCTCTGCAACTCATGTCAGTACTGTACTCAAGACCGGGTTTTAGGTGGTCCTTACCTTCTTCCGTCTCAAAGCCAATAGTAATATCATCATGTTCCCCTGCATATTCCAATCCTTCAAGGTTGATAAACTTGCGACGGACTCCCTTGCCCCAGACCTGCGAGTCTGATGGTGGCTCATCCTCGCCTCTTTCGCCATCCTTTTCTTTTTTTGGTAAGCTGAATTTGGCGTCCACGAACTTGACACAGTATTTGGCTGGCTTCTCTCCTTTGGCCTTCTCGAAAGTATCTGCTGCTTTGATCTGGAACACCATAGCATCTGCATGGCTAAAGTCTTCGAAAAAGGCTGCAATCTTGGTCACGTTGCCGAGTGTCAAGATCTGTATGCGAACCTTGGTTGCTTCCCACTTCTTGTAGATGGGCACAACCATTCTCCGTCTGGCGATGGCGAATAATGTAGCTGTCCCGTCGTATCTGACGGTGTATCTTGTGAGCGCTTTCTGGAATGTGTGCAGCTCCTCCAACGATGGGAAAGTTAAGGTGCGTGTTGTAGGTGTTGTCGCTGCTGTTTGCACAAATCTCTTCAGACCCTCCCGTCCGTGTTGAGCTTTGGCAATGTCCAGCGAGGCAGTCAGATCCTCTTGCGGTGCGCGCAAAAGCGACAAGCTCGGTATCTTGGATGCTGGAAGACGCAACAGGAGCTCGCCAGGACCTGCCATCCGAGTTAGCACATATCAAATGACCAGATTGAGAAGACCTACCAAGATTGAGTCGATCGGTCACCGCACCGTTGTCATGCGTCGCAATAATACGGAAATGCTCCGAAAGTGTCATGTCGCCTTGGTCTTGTCCCACCGTTGCATTAGCTTCGGTCACGACCCGCACATCCTTCCATGCAAGCCCTTGGAAGGCTCCCGCAACTGTGTCTTGTCCAGCTGAGGCTTCCGCCGTCATAGCCGTCAACCCAACCCTTGCGACAACTTGTTCGTTTTCGTCTGTAGAGATGCCCTGCAATACCTCATAAAAGTCCTGGCGGTCGCGACCACTTTTGAACCCTAACGTGGTCCGACATTGCCGTTTTGAGTCTTGCGTATAAACATGCATGACGGGAGGCTCATTCTCTCCTGTCATCTCGAAGAGCAATGGTGAGGTCCTGCATAACGGAATGCCGGCCATGGTCAAAGATTTGTTTACGGGGTTCGCCATCAAGAGCAGCCGATATCCACGATGCAAGTTGGTCTCGCCGAGTCCAGTACGAACATGAAGTCTCTTCTCAAACACGAATGCTCTACACGACCGGACCTTGTCCTTGGAGAATGCATTCGGGTTGATAGAATCGGTGTGCGCAAGTTCGACTAGATGTGCTTCATGAATCATGCGCTCATCGGCTTCCGGTCTCATGCTACCATACACCTTGTTGGTATAGTCAACCATGCTCCACAGCGAGCGGAAGTCTGGTTCTTGGAATGCAAGATTGAGCGTGAAACCTCTAGGGAGACGGACATACAGACCATGCTCTTTCGACTTCCAACTGACATCGTGCCAAGTGGGACCTCTGCCATACCCTCCATCTCCAGGCCTGATTGTTATGTTCACCAAGTCTGCCTGACTCGAGATGACTACCGAAGTCTGAAATTCGGACTTGGCTCGAATCATCGTGAGAACGCAGGGCAAGACGACGCGATCGCTATCTGCTTCGTCTGTGTTGACCGAAGCACTGACAAACATTCTACTGTAACAGAATGTGTCCCTTGTGTCGCCTAGAGGCAGAGCTTCCAGCGGGTTTGCTTCCTCAACTTCATCTTGTGCGATCAACGCTTGAGATGTGTTGCCACGCAAAAGAGCAGCAACGTCCGAAGCAAAACGCGGGTACTCGACCCACATTGTCGTGTCTTGGCCTTGAATGAGAGATTGATGAGGTGGCATAACATTGTTTCTGCTCATTGATAAGGTGAAAGTACGGAGACTTGCGCGTACTATATCCATGTCTCGCAGCAGGGTATCCTGTGGAGAATCGATCTTGGAGTGTGGTGAGTCTGCACCAGACAAGACATCGGTAAGAATCCACCATGTTTTAGCGACATCGACATGCGCTTGTGTAAGGCTCTCAGGCCTTGTCGTTCCCTTGGGTGTATTTCGGATCTGAACAGTCAGACCTGCACGACCTTTGTGCAGCCACCAGATAGCAGCACGTATCCACTCCCGAATTGTGCAACTCTGGATCGGTCGTTCACGTTCAGCTGTCAATCGGAATACGCCTCTCATGTGCGCGACACGCATGCCAAAATCGAAAAGTGCATCATGCTCAGCGGTTCCTTGAACGTGCTCAGGGGGAGAAATGTTTCGGTAAGAAAAGGCAGATCCAGATCGACCATTCGCATCGTAAGAAGGTCTGGGAAGATGATGTCCAGGAGTGAGACCAGGGGTGATTCCGGGTGTAATTCCAGGAGTAAGCCCATTGAAGTTTTGCGCTTGAGGTGCCAACGACTGTTGTGAGAAGTAGCTCGGGCTTGGTCCACGGCTCGGAGGGTGAGGCAGAGGATGGGCATTCAAAGAGGTGTTGGGCTGTAACGAAGCTGAGCGGACAGAAGAAGCTGGCGAGGAAGAAGCCAAGAAGTCTGAGGGAAGCCGCTGTCGCTGGCTAGACGCTGAGTGAGCTGAATCATTGGTGTAATGAGATGAAGAGAAAGATGGCTGCATGTTTCTTGTCGTGATTGGATGGATCGTGGTATCTGTGGTGTCATCATGTTGATTCGGAATCTCAGGAAGTGGATGTGCGCGATGAGGTAGCACTATTGGGGGTGCTGGCTGTTCAGGAGAAGCGGAGCGAAGGTGGTCAGGGATGGCTGAGCCGAAATCAGTGGGTACGATGGAAGGTAGCTGTGGACTACGAGATCGGCTCTCACGAGGAGGGGAGTTGGGAGAGGGTGGTCGCCGTGGATCCAGCGCGTCAGTGGCAGCCTCATCATAGTCGAGTCTGGACAAGCGACGCAAGACTCTGCCCTCCTCTTCACGGATCATACTCTGGCGTTTGGCGTCTCTAGGTGGCAGGGATCGAGGTTGTGGTGGAGAGTCTTGCAAGAAGCTGGCGAGTTCAGTGTTGTCGATTATTGGTGGAGATATGGGAGACTCAGGGGGTCTGATTGTTCTCATGGGAAGTTCAACATGGGGTGGAATAGGCGGCACATCTTCATCGCTCGTGGGAGAGATTGGGTCATCTTCCAAGCTGCTGAAAGTGGTGGGAGCGCGCTTCAGCATGCCCGGTCGAGGGCTCTCTTGTGCAGGGGCATGTTGTGGGACTGGAGGGGGCACAGGTTGAGGTTGCGATTCGAAAAAGGGATGGTTTACAGGATGGGTCGGGTCGGCCAGCGAGTTTTTGCGTTGGTAGGCATTACGAAGGGCAGGAGCACTCATGGGATAGTTCGCGGCCTGGCGGTGTCTTTCTGCTGCCTGCGTATCCAGCACAGGGGCTGCAGCTCGTCGTTCTGTCTGTGATCTGGCCAATTTTGCCTTTGCTCTTGACACTTCAACGACTGGTATCTCCGAGTCGTCACCGCCCTCTCCAATAATCTCTGGTGGAGTCCTCACGAATGAGACGTTGACATTCTTCTTCTTTTTCTTGGGCTTTGTTGGGTATGCTTCAGGGGGGCTCGCAGCAGCTCTTCGCACGTCTGCAGCGTCTGGCCATCTCTGTGCAGCGGCAGTGTCGATTCGCGGAGTAGGCAGCTGTCGCCTGCCTTCGCCAGGGATTCGCTCCTTTTCAGTCGATGGTTTGAGGAAGTCGACGACGTCTTCGTTGAGCTTGAAGTTCTTGTCCGAGGCTTCAGTCTTGCGTAGCAGCTTGCCCCATTTCGAAGAGCCTCGCAGACTCATGTCGTGGTTGCTTCTGCTTGTACAAATATGTATCGAGATTGCGGGGAATGAGGGACACGGTCGGAGCGAACTTTCAAAGTCGGCCTGTGTGTTTCGTGTTGAAAGCGAGTGTCGGTCTTGCTGCGTCTCTCAGCACCTGCCCAGCTCGGTCCATTGACTGGCTGACAACTGTGTACAAGAGTGAACAGGCAGCAGGTCGTGGCAGGGGCAGTCGACCGTGTCTCGAGACACATGCCAAGGCCACTTTGATACATAACACAACGCTCACCCTCAAACCGCGCTAATCAAGGCACAAACAAGGGTCCCAATTCACCGCCCGTCCCTCAGCCTGCTCCGAGCACTCTCCACATCCACGACTCGCTCTTTTTGAAGCGCATCCTTCGACCATTGCTATCTCATCTCCCAACGTTCTGATTGAGACTCGCGTGCCATGCGTTGTGATATACTCGTCATGAGCTGCGTCATGTCTCGGTATCTGTTCTTGTTGTTGTCTGAAGCCTTTGAACTTGTTCAGTTCTTGTAGAAAATGGATGTCCACTATGTACACCGCCGCGATGTTCTGTCACAAGCTGCGGCTATTTTGAGCTCTGACACGATGCCACCACAAAGCCTAAATTTGAGGCTGCCCAACTCCATCACTTCTGCTCCTAGCTGAAAACAAACATCGCATAAAATACACAACCACTTCTCGTATCGATTCTGACTGCCGGATCTATACCTGCATTGATTCTATCAATAACTGATCTCTACCGGTCAACAGTTACTCGCGAGCATCACGAGGGACGTTGCAATTTCACTTGACCCACTTGCTTCCTCTTTGGTCCTGAAGGCGCTCGTATAAGACGACTCGTGCGATATATTTTTCGCGATTATACCTTACCTCTACGGCACGTGTCTGACGCAACGACGAGACGGCATTGCTGATGACAGTGTTGTTCTCAAACCGACCAGCGTCAATTTACCCATGATGTTAACACTGCCTCTCCCATGACATGGGCATGTATGCAAAGAGCATGGGCAGACGTGATTAGGGACGTGATCAAACAACCAAAATAATATATTCGTTTAAAATCTCTGATCGAGCACATACGGCCACAGTCAGCTGAAAACTGGGCATCCCGTCCGCTCTGCCATACATAAGCAGTTGAACGGCAGATTAGTACTACGGTGGGTGACCACGTGGGAATCCCTGCTGCTGTATGTTTTGTTTCTCAACCATATTTTTTCTTTCTTTCTCTGCGGTTGTTGGCGGGCTCTGTCTGCGACGAAAGTCCGGGAGGGAGTAGAGTAACCCCGCAGCTGGCTGTTGCGCAGTCGCTTTTTGTCTTTCGCGCCCATAACACTGACATCTCTACAGCCACTGAAATGGTGCTTTCTTAGACTATCGATGATGAGTAAGCACTGAATGCTCAGATACCAAACGTTTTCTGCGATACTTGAAAGCTAAGTGATTGCAATTCCACAGGCACTGGGTCTGAAGCAATGGCAGACGACAAATGATCACACCTCCAAAGTACCGAATCTTATCCACGGACAATCTCCTCGAAAGCATGAAGAAGTGCAACGGAGACCATGCTTAAGAGCACACCATTCTGTCGATAATGGATCTGTAACGCCGTCTTCGTAGTCAGTCGCTCCTTGTTCGCTTGTGCATTAGTCGCGAATCGACATCTCGCCAACAACAGTTCGCTTGAGACAGGCAACCCGCTGCTTATAGAAGAGGCCCTGTGACGATCTCGCGCAATTTCTGGTGCTCTTCGATTGGACAAGAGCCCCTGTGATTCGCTATCACGCGTCTCTTGCGGCTACAAGCGCCGACCTGCAGCCGGATACTCAATCAAAGCGATGCACCTTCTCCTGCCTTTGATAAACCTGCATATAATGTACGCATAGGCGCGTTGCTCAGAGATATAGAAATATAAGGTGAGGCGATGTCTCCTAAATTGTCACCAAAACCTCAATCGACACTACACCTCATTTGTTCGCGAAACCAGCTATGAGTGACAAAGAGGGTGCGTCTCCCGTAGGGCCTCCTAAGGACAGTGGAAACGCCTTCGCCATTGTGGCATATCTACAATGGGCCAACCGCTCCGTCTCAGACTTTGAACAAGGCAAGCACGAATGCTACGTCGAGTTCGAACAGGATCCAGAAGTTACCCAGAAAAGGTACCACATAGCCATTGACTTGTATGCATTGTCATATGAGGTCAAGGACATGAAGGATGTGAGAGACGGCGAAGATGTCGAACATGAAATCTATGCGGTAAGGCGAGACAAAGAAGGACAAATATAAGTCCAGGGCTTTACGTTGTCAGGCTGAACATGAGACTGATCTTGCAGTACTGTTTCCCCTTCAGCCGCCTGTACTCGCTGCACACATCCTTCGTGAAACCCGAAAGATCACCGACGAATCGTGGCCTTGGGGAGGAGGGCACCCCTTGCTGCCAGCGTATAGCAAGTGAAAAATGCCGCAAAGCTATGATCCAAGAAGTCCATGCAGCAGCAGTGTGGATATGACCATGTGTAGCGGAAATCGAAATCTATGTTTTGGGTCTTAAGCTTCATCTAATGAGGTCAGAGTGCTTCCTCAAGTCGCCGGATGTGTCTCCCAGCAGTACCAATGATATTACTCAAGGCGGGTCCATGCAAACTCTTAAGAAGCTGAACGCCAGTGCGTATGGTTTTATCGAGGAGAATGGTTTTTACCACTGGTCGCGTACCAGGGTTCTGTAATGAAACACAAGCTTTGGATCTTGCTTCGATCTTCGAATGGAATCACGTGTGAGCCTAATTTGTAGGGTTCGTCAATAGGAAGGATGAAGACTTACAGCGTCAAAGAGTATGTATGATCAATCTTGGGTGGTACCGTTTGCGGTGCCTGAAGCATGCTCAAGTTCGGACTGAGGATACAAACTGCCGTACTCACTGCGCAAGGCTTCTCGAGTCGATGATAGAATCTCAGTTTGGATGTTTTGTTTCACTGCATTTTTTGTTTATTTCTTTCTCCTTCGTGATTGTTGGTGGACGGGATTTCGGAGGGAAGCGCCCCGCAGCTGGTTGGCGATTGCCTTTCTCTTCCGTCGCGACTTCTCAAAGTGTTTTCCATCTTTGTCCTGTCGTCTTCATGCAAGATTTTTAGCCTTAAACACTTTTGCAACCAAAGTGGTTAGATTGTTGACCAGACTCATCGACACTCTGCGGAATTCCAATTTCCACTAGAGTCGACCTGCAACAATGATCCGATATGTTCTGCACAAAATCTAGGATGGGTCTATTGCCAATCGAGGAGGTTTTGAACTGTCTCGATAAGCCCGCTGTGCGGCGGATGTTACGGACACTTCCCGAAAGTCTACACGAGACATACGACCGCATTCTACAGAACATACCCAGTCCACGGGTACCGAATACCATCAAGCTTCTCCAGCTCCTCACCTTCTCGGAGCGGCCATTGCGACTCGACGAGCTCGTGGATGCTCTGGCTACAGAGCCTTCCTCAAAGCCCCCGTTCGAAGTAGACGACCGTGTATCACCACCCATTGCCATCCTTGGGTATTGTTCGAGTCTTGTAAGGTCCACGACCGGAGAAGAGTGGAATACAGAAACACAGGTACCCTTAGCGCACTTCTCGGTCAAGGAATATCTATTGCTGAACCGCGAGGGAAATCCTTATCGCCATTATTTCGAAAGAAAAGTTGCACATGGTTCAATCACTCAATTCTATCTGGCATATCAAATCATACGAACCTCTCGTGAAGCTAGATTGATTCGGTCCATATATGCATTAAATTCAATGATGACCACGAGTTGTTTCGCAACAACGGCCACCAAAGTAGACACAAGTCGGAATCGGAACGATGTGCATATGCATGAGCAGTGCTAACGCTGAACGTTTCGGATATAATTCTTACTGCTGAAGGCCATTGATCTCTTCTCGCTTCATCGCGAGCTTCACTCCAGACAAAGGCTGTAAAGCATAGAGAAGCCACATATATTCACGCCAAAGAATTCCCACCTTCAAACCCTCCAAGTCGTCGAAAAACGGCAAGTGATAATCTAGTCTACATGAGTGGATCTGTAGATGTGTTCTGGTGATACTCTAGGAGATGGTATCGCCAGAGAGAGATACTTTGAACCTCTCACACACTCCTTGGAGGAAGTTCATCAAGCAGATAACGCTTGAGCAAAGCTTGTGAAGCTTAAAATGACCGAGAAAGCTTGTCAATCAAATGCTTACTCCGGTTCTGAATAAACTTTTGCTCCAGTTTATGACAAAGCACCCAGATTCGTATTCCCTTATCTTGTGGGGAGGTCACATGCAACAACTAGTCTATCGCAGAAGACTTGCTATAGGATGAACGCCAGACTCTGCGCAGAGCCTTCGGATATCGCGGTCCCGCCCCGGAAAATCCCATCTCGTATCAGAATGTGGAAGTCATGTGGCTCCTTGACAGTCGAGCTAACATGTCCGTCCGACATTCTGTTCTGTTCGACATTTTTCGGTTTTTGAACGACATTCTGAACCAAGATAGAATGACCGTCCAGTATTGTGTCTCAATGCCCAAAATTTCGCAGAATTCTGCAGAAGATGCGCCGATTTCTCCTCAGGATGTGTCTGCTCAGGCGTCCTCGGACGATACGGAGAAGACTTCAGGTGTCCCCCTTGTCGCGGTGCAATATGATGGCACCGATGATCCAGAACGACCTTCACATGAAGAAAAGTCCATGGTAGCAACCAACCAAAAGACTAATCCTGAATATCCCCATGGTCTGAAGCTCGCTGCGATCGTTGTTGCGCTATGCCTTGCAACCCTCCTTGCAGCTTTAGATCAGACAATCAAGGCTACAGCCGCCCCTAAGATCACTGATCACTTCAAGAGTATCGACGATATCGGATGGTACGCTGCAAGTTATCTTCTTGCCAAAGCTGCCCTCCAACCAAGTTTCGGACGGATATACTCTACATTTAACGTTGGTCCTCTCATGAGGTCAGGTCGAACAACGACATTGATATCACTCTAGATCAAATACACTTTTCTCGTAGCTATCGCGATCTTTGAGCTAGGGTTTGCGATTCTCCTCTTGTTGAAAGAAACCAGCTGACATGAACAACATTAAAAGCTCTCTAGTGTGTGCAACGGCGCTGAGTAGTAACGCCCTCATAGTCGGGAGAGCCATTGCTGGGGTAGGGGTCGGCGGACTGTTTACTGGTTCTCTTTCGATTATCTTCTGCTGTGGTAAGTCGTGGAAGGGTTTTCTTACATGATTCTGGATCCATCGAACATGCCCATAAGCTCGATGCAGTCCTATATGTTAGAAGCATCTTCTCGCTAACTTCTATAGCACCATTGCAAAGGCGTCCTGCCGTTATGGGAATAGTTAGCAGTATGTGGGGTGTAGCTTCTGCTGCAGGTCCTTTGCTTGGAGGTGTGTTCACGTAAGTGTCTTCAACGGCACATGAACATGCTCTACTGAAAAATATCACAGTGACAAGGTGTCCTGGAGATGGTGCTTTTACATAAAGTAAGCATATAGTCTTTCGCCATTCTATGGAACCTCATTGACTGATGCCTTCCCAGTCTTCCCATCGGCGCATTGACCATAGTCATGATCGCCTTCCTACTCCAAGTGCCTCGTCTGGACAATGCAGAGCAACTCTCCTTTTGGCAGCGAATCAAGAAGCTTGACCTCATAGGAGCTTCTTTACTCATTCCTGCGACTGTCTGCCTACTACTGGCCCTCCAATGGGGAGGCACAACATACCCCTGGAACGACGCACGAATGATCGTCCTCTTTGTTGTGGGCGGAGTTCTCACAATTGCATTCATATACAGTCAGAGCAAACTCGGGAGCAAGGCAACCCTCCCACCCTACCTTTTCAGGAATCGCAATACGCTTTGCGCTTTCCTCTTCTCTGGCCTATTTGGAGCAGGCTTCTTCTCTCTTACCTACTACCTGTCTGTCTATTTCCAAAGCGTCAAAGGATCCTCATCACTACATTCGGGTATAAAGATGCTACCGCTGCTTATATCAAGTAGCGTATCATCAACATGCACTGGACTTTTGATATCGAGGCTAGGATACTATACTCCTTTCATCATTGCATGCTTGGCTCTATTTGCCTGCGGTGCAGGCTTGCTCACGACGCTTTCTATCGCAACGCCTTATCGATACAACCTTGGATATCAGATACTCACAGGCTTCGGTGTGGGAATCGGCTTCGAAGGAGGCATCATTGCAGTACAAACCGTTCTATCAGGTTGCGACATACCCGTCGCCATCTCAGTCGTCTCTTTCTTCATGACCATTGGCGGCGCCATCTTTGTGCCAATCTCACAGACTGTCTTTGAGAATGGATTTCTCGGCGCAATCAAAACCTTGTCTCCTCAGTTGGATGGCCATGTGTTCTTGAAAGCTGGTGCATCACAGATTCGCGCGATACTGAGCAGCATGCATGAGGAAGATTTGTTGGATTCTGTTCTACATGCATACTGCCATGCGTTAAAACATGTGTTCTGGGTTGTCACTGCTTGTGCCATTGCCGCAGTGATTGCAGCGTGTGGATTGGACTGGAAAAGTGTGAGAAAAGCTCGAGGCATATCTTGTATTCACGACGACGAGACCTCCCGACTTAGCAATTTATGGTTCAAGCTACAAAATGCAGATTTTGGTCATTGGCAATTTCTGCATACAATTACGCAATCGTTCAGTTGCATTCGAACAGTACAGACTGATCGAACGATGTTCGAGGTCTCAATCCTTGTAGACTCTATAAGAAGGAGACAAGGTGAGACTAACTGCACGAGCATTCAAGTCATATTGAATTTGTCGTCTTCATTATGTTGGCCATCATACGAGAGAGTCGCTGTCTTTGTCGTGGCATGGCGCAGCGTCTGAACAGACAGATCCCTCCGGGCTTCGGCACCGTTTCGTGTCCTGCGAACTTTAATCCCACTACAACACCTTTACGGACGTACGTAGTCACCCAGAAAACCTGCTGACCGACCTTGCCCATGTTGAAATGGCAGACTTAATGCGAGAATAACACCGAAAGTTGGATAGAATTGCTAGCCTTTCTCAACACCGCCCCCCTATGATGGCTTGGATCTTCCGAGCGGAGGCTTTGCCGTCAGGCAGAAGAGCTCGTTATATGTGGCAGACTTGGTCAATGTGGAAGGATCAAAGCGAGACAACTATTCCCGATCGGCAAGGATTCTGAAGACCATCCGCGCCTTGTTGCAGGATTCTATCAGGGAGATTGTCGCAACTATGTTAAGACTGCTCCCCAAATCGGACAAGCAACATTGAACCGCTACACTCCTGAGCAACTCAATCTCTCCTCCTGTCCCCTCCTTCTCCTCTTGCGCCTGTACCACGACATGCACGATCCAATCGGCATAGCTGACTTAGCAATCTATGCGGTACTGATAATGCCCACCGTCTATTGTGTTTGGAGACATGCGCCACACGGCATAGTTGGGTGGACTTATCTGATGATGTTCTGTTCTCTGCGCATCATCAGCGGAGCTCTTTCAATCTCCAACGGCAAGGGAGTCGCGCCCAAGATCATCTCAAGTATTGCTCTATCGCCACTTCTTCTTACTGCCACAGGATTGCTTCACGAAGTGCGCGTTCGTGAAACCCCGCAGATCGACGTCAAAGTCGAATGGCTTATCGTCCTGGTCGTCCATACGATTGTTGGTGCTGGTATTGGTCTCACAGCTGTCGGTATTTCTGGAATATCTAGCTCGAATCGCTCTAGCAGCGACACGACATTCATCAAGATTGGACTGGCTTTGTTAACATCTTGCTGGGCATTGGTACTTACCTGGGCGATGTTCTCCTTGAGCGTTCTTGCTTATCGCCGTATCCTACTGTTCTCCACGGTCTTTGCCTCGCTTTGGATAGGAGTTCGCGTCATCTACACTCTAGTCGCTTTCATTACAGAGAAGGTGTCTTTGGATCCGATTATTGGTGATATGGCCATTCGCGTTGTGCTTGGCCTGCTTCCCGAGGTTATCGCTACGCTCTCATTTCTTGTTGGAGGCATACTTGATCCGCCTCAGTCTCGAAGGAAAGAACATTGCAGACGAACCTAAAGAAACACGACATTCCAGATCCTGCGCCGGAATCCAATAGTCAGCTAGGCATGAATCAAACCAAGCAAACTGACGTTGAGTGCCTCGGATGGAAGTTGGCTTGTTTATTCAGGATTAGCGCTGCATATTGAGAAAATGGCACTTGATCAGCTTTTGAATGACATCTAATCTATAATATAACCTCCGCCTGACTAGTGTCAATCAAGCCTTTTCTTTCATTAACTAAGATCCACTATGTGGGGCAATACGAGTTTAAGCGAATCATGCGAACGGTCGTATGTTGACCTCTGAGAGGAACACTTCTTCGTCGATGCAACACTATTTTCTTTACTTCTGGACCTCTACCTAACAAACATATTCGTCTGCTGTCAAGTTCACCATGGCAGAAGAAGTCAACCGCATCGGCCTCTATTGCGGTGCTGTTGCATTAGCACTCAGCTCGTTTATGATCATCGGCATCGTTGCGAACACGGATCCTGAAGAGCGCATGAAACAAGAACTCGAATTCCGTAACCGCAATCGTTCCTGCTGCGGTCATAGCATTTCGGTCCAAGTCCCATGTCCACAAGCATGTGACGCGCGCAAGCGGCTTTACAGTGGCAACCAGAACTTCATGTCAAACTGCTGCTGCTCTAGACATGATTCGAGAAGTTGGAAGTAATCTCAATTGGCATCTGTCAAGTGTGTGGTGGGTTAATGGCTGCAAAAGGTCTGAGCTGCGACTCTCAATGTCTTATGTAAAAGGTGACATGAGAGACTGGGTTGGAATATTCCATGGCTCTTCATTTGTTAGATGTACTAATTGTACTCTCAGAGACAAAATTCTACATACTCTCAACTGTCAGATGAACAACGCAATCTTATCTGAAACCTCGATACTCATGACCTCTGCATAGCCTCTCTCTTACATTTCGGACATAAACACATTTCTTCAAACCACGGCCATAACATCTCCGTCCTTTCATTCAGCGACATGTCCTGCACATCCAAATAGCTAACGAAAAGTTCCTCTCCTTTCTTCAACCCTCTTTTTGCGTAGAAACAGATCGTTGTGCTGTCAGTTTGCCTTATGAACTCCACATTTGGCTCGCAGCTATGATTGAAGAAAGAAAGGAATGGTGTAACCTCGTCGATAAAGCCATGTGCTGGATCCGGAGAGCCGGCTTTGTTGTTTGCGAGGCGAGTCCATATGGTATGTAAAACCATTGTGTCGAAGTTTAGATTGGCGAAGACATCAATGCCGAGCTGCTCAAGTATCCTTAAGGGCGTGATGACGGAATCTTTCATCGTAAAGACGTCCACATGATTGTTTCTGGTGAGTGATTGGAGGCGTGCAAGAAGTGGGTGATCGAGTGGGTGTGATCCAGCGCTAGATTGAATGCAGGCCGCAAGGAATCGCAGCATCAGAAGTGGTCGCAATGATGATGCGTTGTGCTGCAGCCCTTGCGCAGGCTGAGATAGCCAGGAAAAGTCTTGTCCACAAAGCACTTTGTGATAAGTGTTCATACTCAATCCGAGGCATGCACTAGAGCAGTAGGATTCTGAGCAACATGAAGCTCGCATGGGCAGACCCTCGATGTGCGAAAAGCAATTCGAACAACTGAGAGGTTCGACAATGCTGCATATCCCTGTCGCTGTACGGTCGATGAGTATGCATTCACCTGGTTGGATGTATCGCGATGCAAACATCCCAAGCATGTCATCTCTAGTCGCTAGGGTGCTACTGCCCAAGTAACATGCTGGGGCCTGTTGGGTATTTTGCTTGAGTTCATTGTTCACGTCGTTCACAAGCTCTTGTGTTCGACGAAGATGACGATCTTGTATCCATGGATAATGAACACTGGTAACGCATCCATCACGAAGCCGGTCCATCCGTTCCTGCCAAGTACCGCCTAGTGGGGTTGCGAGCTTGTCCTTGCTCCCCAAGAGCCTTCGAAGAGCGATGGCCTTTTCACATGCGTGACTATCTGGAAATTCTTTCGCGACTTCTTCCCAGAAGCTGGCTGCCTCCCAATGGCAGTGGCAATCGTAAAGCGCTTGGCCGAGAATGTCATACATCTGCAATCTAGCACTGCGATCTTGCTCGCCGATACCTTTGAGATCACGATGGAATAACATGCGGCTTTTCCATGCGTCTCCTACTGCAAGCTCTGGGTAGTTAAGCGCAAGGAGATAGCTACCCCGCTCAACCCACAGATGAGGATCATAAGGTTCTCTTCGAATGCGTTCAGTACAGCTTTCTACTGCGTCCATCATCTCGTTGATCTGAGTAGTGTTCGGCGGAGCTGTTTGAAAGTCATTGGTCCGGTATATCGAGCCTGTATAAGACTGTTGCGTTGTCGCCATCTCACGAGACATTACTGTTAGCCATGAGCAATTGCTGAAACGTGCCTGGAAATTCTCACGCATGCGAAAAGCTCTACTATACAGAGAGCGTTGGTTATCTAATGATGACGTGTAATGTATAATGACTATGCTCAGACATGATTCCCATCCACCAAATACCATGTACAAACATGGTATTCTAGCCGCACCTACGTACTCGCCCGCTCTACGAATCTTGACCTACCTCGGGGTCAGGGTATTATGACCGTGCCATACAGATCGGCGCATGCGACAGTACTCTAGTTCATGGTGGGCAAGAGGTAGGTCAACATGATCGAAACCGTTGTGTGTCGGGAGAATTCTGTCCGCGTGCCCGATGACGGGCTGCGACAGTAATTCTAACGTCAAGCTGTATACCAATTGTGTCATATTGACAACTAAATCGATGTTCAAAATGACTTGAAGATCCATTCGCTGAACTACTTCTTTCCCCTACCATTCTTCAAATTCTCACCAAATTCCAGCCGATATGGGTGTTCTGAGCAATCTTTATGACACTGTCGAGCTGGGCCACTTCGATTGGCCGTTTCGTAACAGGTGAAGCCCAGAAAACATCAAAGTGGGAGAAATCGTAACTGATGTTGTCTATCAAGTCATCCCGTGCATCCGGCGACCGTCCACTTCCCACTCACATTCCTCTCCACGGCCTACACTCTAGATACCGTCTACGGTGTTGCAAATCGATACAGGGCCTTAGCCTTCCTGACTCCTTTTCTTGGAGACATCTCGCGGCTTGGATATCTCTGCCATATCGCAGGTCTTGTAACTTCTCTGCCCAGCTTTACCAGCGGCTCTGCAGAGTTGTGGGAACTTTACAAGAAAGGCGGCATCAATCAGAAGGACAAGAAACTCACCAACCCAAACTATCACGAGGACATCAACAGCCGCAGTATCAAGATTGGGCTCGCTCATGGTGCCCTTAACTTTGTCGCGGCCGGCGTGTCAACGTATGCTGTATGGACAAGAAGAATGGCTCCAAGCTTTGCCCCGGGCAGGGTAAGCATACTTCTTAGTGTGCTAACGCTCCCTGGCGTTGCATTGAGTGCGGCACTAGGCGGAGAGTTGGTTTATGGCAAAGGCATAGGCGTACAAAGGATGGGATATGCCTTGGATGAGAAAATTCAGGGAATAAAAGAACATACCAATAAGAGTGACTAGGATCACTATACTACTGCTAAAAGCCGAGCTTGTACCATGATAGCCTGTATATAAACCATAAACGCGAAACACTTGCAGCTAGTATGCACCTTCAGCACAAAAAGGTTCGTGGTGAACATGCTTAGCCTTCATACTAAACGGGAGTTCATTGTACCGAGCTCGCCTCCCTTATTTGCTCACAACCGAGATCTGCTCAACATCCATCTTCTTCTCATCCCTAGCAATGCTCAATCTCCTCTCCTCATCGTACATCTCCTTGTTGATGACTCTAGTGTGATTCTTGTTCAAACCCATGCATACTCGCGGTTCGTCAAAGAACATATGGTCGATCTTTTCCAGACTCCTACCCGAAGTCTCAACACCAAAGAACCACGTCAAAGGCACGAATGATGCATTGACGATGGCCCAAACCCAGAAGTAGTTGCCGCCAATATTAGAAAGTCCAATGGGTGTAACCATGACAACCACGAAGTTGCTCATCCAATGGCCGAAGACGCCAACAGCGGTAGCCTTGTTGCGAACGCGAAGAGGTTGAATCTCAGCGGAGTAAGACCAACTCACGGGAAGGATACCAAGGGTGAAGCAGTCCATGAACAGGAACATGAAGGCAACTGCGACGATGGAATTGGTATGGGTAGGGTTGACGAGCGCACCGGCAATGATAGCCATGCAAGCTGCACAGCCGATAGCTGAGAGGATGACGGTCCAGCGGCGGCCGAGACGATCAATGTAGAAGTATGGAGGCCAGGAGAAGATGGCGTACTGTGTGAAAGCGACTGAAGCGAGAATGAGGGCCATGCTCGGGCTGTAGCCAAGGTAGTTTTCGAGGATGTATGCGAGGTAGTAGCAAAGGGCGTCTGTCATGGTGAGTTAGCACTATCTCTTTCCTTGGAGACTATATGATATGCTTACTGATTCCAGACCACTGATTCATCATGTAAGGACCCATGCCGAGTATGACGCGATGCAAGTTTCTTGACTTGGTAGAGTTGGTAAACACCTCGCTCCACGTTGCATCGCCAGCCTCTTGCTCGATAGCAATGACTTCGCGGATCTCGTTGAGCTGGTTGTCGACGTCCAAGTGGTCGACAGGCTTGTCTTCGAGACGAGCGATGACCTGACGAGCTTCTTCGATGCGGCCATTTTCAGCAAGCCAGCGAGGGGTCTCAGGTAGGAATGGTGTAAGACAAAGGACAAGGCCGGAGAACAGCATCTGACACGCGATGGGGAACCGCCACTGGAAGCTCGAATTGGAGTAGAGAGTGGCAAAGCATAGCCATGAAGCGATGGCAACGCCGATGATGATTAGAGCTGATTGGACGACGAGAAGCTGGTAGTTCTGTCAGTACTTTATTCCACTGGTGACGAATAGAGTGGGATACTCACAGCACCACGATTGCGGCTAGGTAGCGTCTCGCTCTGCAAGATGGGTACAGCAACAGTGGAAAAGCCAACACCAGCGCCAGCAATGACTCTAGCAACACTCATCTGGGCATACGAGAAGCTGGCAGTCTGGATAGCGGCTCCAATGATGACGATGATGTTGGCATAGACAATACTCTTCTTGCGACCGACCTTGTCGCCGACGAGAAACGCCATGACAGCTCCTAGAGCACAGCCAATATCGTAGATTGCTGTGACAAGGCCAGTGCGGGTTGCTGAAGGGTTGCCGAGCATATGCTTAAAACCATCGCCGGCTAGGACGCCTCCAAAGAGCCCTTGATCGAAACCAAATAGGAGGAAGTCCAGGCCAGAGGCCAGGAGGATGACTGAGATAAGTGCGTTGCCGCGAAGTTCGATAGCCATAATGGATGTATGAACTCGAATGTTTGTCAGGAGTCAAAGAGCTTGGTAATGCGCAAGAGCTGGTAGGGGTGATCGACCATCTTATATGTTCGACACACGACAGCCCACACGTTCAGTATCAGAACACATGCATGCGGGGACAGTCCGGGGTCTCCAGTTCGTTCTCCAGGTTTTCTCCATTCAGCACGCGATGATCAAACACCTGAGATAGAGGATGGTCGTATGGGTTGCTGTTTGGAGGCATCCGCCCGTTGTTGCGACTCGCGCTGCCGAGACGGCCATGCCAATTCGAGGCATCCGGTCGTCGCTTCCTAGTTGGGAACTTGCAGGACGAATCAGATGTCTAGGCGAACATCGGCGAAAGTGCGCGGGGAAGGGTTGTGGTCAAGACAAGGTTGGCGCGATGGAGGAAAGAGCGGGGTCGAGTATGTACCCGTGGTGAAACTGTATGTGCGCGAGGATTGGTGGACATGATGCGGTTATGTAGCATTGAGTTCCCGATCAGATGAATCAACATCTCTTCTGCGCGTCCATATCCTCTCGTATTATTGACAAGTGATGAAATGAAGGGCTCGTGGGAATGGACCATCAAGTCAATTGACGTCCTATAAGCGACCCTGCTTTCCAAGCCACAACAACCCGAATGGCACGAGGCTGAGTATCAGACTTACAAAACCCAGCACTGTCATGCCCAAATCTATGCCCAAATTTGCGTACATCCTCGGCGCAGCCAACGGTAACAATGCACCGAACACGCTCCTGGTGCAACTTGCAGCAGCAGATGCGCTTGCGGCAAACTCGGGAAACGCATCCGTCATGTAATTGAGAAGAGCCATGAAGATAAGGACGAAGCCTGCGCCAAAAAGCGCACCCGCAAGCATAGGGACTATCCAGTGCACGCGAGGACTTGACGACCACCCCATCCAGAAGACAGAGACGACACACAACGGGGCGCCAATGCAGGCCAAAGGCAGTCTTTTGTATTCGCGAACGGTGGTGAAGGAACGGCCCTGGGCATGCGCGTTGCGAAAAAAGCGATCCCAAGCGAGAGAGATGAGGAAAGCAACTATGCATCCTACAGCGACTGATGAAATATGTCAGTATCAGTCTACTGGACATAAGATCCTGCAACCCACTTGGAACGAACGCAAGGCCAGTAGAAACAAGACCCATTCCGTAGATGTCCTGATATATGATGGGATAGGCTTCAAAGAGTAGGACTACAAGATTAGCAAGGTTTGGTCAACCTCTTGGAAGATAGAGTGTTGAAGCTTACAGTAGACGCCACTGATGAATGCTAAGTAAACACTGCTCAGAAACACGATGATTTCTGTGCAGAACATGCGTATTGGTCGCGCTAAAGTTATTGTTACCATCTCCTGGAGATCTTGCTTTCCCATTTCGATCGGTGCATAGACATGACAATCAGGATTCAAGGATCTCAGTCTTCGAGCCTTACGCCTCAAAATCACAGGCTTGTAGGTCTCAGGCAAGAATACAATAGGCACTAAAGAGACGGCCGCGATAACCAGTGCAACCCAAAAGGTCCACCGCCAACCCACAGATGAGAGCGCGCCGGAAATTACAGGTGCAAATTGAGGACCAAAAGCTGTTGCCTAGAACGGTGTGAGAATTTGATCAAGATCCGAATTGTGTATTCTTTGACGCACTGAGATGTAGAAAGCAATTGCCCTGCCGCGCACTACAGGATCCTCAAATATATCAGCATAGATACCACTCGTGATGGCGATAGAACTCGAAGCATTGATGCCGCAGATCAAGCGAAAGACAAGAAACGACGCCCAGTTCCTCGCACCAGCACAAGCACCTGTGAATGCTGTGAATAAGACGAATGTTGGGACCAACACAAGCCTTCGTCCATACCTCTCGCTCAGAGGAGAGAAGAATAAAGGACCCAGAATATAGCCAACTAGATAGACAGAGATGGGAAGTACAAGCTGAATATCTTGAGTAACTTCAAAGTCCTTTGCGATCAACTTGATGGCACCGCTAGGTAGAGAAGAATCTAGAGTACTATTAAGGATAGCAACAATCCCGATAGTAACGATGAACAGCTTTTTCGTCTTGAGTGGCGTCAATTGTCAGCCCGGAGCAGAAGATGCGATGAGATTCGTTCTTACTCGCGACCACTTAAATGGGTTCTCAGAGTCGTTCTCGGCGAACGAAATTACTTCCCGTTGGTAGTCAGCAGGGACTGCCTTTTCGGCGTCCCGGCATTGTTGTGACATAATCAATAAGCACGATGGTTGCAATTGCTCCAGGTCGAATGTAAAACTTCTTGAGAACCAGTGCAGAGAAGAGAAAGGGGCACCAGGAACGAAGCGTTGCCATACTTGAAGAACATCCCAAGTCAAGCAGACTCCCGTCGTCCTCAAAGAGACACCGCTGGCGCGCCACTATCTTGCCGGAGTCCGACATCGGACCCACTCCAATCGGTCGTGGCTCTTCCCAAAGAGGACATCTTTGGCGGGGAGAGTCGTGCTTGTGCAACAATTTCACTCTTGTCGATGAGATATCGGACAGCGGCCCCAATCATGATAATGATGTTGGCAAAGAAGATTCTCTTCTTACGACCGACCTTATCGCGGACAATGAACGCCATGATAGCGCCAAGAGTAAGTCTGGTGTCGTAGATGCATGTCAGTGACAAGATGGTACAAGTAGCCGATGTATTTTTTCCAGCAAATGTACGAGAAGGGTTGTAGTCAAGACAAGGTTGGCGTGATGGAGGAAAGAGTGGGGTCAGAGTACGCATTTGGACTCGTCCGACGGACCGACATCTCAACCACATTTCACCATGATGCAGGCACTAACATACTATACAAAGATCTTTTTTGCTTTGCTTCAGTCTCAACGACAGTCTATTATTGTTTTCTGAGTATACTGAAGTGGTCTAGCGACTGACACCTCTTCTCCCTTGTCCCACCTCCGTGTCTTCTGCCTTCTTGACTTCCGTAGTACTCCGAGTGTAGACAAGACCAAAATGTACACCATAACAAGGCACAACTATCTTCGTAACTAGAAGCGTGTCCACGGAGAATTCAGATCCGTCTCCAGCATAGTGCACTCAGACTTCCCCACGAAAGACAGCGTTGACGGAATCTCTCATCTTCTGGTCTTTGAGGGTGATCGCATCGATGAGGATTTCGAGTCCATCGATGGTAGGTTCAATACTCTTGTCCTCACCACAAAGAGCAGCAAAAGTATCCATTCCATTCTGAATACACTCGTGAGCAGACTTCTTTTGCTTGAAAAGGTTGTTGAGGTACACCAAGTCTTTATCTGACTGAGCCATATCTTCCACATCTCCTTCGACGGCTTTTCTGGCATCGGCGAGATGTGCTTCCAGGGTCTTTGTTTTTCTGGCGGAACACTTTTGGCGAGAGTGGTGGGGTCGGGAGGTGTAGGCGCGAGGGCGAAGCGTGGTGCTCCACTGGCCAGCATCGCCGCAAGACAAGTCGATGTTATACTCTTCGTTGTTGCTTGTGAGCGAGATGTTGCGCAGCTCTTTGATGCCATCCGGACCGATAAGGTCAAGCCATTTGTAGGTCTTCAGGTCGAATTTAGGTGCGTTGGCGATGTAATAACCTGGATACAGGTCCAGACGGAAGGAGTTAAGGCGAAAAAAGATTGGGCTGGCTTCCTCTCTGATCTGCTTGTTGACTGCGAGGAGAGTAGGACGAGCCAGTCCGACTGGATCATCACTCACGACGTGCTCGTACACAAGCAGACGAACTTCCTTGGGCAGGCGCAAGAAATTAATTTGGCGCTGAGCGTCTGCGACCTGCAATGCACAGCGCAATGCATAGCGAGAATCGATGGCGTCTTTCTTCAAGCAGATGCCACGGGCCAATAGTTCTATCTGAGCGTCTTCCTTGCTGACATGAGCGTAAGGGTTGCGCGAGTCATCGTCTTTGCGTAGGAGGCGCTTGAGGTAACGACGATTGTGACTATTGTTGGCGCCGTACCGGGTCAAGTTCTCACGGAGCTGGCAGCAGCAAATAGTTTTGCGTCTCTTGCACTCCATGAGCAAGTACTCAAATTGGAGGCGGCGTCGTCGACGAACTTGTTGTATGCGTTGCTTTGCAAGCATCTGTGAAAATTAGCCTTGCTTTCTTTCTGCTGCAAGTTACTCTAGCTCTCAAGTCACATTCTGCTCCGTTGCAGAAGCGCATCCACCAGAGATGGCAGAGGGTGGGGACATCTGTCACTTACAACTTGCTTGTTCTCGTCAGCGGTGGGCCAGGGGTACAAAAAAGGCCAGTCCATGGGAAGGGAGGGAATTGGGGGCAGCATTGTTGCGGAATTGTATCGTCGTGATTATTTCTTGTTCGTGGACAAGGTGTTTGTGGTGCGTCGCAAGACCAGGTTGCCAACTTCACCTGCACTCTGAAATCTTCCGAGGTGACGGAAACGGCGAGAAGGAAAATCCTTTGTCACGGCCCCTAATATTCACGTGTACTCCACCATATTCCGATTACAGCTGATAGTAAAACGTAGACTACCAAAAGGCACAGTCCTTGTGGGAAGCACAGGTATGTCCATCGAGACTCGACAACTCGTTGCCTCTCAGTGGATACCATTTTGTTTCCTGATACTATCATGCATTTCTATAGTTATGAATGTCATATGCCTGAGTACATGGGAAGCAGAGGCATGTCCACGAAGCGTCGACAACTTGTTGCCCCCTACTCCGAGTGCAGCAAAAAGCAATTTAGGTACTATAAAAATGCACAATGTATTCAGAAGCAGAGACATGTCCACAGAGGGCCCAACATTTATTGCCTTCCAGTGGATACTGCATTGTTTCCCAATGCTATCATGCATTTTTATAGCTACACCTACTTCGGCACACGAGGAGGAAGTAACACTATTTAAGACTCAACGTTCACATTAACGACAAAGTTATACTCAGACGTTGATACAAGCCTCTCAAATCGTGAGTAGCAAAGGGTTTTTCGTGATGTAGCATTTTCTGGTTCGATTTTCTAGTGTACAAACTCATCTGTGACTTCTTTATTCCCCTGTATCTGGCCATTAACGATCCCAACTCCAGAGACTCAGTCCAGCAGACATGAGCTCAACAATCAATAATCAGCATGACCGAAACGAGCCTGCTCCACAGCCATAAGACCTCGGCCGATCATCTCAAGACCCTCGATAGTAGGCTTAACCACCTTGCCCTCACCGCACAGGTCACTAAATTCATCCATGACTCTCTGACTGCGGCGAAGAGCGTTTTCGTATCTCTTGATGGCTTTTTGCATGAAGTCGTCAATGACAGCGTTTGGAATTGGGAGTCCAGTCGATCTGAGAAACTCGACGATTTCAGCGTAGTAAGTGTAATCTTCAGCTTCATCGATGTCGCCCTGCAGCGACCTGAACTCCTTTTCGGGGCCGGGGTTGATTGTGAATCTCCAGGGGCCAGCATCACGGCGCGACAGATTGATGTGGTATTCGTTGTGTTCGAAGTGGTAGAATTTGGTGGCTGGGAAGGAGAAGGCAACGCGGCGCAGGTTGCTGATGTGCTTAGGGCCGATAAGAGCGAGCCATTCGTGAGTCTTGCTGTCGAAACCAAGCTCGACAGATGTTGTGTGAGGTTGTGGCTGCAGATTCAGGAGGAAACGGTTGACGCGGTAGAATGTAGGACTGGCTTCCTCTCTAATCTGGCGGTTGACCGCAAGGAGAGCAGGAAATGAGTTTTGGGCGTTCGTTCTGCTTCTGCGCAGAGCATAACGGTAGATCATCATGCGGATCTCTTCAGGCAGGTCCAAGAAATGGAGCGAACGAGTGCGGGCGGCGCCACGCGAGCTCATTAGGATGAGCTGAAAGTCGTTCATGATGCGGTTCAAGGTTGAGTTGAGCATGGCGAGGCGTTGAGATCCGGGTGAGTCCTGGATTGATGAAGGCTGTGACAGCAACGTAAGCGCGGCGCACAACAGTAGATAGAAAGATCTATTCTCACCTGGACGAGCAGTAAGGAGGCAGCTTGCCTGAATGCAGGGTTGGTACTGCTGTGCGCAGATTCAAATCGCAAGTGGATGGTTTTGTTGTTGCGGCTGAGTGTGGTTTCGACGAACCACGACCAACCTAGCACTCTCATTGGACGGCCGGTCTGGTTCTACTTGACGAAACCTCTCACTATACTAATCATGATACAACCCCTCCTCAGGAGGTTTGACGCCATACCAGTCAAGGCCCAGGCTATCCTCAGGATCAGGATCAGGCATCTGATAAAATCCATCATACCTCCAGAACTCTCGACCCTCCCACACGTCTTCTACAGGGGTCACTCCGTCCTCCTGCATTCGCTCAGCAACTCGAGAAACCTCTGTCCACACCCGGAGTATGTTCTCTCCTGCAACTAGTGCGAGTTGCTCCTCTGTAGCGCCACGGTCCAAGATAGCTTGCAGTAAGGCAGGGAAGCGAGAGCAATCCTCGAGACCAGGGATGACAGACGCAATGCCTACAGTCATAGTGTCAATACCATCCGCGCTCGAGGACAGAAGCATACGATTCTGCTTACCGTCAAAGTCCGATCCGAGACCAACATGCTCCCACCCAATGCGAGTCGCCATGTAGAACAGATGGTCCAGTAACATGTCTACTGTGGCTTCAGATCTCCTGGCTGCGAGATGTTCGGGTACGAAAGTGACCATGACTATTCCATTGTTGGCAGGCACAAGATCGAGAACCGAGTCTGGCACATTACGAGGACAGTCGAAGATACTGCGTGCATTGCTGTGAGAAAAGATGACAGGAGCAACCGTACATTGGTGAGCTTGTTCTGCTGCTTCCGGTGAGACATGGGAAAGGTCGACCATCATGCCTGGGTTGCATCAGTGATCTTTAGTGTTCGGTTATGCAAGAGTGTGGCTGCATGGGGTGACTACTTACCTAGTCGGTTCATCTCTTTGATTGCTGCTTTGCCCAGACTCGACAACCCTCCATGGATCGGCCCCACCTTGGACGTGGAGGAGTCTGCAAAAGCATTATTCTCGACGTGCGTCATGGTGCACTATCTCGTCAGTCACACACAGATACCAGCGGGTCCGAGAAACATTCTGCTCACATATCTTACACCCAACCGATGGTAAGCTCTGATGACGCTAATCGAATTTCCAGCCTGATGCAATCCCTCCAAACCAATCGAACAAGCAATCTTTCCTGATTGGTATATCTTTCTGACATTCTCCGGACCAAAGATAAGTTCAAAGTCCTTGGGATATTGCTTGACCATACGGATAGACAAATCGATTTGCTCAATAGCATCACGACACATATCGTTATATTGAGGTAGCGCGAAGTCCTCGGAGCCACGAAGATGAGGTACACAAATTGACCAGAACTGCAGACCCACGGCACCCTGTTTTAGACGTGGCAAGTCGGTCATGCCGCGTTGGAACCCTTTTTCAAGATCGAATTTGGAGTTGTTGTGTATTTTGCCTTTGAAGCAGCATCTTGGTTGCTGAGGGAGATCATTATGTCCGTCTGCAAGCGGCGTGTTACGCAGAACGCGTTTGACTCGTTCATCAATGTCAAGAAGCTGGTACGGGTGAATCTGGTTGTTGTCAGACATTGCTTTGATACATGTAGATTCCTTGCGAGAACTAAGGTTACAATCCCTGATGTTATGTACTTGAAAGACGATGGATCGTAGTGCTTGTACAACAGAGTCTGTGCCGGAGTCGTGGTGAGCGAGATCCGCGGTAAAGTCATGATTAGGTAGATAGGAAAGCGCTGCCCGCCTTCGCCGTACTCTTATCTGCCTGGCCTATCTTGATTGCGAATGTGCGGGGTTTGATCCTTTGATGATTGCGCCGTGACAGACTGCCCCAGGTTCTTCGCGTCTTGGATTTGGACTTCGGCTCAGAGTCACTCCGATTTGTCCGTGGAAAACTGCACTTGCAGGTTCCTGGTTATCGGTAGGTACAGTATCGCTAGAAGGGGTATAAGAACGTGGGGTCTGTTGAAGATGCATCCAAGATCAAACTAGTTTTCCGACTCTTACGCAACATGCAGTCTCGACTATCACAACGCCCGAACAAGGTAGAAGCTTCAGACCTCGATCTGAAGGCTCTTCCACACGAGACTACCACATATGACTCCACTGAAGCAGGCGAAGTCCTGTCTGCTGTTGACGACAAGAGACTCTTGTTCAAGATCGATTGTCGATTGATGCCAATACTGCAAGTCCATTCTCCAAATCTTTCTTCACTGGAGATGCCACTGACAACACCCAGATGCATAACTTACGCGCTGCAGTCGATCGACAAAACGACCTTGTCGTATGCTGCCGTTTTTGGACTGGTGAGTTTGACGAGTGTCTTTTCTACCCAGTAGAAGCAGCTCACATAGTGCGCCTCAGGCCGATGAAACCCACCTTTCCGGGTCTGAATACCCATGGCTCGGAGCTATCTTCTACCTCGGGTACATGTTCTGGGAATGGCCGACTTCATACCTGCTCCAAAGGTATCCACTCGCAAAGTTCTTAGGCGTGTCGGTGGGTTCTTGACAGACACATGGTACTGATTTAGAAATCCACTGACAGTATCAGGTAATTCTCTGGGGCGTCACGTTGACCTGCCACGCGGCTGGCCACAATTTTGCTGGACTAGCAACGGCAAGATTCTTCTTGGGTGTGTTCGAAGCCTGCATACAACCGGTGACAATGGTCATGTTCAGTATTTGGTACACACGTATGGAACAGCCACTACGCCTGGGTATCTGGATCGGTTGCGCCGGACTTGGCTATGTCGTTGCCGGTATCACGAGCTTCGGTATTGGACATATCCACGGCGCTTTGTCCAGCTGGCGATATACGTTTCTCATATGGGGATTCGTCACTATCGCTTGGGGCATTGTGGTACTTCTGTTCCTGCCTGATAATCCTGTCTCAGCTAAGTTTCTGTCGGAAGATGAGAAGAGAGGCGTTACCGAGCGTGTCAAAGCCAACAGTACCGGGCTTGAAGAGAAGACTTTCAAGAAGGCTCAAATGTGGGAGACGCTGTCAGACACAAAGACCTGGTTACTCTTCATCTTCGCAATTAGCTCGAACGCGCCCAATGGGGGCTTGTCTACCTTCCAGGGCCTCATTATTCGCGGTCTTGGATTTTCGAAACTACAGACGACACTGATCCAGATGCCTTCAGGTGCCATCCAGTTTGTGGTTTGTATCGTCGCAACTTTCGTCGCCTCTTCCTTCGAGAACGCAAGACTGCTCACTATGTTTGCATGTCTGCTGCCGACATTAGCTGGTGTCATTGGAATGTGGACACTGCCATCAAGCGTACCTTGGGGCCGCTTGGTGTGTTTGTGGATTACGTTCACCTACACCGCCACATGGACACTTTCCATGTCTGTCGTGACAGCAAACACCGCTGGACACACTAAGAAGTCAACAAGCGCTGCAATGCTGCTCATTGGCTATTGTCTTGGCAATTTCATAGGACCGTTTTTCTTCCGCAAAGCCCAAGCGCCGCGATATGAGCTAGGTGTGGGTATGATGCTGACCTGCCTTGGTATCCAGTTCCTTAGCATCCTAGGCTTGTATCTGCTGTTCCTCTCCCGGAATCGTTCGCGAGCTGCTAAGAATGCACTGTCGGCGGACCATATTGCTGAGGGAGAGATACGAGGGCTCCACGACGAGACGGATCTTCAGAACCAAAACTTCAAGGTAGGCTTTCCTTCTGGAATGTTTAGAGAATATCTCGGCTGACCGCATTGTGCCTGAAGTATGTGTATTGATGCGACACGTTTTGCAAGTGTTACATAGGCGTTCTTGTGGTGTCTCTTCTGGTGGTGGCTGCGCTATGGTTGAGTAACATTTTGGGTATCCTTCAATTCATTGTTGTGTGTTCTCATTCCACTGGAAGTGCTCGAGATCGAAGTCAAACGCGGTTGCGAATCCCAAGACTGTATCGTTGAACATAAGTGAATCGTTGTCAACAACATATTGAGAGTCAGCAAATGCAGGTGACTCGAAGTTCGTTCCAGCCTCGATCCTATTGGTCATGTCCGTGCAGTTTGACAAGCAATCGTCAGCCAGATCCCAAGCTTCGTTGTTGCGATGCTCTTGAAGACATGTAATCATATCTTTGGCCAACTTGAGTGATGTGTTTCGAGTTCTATTTGTGGCTTTGAGTGCGTTTCTTAGCAAGAACAAAGTAGCCGAGGTAAGAGTGAAGCCATTCGTTGGCATCCAAAATCCTCTAAGGTGAGGGTGTTTCAGCTCTTGTACAAGCAGGACTACCTCTTCAGCAACTCTTTGGGTTCGAAGTCGAGCCTGAGCTGCGCTCTCATGCTCTGGCGTGAAGCTGGTAGTGTCACACAAGATTCGGCAAAGCAGAAGCTTGACCGCAAGATAAGAGAGTCTGAGATTGGCTGCTCCAGGTCGATCAAGATCGTTTCCTCGAAGGACAAGTCGACGTGTTTCGTCGTCCAAAGTGTCTTCCCAATCCGTCAAGAACATTTCGAGATGTAATGGTGAGACTGGTGATCGATCGGTGGTAGCAACTCGCGATATATGGTAGACGTGCTCAAGATACCGGGACAGAACGTCTGTCAGAGTTAACATGGCTAGAAAAATGGACAAACCAGCATGTTGCGTGGTGGATGTCCTAGATTGCGCCAGTAGCTCCTTGCTGGGTACAGGCACATCATATTGAGCGCGGTGGATCAATAGTGGCGTCCCATATGCAAGACTTGTCCTGCGACTAGATCAGTATCGCTGGTCGATCCGCAGAGTGAAACGACGTACCATCGATCCATCAGCATGACGATTGACCAGATACGGAACCGGAACGTCTTCTCTTCCGAACTTATATTCCAAGTTGAGCAGTCACGATTGAGACCCAGCGAGTTCGAAAGTGCGACAGCCGTTCCTACCATTCCTCCATTGCCAAACATTGAGGTGCTTGGTCTTCCGTGGACGTTCAGTATGATGGCTATGACGGTTGAAATCCCAGGTGAGAGGAACAATTCGGAGTGAAGGGCCTCGTTTGCCTGCACCCAGATGTAGCGTTGATCTCGAGGATGAACAGAGCGTAATCGTGGTGAACTCTTCCAGTACGTCATTGCATTGGCGTACAAATTGGCCAGGAGGGCAGAAGAAAGGCGATCCTTGTGCTCTGTGTACGTTCGTCGGAAAGATGTCTCGTCCAAGACAGGGAAACAAACATTGACGTTCTCAAAGAAACTAGAGACTGGTTAGCATATTTTCTTGAAAATTTCACACAGCGTGAGTGACATGCAGATTTATCATGTCCATGACATGAGGCTCTAGGAGCTTCTCGATGACTTCAAGCTTCCCAGCAGCAACCGATTGGTTTGCGTTGATACCGAGCGGTTTCCTGAGGACTGTGTTGAACAGAACGCGTCTCGAAGGCGGGCCCATACTTGTACTTGTCGACGAAGTACGGGTGATCCTTCTAATACCAACGGCCGGGTCGCTGGACAGATAACTATCGAGCTCCTCGTTGTCATCGGCTATCGCAGGGCTGATGATGTGTGTACTCGAGTCCCCAGACTCGGCGAGCATGGCACTCATTCTGGTTCCCTCGATTGATCTTTCAATGATCGGAGAAGGCGGAGCAGCTGGATTTGTTAATGATACTTGATTGTTGTTGTATGTCTGACTATGAGACTGAACGGCATTCGTAACATGAAACTCCTGAGGATACGCCATAGGTAAGGAGTCATCATCGAGGTTGATGTTGTTCTCAGAGTTACCTGCGTGGCTTGTTGCATGACTTGTGGCACGGCTTCGCGATGTAGGCACTTTTCGGCGACGCGACTGATCACTATCCACAAAGACACATTGCGAACCATGCACTTGACACATGAGACACGCGTCGGAAGATTCTGTTGTAGCGCATCGAGACTTGCGGCGACGACAGGCATCGCAAGCAGGTCGGAGATGTGAGCGGTAGGGCCGACCCTGGTTTGACGTTTGCATGACAGCTTACAAGCAGACGAACAGTGTCAATGCAGGAGCAAGTAGTCAGCGTTCAACATTTTTCCGGAGAGTCAATCGCGACTTCCATGTTCTGATGAGAATGTCGCCGACAAGCAGCAAGCACTTGAAGATAACGACTTCCTGTCCGGGAAGACATCGGGCTTCACCAAAAAGCCCCACACCAACGACGCGCCACCCATTGTTCATCCCTCTACTCTACGTTCAGCACGTCCATGTTCCATCCACGCGTTCATTGCAATGGTAAGTGCTATCTAACACGCGCATGATTCCACCTCACCTATCATACGTCGAGGACTTGTTAGATTGATCTGTATCCTGTACCGGCCGATAGGCAAAGAGTTGAGTTCTCCGCGCCCAAAGTTTTCCGCGGGAAACTCATAAACGCCGCGGCAATGGCATCTTCCAGGGTTCGATGCTCGAGTGTTGTGAGCTCGCCCTCTCCTCTATAACACAGCTCAAATCTTTCGGAGTACACCATTCTCGTTCATCATTCACCCACTGCTCTTTTACAACATGATCTCCAAGACCGAACCGACTGCCGAAAGCACTTTCTGGGACAATGCTGACAAGCATCTCATGCATACTGGTGTTCCATTCTCACCGGTTATTATCACCAAGGCTCAAGGTACAAGACTCTACGATGCCGACGGCAGATCAATCCTGGACTTCACCTCTGGTCAGATGAGCTCGCTCCTTGGACACTCTCATCCCGAAATTGTCGAAGTCGTTCGAAAACATGTCGGCGAGCTTGATCACTTGCTCAGCAATATGATCACTCAGCCAGTCGTAAACCTGGCTGTGCGCTTAGCCAGTCTACTCCCTGCACCTCTTGAGAAATCGTTCTTTCTCAACACCGGTTCTGAGTCGACAGAGGCTGCCATCAAGATGGCAAAATGCTACACCGGAAAATTCGAGATTGTCGCTTTCACCGCGAGCTACCATGGTCTTACTTCAGGCTCTGGGTCTGCCACCTATTCGGCAGGACGCAAATTCGGCGGCCCGGCAATGCCTGGTCAACTAGCCTTTCCCGCGCCATATCCCTACCGCTCGCCCTTCAAGAAAGCCGATGGCTCTTACGATTGGGAGACCGAATTAGAATATGGCTGGGCTATGATTGATCGTCAAAGCGTTGGCTCATTGGCCGCATTTATCATGGAACCAATCCTTTCCACAGGCGGTATTCTTGATCCGCCTCCCGGCTACCTCAAGCGCATGGCTGAAGAATGCAAGAAGAGAGATATGCTTCTCATCATGGATGAGGCGCAAACCGGTGTTGGACGTACTGGACAGATGTTCGCTTTCCAAAGAGATGGTATCGTGCCGGACATTCTCGCTCTCTCCAAGACACTGGGTTGTGGCTTGCCCCTGGCATCTGTGACAACAACAGCCGAGATCGAACGAGGATGTCGTGAGGCGCGCTTCTTGTGGCTCACCACTCATCTGAATGACCCTCTCACGGCAGCAGTCGGAGATAAAGTTCTCGAGATCGTGGTGCGCGACAACATCTGCGAACGAGCCGGTGAACGTGGCGCTCAACTTCGAGCAGGCCTTGAAAGGCTTCAAAAGAAGTATTGGTGCATCGGAGATGTCCGAGGACGTGGTCTCTTCCAAGGCATCGAGATTATCTCAGATCCTGAGACCAAGGCTCCTGGTCTTGACATCGGGCAAGCAGTTTCTGATAAAGCCATGGCTCTCGGTCTCTCATGCAACATTGTGAATCTTCCTGGCATGGGTGGTGTCTTCAGACTAGCACCACCTGTCACTGTATCTGCGGAGGAGATCGAGGAGGGTTTGCAGATTCTCGATTCCGCTTTTGGCGAGGTGTTAAAATCCCACAGTAACTTGCGTGCTGGTCACGAGCAACCTGCTGTTCCGCTTTGAGCATTCAATGACGGGGGCATATCCAATCTCTCTTTTTTCTTTGTTATGAATCTTCAAGTGCTTTTAGTAAAGGTGTAGCTTTCTTTCATCATAGTAAGACTGCTTTCATGTACATAAGATACTTTAAGGAAGATCTGGACTGCTGGTCGAGGTTTGTAGATAGGGTCGCAGCTCATACATGAAAATTGAGCGCTTGTCCTAAGCTATTCTTGAGCCCAAAGAACTTCGACATATGTCTTTCACTGTCTATCATCAACCCTTCCAGCCACACGAATCAGCTCTGTTATAGCTCAATCCATGCCCAAACTCAAACAAAGGATCCTCGGTATCGAAAGGCACGTCAGCAACCTGTGCCTCTACGGCCCTCATGCTTCTGGGCATGTCAAACGGCAATTTACCCTCTGGCTTCCAACCATCCTTGTTAAACACGACATCCAAGAACGCATCAACACTAGCACCATAGTTTCCAAACAATGCAGCAGCCTCTTCAGCAATCTCGGGTATCACAGCTGGGCGATCGAGAAGGATATCGACGATGGTTGGACAGGCCTTGAATAGAGCGGAGTGAGCAGCCTTCTCTGTCTCGTTAAAGTCAAGACGTCCCTCATGGTATCGCTGGCGGAAAGGAGAGCCTCTAGCCTCCCAGGGAGTACTGAGTCGCAAGAAGCAGAAATCTGCTTCGGAGGGTGAATCCACAACAGTCAAGTTGCGGGCTTCAAGGTACGAGGCATTAAAACCTTGAGCGTAGAACTTTACGCCGTCCTTTGGACGCAGAGGAAGGATATCCGCCTGATTCGTCAAGAGCGTGTATGCACGTCTCTGTGTCTCATTGCCAATACGAGCAAAGTAAGGGTTACCAACAACTCTCTCCGCAGCCTCTGGATTTACAAACCTGTTGTCGAAAAGACCGAGCATGAATTTCTCTTCCAGCAGTTTGCGGACAGAGACATCAAGACGCGACTCAGGAATCTGACCTTCGTTGACAAGTCGAACGAGCAATTCCGTACGTATCTCGCCGCCGAATTGGTCGACCCCGGCATCGAGAACCATTTTTGCGCGTTCGAGCTCGGTGGTGTTTTCGACGCCCCAGGCGCGTGCTGGTTCTACTACGCCCATGATTTCTGCGTCAGTGATTAGACCCCAGTCGCTGACGACAATGCCATCGAAGCCAAGTTCTTCACGGAGCAGACCGGTGATGACGGGTTTGTTGAATCCAAAGGCGACTTCTGGGTATTTCGTACCAATTGGACGAGCATAGGACGGCATGATCTGGCGCCCTCCAGCCGCAATAGCTGCTTTGAAGGGTATTAAATGGTAATCGAGGAAGTCGCCGAAGTAAGTGTTGTCTTTTCCAGTAGCGAAGTGCGAGTCATTGCCATTTCTAGCTGGTCCAGCGCCAGGGAAGTGTTTTGTGACTGTTGTGACCGAGGTCAGGCCCAACTCAGGGCCTTGAAAGCCTTTGATCAGTGCGACTACCATAGATGCAGTCAAGTTTGCGTCTTCGCCAAAGGTTTGTCCGCTTCTAGCCATGCGTGGCTCGGTCACGAGGTCAATCTGAGGTTGAAGGGCAGATCTGATACCCACAGCCAGATACTCCTCTCTCACAATGGCAGCATAGAGTTCTGCAAGTGCTGGGTCCCTCAACGCTGCAATCCCTAAACTTTCGGGAAACTTTGAGAATTGTCCACTAGCGATGGAGCTGCCCACTGTATCTGCAAACGCGTGTCTAGGATCGCTAGCAATGGTAACGGGAATCTTGAGTCGCGTCTGCAGCGCAAGTTCTTGAATTGCATTATGCCATTCTGCCATCTGCTTTGCAGATCTTGCGTTGTTGACGTTGAAGTGCGAGAGCAATTTTTCGGTTATTAGGGGTGCGGTGGTGAGGTTTCTGGTGCCGTCGAGGACGAAAGTCGTATTGTCGATTGTGCCGTTCACGCCAGCAGGAATTTGCTTGATGAAGAGTTGACCTGCCTTTTCTTCGAGAGTCATGCGAGAGAGTAGATCATCGAGGCGGTCCTGAATGCAGAGAGAAGGGTCCAAGTAGGGAAGAATTGTCGAATTCTGAAGTGTGGATGGAGTTGCTTTGCATGAGGAGCATGGAACTGCTGAGGCCCAAGGCGATAGGAAGATAGCAGGGATGAGCAAGCGGCTCCATGATGGAGATGGTATATGCATCTTTGTGATCGTGAAATCTAGCAGTTGTGTGGTGACCCATAATGGAGAAATCAACCTACTTATACATTGATTTCGAGGAACAAACCCCGATGCCGTATCAACTGCCGTTCCATGTCAACATTGAGAGATCATGGTCAGCTGTCAAGGGAGCCAAGGTATGGAAACCTTGAAAGCGCAAAGAATCTCCAGCCATCTTCTCCACATGTCTCCATACAGACTCCCAAATGTCCCCACATTGGGAGAACTATCTTTTATATGTACCGTGGCTTAGCAGATGAAGCGCGGTCCGATCATGTACGCCAATGCTATACACGAGGGGTTGCAGACCTTGGCGGTGGGGATGTCCTATACCACGAACCTTGGCATTACTTACACTTTGAAGTATGTTCATTTTCAGAAGGCGAGCAGTGATCAGGACCATTGCGCCGAAAATGTTCTTCTCACCAAGTGGATATCAAATCAAGAAACACAGTCTTTGTCGATTCGATGTCAGTACTCTTGTTCTTGCCTACAAAGCCAAGCCTGATCTGGATACTGTTTTCCATATCTTGTTGTACACCGAGCATGCATAGGTCCCGTGGGTGTTGTCATTCTATGGTAAATCGAGATTTTGAAAGCGCCCCAACTAAGAAGTTTAGTCGTCGCTATGTCGCTCGAGGTGTCGAAGATGCCTCAGGAAGTTCTGCGTGGGGATGTTTGTGCATCCTTACATCTCGGCTATTAGCTATGCATTACGGTGAGGAGACTGGGGCTAAGACTGCGACAACTTGTGCACACTGAGATAGTGATATGTGAGGTAGAAGACTCGAGACAGGAGCGATGGAGGTTGAACAAATGCCGGACAGCACGGACCAATGTCTCACCAGAGAGCTCCTCCATCACCTCCTCAATCCATACCATCTTCTCGTGTCGCCTTACCCACTGATAATTTAGACGAACACAAGTTCGCATCTCCGCGACGACAGAAGGAGAATTTGGCCTGTGGCGACTCGAAATAGGCAAACCGTTTGGCTTCGACGATAGACGTTGGCAATGAAGACGCCTATCCCGGTTGCACTGCGTGGCTGGACAACGACGCAAATCCCGTCTATCGAAGCATCGGCCCTTCGCTGTCGCCTGTGATACTTCGAGTCGCTATCGTCTGTTGTCGTCACCGTCGTCTAGAATCCTCGAATCCTCGTCATTCTCGTTGTTGTAAAGCCGTTTTTGTCGAGGGGTCAAAGAGCACTCCCGAGTCGAAGCCTATCGATCGACGTCCCTGCCGACGAACAATGTGCCGGAACAGAACAAAGAGGATAATGGTCGATTTGGACAAAGAACAGCGGACGAAGTCAAGTCTGTTTTCGTTTGAAGAGCAAGGGATTGGGCAATCATGGCATGGGGTAACCTCACGAAGCCGAGGCGCTGGATCTAGAGTCGTCCAGGTCAGGAAAGACAATTGGCGGCATGTAGAAGCAGATCCGGCATCTCTCCGTCGGCATGCCCAATGCTTGGTGTCCTCGGTAAGCACTGGTAAGAGGTTTGTTCGTAAGTCGCTTGACAGCTCTGTTCACGTTGCGAGACTCGCTTGACTATCGAGCGCATCGCGATTGTCACTTGATCTTTTTTTGTTCATGCTTTCTATTCACGTTTTACCTCGACTCCCTATACGCGTCAGAGAAGCACAAAAATTCACTCCTTGCAGCAGTATCGCGCAACGGTTGCACAGCATAGGGTCGACCGTTGAAACTTTTGTCCGGGTTCTGCTCCTGAGAACCACATCCACCCCCTTTGAAACACGCCTCTTTTGTTTGACTGTCTCACAGATGACAGCAGGAAAATCAATAATCATTCATCATGTGAAAGACGTGCATGCGAAAATGATCAAGAAATGTTCTGCGACCGGGATGGGTTGGTGAATGATTGGAGGTCATTGCAAGAGCCGCGAACAACGGCTTCGTTGATCACGGCTTTTATCTGTCTCCCTGTGACAACCATCGGTGGCGTATTGGGAAAGCCGTTTTCCCATGACCCTTTAACGTACCTTGCTTGAGCGAACGTGCGAAGGGAAGAGGAAAAAATGGCTGGATTCAATAAGGAGTTCAATATAATGGTATAAGTAAAGCATCCAGCCATCGCATTTCTTGGCCCTTTTGTTTGGTCGTCCATCCACTCTCTTCTCGTTTCTGGTCTCTCAGTCACACTCTGCTACACTCTCGCTTGGTTTCCTGGTTGACAACACATTCACTCACTTACTTCTTCTACTTGGTACAACGCGCGAATACATACACATAAACAACAACCGCATCAACATGCCTGGTTCAAAGTCAACGCGCTCCGTCCTGGTGACAGGTGCGCTTCTTTCGTTGGCATCCCAGGCGCTGGGACACATGGAGATGAGCTGGCCTTATCCTCTTCACAGCAAATACAACCCTGAGAACAGCTACAACATCATTGACTACAGTATGACTTCACCACTTTTCGCCGATGGCTCCAACTTCCCTTGCAAAGGTTATCAAAATGATCGACCTTTCGTTCCTGTCGTTACCTACTCTGCTGGTTCGACCTACAACATGACACTCACTGGCTCCGCTACTCACGGTGGCGGTTCCTGTCAGCTTTCGCTCTCTTACGACAACGGCGCAACTTTCAGAGTCATCAAGTCGATGATGGGAGGATGTCCCTTGACATCGACTTATGACTTCACCATTCCCTCTTATGTTCCCAATGGAGATGCTCTCTTTGCTTGGTCCTGGCAGAACGAGATCGGAAACCGCGAGTTCTACATGAACTGCGCAACCGTCTCCATTCAAGGTTCTTCGGCGTCAAAGCGCGATACTGAGAGCTTCGAGGCTCTGCCTTTCATCTGGAAGGCCAACCTTAAAGGTATCAACGACTGTGTAACCGTTGAAGGTGACGATCCTGTGTATCCTGAGCCTGGTCCGCAGGTTCAATACGGCGGCAAGATTACTAGCTCTAGTCCTGCGAGCTCTGAGCCTGGTGTTTGTAACGCACCCACTCCCTTTGGACAGACATACAAGGACCTTGGTGACACCGCTGAACCTCAAACTGCAACCGTGGGTGGAAGCTCTGGATCCTCGCCTTCGACCGCTCAGACCGCTGCTGCTTCGTCGTCGTCCTCGACTCAAGTCCCTACCACTTTGAAGACCACAGCCAAGACTTCTGCAACCAGCGTCAAGCAATCTACCTCTTCTGCTGTTGCTGCTCAGAGCAGCGTCAGCAGCAAGAACATCGTCTCGAGCTCGATGACCTTGTCTTCCGTCCACAACGCCGGCAAGACCTCTGCAGTCTCGACACCTCTGCCCTCGTCTTCATCTGGCTCTGATTCGGACGACTGCCCTTCGGACGTGACTCTCACTGTCTACACCACCGCTGGCGCTACAGCCAAGACCACTGTCATTTCCGCTTCTGCTTCTGCTTCTGGCTCTGCCGCAGCTTCTTCTGCAGCAGCCTCTTCAGCACCCGTCGACCCCAGCACCGAGTACGCCACCGCAGACCTCTCCACCTACCTGCCCTGCGTGCCTGGCACCTTCATCTGCACTTCAGCCAGCACATGGGTAACCTGCGACAGCACCATGTACTCCAACGGCCAAACCTCCTGGGTCTACCGCGACGCCCGCACCCTTTCCAACGGCGCCACCTGCGTCCCCTCCTTCTCCCCTTACTCCTCATCCACCAAGCAATACGCCCAACAAGCCGACTCACCCGCCGGCTTCTACCGCGACGACCGTATCGCTTACCCCACTGGCTCGGGCGCCTGCCCCGAAAACGGAGACTTGCAGTGTTCGGGCACCGGCGGCTTCAACATGTGCAATGATCTTGTGTGGTTCGGTATGGGCGGTACTGCTGCTGGCGTGCAGTGTGAGAACAACGTCTTGGTTGCTACTTCGTAGAGCGAAGGGTACCAGTATACGTTTGCTTATGCCGCTAGGCCTTGTCTTGGAGCCCAAGGTTTGGTCTGCGAAGTGCCTATTTGATTTTCTTCAGCGTTGGCGTTTTTTTATCCAAGGGTTGGAAGATGGGCTTTGGGGAATAGGACCACCCCTCAAGACATCTTTGCTCACAATACCCTGTTTTTTTCTTTGTTTGTCATGGGAGGGGAATACTGCAAGGCAGTACACATGAAAGACATGGCATTTTTGTATATAGATTATACCAACAAAACACAAGTATGTAGACACACTTACAGCATTAGCCTTCGAGTCAAGAGAGTAGACAGTGTCTCTTTCTGCTCGGGCAATGGCATGCCAAAAGAAATACCAAATTTATCACAGACACAACATTTGTCACACTGCCAATGTGACAACCTCTGCAAAAGTAATGCAAACATCAATCGACTCTGCATCTTCAGGACCAGAAACACAGAAATGTGCACAGTCGCGCGAGAAGAAAATGGTACTCAAGTCACAAACGAAACTGCCTGACCCGCCGTTGAGAGAAGCTCTTGTGACCAAAGAACCGTTGCCGTGTTGCACTGTGCTGCAAGCCACAGGGAATAAAAAGCCCCTCAGCCGTTATGACAGACAGGCAACCGCGTCAAGCGTGTCTGAGTTATGTACCCTCTTTGAGGATATTCCCGTGAAGCGCGTTTAAGAAGAAGAGTCGGAATGGTTGAAGGAGGTGGTGGTCGAACAAAAGAAGTTGGACAATAGATCATAGGCCGTAAAGCGTGCATTCGAATTATACAGAGCGCCATCCAAGGTAGACATCAAGCCCGTTCTTGGTATGGCAAAACAGAAAGAAAAGAAAATGTCCTACGCATTAAACCCCATTCCAGAGCTCAGCAAGACATTATGCTTGTCATGGCATTTTTAGTTTGAACAAAATATCCCCGGCCCAAAACATCAAGATGCTCAAAGTCTGCTTTACAGAACCATGGCAACGACACCAGCGGCAAAGGCAAGACCGCCAAATCCGGCGTTAATGGCAGCAGCACCGCCGGTAGAAGCAGCGGGGCTGGAGGAAGCGCTCTTGGAGGCTGAAGAAGCGGAGCTGCTGGCAGACTTGGTGGCTGTGCTCATGGAGCTCATGGCACTGGAAACAGCACCAGAGGCAGAGCTGTGGTGGCTAGAAACAGCAGACTGAGAAAAGAGATACGTCAGTGAGAGTGCTCGGAGTGTGTGCAAGATTGGATTTGTGGCTTACGGAAGCAGAGGACATGCCAGAGGCAACGCTGGAAGAGGCAGACGAGATCTGAGATGCCATAGAGCTGGAAGCGCTGGCGACGGCTGAGGAGACAGAAGATGCGGCGGAGGAAACGGCGTCCGAGGCGCTGACAGCTTGGGCAGACACGGGGCCCTTGATGTTCTGAACGGGAGTTGTGGTAGCAGGTGCAGAGGATGCGCCTGCGCTAGAGCTGGATCCCTTGTACTCGTCGTTCGAGATACCGAATTGAGTCGAGTCTGTTTGGATAACATGTCAATCTTGTATTGCGCAGCTTTTGTGACGTGTTTACGTACATTGGTACTGTCCAGTGCCGTCTACAACCAACTCGATGCCGTAGTATGTCTTGTTGGGAGCAAGACTGGTGTCAGGAGTCCAGTCATAGCTGCCAGTGTTGTTGATGCCCTCGACAATGGTGTGAATGGGTACACAGTTGGTGGAGGGACCGTGGAGAAGAACAAGAGAAACCGTGCCCTCAGTGTCAGGTTCCCAAGTAATTGTGAAAGGCTTGCCGACAGGAACGATGCTGTTAAGACCAGGTTCATAGATGGCGTTGCCAGTAGGGTCACCCTTGGGAGTTGTGTAGGCAGAGGCCAGGGGAGCAAAGGCAGCGAGGCCAGCGGTGAATAGGGCGCGGAAAGGCATTATCGTAAATTCAGATTCTTCTCTTCCTGAGGTTTGAATGTGATTTTTGGAGGTCTTTTGAGTTGTAAAACAAGAAGAGGGACAGAGAGCGACAGATCTACTGAAAAGGAACGACTGGTTGTGGGTGAAACGATTGACTGATAGGCGGTGATAGCCCTTCTGGATGAAACGAGTGTAGGTAGGAGTTGATGTCGCAACGATGGGAAGTTGTAGAAACGGATGAAAAGAGTGACAACGGGATTCAAACCTTTGATGATGTTGCAACACTACTGACTTACACGAAGGCAGCAACAGGTATGAACGCCACGAAGGAAGTCTAGAGTTTTAATGCCCGGCGTGACAATCAAGCCGAACGTCGCATCCCCAGCTGCTCAGGTATCGTTGCGACCATAGCAGACCCTCTCTCTAACCTCGAATAACGTCGATTCCGTGGTTCAGCTCCAATCGGCGGGTGTTGATATGCGCCCGAGATGAGGTTGTCGATGAGTGCTAGACAGCAACAGGAAAGGCGTGCCCCTCGGTCGCTCCCTTTTGGCAAAGTCAGGGCTCGGCGCAATCTCCAGCCGTCGAAGCCGAGAACCCTCGAGTCGCTGCCGCCTCCATTTTTTGACAAGCACCATCGGTCTCACTCTTTTGCACTTGTAGCGCCTTCTTGTTGAGGTGTAGAGCGTGAATTGCTGCACGCGAAGGATTTCCACACTTGCAAGCGAGCAGACAAATGACCAACTTTGCAGCCCGCAATGCAAATGACACAACACACTGAAACACTGACAGTTCTGCGCCATGCACACGAGATTGCTTCCTTGAACCACTTCTGCAGCAACATAAACACTACGGAAATTGCAATGTATACAGAAAATTGGTCATACCATATACCAAGATACAAGTATAATGACATGAAAGGCCTCCTTCAATCCTTCCAACGTCTTTGTGTGGGAACACGAGAAGCTTCAGGGAAACGCACGCTGATCGAAATATCACTCCTCTCCGTGTACTATAGGTTGTAACGTGTGTGGCTATATCAATGCACGATATCATAAGGAAACAGGACGATGGCCAGGGAAAAGCGACAACTTACCGGCTTTCAATGGACATGCCCTTGATGCCAACAGTCGTGCCTCTCTACGACGTATCTTGTGCTCGTCGCCGCAGGCAGAGGACGGTGGAAGTTACAGACTTTAGAACATGGGAATGTTTGACCATAATAATTTCCATTCGCGCCTTACTTGAACTCGGCTCCAGGCCGAGTCAAGGTAGGTGCTAGCAAGAAGAACATGCGACACATTCGCATGGCATCGTGGTATATACATGACATTCCGTTGCTTCTAGCGATTGAATTCGTACATGGCCGTAAAAATGGCAGCGTTTCATCGTGAACTCGTAAGGAGGGTAGCCAGGTTTGAGAACAAGTGGTTCTTGTTTCGCCTGGCAGATTCATCATATGCACACAGCACAGGTGCATCATGTGTTTGTCAGTCGAGAGTCATGACTTCGTATCGTAGTTGACGTGCTCGGACTTTAGTTGCATTGGCCAGGGTCTGTTTTGACAATCGTGGTTAGCCAATTGTAACTCCGATCAGATACATCGAAAATAGACTTACGGTTTCGGTTGGTGACCGGGTTGGGGAAGACTCCGTTCTGCAGGAGTTCCTGCATGTCCCACTCGGGAGATGACTCTGCAGATTCATTAGCTCCAGCTTACAAGCTTAAAATAGAATGTCCGAAAACATACCAGTCTTCCATGTCCAGAAAATCCAACCGGCAGCCTTCTCGTAACCATCGAGCTGAGCTTCGATAAACTTGCCGATGTTGTCTCTGTAGGTTGCATCAAGACCAGCGACCGTACCAGTGTATTTGCCGTCGCAGCTTCCGATGTAGGATGAGGATTGGCCGTTGTAGTTGTATGTACCATCGTATCTTGCTCCGACTCCTCTACCGTTGAGCCTTTGAGTAACACCACAGTCAGCAAGTTCCTTGGATTAAAAATAGTAAGCTCGTTCACTCACCACTTCGTACAGTCTGTGAGCGCTCCTGTCCATTCGCCGCTGATCGTCCATTTGTTGTTCGTTGCCATGGAGGCTCCGAATGCGCATGCAGTTGAGACGTGTGAACCGATGTCGTCTTTCAGGACACCACTGTCAAAGACCTCGTAGTGGTGCTAGTGAATCAATGTCAGTAAGTGATAAGCTTCTGCACTAAGACGACCAGTACTTACGGTATCAAGCATCAAGTTCCACATGCCACTACCCCAGTCGTTCCAAGAATTGACACCAGCAAAGGCATCATGGAAAGTCATAACCAGGTTGGTGTTTCTAAGGTTACCCCACCCATCCATGTAGAACTGACGGACCGTGTCCATGCCAATGGCGGAGCCCATAGGCTCGTTCAAGAGCTCAATGGTCGAAACGGCGGGGTGGTTACCCATATCATCGCGGATCTTGTTAAGTGCGTCCTTAGTCCGGGTGACTGAGTCGCCTTGACCCCAGCCAATTCCGCCTCTTCGACCGGAGTTGTCGAAACCGTTTTGCGAGTAGGGAGCTGATCTTGTAGTCAGCATGTGTGCGGCTGATGCAAACGCTATCACTTACCTCCGTGGAGGTCAATCATGACCTTGAGGCCTGCGCCCTCGGCCCAATCTAATGCTCGGCCGAGGAACTGATATGCGCCTTGAACGTATGGTGCGTTGTCATCCTTGATGACTGACCAGTATCCAATAGGAATACGAACATGGTTCATGCCTGCAGCGGCGATTTGATGCAAGTCGTCCTCGGTGATCCAGGTGTCCCAATGCTTGGAGAGTCTTGAGTAGGCTTCGCTGGAGCCAAGAGTCTGACAGTAGGTGTATTCATCCACGACATTGTCGGGTGTTGCTTCAAAGATGCTGGGTGTGATCCAAGGTTCTAGCACGAACCAGCCACCAAGGTTGACACCTCGGACTTTCTCGCCGCCATAGTTGAATTTGAGGTCGCGCTTGTTAAATTGCTCTCTGGCAATGGTGTTAGCGACGGTAGTATCGAAAGGGCTGACCTCAGGCACTTACAGAGGTGCTGCTACACTGGTAGATGGCAACAGAGAGAGTGCCGCAAGGGCTAAGGATAGCAATGTCTTAGACAACATTGTGTAAGTTAGGATGTGTATAGGGTAGAAGAGATGATCTCCCAGGTAGTCGGGAAGAAGATAAAGATGTTCTTGATTTGCAAGAGGAAAATACGAGCTTCATGATGGGCAGTTGCTCACCTTTTGTATGTCTTACTTTACTACTGCTCTGACCGTTGACAATCAACGTAAATCAGCTCAGCGAAGATCACCAAGAAGCCATGACTCCATAAGTGTTACATTCAGGCCACGAGACCAGTGTTGCAGAAAAGCGGGCGGTCAATATTCGGCCAACAGTCAAGATGACGAGAGCGGATCAACTCCACTGTACACTTTTTTCTCAGCGGCCTGATGTTTAGCAAGAACAAAAAGTTGCATAGCAACAGCGATTGGTCAACCCCGCAACCCCAGGGTCCACAGCTTGAGCAAGGATGATGATGTGGAGTACAAGGCACGCATCGTGACTGGTCAAGTTCGAAAAGTCAAGAGAGCTCAATGGAAGCTCATGCGGAAGTGGCTTGGAGAAAGCACGAGAAGGCATGCGGGCCGGAGACAAGGCGCCAGTGTCACAAGGTCTCTCGGCAAGAACCTGACCGCATCGAAGACATGGTGCCCAAGTCTCATAAGGAAAGGGATTGTCGCAGAAAACTGTGCTTCTGACTTGGTTATGAGCAAATAGGCTTCAAGATACGTCACAGATCAAGCTTTTCTCCACAGCTTTCTCCACGATCCAAACGCGCTTAGACTTTAGCCATAGTGGGCCAGCCTTCGCACCGCCTCGGTTGGTTGTTGTAAAGAGCTTCACATGCCGTATGACCTCGAGGAGGCCTAAATCATGAATCAGAGGCGATGCATGAGCTCAAGGATGGTGTTTCGGCGCGACGAAAGAGACAAAAAAGGGCCGGCAACGGTGGCTCGGCGACCAAGAGGACAATTCTCGTATTTACCAGTCGGATGTACCCACGTAGTTCGGATGCTAAGACTGCAGTGCTACATCCAAGCATACCAAGTCCCGCTAGGTCGAACCAAAGAACATTGAGTTAGTAAGCAGAATGATTACCTTTGATGACTGCGTTGCCGAAGCGTTACTCAGCAGTACGAGAGAGACGTACTATACCCACTGACGTGAATGTCAAACTCGATGTAGCGAGTATCTCCGTGGTGTGTGGTATCGGTCAAGGTGAGAGTTTCAACAGCTCGAATACCCGATTAGGATACTGCTTCCAAGCAAAGGATCAGCCTCGTTACAAGTCACAAGGAGAGCATGACAACGGTTTGTTTGGGCGATCTTGGGACGGGTCACATAACAAATGGTAAGTTGTTTTTCTTCCCATCTGGTGGTGACCTATGACATTGCGCTATAGGAATGCATGATACTTTTCAGGAGATGAGCAGAGTCCAAGGAGAGAGGTCCATCTCAGAGTTTCCAGAGCCACACTTTTGACATGGAAAGTATCGTGCATTTCAGCAGCTACAACGAGAAAGTCGTAGTACTGTACAGACGATCGCATATATGCGACATCGGTGTGGCTTGCAGGCAGAGCGGTGGAAGCAACTTGATGGCATCAGAGGCATTCTTGAACAGAAGAAACTTGGGCGGGGCGAAACGCTGGGCACACGTGATTGGCTTGCTGCATGCACGCGATCGTGGACCGAAAAGCCGACAAGGACAGGCATTGCCAACAAATTATGCATGTGCTACCAACAGATTGTGCCTAGCATCCAAAAGTACCAGACAATGACCTGTGATGGGTCGGAAGAAGAAGGAGGCCCATGAAGGAAAGCAGACGCTGAAGCAAGCAAAGGCGGCTTTCAAGGCGCGTGGGTCGACCTTCGTCACAGACACCGAGAAGCGTCAACTTGAGCGTGGCGCCATCCTGTTGCAACGTGCTGAGCGCATCAAAGAGGCCGAGACACGACGGAAGGAAGTGCTGAAAAAGAAAGCCGTCCAAGACTCAAAAGCATCAAAGGTCTGCCTGCTGGGCACTCAACGTGTCAATGACAAGTTCGGCCACCAAAGGAGTCAGTTCCACTTGGGCGCCTTCTTGAAGCCTAAGCCCGCTGCTCCTGCTGTCGCTCCTGCGCCCTTGCCGACCGTACGAGAAGAGTCGCCAATAGAGCCTTGGGAAGACGACGATGTAGACGACGATACCCTGCTTGACTTGGCTGGAGAGTCGCCCGTCACGACACTCAAAACACCATCCGCTCAAGCACAATCACAGCAGACGCCTAGTAAGACTCATAGCGATGTGAAGCACCAACTCGTATCTCCTTCGACGACGGATGAATTTGGCAGCTGGGGAGACTTTCTTGAAGGTAGCTCCCAGCTAGCACGCGACCTTTCCATACCTCAGAAGCCCACTCCAGCCACCACGCCTTCATTCGACCGTACACCATCATTCACATCCGCCGATTTTGATCTCTCGGCAGACGACCTTGAAGAGCTGGACTGGTCGGTCAACGATCCGCCTCCTCAAAACACAATTATTGCGCCACAAGCCAACAAGAATGAAGGACTGAGATCCTGGCTCGATCAAAAGAAATTGAAAGGAGAGGCAGAGCACGACAAAGACCGAAAGCTGATGCCACCTCCCATGATACCCGCCAAACGCCCTTTGCCTACGAGCACCTCCACCAGCTCTGCGGCACAAACAGCCGTGCCACCTGTAACCCACGGCATCAGCCTGGCTGATCTTGAGTGTCTGGCCAGCGAAGAGATAGAATTGAGTCAATTTGGGTGATGCACACACTCGGTTTGTCAAGTGGTTGTCGCGTTGTTTGACACGAGCTGCAGCCCTGTCGAGCGGCACTCTCTTGGTCGCTGTACCCTGGCTGATACCTTTGTTCTTGGCGTCGTTGGACACCCATGCTGCAATATTGATCTGCAATCTTCTGTGCAAACCTGGGTTTTGGTGCATTGAAGAAGGCAGAGTTGTGTGGCAGGGCGCAGACATCAATAGAGAATTGGAACTCGCAGCTGTGCATTTTTCCTGTCCAGCAAGCAATCAGTGTAGATTCATACCTATTCGTGTGCTGACGACTGTCATGGTCTCGCGTGAATCTCTTCCTCTTTTCGAGGTACATGAGTATTACAAGCTGCCGGAACGCACAGTTGCAGTCTGAAGATGAGTCTGACCATGGAGATGACCCTTAATGAAGCCATCTCTGTTGGCAATCATATTCTTTGCAAAGCCATTGTGCATTTCTTCAGCTATTTACCGTGGCAGTTTTGAGCGCATGAGCAAGTTGGATTGAATCACTGGAGACAGCAGGTATGGTAAGTGAATTGTCAATAGGCGCCCAAGCTGCAGGTGAGAGGTCAGCTTTGCGGCAAGAGCAAGCCCTTATGCGCTGTCGCCTGCATGAAGCCGCATGTCAAGCTAAGTCAGGTGCATGTGAAATGCTCCTTCCCTCTTACACCTTCACTTTCTACACCTTCACTTTGCACATCTTCACTTCTCAACAAAACTCGGTGAACTGCTTTCATACACCAAACTCGACTTCACTCAACTGTGCTCCTATCTATAAGCGGGGCTGACATCTTCAAGCGTCTGTTATCGTTAAAAGTCGACAATCACTCTCACTCGCACTCCAACGGGATCTGAGTTGTTGTTGATTGCATCATAACTCACGCAACCTCCTCGTTTCAGATCGGCTGCCTCCATCTTGACTCATTCACCATCGCGCAGCATCACTTCTACCACTAAGCATAATTCTTTTGTCTCTCTCACTTCTTTCCACCCACGCCCTCTGCTCAACATGGACTCACTTGCGGAGTCCAGTCGCCAGTTGGCCAACATAATTGCCATCACCAAGGCGCAAAGAGTTCACTGTGAGAGAATGATGGCCACAGAACGTGATGGATTGCCACCACCTGTGGACAGTGAAGAGGATGAGGACGACTACAACTCCGAACGCTCCGGTTCACTCCCATATCGCCCCTCGATGCCTTTGGAATCAGCAGAGCAAAACACCACAAAGCCAGCCAAGCCGAAGGAAGACAAACTCGACCCGAAGCTAGTGGGCATGTCTGTTGGTGTCAAGAACCTCTATGCTGGCAAGGAAGATCGCAGAGGTCGCTTCCAGTGGCAGGAGACGATACCAGAGGATCTTGTACCACCCGCTGAGAACGCCGAGACTCAAAAATGGGCCTTCATCGCGAGATACATCAAGGTCTACGGCGATCCTCGTCGTACGCTGGCGTTGCACTCGATTGTCATCCAGTCGCCATTGCTCAAGAAAGTTCTTCAGGATGTTCTAGCAGACTACCCAAACGTCACCGTGGGCCTGCAAAGACTGGAATTCAGTGGAAAGTTTGAGTGTCTGATTCATCGCTTTCCTGAGCTTGACTCGAAAATTGAGAAGCTCCAACAGTTGCTCAAGCATGAGAAGGACACTGAGCACCTCGAATCGTCGACCAACAATCCCGACAAGCCCCCTGCCATCAACGGAGCCTCAGATCAAGACCATGAGGCTAACAGTTCGTTGCTCAATGGCAAGACTCTTGTCGAAGATGATGCAACAATCACCAATCAGGAGGATAATCAAGCCTCTACGGTATCTGCGACATCAAACAGCGAGAAGCCCGGAGACGACACTACTTCTGGAATGCAGACCAGTGAAACGGAATTGAGCTTGAAGCACACCCAAATTCTGCGCGATCTTTTGTTCGACGAATTCCAAGTCCTCATTGAATCCTCACGCGACATGAAAGCACAAGGAGTCATGACATACGAGGCTCTCTGGACAATCTTCGAGCCAGGCACTCTCGTTTACGCGCGCGAAGAAGGCCAAGATCGTGTCTTCAACATGCTATCAAGCAAATATGGCGTTGACAAGGATGATAAGCCGGTCTTTTCGCTCAAAATCCGTTTCATCGATTTCGACGGCACTAAATTCGGCTGGACGGTGGCCAGGATCAACATTCCCGAGTTCCAAGGCACTTGTCCGATTGCCTCGCTTGCTGCATATCCTGTCGAGTACCATAGTGATGAGGCCAACCTGCTCAAGACGCTCATCAAAAGAGGCTCTGCTGTCGAGTCGCTGGTCGGCACTCACTATCGTGCTTACGATGGTATCGGTCACAAGCTCGACATGTACGGCCAGAAGGAGCGCCATAGCGTCAAGGGCAGAATCATCGTCGATGCCGTCGGCTGGAATCGCTACATGCCTAACCAAGCCATTTACACTTCAACCCTGGGTAGTAAAGGCACCGACAGAACGACTCACAACTCTCGTGCCTTGTTCCTCCCGACATTTGGAGAGTCGCTCGAGGAAGGAATTGGTGGAGGCATGCCTCTCGATGGTCATTTTGGAGAAGGAGATGATCTCAAGAAGCTTCCGCCACTGACTGACGAGCAAAAGATTCTCTGTACTCATCTGATTCGAGGCTACGCCTTGAAGGAGAAGATGTGGCTCAACCTCTTTGTCGGTTCTGTGCAAGATGTCTCTTTCAACAAGGAAGCTTTTGATTCGCTAGTCTTGCCTGAAGACACAAAGGAACTCATTCTTGGCTTTACCTGCACACAACAGGCGACGCGAATTGCTTACGACGATGTTATCCAGGGGAAAGGTCGTGGTATAATACTGCTGCTATGCGGACCTCCTGGAGTTGGCAAGACTCTTACTGCTGAAAGTGTGGCCGAGCATATGCAGGTTCCGCTCTTTGTGATGTCTGCTGGAGATTTGGGTATGGACTCCAAGCACATCGAGGCGCGTCTGCTCTCCGTTCTTGGTATGTGTACACGCTGGAACGCCATCTTGCTCTTGGACGAGGCCGATATCTTCCTGGAGGAGCGCAGTCGTCATGAAGTCGAGCGCAATAAGCTTGTCAGCATTTTCCTGCGCGTGCTTGAATACCATGAGGGCATCATGTTCTTGACCACCAACCGCGTCTCCACCTTCGATCCAGCCTTTCAATCACGCATCCATATCAGCATCGACTACCCCGAGTTGTCGCCCGACAGCCGTCGCAAGATCTGGGAAAACTTCCTCAGCCGCCACAACGATGCCCAAGCTGCTGCCCGTCTCACACAGCCCAGAAATCCTATCTCGTCGATCAAGTCCGCATCCGAAACCATCGATGAACAGAACGATGAGGCCGCAAAGGCTAAGCACGAGGCCTTGACTCAACCTCATGCTATCAGCAAACAGGAGATACGCCAGCTCTCGCTACTCAAGATCAACGGTCGTCAGATCAAGAACATGCTCAAGACTGCTCAACTGTTGGCAAACCACAAAGCTGAGCCTCTCGCTCACAAGCATATTAAGACTGTGCTCGATGCTACTCAGCATCTTCACAATGCAAACAAGGTTACTGAAGATGCTCGCAGCAGCATTTTCAACTAATTTGTTGTTGGCTGCTTGGATGCATGCAACTGTATCTCATCAGGTGACTCAAACTTGCTGCTGCGGTTGTCTTTCCGTCGATTTGAATCGAGATATATGCGTGGGGAAATGAGGAAACTGAGTCTTTGGGTGTTACGATAGACGAGAGTTGATACAGGGGGGGCAGGATACAGGCGTTAGCATAGCGAGGGAGCTCTCATTACTCGTAACCAACATGATTTTTATCTTCGGGACACACTACATTCTTTCTGATCAAATTCCATACACAAATCTGGTTACTCTTCTCTAACACTGTGACGCTCAATTGTTGCTTTACTGATACGGTCGTAGTTGTCGTACCGTACTTTTCAACATGAGGTCGAGATTAGAATTATCAACCTGCTCTGTCATATTCTAACTTCTATCGACTACACTATGAACAGATTGTACGACGACAATTCGTCATACAACTTTTGGTCGACTTTTGTGCTTGGTAGAGTTGACGCAAAGACAATTCCAGAGAACTCCATGTCGGACGTCGTGAGTACAACCCTGACGTGAATTTCCCATCTTCGACACCAAACCCCGAAACATCTCATCTCTAGCAAATCAAGGTGTATCTGTAGCTTCTCATCTTCAAAGACCATACCACTTTGATATTCTTCAGACATGACAACTCCGTAACGTTAGAAACAAATCCTTTTCGATCATGTCGCGAGACCTGACTGACTTGATGCAAGTTTGCCAGGAACATACGGTGCTCTTGACAAGATGTTCTGCCATCCGACTGATTTGATTTTATGGATTCGATCCTTTCCGGCTCAGGTTCCAATTCGAAAAGCTTTTGTGTCTCTTTGCCAGTGCAAAATTCGCTCTATTCTACAGAGCGGGGGAGATGACGGTTATACAGTAAACGTTATAGACACTGGCACTTGGCTGTTACAGCATATGCAGTAGCATAGCATTGATGTTAGCACCACACAAATCGGGATCAATCTCATTAATGCCAATGTCTATTGAAAGCGAGACGAACAAATTCACATTCAAGTGACCAGAGGGAACAGCCAAAACAAGCTTCTGATGCAAAAAGAGTTATAATATGCCATGTCGTATCTCGCGCTCTCAATCTATGATGAGGGGTGTCTCCCTGCCTATCTTATAATAGCAAGAGGGAGACAAAGAAAACACTAAAAGAGCCCCGCCATTCCCGCATTCTCTCATGAATTCGCCGCATGTCGTTATCCTAATCAAAAGTAATAGCAGAAAAAGTGGAGAGGTAAAGGAAAAACATGATGGTGACGACTGTAGTGACCCATTCTTTTGTTCCTTCCCATGTGCAATGTTCGGTCGTTCGTGCCGATGAAGTGTATAACATTAGAAATCGTCGTTCTCCACTCTACTGGACAGTAAGCTGCTCTCTCATCTTGCTGGGCTCGGGCTTCTTGCGGCGACCCAGTAGCGTAGCGTTGTCCAGACTCAACTCGAAAGCACCGCGGTTCTTCACCTGACGCTTGGCGGCAGCGGCAACAGCGGCACTGTGCTGGCCATAGCCCTTCTCCTGCGGTTGCGAGCGAGGGGCCTCGCGCTGGCGAGCTTGAGCAGCGGCAGACAATGAGGTGTTGCGCATTTGGCGCTCGACACCAGTAACGTCGGGTGCGCCAGCCTTGGGAACCTTGGCTGGAGGGTTTGCTGATGTGGCGTCGTAGGGTTGTGATTGGCCGTACTCGTCATCTTCATCCTCATCGAGTACATTGAGCGAGTTGAGGCCGTTGGCACCACGGTAGCCCTGCTTGAAGTTCTTACGACGCTTGCCCTCCTCTTCTTGACGGTGGACGGCATATGAAACATCAAAGACCTCACGCAAGTTGACAGCACCAGGGGAACGGAAGTCCATGCGCTTTCCAGCACCAGGAGTCTCGAGAAGGTGATCGAAGTTGGGTTGCAGAGGAGTCTTGGAGTCCATGTCGGCAGAGTGTGGTTGACGGTACAGAGGAGTAGCAAGAGGAGGAGCATCGGCGGCAGCGTTGGTTTCTTCATCGGACTCACGAATCCAGGGGTGGTCAAGGAACTGGTTGATGTCGTAACGCTTGTCGGGATCGACAGTCAAGAGGTGAGAAACGAGATCCTGGGCAGACTTGGAGATGTCATCCCACCAAGGAGACAGGAAAGTGTATTGACCCTTGGCGACCTTCTCGGTAAGGACCTGAATGGATTCGTCGTAGAATGGAGGGAAACCGCAAAGAAGGGTGTAGAGAACGCAGCCAAGAGCCCACATGTCGACACTCTTTGAGTAACGCTCATCCTTGACGATCTCAGGAGCAGTGTAGCCAACAGTTCCGCAAGGAGTCATGGTTTGACTGTCCCAGATGACCTTGGAAAGACCGAAATCGGCAACCTTGATCAGACCAATACCACCAGAACCAACGCCCTTGATGAATTCACCTTCGTCGGCCTTGTCCTCGTCGTCAGGACCTCTAGGCTTGGGGTTTCTGGTAGGGATGAAAGGTGTAGGGTAGAAGAGCAAGTTCTCGGGCTTGATGTCACGGTGGACGACACCAGCCTCTTCGTGCATGTATTGGAGAGCCTTGGCGACCTGGACGATGACGTGTCTTGACAAGTCCTCGCTGAAGTAGGTGAGACGAACAATCTGGTGGAAGAGCTCACCACCAGGGCAGAGCTCGAGGACAATGTAGTAGTACTGACGAGCCTCTGAGAACTCGACGAGCTTGACGATGTTGGGGTGATCAAGTTGACGCATGATCTGAACTTCTTTGAGGATGTTGGCGCGCTGTAGGGGTAGCAAGTCAGTGTCTGTCAAGCAAATATCTTCTTGAAGGTAATTGCAAGGAGATACGAAAACATAAAGAAAAGGGTTGGCGCACCTCCACTCCCTTGGGCGTCTTCTTGAAGTCCGGATGAAGAACCTTATCGCCCTATACCACAAGCACGGTTGGCGACTGCATCATATACGACAGAATCGGAGAAAAGAAGAACGAAGCAAGAAGGAAAAGCAAGGAAGGATCGCAGATACGTACCTGGGTTGAGTTCATCTCGAACTTCCTCACGACCTTGATGGCGACCTCGTTGTAGACACCTTGGCTGTCTCTGGCACGGTAGACGTTGCTGAAGGCACCGTCACCCATCTTCTCGACCAAGTTCCATCTCTCCAGTCCGGGATATCTGGGAAGCTTGCCCTTGGCCTCACGCTCCTCTGCAACGATGCGCTCCAGCACTTCAGGGTCGACATCCTTTCTGCCTTGCTCCTTCTTTTGTTGCTTGTCGACGGCTGCACCAGCGGCGGCACCAGCCTTAGCGGCGACGTTGCGGTTGTCAACAGCGGCAGCAGAGAAGTCACCCTGAGGAGCGTTTGCTTGAAGAGGTTGGTGGGCGTATACGTTGGGGTCACTCATGGCATATTGGTCGTGATGCCTTTGCTCTTGCTGTCTTGGCGAGCCATGGTGTGTTGTGTTGTGGTGACGTTGGGCGTGGACATTAGACACGGCAGGTTGGTCAGGCGGCGACTTTGGGTTCTGGTCTCGCGCCTGCTTGCCGTGACGAATGAAGTTCTTGAGGTTCTGTATTGTTGACATGATTGATTAGTCGGGGGTTGTTGGTTTGCGTGTTGACACGATGACGCAATCGGAGTCGTCTTTTGAATAAGAGGACGACAGTTAGAGAGGAGACTGCGGCGTGGATGGCAGTGAATGACAGAGAAAAAGGTAGGGATGTGTGAGTGCTTGTAAACGGCTAATGCTTGAGCAGAGTACAAGCAACGTGATAGCGGAAGAGGGGGATGATTATCAAGCGGGAAGGTAGCGTGGATGGAAGGATGAGGGATGGATGGGATGTCGGGGTGGATGCAGGGTTGAGCAAGAGCAAGAGTTAGACGAACGCTGCATCATAGGGTTTGATGACGTCGGATCGCTCTCTCCCCAGGGTCAAGGCTGTCATCCACCACGCAAAGGGTGCTTTGTTTTTTGTCTGAAGGAATGACACACGAGCCCATCACCTCCGCATGGGCCAGTCATCGTCTAACCCGGAGAATGACACCTCGATGATGGATGTGCGAAAGCCTTGAGCTGTATCTCGCAACATGAAAGAGGCGCTGTACGGGGACCACCACGCCGCAGGAAGGAAGGGCTGAACGCAAGAGCAGGTGAAGCACTAACCTCGATTTTCCACATGGTAGCAACTCCCGCCGATCGACGACTGGTCCAATCTCAGAAGACCTTGCAAAGGTTGCTTGTGCGACGTGAGGGGCTTGCAATCTAAAAGGGGGTCGATTCCTGTTGTTGCACTGCGAAGGCCAAGCAGTGAGGTAACCAGCTCTCAGGAATTGGCTGGCGATTGTCTTTTCTCTCCCGTTTTGATCGTTTCGTTGCTCGTTCGCGATTGCCGGCGGCGATGTCTCGTTTGCTTGACTAGCCGGAGGCTGGACGATGAGGCGGAAATCGATGTTTTATGAGGGAGAAAGCGAGGACACTAGGCAAAGAGACGACGAACAGCCACAGCAGTTGAGGTCATATACATGAGTTGTAGCTACAGAATGATGTCGAGAAAGACAGTTGGCGCCCGCCGCGCGCCGGCCGTTTTTTGCTTTCCTTTCCACCCTTTTCCCAGCAGCTGCCTCTGCTCCGGGAACACTGGGCTCCGCTTTTCCATAACAGACCAACCCAGAGTTTTAGTCGACCTTCAAACACTGCGCAAAAGGCACCTATTGTACTCCACTTCCAAGCTGCTTTACGACGAGACCCTGATGATGCGTCCGTCAAGCGAGTCAAGCACGAGAAGCCTACCAACCCCCTTCACCTCCGCGCTGTCCTTCCGCCTCCTTAAACTCTACTCCCAGTATAAGATTGACCAGATATACGCGTACAGAATCTTGGTTCCCAAGGCTTGATACACATCCTTCCGGATCATCCCTGCCGGTTGTCTGCTCAGCACCAGCTTGCTTTCTGACTCCTGAGTCTCTTTGTTCCTGGATAGCCGGCAGCTCCAAAAAACATGACGTGGTCCCTGCATCTCAATGACGTCCGGGGCGTCCTTTGACCTTGGCACTTTGCATCATCCCGCATTCGATAGCCGTGTTTTCTCAGCCAAGCGACCACTTTTCGGCTCTGGCTCCCTGTGATTTTCATTTGCCCGTTCATTCGAAACATATCAAAAGGCGTCATGTTCATGCACGAGCAGATATGAATGGAATCGCTCCATCTCTTGCTATTTCCAGAACCTGGGGCATGTTTATTGACGCGGATATCGATTTTGAGTGCCTCCGAGTAAACAATCCCAAAGTGCGGCTTGCTCTGAGTTTGCGACATCCTGGCAGCTCCTCAACGGCCTGCTGGAAATGCCGACACTGTCCCTCGTTGAGAGTGGGACTTGACAAAGCCACCGCTCAATAATGCCAGCCGTCTTTACCGTCTGTACAAACACAGCACCTCAATGATGAGTGTTCGCGGGTATGGCTTTGTCTGCCGAACATCTCGCCGTCCCAGGAGCCAAGGCCTGTCAAAGTGTCGCTGTAATAATGCACGATAAGTTCCACTAGGAAGTGATACGAAGGAGAGCATTAATCTCGATCCATCCCCATGGTCACACTTCAATCTGGAAAATAACTGTGCGTTTCGTCAGCTTCGAGCTCGCTATGTCCCATCACGGAAATGTCACAGTCGTTAGCACATAGGGAGCCAGGTCAGTCAACAACAGGGCGTTGGGTCAACCAATGGATGAGACCCAAGCGCAACCTCCTGATGAGCCACTGTCTGCAACACACAGCTATGGAAATGCACAATCATTTTTAGGTCTGAAGACTGTTCGGAGAAAGCAAATCGATTCATAGCTCTCACTGGATGTACATCCATTTCTGCCTACTGCTGTGTATCTTCACAGCCCATGAATGGCCCGGCGGTTTGCACGAGAGTCAAAATAAAAAGCACTTTCCACATGTGGACGACCCCTTTCCAAGAGACCGAATGTCGTCAGCATCAACGATCAACGATGAGTAAAGGACCAAGAAGAGAATCGGCAGCATGAATTAGACCTTCAAATCATATAGACTGGTAAGCACAAAGAAGAGAATTGGCATTTTACTGATAGATTTCCATAGTTTCTGAGCATCAAACCACGATGCTGTCTTCGCTACGACGCTGTCCTGATTCAGCCCCTCATAGCACCCAACGGAGGCTCCGTTGCACTGGCATTACCTCTTGTATCTACCGACCTGTTCGGCAAGCTTCTCGAGAACTCCCTCAATTGACAAGTCCATGGCCTGTGCCAACTTTTCCAGCTGGTCCTCAGACATCGCACGAACCTCAATATCGTTCGTTCCTGGTTGACGGTATACATCTCCAAATGGGATCCAGTTCTCTCTTCCGTCACTGATGGTCTTTTCCTGGCTTAGACGTTCTGCTACTCCTTCAAGCGAATCATTCTGGTCGCCGAGCACAAATGCACAGCTGGCGCTTTTGTCGATGTCTTTGTGGGTTGAGCAATTGATGATTCCCTTCTTGAAAATGTCCTTGTCACGAGTTGTGTGCTTCATATCCGCATCCAGGTACTAAAACTGTCGTCAGCGAGATCGTTATAGAGCGGTAGAACAGAACTTACATATCTCAACATTATGGTAGCGAAGCTCCCGGTGAGGTTGTCGGCCACTCTGGGGTCAAGTACTGGCAGCTTTCCCTCGAATTCTGGATTGCCTTTGAGTTCGCTGCGTTTCTTGATGACAACGACGCCATTTGCGTCTTCATCCTCTTCGTATTCGTCGCCTGCTGGCTCTCTGATGCTTTCGATCGCTATGTGTGCTGGATCTTCCCTCCCCAGTGCTAGGACGGCGAACTCTGTTTCGCGAGAGATCTCTTGGTCCTCGTCAAAAACAATCTCTTCTTCCTCGTCGTCGTCATCATCGTAGTCGTCACTGGATGCAGCGGTATCGATTCCAATATTGGGGTCCATGTCAAGCAAGTCTTGAGTGACGCTGGTATAGGCGTGAGGGTCTGGTTCAACGGAGGGTCCGTTGTCATCCTCGTCCTCAGGATCATCTCCTCCTACCAGCTCTGCCCAGTGTTTGGGGGGCATTTCCTGTATTATGTGAGTTTACGCCGACTAAGAGACGATGGAGCAACATACTTCGCCGTACTCCCATGCGCTTTCAGCATCGCCATCCCATCCGAGTCCAGCATCCATCTTTTCCCAAGAGTAGTGTGAAGTTGCTTTTCCGATGAGCAGAGTTTGGAAGTTAAGATCTTTGTTTCCTGTAAGTTGCGACGAAGTGTGAAAGTTGCTGGCTAGGTGTGATTGATGAGAAGGCTTGTGAGGCAAGTGAAGCTGCTGCTGGTGGTGCCACTGGTGAGCTTCTGTCTGGCGAGAGAATATGATCCAAAGGAAAAAGAGAAAAAGTTCTGGCGCCAAGTGTCAGAAAAGGATAGGTGAAACTGTGAAGCGGATCTCACTGATTGTAGAACCTCAACGGAGGCTCCGTTCTGGTTCTCTCCGCTACTATTGTCGTTTTATTGTCAAGATGTTGTTACTGCCTAAGCTTTCGTGGATCCTCGGTATTGTGACTTCTCGGTAGGTTTATGAGTGCGGAACGGTCTTCTGGATGAGCCAGGTACGAACACTCAACTTGTAAAAGTCGCGGTGGTGGGAAGTTCTCTTTGGTTTAACGACAAAAGAAGCTCCAACTTCTATTTCTGTATTCACTTTCATTGTGATGGATACAGTGAGGCAAACTGCTGTGCATTTGCACAATTGACTATCAGTCTAGAGGTAGAGATAAGATGATGCCTAGAAGTCACTTGACCATCGTATAAGAACATAGGTATATTGAACCTTTCTCCAGAGTTGTCTACCTTGGAATGGTGTACTGTTTCAAAATAAGTAGCACTTGTCAACAGTGCACAAGTGTATGCCCATCGACCGCTTCTTTCTGATCCTCTGCTCGGCGAAGAGAAGAGACGTAGACAAGTCAAAGATACTATCAAGATATTTAAGAGAAGCCATCAGATAGTCAGAGATGCTGTGGGACTGGCCATCGACAAGTCGATGAAGACATCCTGTCATGAGGATCATGAACGAGGTTGGCATCTCTTTTGTTACTATACCATCAGAATCGGTTGAGCGAACGGAAGCTCCGTTGTGAGCATGCGAAAGTTGATCGGCATGAGATATACATTTGTAGTCGTTGATTTTTTGCTCCTGCACCATGATTATTTCTGGAATTGAACTCCCCGTAGCAAAAAAAAAAAAAAAAGAGACTAGAGGAGTGGCACAAAGACCGAACCGATCTTCAACTTTTCCTGTGGGGATCATCGTTTGCAAACCATGTTGTGCAGTCTCGTAGCTGATTATGTTCCTCTCAGGAGCTACGAGATACACAGACTGGTCTCAGTAAAGGGGTAAGTCAATGCTTCCACTGACACCTTCTCTGCTTTCCGATATCTGGAAAGCAATAGGCCGTGTTAAAAGACTCCTATTCCCTAGAGCCGCATCGCATGAGACCACGGACCGATCACCAGGTCTTAGAAGTGGTCCTAGTCGTCGAGTCTGATTGCGCCTTCCGATTGGTCTTGTACGTCTCCAGCAACGGCGAATGCAAGCAAAGCATGTACAGCCATAGCACCGGCAGCAGCCCATTGCACGGCCAGAATAGCTCCCAAGCGTCCACTCATGTTGTAGGGTCCGATATATTCCACAACAGCGTTCACGCTAGCAGTCGTACAGATAGTGGCCACAAGGATGAAGAGAGACCCAATAACAGCAAAACCTTTGTATGCCCTAAGAGCCCAGGACTTTTGTCTTCTTCTGAACAGCGAGGTAGTACCGAGAAGACCAACGCCAAGTGCCCAGAAGACTCCAGCTGCAATAAGAAGACCAGGGTAGAATGCGTTACGTTGAAGGTTCAACGCCATATCAAACTCCTTCACAAGCTGCTGATAGACCTCAGGTCCCGCGCCAGCAACTTCACCCCATCGTTGCGCGAGTGTCTTGCCATCAAGGTGTCGACCAATGGTGCTAATGTAGCCTTCACGGTAGACATAAACGTAAGGGTCTTGGGATTTGAGCTCAGAGTGGCCCAACCAGATGCCTGTCACGAAATATTAGCAATCAATGTCAAAGATCTTTGGAAAAGAAGTCGAACTGTGGTAGCCAATATCAATTGTGGCTGAAGATCTGTAGAGTTGGAATTCGACAACGTCGGCGTTAGGGAGGTGGAGAAAGATGGGCGATAGAAGAGGAATTACTGCTGTAAGGTTAGACAAAGAATTAAACGTGGCCGAGCCATGCTACATAGGCCTAGATAACATGATGACATACCGGTGAGAATCAGGATCGGAAGCACAAGTGCGATATAAGAGATGCGGAAGATACGCTGGCGATGCTCGCTAGCAAACTGTAGAACCTTCTGCATCTTGTTTCGTGCGGACTCCATTGTCTTGAACGTGGCAGTTTTAGTAGAGGAGAAATACCTGGGGCTTCACTCGTATACATGGCTTGTTAGCAGCAGATACGGAGTCACCGCCAACATATGATCTACAATTGCACCGCCTGGATTGTCGGCCTTACTGCTTATAGATTGCTTGTAGGATGATAAAAGTGGGCATGGACGCTGTAAGCCAAGCCTCACACGATCAATGCTGACTCAGATAGTTCTTTCGAGACCATTTAGAAGATGCATCATTCTGCGCACGAGATTACTTTTTCTTGAACATGATCTGTATAGATGGCCAGGAAGTTGCGCTGATATCGGAATATAGGATTAGGTGGTCAAGGTCCCTCGGGTGAACGATGTCGTTGCCAATTCGGATCCCGGCATCTGGGAATAAGCTACGCACGTACTCCTTCTATTAAGCAAAATAGGGTTTCGTATAGCCCCTCTTTAACCAATAGACATAAAGCCTGCACAGAAATAGGCCGACATATGTACAAGTAAACACATCTGAATGCTCTCTCAATTTCTTTACCAATTTCGTAAACCTACGAGTCTTACTTAAGCAAAGTTCCCAAATATGCTCAGTCTATTGCTTCTCTTCTTAGCCTCCATAGCAATGGCCAGCCTACAGACTCCCCTGGACGGACAGAAACAAACGATTAGCCTGCTAGACATCATCGAGTCGCCAGAATTGGCTGCTACCTGCGGCGAAATGCTCGACAAATCTCCTGGCTATTCTTACACCAGCATTGACCTAAGCGACATTGACCTTCTTAAAGTCTCGATCTTGCATGGCGACGATGACTCCATGATCTCGTACATGGAGATGGCAACGAATTCGAAAGCGGCAGCTTGGTTGGAAGCTGACGAAGCCTGGTGGGACGAGATGGCTGGCCAGGCACAACTCGAACCCTCTGATATGGAATCAATAGATTGAAGTTCGGATCAGTGAAATCCACGTCGATTGTTGGTGAATGGGTATTCGCAAAAGAACATGTTGGTAGAATGTGCTCGAGATGTTTCTGCCCAAGGCGGTCAGAAACACAGATGTGTAGTTGCTTGGGTTACCCTGACTCTAAACTATCGATCCATATTGCAGCTTTCTATCAATATCACAATACTTAACAGTGAGGTACGTATCGGAGAATTGCAAAAGCCCAGATGTCCAAACTACCCGTTGGTCAGGACGACCATGATCGCCAGTCGTTGTATGTACGATGGACAAGCTCCTGCTTCGGACTCCGTAGGGGTCCCGAGACAGATATACGCACGCGTCCATATTCCTGAAATGTCCTCTTCTCCGATACCTTGTACCATCGAGATGGAGAGCGGGGTAAGTATGGAGGAAGATATATTAATGGCTCAAGGGTCAGCTCTCTATACCAAGTTGGTCCTCCATAGACTCCATTACCAGAACTCTCAAGCCATACCTTACTTTGCCTGCATAGCACCTACCTGAAAACTCACTCAGGATGTGCTCTCAACAATCTCAAATCTCGGATCTACCAGCAATAACCACATACCTGACCGGTCACAATGAGTCTGGAAAAGCAATTGTCGAACAGACCCGCCCAGCAAACTGGACAGTCTACGACAACAAAGAAATGGCCTTCAACGTTGCCTACACAACCTCTCAATTCCCAGCAAACCTAAACGACAACGCCGACATCAAAGCCTACGACAGAGTCACATCATCAGGAAAACTTGGACTCGTGAATCCACACGGTACAGTGTGTCGTACGGTAGACTTTGCGCCAGGCTTTGAATGCATGATGCACAGAACACAGTCGCTGGATTATGGCATTGTGATTGCCGGAGAGATTGAATTGGTGTTGGATTCTGGAGAGAGGCAGTTGATGCGGCCAGGAGATATTGCTGTGCAGAGGGCGACGATGCATTCGTGGAAGAATCCTAGTGAGAGCAAGTGGGCGAGGATGACGTTTGTGTTGCAGGACTGTGAGAAGTTGGTCGTGGGTGGTGAGGTGTTAGGAGAGGATCATGGAAGGGGCACAGAGGGGTTGCCCATGAGTGGAAACTAGAATGTGATCATTTACTTTTCATCTTGCTGTCTATGAGTTTCTTGTGCTCGGAGTGAAAGTGAACAGTTCCGTATCAAGGCATGGTCGGAGCAAGAAAGTGGATGCTTGGCGTACGTCGGGCATCTCTTTTGTGTTTCCATGCTGGCCAAGGCTTGTGTTCGCTCTTCCAACTTGAACTGCACGGGGTTCGACAACTATATCATCTACTAAGCTCACAGTCTCTTCGGTCTTTATTTATCCTTTCGGTCCTCACTTTGACACTTACCACCTGTGTTTCACGTCGCCAAACCGCCAACGTGTTCCAGAGCTTAAATTCAATTACCCCACCTGTTTTCCCGCATCGCTGCATCTCAAGATGCCGCCCCGCTACTTCAAGAACGACGAGCCTCTCAGCAGTAGAGACCCGCACAAGCAGCTCATAGCTTCTCTCACTCGTCTCGTCACCCAACACCCTCCTGCCGAGGTCCGCGCCGGCGGTGGCATCTACTATGGTCCTACCAGCGTCGCCTACCTGTTCCTCATCCTGCAACAGCTCTACTCGGACTTGCTCATCGAGGGCATTCAACTCGGAACCTGGTCTGCCACCTACCTCAAGCAATCACAAGATCATATCAAATCCTTCCCTGGCCCTCGCATTGCCAAATGCGGTATCGCCGACGACATTCTAGCCCTCCTGGCCATCGGCGCAGCCAGCTCGAAGGATGCAGACATGGCTGCAGCACTTTGCGACTATTCCGCCGAAGTCCTCGATGACGAGACTGAGAACGAATGGCTTTATGGAAGAGCAGGATACTTGTACTACCTTCGTCTGGTCAAGGCAGCCTTTATCGACGACGATAAGGTCTCGCAGATGATCACCGATACTCAGACCGATGTTGTCGAGGCTATCCTGCAATCCGAACGACCTTGGAAGTGGCACGGCAAGAGCTACGTTGGCGCTGTCCATGGCCTCATCGGCATCATCACTCAAGTCACCCTCACCGATCCTGAGCGCTATGCAAGAGCCGTGGAAGCAGATCTCTCTGTTCTGTTGTCATACCAGTACGAAAGCGGCAACTGGCCAAGCAGCCTGCCACCAGGTAAAGATAGATTGGTTCAGGTCTGCCACGGTGCTCCGGGTGTGATCAACTCTCTACTCTCAATCAAGGACCATTTCCCCAAGCTCCAAAGCAGGATCGACAGCGCCATTCGCAAGGGTAGAGAATGCATCCTGGAACGTGGTCTGCTCACCAAGGAGTCATGCTTGTGTCACGGCATCTCAGGCAATGCACTTGCATTGGACGACGAACAGTGCCAGCATTTCCTCAGCTACACGACAGGGCATGAAATGAAGGGGCTGGAAAAAGATGGCTTGGTTGAAAAGTCGGACAATCCGGAAGGACTGTGGTGCGGAGAGGCAGGACGTGCATGGGCATGGGCAGTCATAGACAAGGGCCTGCCCAAGAGGCTGCTTGGCTACAATGACATCTGAGAAATTATGATGATCGTCGGAGAAAAAACTTGGACGACCGAGTGTGACAACGGCAGCGGGCAATTGCGCGCAAAGACAAACGAGCAGCACGACACTTGACGCACGAGATACAGGGCTGCAGGGGGCCTTGACTAAGTTAGCGGTTTACGACATAACGATTGATGCATATCAGAGGCAAGACGAAGGCTGGAGTTGAGCAGGGCACATGAAGGACGAGTTTGAAGATCAAACAAGAAGCAGCGACGACGACATGACAGTTGCTAGGTATATAGCACAAAGCAAGACATGAGAATCAAACTTGACGTGTTTATCATGGCGCGTTATGCATGTTTTGGTCGACATCATTTCCCTTTCCAACGTGATTGGCGCTAGGGCAACGCACAGACGGTTTGGTTCGTGTCGGAAAGACTCCTTGAGGCTTGTGTGAAGGCCCGCGGGCGGGCGTTGGTTGGGGGGCAGCGCATTCCACGCTCTTGGGCCTCCACCAGCCTTTGTCGTGTCTCAGTTTCTCTCCCTGACGACGAGACGACAAGAGACCGACCACGGCCTACCAGGGGCGCACTCCGCACGCAGCAGCACACTTCTAACTGCAGTCATTCTTTCCATACTTTCATTCTATCGCCCTGTCGCTATCTGTTGTACCTCCGCGCCGATTGACTCGCAAGCCACAGACGAGATCGTCCTAAAACGTGATTCCGACCCTCGCACAACATCGAGATCCGCTCCTGCCTCATAGCAACGCACCCATTGACGACTTCGCTCGGACTCAACTATCCATCTTCCAACAAACAGCAACACCACGCATCATTTCTATCGCCACTGTGTCCGCTCATCCGCCGCCGCCGTCCTAGACTGAGCGACGGAGAGCTGCGCACAACATGACTCCCTCAGCATGCTTGTCGCGCCCTCTCGCCTTTGGCTCCACCCTCGCTATTCTGCTTTCTTCCGTCAGCGCTCGTAATTTCACTCAAGCCCCGTCACCGAACATTGATCTTTCTGGTCTTGGCCGCGTCGCTCTAGCTGGCGACTTCGACTCAATATCTCTTTACACCTACCAAGGACAAAGTCAAAATGCAAACTTCGCAAATGGCAGCCAATATCTCTTTTCACAATATCCCGATGGTTCTTTCCAGAGTCTGGCCCTTGCCGATGCATTCATCACCACTATGTGTCCCTTCGTCAGCCATGGTGAATTGCAGGGCGTCGTTGTAGGAGGCAATTTCACCAGTTTGGGCGGCGTCCCTGCTCAAGGCATTGCTCTATGGAACCCAAACACCACCCAAATCACTCCGCTAAACGGCCTCTCTGGCTCCGTATCTGCCGTATACTGCGACGATGAATCTTCTACAGTCTATGTTGGTGGCACTTTTACTGGAGGCAATTCCTCCAACGCCATCGCTTGGGTTTCTGGATGGACCAATCTTCCTTTTGCTGGTTTCAACGGTCCTGTCACATCCATCACCAAGAGCTCCAACGGCTCCATCATCTTTGGTGGTTCTTTTGACGGTCTAGGCAACACAACCACTCCTACAACAAAGGATGTCCAGGTCATCAACCTCTCTGCTGGAAACATTACCTCTGGCGCCTCGACATCGACTTCTGGCTTCAGCGACCCTCGCAACATCATTTGCCAGACTGGCGACGACACTGCTGGAAACACATGGCTTCTTGAGGACAACACTCCTGGCTTCTGGAGAGGTTCGTTCGGTTTCGGTTTCAACCCTACCAAGTTGCGCCTCTACAACACTAACCAGGATGGCCGTGGAACAAAAACATGGCGTTTCACTGCTTTCCCCATCAATGGTATCATGAACTTCACCTACACCGACGAAAGCGGTAACCTTGCCTCTTGCACTGCTACATGCCCTTTGCCTCAGGGCAATACCTCGTACCAGGACTTCCACTTCGTCAACTCTGTCGGTATGAATGACTTCCGCATCGATATCTCTGCTTGGTATGGTGCTGGAGGTGGTCTGAGTGGTATCGAGTTGTTCCAGAACGACATATACTCTTTCGCAGTTTCCGACTTCAACGAGCCCCGTTGCGACAGTGTTAGCACCACTGGTGCCAACTCGACTGCTACTGGTCCCTGGGTGCAGACACCTTCAGGTCAAAGCACATCCGATTATCTTACTGCGACTTTGAACAGCAGCGTCACCTCCAACTCCGCCCAAGTCGTCTTCATGCCCGATATCAAGCAATCTGGAAACTACTCGGTCACTTTGTACACCCCTGGCTGTATCCAAGACGATACCTGTTCTTCTCGCGGAATCGTGAACATCACTGGATCTATGACCACTGAAGGAAGCGCTATTGCTACTACTCTGTACCAGACCAACTACTACGACAAGTACGACCAGATCTACTACGGCTACGTGGACGCTGCCTCCGACTCATTCCGTCCAGAGGTTACTTTGACACCTCTCGCCGGCCAGAACACTCCTCTGACAGTTGTTGCACAACGTGTTCGCTTCGAGTTGGTTACCTCAACTGGTGGTTTGAACGGTCTCTATGACTACAATCCCAACATGGCCACTGTCAACACCGACTTTTCTGCGTCAAAGATTGACTCTGCCGCCATGTCACTGGATACTGGTGCCAAGATCAATGCTCTTGCTGTTTACAACGATGTTACTTATGTTGCTGGCAATTTCACAAACGGGGATATCCACAACATCTTCAGCATTGGCAGCGGAAATGCCACCTCGCTGCCTGGTGGTGGACTTAACTCTGTCGTCCGCACCATGTACCAAAATGGTTCGACCATCTATGTTGGCGGCAACTTCACCAATACTGTGACAACTCAAACCGCTGGCCTCAGTGGCGTTGCTGTTTTCTCCATCGACGACAACTCATGGACAGCACTGGGCGCTGGCGTCAATGGTCCTGTGTGGGCAATTGTCCCTCTGCAGCTCAACATCACTGGCAAGGATCAAGAAACTGTTCTCGCTGTGAGTGGTGACTTCACCAGCGTCAATGCTGTTGGTAGCAATGCCACCTACTCTACTGATGGATTTGCCGCCTGGGTGCCGTCGCAAGGCAATTGGCTCCACAACCTGGCAAATGCAACTGTTGCTTTGAGTGGTGGCTTGTTGGCACAGACTATGGTAGCTGATTATGGTCAACTTCTTGCTGGCTCGCTTGTTGCCTCTCAGATTGGTTTGAGCGATGCAGTGGCGCTGAGTGGCTCTGGCAGACCTTCTCTGTCGCCGCTTGGTGTAACCATCTCTCCTGTGCAAGGATCTTCCTCAATGCGTAAGAGAGCTACCACCAGCCAGAATGTCACTGGTGTTGCTACTGGCTACTTCTACTTGGAAAATGGCAAGAACATGACCATTCTCGGAGGTCACTTCACTGCCAACTCTTCCGCCGGCACTACCATTAACAATCTCCTCATCATTGATGACACCAATGGTCAAAACGTCGTCGGTCTTCCCAACACTGTTGATGCAGACTCGACTGTTCTTGCACTTGAAGTGCGTGATACCAGTCTCTTCGCTGGTGGTTCGATCACAGGAACGATTAATAACACTGATCTCAACGGTTTGCTTGTCTGGGATCTGTCGCAAAATGCGCTCGCTTCTAGTCAGCCTGCAGCACTTGCCGGCAGTTCTGTGACTGTCAATGCTATCGCAGCTCAGCCTGGTTCGGCGAATGTGTATGTTGGAGGCAACTTCGAGAATGCCGGCTCTATGTCTTGCCCGTCGTTCTGCATGTACGACACTTCGACTGGACAATGGATGACTCCCACATCCGGCTTCAATGGTACCATCAACACCATGACCTGGAGATCTAACAACCAATTGATCGTTGGTGGTGATTTCACCACAGGTGGCAACCACACCAAGCTGGCTCTGTACGACGCTAAGAAGCAGACTTTCACCGATCTGGGCACTTCAGCGAACCTCCCTGGCGCCGTCACTGCCATGACCCCAGCCAACCCCAACTATGACAATTGGTGGGTTGCAGGTACTGCAAACAATGGATCCTCGTTCTTGCAGAAGTACGATGGTACCAACTGGCATTCAGTTACTGGACTCGGCGCTGCCACCGTCATCAGAGGTCTCCAAATCGTGTCTGTTACCGAGAAGCATCAACTTACCGACCTCGTGCCCTCGAACGAAGTTCTGCTGATTACTGGTTCAGTTGAGCTTCCTGACAACGGCAATGCCAGCGCTGTGTTGTTTAACGGAACCACTTTCCAACCTTTCGTCCTCACCACAACCGCAAATGGTGGGCAGGGAAGTCTGAGCGGCATGTTTGTTCAGAACCCTAGCAATTTCTTGAGCTCCAAGTGTAAGTGATTATGAAGACTTTCTTAATTGACACATTTCACTGACAATTCATAGCACACCATCTTGCCCTTGGCCTCGTGGTCTTGATTGGCCTTGCGATTGCTTGCGGTCTGACCTTCCTGTTGGTTGTCATCGGCATATTAGTCGAACGACACCGTCGCCGCAGACAAGGCTACGTTCCCATGCCTCAATTGAGACCGGATCAACACGCCAATCTGAACAGAATCCCTCCGGAGAGTCTGTTCGGGACATTAGAAAAACGTGATACGGCACCGCGGGTGTGAGATTAAATGCTCATGGATTCGAAGAGTTGAACTTTTTCCAAAATCAGCGTGGAGTTTGGGTGTTGTTTTTTATGTTCATTTCACGACCACCACTTCCTCTAGAAGGAATCAACACCAACAAGTCGCTCGTTCGACTGGCCGGTGCGAAGCACAAAGCTGTTTATATATTGAGATGCCGGTTGTTATGGATGGGCTTTCAGCGTTTTCCCTTCTTTGTTCGCGTCTCAGCGAGTCTCTCGGTTCACGCCTTTTGTTATTCCTTCGCTTCTGTATTATACCTTGCCATCACGCGATGGCATTGGATTTCTCCAGATGAGAACTTTTTTTCTTCTTTCATTCTCCTTTTTGCTCCTTTTTGTTCTCCTCTTTCTATTCTTGATGCGAGCAGCTAGCCGTTTTCTGTAGTCTCATCGTGGTCGGACTCTTTTCTGCAGCTTCTTCTTAATGTATATCCAACAACGGTTTTTGCTTCTCTCAGGGGTAATTCGGATTTCTATTTTCGTCCTTTTCGACGTCGACCGTTTTTTTCATGTTCCATCCCCTTACCTATTCCTGGGAGCGTTCTTTTGGTCTTCGAATAATGTGATAAGAGGGTTTCTTCGAGGTAGAAGCAAACACCTCTGTGAATAAGACTATGGTGGTCCACGTGTGTTGGTCGAAAGTGCTTTTGTCAGCTTGTCTTGTGCCAAAGACAGTCTGACTACAATCTCTCTGAATGATTTCTCTCTCGCCGTTCCGAGACAAAAGTTGATGTGTGAGCTATTGTACATGCACGATTGGCGCCTATCTAGGCATTTTCTTACATGTCTTGTTTCCCATCTAGATTGAAATCAGAGCATACACTGAGCAGTGCAGGGAAGTGGTGTAAAGAGGGGTAGAGACATGTCAATGTCAATGTGACTATACCAGTTTATTTCCTCTCTCTATAATCAAGTGTCATTCATTATTTGCGCTTCACGAACAGCAACTGAACACCCCTAACTTGGAACATGAATGTACAGATACTCAGCGAGCGAAAACCAGAAGCCTCGCCGTTTGTGTACAGAACTGGTTGATGGCTTTTGCAGAAAAGTAGCAAAGGAGATTCTTTTTTTCTTTTTTCTTTTTGTGCGATGAAAGTACGCTGTTTTTTGAGTCTTTTGATTGAGAAAGATTGGCACGGGTTTCAAGGTGTTCCATTTCTATCTATTATGTACAACTTCATTCGTCTAAAAGCCCAAAGTATGTAGATCCATATCCCTGCCATTATGCCGTGCTGTGCCATGCATGTGCCATTTCGATACAAAAAGAAAAAAGTGACCAAACGCCTCTTCTGCTATACTTGTATGTACCTCCCTATCATCCCATCTCATGCAATCAATCACTCAATCCCGACACTCCCTCATTTCCCGTCCTAGACACTTCAAACAGCCACACTTTCTAGCTCCCTCACCATCACCCTCACACTCCATCATCAGCGCCCCAGGTCCCTCCTTGACAGCCGCAGCAATAGCAAAAGCCAAAGTAAGTGAAAATCTAATCCACAACCAAGGAGAATGTCGACTCAACATGGGTGCATTGTCTCTTTCCTCGGTTTTACTCCTTGTCCTCCGTTTCTGGATTCTGTCGTCATGTCTCTTTAATCTAGTTTCAAAGACACACGCCGAGGAAGAGGAGGAAGGCGAAACACGACGACGAGGTTGGCGTAATGGGGGACAAGGACTTAGTTCTACATCTTCAAAGTCGGCTTCAAAGCCTTCGTCATCTCGAGTCCTCGAGGACGTCGACGAAGAAGCAGAAGAAGATCTGGAAGTGCTGGTGTTGGTGCGGTAAGGCGCTTGCATCAAAATGGTATTTTCATGCAACGAACAAGCCATGAGTCTTCTTGTTGCCATGGGTCCCAGAAGTGCATGCAACAACATCCATTGGAAGCGATTTAGAGTCCTAGACAGCAAAAAGGCTTGGTGGGCTCTTGCTACACATCTGCGTGCGATCTTGAATGGTTGGCGTAGCAATTGTCTCACTTTATCCACGATGCTGTTGGATTTTGGAGTAGAGGTTGGTGGGTAGGCGGAAGATGCTTGTCGCGAAGAGGGATACATTGATAGACCTGTGGCCTCGGACATGCTTCGTTGGTGTCTAAGCCGTAGTGCACCAGAAACACTCCTCTGAACGGAAGTGCTGTGAGAAATGAAAAGCAGTTCTGCTGGTCTGGCGTTAAGTGTGGCAAAGGGTGTAGGTCCTGATGAAGTTGTCTGTGCGTCGTCGTCGATTCTAGCGGCGTGAAGTTCTTCAAGCAGGTTTCTGCCTAGATTGGGACCTATGGATGGATATTCTGCTGACTCGGTAAGAGATTCGGTGATTGTCCGTTGTGGTGTGGGAGTTTTGTCTTCTTGCGGTTCGAGTGATGCAAGTGGAAGTGGAGACTCTTTGGCAGAGAAAGGTTGAAGCGATGATAGGTCCAGCCCATCCGTATTAGTCTTTGCTCGCCGGCGTCCGGTGATGGGACTGAATTCATGGCAACTAGCTCTCCTTTGCGCAACAGGGACATCAGGAAAAGGAAAAGCGCGAGGAGAGTCGTGAGGTTCGTAGGCAGGAGCCGTGGCAACGATTGGTGCCAATTGAGCGGCTGACAAAATCAAAGGTTTGGGAAGATGAGAACCACCGTGGAATCTTCGCATTCGCCGATTCGGACGAGTGCGTGAAGATGATGGTGGGGGTTCCTGGTTCATGAAGAGGCTAAAGTCGATGCTGTTGCGAGAGGCGTCACTGATGAAGGACTCTCGCTTAGAAGCGTCCCATTCGGCATCACTGACAGCATTGTCAAAATGATCTTGTACAGCACCTTCGCTGTGTGGTCTTTGTTCGTCGACTTCATGCTGTTCAGGCATATTTGCTTGTTGATGCAAAGACCCAGCAGTAGGGAAGCGGTGAAACGACAATCTCTTCTGTCTCGTACTTCTCGACTCTTTGATAAAAGGAGGTTGAGCCAGGGGCGTCTCGGACTTGATGGGTGAAGTGACGAGTAGATGTGCAAAAGTCTCCAATCTCTTTTCAAACTCGACGTTGGCAGCTTCAGCAATATCCAAAGCCTTCCTGGTAGCATCGAGTTGAGCTTGGAGTTCTTTTACTTTCTGCAAGTAGTTGTCACTGTCTACTTCCAACGTGTTGATCCTAGCGCGCAGGTTGTATTCGACGCCATCATGTTGTTCCATGACCTGTAGCACCCTCTCATCGAATTCGGCCTCCCAGCGAGAGTTTTCTTCCTGTAGTCTTCGGATGTCTTGGTTCAATAAACGTATCTTCTGGCCCTTCTCTTTTGCTACTGATGGGGAAGTCAACGAGGCCAGCTGAGTTTGGTAGGCGGCGAGTTCGGACTCGAGGTATGCAATGTGTTGATCGGCTTGGTCCGAGTCTGGGTTGCTCTTGTAAGACTGGGTACGTTGATGCTTCTTTCTCGATTTTGTTAGGTTGGGCGCTTCGGGTGGGAGGCTGTTGTGTGCTGTCAGTGTAACTGTTGGATGTAGAGTGGGGCAGTCTTGTGATACCATGCTGGTGATGACTCGAAACTCCATGGCTTCTCGTCTCCGTTTTCATCTGTAAAGACAGAAAGGACCGAGTCGTGCTTGTTCTGGGCTTCTTTCCGTCGCAAACTCGAGTTGCTGATTTCTTGCAGTATACTCGACGACCTCCTCCCTCGTGCACCCAGATGTGTCTTGGTCGATTCTGGCTGTGGTAGGTCTGAAGTGGGTGTGCTGTCTTGGTTCACAGGCGAGGACCAAGCATCCGAAGTCCTGCGTTTGGGAGTAATGTTGCGATTGGGCAGGACACGGCCTCGGAAGCCATTCTTTCGTAGTTGCAGTCGTCGGTTTGCTCGTGTTGTTCCAGGGCCGGCGAGGGGAGAAGATGTCTGCTCGACCTCTTCCATGTCCAGAGGTGGGTATGCCGATGCCATTGTGTTTGGTGATAGGAACTACTGCATGGACATGTTGTATAGACACCTTGATGATCCGCGCAGTGTCTTGTAAACACAAGGCGGCCGACGTGTCACTCCCTAGATCAAACAGGCGTGCAGGTCGTTTATGGGGAGTCGTCTCGAGTCTTCTGGAGAAGAGCAGGAAAAAATTAGTCGTTCTGTGGAGCCAGCGAGTAATTGGCTTGTATGTTGTTTGGATGTTTATGTCCTCGTCTCGGCCTTTCGGCTGTCGTCAGTCTGCAGCAGTCTCACGGTTCAAAGTTTAATTTCCCTGTATTCATTCAGAAAACGTGCTTGCTTGCTACCATCTCACTGCAAGATATTGACCCTGCTGACTATTTCAGGCCGCCCGTTGCAACTGCAACAATTTCTTTCTTCTTTCATGTGAGAGATAGACACTTTGCTGTGAATTTCCTGATGCTTTTCATCCTGCACAATGCCCCACCATACACCGCCCTGCCAAGCTCTGTACACCGCCTGAACGAACCACACTATTTGTATCGCTACGTCTCAGCTAGACACTTCTTGACTCTTTTCACTTCTTAGTATGGCCTGAGTCTTGCTGCTGCACTACTGTCAACAAACAACAATCGTCGTGTCACAAGCTACGAATCCTTTGCACATGATCAGAATATCCATGCGCAGCCCTGACCTTTTCTCAATCCTTGCACCATGCCGTTACCTATATCAGCCACGTCTATCTCGAATCAATCTTCGCCAGATAACGTAGATAACAACCACCAATCTTCTTGTCTAAAACCCTCCCCAAATGCCAAAAATCAGATCCCGTGGGCTCGGCCTTGAGACGCTCAGGAAATTATCTGCGTGACTGACATTTAAGCAGCCGTCACATGCAAATACTGCATGGTCATGTGTCATTACCTTTGCTGTTCAGATCAGCTTTCTGCGTCTTTTACCTGATTGTTAGTGCTGTAAATCCATATAGCAGCCTAAAGAATGCATTAGTAAGAGTGTCTAAGGCAACAAGATCTGCTCGATAGCCATGGCTGTTAATGTTTGCGAGGAACAGCAGAGTAGTCGACAACCCTTGAGTCAATATGGCCTCCGCCGTCACAGATGTTGCAAAGCCAGCAAGCTTGGATTAGTTCAAACACAATTCCAGAACCGAAGAGATCTTTCTGAGGGACGAGAAGGTCGACTGGCGAAAAGGCCGGCTTCATGGCATATGACTGCACAAATAGCTCATTCTAGGCAGTCGTGATGCTGTCTTTAGAACAGCATCGCATCGCAAAAATCGGCATAGAAGACCACGGCACGATTGAATCCAGCTAGCCAATTGATCTCGTCATTGCTGAGTGTTCGTCTTCGCGAGGAGTCGTTGACGCCTTGATTAGCAGGCAGATAGCCTCACAATGCTTGCGAGTCGTCGTCGATCAAAACAAAAGTTTTCTGCTCGTGTTTTGGTCGTACGGCGCAACATATCGAGCACGACTGCAGACGGCAAGTTGGCGGAGCATCCGGCAATGGTGCGGGTCAAGAGTGATATGGAGCAGCTGGAAATGCACTTCAGCTTGACAGAAAAAGCAGGGCATGGTCCCCCGGAGTGAGAGTGGATTGGGGGATGCATGACGAAAAGAGAGGGAAGTGGAGAGTCAGTCGACGGGAGTGGCGCTCAGCGGGCATGCAGTCTTGAGTCTTGTGGGAGATCTCCAGATTCAGAGGCCGGGGGCTGCGTAATGCGACTGTGCTTTCCGCGGATACAGAGACACAACGGGTTGAACACAAAGTAAAAAGTGCATGGCCGTGACCCAGATCTGTAGTATTGCACGGCGATTGCAAGCAAACAAGCATTTGCTCAACAGAAAACCACAAGCTCTTTCGTGTCTGAAACAAGACACGTCCGTACGATAACGAGGAAAGAGCGTCGAAGTTGGTTCTTGGTCGACTTTGGGCCAATCAGAACGGTCGGCAGTGCGTTGAGAGAGGCTTTCTTGTTAAAGACACACGGACCTCGCCGCCGTTCGAGCCTTCAATCATCGCTGTTCCAAGTGTTTGATCTGGTACTTGCAAGCGGCCCGTTTATGCTGCTACTGTCCCAGTCTGCCCCCCAAAACTCCTTCTGGACGCTGTCTGGAAATTCTTCCACCACTTTTCTCCTCCATCCACCTCGTCCCCTTCCCTCCGTCTCTTCGACCCCCAGCCAGGACCAATCATCCCCTTTTGGCGGCTTCGACCATTGACTGTCTCCTTCAGCCAGCCTACAACAACCTTGTCCTCGCCATCGAATCCTCCCAGCCTCCCCAAATTCTCCCGGCTCTCTACAACGGCTGGTCTCGGCTTTCGCGTCCGCAGATCTTGGCTCAATAACTAACCCTCGTCGCTCGCTGAATCGTTATTTTTTCCAACACCGCCAACCTGGAGGACTACAAGGAGCGAAAGTCGGAGAGCAGCCTCTCCAGTGATGCTGGTGAAGGTCTCCCGACAATGCAACAACAGCAACAGACCGGTGCGCGTCTGCGCCATCTGAACCCCCTCAGACTGTTTCATGGCAACTTTTCGTATCAGCAGCTTCCCTCGGATAGCCGCAACACCTCGCCCTTCACATTGCAGCCTCTCAAGCGAGTCCGGTGGCCATCACCGAGGCGCGCTGGTGAAGCCATGCGCTCAGTTCGCTGGTCTCCACTCCGCATTCTCCTTTGGGCATTGACGTCGCTATTCGTTCTGTTGATGCTCATTGCGAGTCGCCATCATAGATTTCACTCTCCTGCTGAGCCCGCAAATCCGGATCCGGCAGCTGAAAAGCCTCCGGGCTATCCTTGGGAGGAATATTTCCCGTAAGACATGCTCACGCGTAACTTCTGCCCAGCATACTGACGCAGAGTGACAGACTCAGAGCCTATTACAATGGTATCCGCACTCTGACGCCCGCCAAAGACTGGACACCTGAGAACCGCTACAACCGCTCCGTGCCAGATGGTGTCATTGACGGCAACGAAGCTCGCGGCCTTCCCAAGCAACCGGCTTTTGAACCCATCAAGCTGAATCCTTATCCCGATTACAACTCGTACGAATACACTCAAAAGCATGGAAAAGTTGAGACGTGTTACATGGACGATGAGGACAAGGTCGAAGTGCCTGATGTCTACGTTTACCCCGGCCTACCCAGAAACATGCCTGCTCCTTTCTTCGGCACCCACAAAGAGCTTGGTATCAGAGACGATGTCTGTTACGATAGATATGGCAGACTCGGTCCTTACGGTTATGGTTACAATGCTACTGCGGGTGGTCTCGGTCCTGGCCTCGACTCGGAGAATGTTGGCACTGACAAGCTGTTCGAGAAGATGGGCACAGTCGACTACTCCAACGTCAACTGGGGCAAGGCTATGAAGAAGTGCCACCACAAGAACAAAGCCCGATTCGAGAACAAGGACGCTCACACCAAGGTCGCCCGCCACGCCTACATTCTTCGCATCTGGACTGGCTACAACTTCAACTACAACCAGCTCTACTCTCTTCGCGCCATGATTGCTGAGCTCTCGCTCAAGTCTGGTGGTGAATATGACGTCTACTTCCTTCTACATGTCAAGGATGAAACTCTTCCCATTTGGGCCGACAAGAGTGTGTACCAGAAGGTCATTGAACAGAATATGCCCAAGGAGTTCTGGAACATGACTGTTCTCTGGTCTGAAGCTCAGTTGCTCAACTACTACCCTCCTCCTTTCGCCGAGCCATTCGAGAACCCCTCTCAGCAGAGTGTTCATGGTGTCTACCGCTCTGCTCACTTTGCTCTTCAATGGTTCGGTCAACAATTCCCTGATTACGATTACTACTGGAACTGGGAAATGGATCTCCGCTACAACGGACACTACTACGAGTTCAACACTGCTATCGGTGACTGGGCTCGCAAACAGCCTCGCAAGGGAATGTGGGAGAGAGCTGAAAGATTTTGGATGCCCGAGCTGCACGGTAGCTACCAAAACTTCACTGATATGGTCGAGCATGAGACTCGTGAGAACGGCAAGAACCCTGTCTGGGGTCCTCCAGCTTTCCAGCATGATGGTCTCACTCCCTCTCCTTCTGACACTACTCCTCCCATGCCATACGATAAGGACGATTTCAAGTGGGGAGTTGGCGAAGAAGCCGATCTCATCACTTTCAACCCCATCTTCGATCCCAGTAGGACCAACTGGGTTTTCCGTCTCGACGCCACTGGTTACAACCTCAAGATGCCCCCTCCACCTCGTCGTTGCGCCATTATCACCGTGTCCCGTCTTTCCAAGCGCCTGATGGACATCATGCACGAGGAGACTTGGAAGTACCGCCACACTATGTTCCCTGAGATGTGGCCCGCCTCTTGCGCTCTGCAACATGGTCTCAAGTCTGTCTACGCTCCTCACCCTGTCTACTTCGACCGTGACTGGGACCTCGAGTACATGGACAGAATGTTCAACCGTCCTGTCCTTGACGTTGACAGTCCTTTCGGTTGGGGCGAGCACAACTTCATTGGCAGTTCCTTCTACTACAACTCTGGCTTCAGTGGTGCTCTTTGGCGCCGCTGGCTAGGTCTCCGCGAGAACAAGCAGGGCGGCACCAGAGATGAAGAGACTGGCACTGGACGCATGTGTCTATTGCCCTCACTTTCACATCCCGTGAAATCAGAAGTCGGCGAGAACAATTGAGCTTGACAGGATGGCGAAGTGGTTAGACGACTAATGCATGTGTTTCGGCAAACTAGAAGGTGTCCAGGCTTCTGGGTTGGAGTTTTTCACTATTTATATGGGTGTTCTTGAGCCTGTTTTCTGTTTCCACAACGCCCACCATTCCCTAGGAAGAGCAAAAGCGCCCATCACTCTCTGTTTATTGCTCTTTTCCCGAACGAGCGTTTTGCTTTTGGTTTTTTCCAGCCCATTCTACTATGGCGTTGTGTTTTCGCAAGGAGCTGGACTTTGTTGCATTTTGGATTGGAGTTTCCTCGTTTTCTCATCAGCGTCAGTATTCACTCTGACTTTTAGCTTTCTGGCCTGTCTCTTTTCTTTCTTCTGGTTGTGATCGGTCTGTACATATGGGACACACATTAACAGCAGTGAGCTTGCACATAAGCAAAGAGTGAAGATACAGGCAACCGAGTTTCAGACTCGTATTTAATACTACTGAAAGGAAACATATTCTTTATCCAGTCTGTGATTTCCTCAATGTCTTGTGTCTTGTATGAAGAACAGTGTCTTCGTCTGATCTTCGCCAGTCTGTCGGTCTCCCCGGACACACTTCAATTGGGGACACGATTCTGCATTTTGATAGTTCTGATTCGAGAGTGCTAGCACGCTTTATCATATAAGGTCGCCGCTGATTCTTCTTCTGCTACAGCAAGCCAGCCACAACAAATCGAGTCAAAATCCTCCATCACACTCATAGTTCGGGATCACCAAAACGCTCGTGACGTCCATCAAACTTGGCAGAATCCTTCCTCGGACGCCAAGTGCGAGGATGCTATTACTATGTCAAGCAGTGGACTTCCTGCCTCATGTTCCCTTTAGGTGTTCTAAAGTACGCAACTTCCACCATACTCCACCTACGGCATTACGCAAGATCCATACTATAGAAATGTACAGATGTTCTTAGAGAAGAGGCATGTCCACTGAGAGCCGATAGGTCATCACTTCTCAGCGGACATCTTCCTGTTGCCTCATGGTATTGTGCATTCCCATAGCTACCCGTGTTGCGTCCTGTAGTACATGGGAAGGCCGTACATCATGATGGACATTATCGATCCCCGATTTTCATACAAGGAGTTCCTGGAACTTGCCTATGCAAGACAAAAAAAAAAGGGAGAGGAAGACGCACCGTTAATAGACATACTCAAAGAGGTCTTCGAGGACACCATACGACCTGATGAGGCAGCGAGTCGAGTTTCTGCCTTCGTCTTCTCACACGATGACTTTCTATCTGTATACTCTGGCACTATATCAACAATCGTGGGCGCAGCACATCAACTCTCCGAAGAAGGCGATCTTTGCAAACTAGCCAATCTCATGTTAGCACTCTCACGACTAGGAGATATCCGTAACAATAGTAACGAGACGCTTCAACTATCTTTTCAGCGTAAGCATTACGAGATAGAACCAAACCGAATCATCCAATTCGACGATGGCAAAATCTGGTCCGATCTCCCTCACTTCATGGCCCTTTTCAGCGAGGATATGCAAGGTATGTCGTTCAAACCCTCGCACCTCATCACTCATCCTCGACCTCTGACACATAAAAACCAGGTCCAACAGCCTACCTCAACTTCGGCAGATCCGAATACATAGCCGAGCAAGAATGGACAAACGCAAACACCTTTGCCGCTTTCCTCATCCACAATAACAGCATTCCCCCAAGTTCATTCGACCATCTATATACATATGGTTTTCGCACTCTAGCAGACTCGCTAGAATGGGATGCTCGTACAGAAGAAGGAAAGGATTCGTTAAATTCTCTGCGAGCTGCTTTGAGATGGCTGAAAATCGCTGCGCGGGAGATGTGGTGCAAGTCGAAGGAAGACGGGGGTTAGGCTAGTGCTGGGCCTTTTTGGCGGGATGTTGTAGAAGATGTGGAGGATGGCTGGGATGAGCAAAATGGGACTAGGTATACCACTATTAGTCTGGCTCGATGGCTTTGGTGGGCAGAGAGGTTGAATGAACTTGCTGAGGGAAACATGATTGATGATGAATCAAAGACATTGGCCAGGACTTCTGCAGAGACAATCAGGCGCTTCGAAAGGGAATGGATGAAATCAGACAACCAGAACAAGTGAAATTCATACTGCCTTGGTCACAGCATCGCTGTTCTTCGATCTTGTGTTCTCTACAGCCTCCCAGGGTTGCCATCTCAGTCAACGGAAGCTTCGTTGTCGAACATCATCGGCAACAAACGATGTGCCTATTCTACTTGGTGCATGCAGCAAAAGCCTAAATGTCAGTCTAGACAAGACAAAAGCCTGCTTCGATTGATGATGCCTCGCATGTGGCAAAGACAATGGCAGTATGTCAGCACTTTCGAGAACGCCCATAACATTCTCTAGCAACGGATTGACGGTTGGGCCTGCAGGAACGAAATTTTGCATACGATGCTTATTGTTTATCGAACCTAAAGCAAAATAGAATGATGCAGCAGCGTCTGAAAATATGTGCTGTACATACGAAACCACGGAAACCAATAGCTCCTTCCTTATCATATGCCAAATCTGTAATTCCTCCTTGGATTCATCGTCCTGAAAGACTTTGTACATTGTATACAGTCACAGTCTTGCAATAACCCTTTTCCACCCCGAGGTACAAAAGTTGTTCAGGGCTATCGGAACGCACAGTTGCAACTGCAAAGTAGTGGCTGGCCATTGAAACAGCCTTTCATAAGGGTGTCTCTGTGGAAACCACATTGTTTAACAAAGTATTATGCATTTCTATAGTTACACCATGACTATCTTCTGCACATGGGAAGATTACACGTTATCATGGACTTCCCCCCTTCTGCGTCCTGTCATCTACCTCCCTATGTGTCAACAGAGTATGTGCTATAAAAAGGCACAGTACTTTTCGGAAACATAGGCATGTCCATAGAGAGTCTATGATCCGTCGCTTCTCATTGGACGATATTCTGATTCTCATTACTATAATGCATTTGACAGCTACACGCGTTACATGCTTGAGGACACGAGGAGGTTGTGTCTCTTCCGATTAACCAATCAACCTTGCTTCTTCTTGAGACCATCGTCAACGACCTTGGGAGGAGCAGGAACCTCTACATCCTCAACATGCCACTCCATACCGATATACCCATCACTAACAACCTTGACTGAAACCATTCTCTCGCCATCTGAAGGAGGCAATCTAATCTTGCTTCTAGAGGTTGGTTTGGGGTTTGGTTGCGAAGCTTGTTTGCCTTGGGTAGGTACGTGCCATGAGATACGCTTGAGAGCAAGCACTTCATCGGTCTTGGTGTCGGCAACCACGAGGAAGAAGCCTTCAGATTGAGGTTTAGGGAAGCGTGGTGCGTACATGTGGAACTCGCGGTTGAGTGCAGGGTTGAGACGAGCGACTGTAACGTTCAAGCCTAGTGCTGTTACATCAGAGACGTTGACACGCAATTGAGGTAGAGCAGACAAAGCTTTGAAAGCGCGTGGCTGTTGAGGGGGTGCGAGTGAGAGCTGTTTGTGGAACACTGTCTCCAGCTCCTTGCGAGGTGTTGTTGTGGCTTCGACCAGGTCCTTCGGCTTTGGATTCTTCAGCGAAAGACGTTGACGCTCTCTTGGTGGCTCAACACCAGGAAGCATAGCCAAAGGACCGTCTTCAGGCCAACGAGCAGACTTGACACACTGCAGCAAGGTGATCATCATGCCGCAGCTTGAGTTGAAGCCAAGTTCTGTGAGAACATCAATCGATGCCTGCAAGATACGAATTGCCTGGTCAAGGACCGAAGTCTGATCACCGACATAATCCGAGATTGGTAGGTCGATGCGGGAGAAATGAGCCTGCAAAAGAAGGAAAGCCTTGACATGAGGATCCCACATAGGCAGACCAGACATAGCATCCTCGGCCTTCAATGGCAGAGCCGACGAAAGCTCAGCATTGATCAAGTCCTCATTGTGACGCACGGGCAGTTCGTCATATTCTGTCGCACTACACATCCATGCCAAAGCTTCTGCGAATGTAGCATTCGGTTTTGCGTGCTTGATCAGGTGGCGAATGGTCTTGTGGGCGAGATAGTAGTAACTCATGATCTTGCCCAAAGGAGTTGGATCAACGTCACCGTTACTGTGCATAGTCACACAACCGGATTCGGCAAGTTCTGACAATGACTTGTCAACCATCTCAACCATATACTCGTTGGCAAGTTGCTGGGCGGCCACTGTATTGTGCTCCTCTGACGAAATCTCAAGGCCATAGTATGAAGGGTTCTTATGAAGTCTTCTGAAGAAGAACGTCCATGTGAGATAATCAAGAGCGTCCTGCTTAGTGGCAACTGTCTCTGCGGATACTTCGGCGCCCAAGTGGTTGTCCAATACATTGTGAAGTGACGATTCGACTGGGAAACCAGTGTGCAAGAAGTGCTTGTAGAATGCCTTTTTCGCATCCTGAGTGAAAATGCGGGCAATACCTGAAGTGTCGAACTGAGGTCTTCCAGCACGACCGAGCATCTGCAGAACATCTGTGAGATCCATGTCCTTGTATGCTTCTGTCTTTGCGTCAAAGAACTGTGTGCCTTTGACGACAACAAGATGAGCAGGCAAATTGACACCCCAAGCCAGAGTACTGGTGGCAACAAGCACTTGGATTTTGTTGTTTGCAAACAGTTCTTCGGCCAACTGTCTGTCCGACTCAACAAGACCTGCATGATGCAGACCGATGCCGAAACTCAAAGATTCACGCAGAGCTTCATCTTTCACGCGATCAAGGTTCAGAGCGAGATCATCATCCGACATGCGCACGAAGCGACGAGGATTCTCCTCCATGCCGCAGAAGTTGATGAGGTCACGAGCTGTCAGTCGTGTCTGGCGACGAGAAGCAACAAACACGATGACTGGTTTATCTGGTGAGTGAGACTTGATCGCCAGGAATGTCGGTCGGTTCATCGATTGCATAAGCGGGCAGAAGCCCTTTTGCTCAGGGAAACCATCGATGTAGATTTCCAAAGGCACGGGACGTACAGAGTGCCGGAAGTTAAACAAGCCTTCCTTAACACCAAGCCAATTACCCAGGTCAGTGGCGTTGGCGCAGGCAGTGGACATACCGACAATACGGACGGATCCCTTCTTCTGCGAAGCAATGTAGTTCATTCTGGAAACGATGATCTCCAAAATGGGTCCTCTGTCTCCACCGAGCAAATGAATTTCATCAATGATCACCAGACTGACTTGACGTACGTAGTCTCTGGTCTGCCAGCTACGACTGATACCATCCCACTTTTCGGGAGTTGTGATGATAATGTCAGCGTCGCGAATTGTTCGGGTATCCGGAGTGTTGTCACCAGTCAACTCAACAAGCTTCAGTCCCATCTGCTTCGTCAAACGCTTACCCCAGTCCTGAACTCTCTCACGGACCAGGGCTTTCATGGGGGCAATGTAAACAACTTTAGAGCCTGGCTTCTCACGGAAAGCCCACCACATTGCAAGCTCACACGCGACTGTCTTGCCACTACCGGTGGGAGATCCTAGCAACACATTGGCTGATGTGTGGTACATGCAGTGAAACAGTTGCGTTTGCATAGGGTTGAAGAACTGGAATCGCTGGCTGTAGATCTCTTCCAGCAGAGGGTTCTTGAGCGCAGCGATCGGCAGTGGCTGTAAGTTGAGAAGATCAGTGTACACGCTCTCTGTGTCAGGTCGAATGAGATGCTGGAACGAGACTGGAGTAACTGTCTCAGCTCCAAGCCAGCGGTCAGAAACAGCGCGGACATAGATCTGTGAAGGAAGTGGATCAGTGAGCGGGATGGTGAAGCTCAACTCATGGTCATCGTAAAGCTTTCTTCTAGAAAGGATAAAGTACTCATGATGATAGATCTCAGAAGTTTCAGAGTTCTCGACCCAGATCCAGTACGACTCGGACTTGCCGTGATGCTTCTCGTTCCATCTAAAGTCAGGCGTAATGTAAAGGTGAATGCGCAGCACGTCTCTGTTCAACGGTGCAATCTCAGCTTCCACTGTGAGAGTGGGGAAATTGTCGAGCAACTTAGTGATCGTGTGACCCATCTTGTTATTGTGAACAAGCGCTCCAATTTCTGCTGGCTCCATATCCCTAAGAGATTCGATAGAGGCGCTTGAGCCTTTCTCATCAAGATTTCGCATGACTGCCTGGGGAATGTCGAACTGATGGAAGGGATGTTGGTATGCCCATACTCGCTTCTCAATGGACTTGCACATAGAGAGAAGAACAAGACATTGGTAACCCCAGCGTCTGTTCAGTGCGATCATGAACAAAGCTCTACAGATACGAGCCGCATTCTGTGCAACGTAGGATGAGTCCGAAACCAGGGTGAAGTCTTCGAGACGGGCCCTGGAAATGTAGGACTGCAGAAGGACATTGGTCTTGCCGGATTGTGAGCCGATTCCACCTTCAATGTCGCATGGAGCAGATTCGTCTTGCAGGCGCAACAACTCCTTCTCTTCTGGTTCCTTGGACTGAATGTTATCGAACTCGCCACTCATACTGATCATCTTCAGTACATCTGCCTCTGTAGCTTGAGGGCGCATCATAGTGTTAAAAATCTCAACACTTGACTGCAGAACATAGTATTGACTTGCAATGCGGCCTACGTCCTTTGCACGGAGTTCCTCGGTCGTCTCGTTGAAGATGATCATCTGACTTTGTTGCAGGACTCTAGCAGCCTTGATGATCAAGTCGCGACGCCTCTGGACAAGCTGAGGGTCATCTCTGATCTCAGCCCAGTCGATACCATATGCCATGGGGTTCCTTTGCATGCGGACAAACAGGTAAGAGTATCCGAGCCATTGGACCGCCTCTGACACTGAGGTCACCGTGCCAAGCGAGATTTCAGCATTGAGGTTGTCGACCATCTTCTTGGAGAAGTTTGACTCGATTGGTTGTTGTTGAGTGACTGCAGTGAGGTAGTGTTGAACCTTGTCCTGAGTGGTGCAAATGAAGCCGATACCAGTGTCCTGGAACTGAGGACGACCGGCACGTCCGAAAATTTGAAGAACGTCAAGGATTCCGAGATCAACAAACTTACCTGCCTCTGCACTATAGAGTTGGGTACCTTTGATGACGACCGCGGCAGCTGGCAAGTTGACACCCCAGGCAAGAGTGGCAGTACAGCACAACACCTTGAGCACACCGTCGGCAAACAGACGTTCCATGAGATTTCTGTCCGAACGAGGCATACCAGCATGATGAGTACCAAAGCCCTTAGGCACGAGCTCTCTAAGCTCACGGCCCTTGGAGGTCTTCAGATCGCGCAAGGCCTGCTGGTAGTTTTCGTGGAAGGAAGGGTCGAAAAGATCTGTACACCCTTCGTCCGTAGCCAATTCATACATGGTTTTGGCAGTTTTCCAAGTGTCCTTGCGAGAATGCACGAAAACCATAACTTGATGTCCTTTCTCCAACATGTCACGTACTTTCTCGAATGAAACTTTCTCCAAGTTTTCTCGAGAAGTCTTGCTGCCAGCTTTGCCTTTGACACCAATGAAGTGTTGTTCGAGAGGCACTGGTCTGAAGGAGCCGTCGAAATAGAACAATCCAGCCATTCGATTGACCTTGAGGAAGTCGGCAACATCGATATAGTTGGGGAGCGTAGCGGAGAGACCAACAATGCGGATCAAAGATTGGGTACTCTCGACTTGTCTCTCTGTTCTGGCTACAAGGGACTCGAGCACGGCACCTCGCTCGTCATGAAGCATGTGGACTTCATCGATGATCAGGAGACGGACCTTCTGAACAAGCTCCGTGTCTCCAGTGCTCTTTCTCGTGACAACGTCCCATTTCTCTGGCGTTGTTACAATGATTTGGGTGGCAACGATTTCGGCTTTGGTAAGGTGCATATCTCCAGTAAGCTCACGACACTGTACGCCGAGCCACGCGAGTCTTTTGCCCAGCTTCTCTGTGATTTCGGCAGCCAAAGCCTTCATGGGAGCAACATAAACAATCTTGAAGTCGTTTAGAGCGACTGCAAGATCGCTAGCATTCGGATCGTCAAATGGACTTGGAGTCACGTTTTTGGCGATGGTATTGAGAATGGTCAACATGGCAGCATCAGTCTTACCAGCACCAGTAGGTGCACAAATTAGCATGTTCTCGCTTGTCTTGTATGCAACTGGGTAGACAAGACTTTGCATGCGGTTCAAGGACTTGTAACCTTTAAAAGTTCCTTGACAAAGCGTGTCCATGTCTTTGATCATGACAAGCGATTGACCAAGACCCAGAGTACCAACCTTTGCGGGAGGAATAGAATACTCTTCATACTTTTCATGTTCAGTTCGCTCACTTCCCAGTGGTAGCATGTACTTTCGACCGTGAGAGGAAAGCATATTTCCTGCATCATGTGCTCGGTAGACATGGGGGTATTGGGTGACAGATCGGTCCTGAGCGGCAGCAAGAGAGGCCGTTTTGTGTTGGAAGTCTTGCTGCTCTAGAGCGGCTTCTCTTTCGCGGCGCGAGAGGATTCTTCCGTTGGGCTGGCTCTTCGCAGGAGGTTGAACAGCTGTGGCAATCTCTTTACGGTGAGCGATGAAGTCGGCTACCAGGTCAAGTTCATCGAAGCCTAGGGTATCAGCGAGAAGCATTTGAAGCTCATCATCTGCAAGACGTCAGGCCAATTCATGTTGAGGCGAAAGACGATGTGATCCAACATACCACTACTGTCCGAGCCAAGTATAGCAACAATTTGATCCTGCAACTCGTCCACACTCATGCTGGACGAGACATATGAGAGTCTCTCTCGTAGCCAGACTGCGCCATATGCAGGACTTGGTGTAGCCTCGTGCGCAGGATACGAAGAGTCGCTGAGAAAGGCTTGATCTTCCTCTTCGTCGTCGTCTACAAGATCCCAGAGGTCATCGTCGCCGCTCGTAGGTTCCGAAGAGTCCTCCTCGTCTGTCCAGACATCCTGGCCGTACGCGGGTGCGTTTTCTGTGTCAGCAGGCAGTTTGAGCTCAGCAATAGCGGCTCTCATAGCACTGAGCTGAGCGAGCCATTGTGTCTCTGCGCTGTTCAGGTTGGCTGACATGTTGTGGCGGTAAGACACCCCGGCGCGTCTGTTATTAGTAGAGGTTTTCAACAGGAGTCCTTGATTCAAAGTCGCGACGGTGTATTCGTCGTCGACTTCCTCAGATACTGGCCACTTTTTGGGTGGATATCGAGAACAAGAATGACGCAGTCGATCGCGGTTTCTGTTCTGGGACTAGTTCCCGAGCACCTGCCGCCAACACCGCCGGTCGGGCAAGACACCTCCGAACCTTGCGCGCTTGATCGCAGAACATAAACACAGAACCACCAGTCAATCAACATGGTATGTTGTGTTTGCGACTAATTCTACCACTGCCGTTGCTGATTTTACACAGGAAAGTCCTCACGAACACCAGCAGAATGTTCTGCTCTCCCGAATCATCACCAATGTTGTGCGTTGATGTTTACAAATCTCACGAATTACTGATGTTTACATGGAACAGGAGAAACTGAACGAGGCCGTCATGATGTTGAACAAAAGCCTGCAAGTGTGTTACGTCTGAGAAAGAGGCATTCGAGGATCAGTCTGACATGTCGATCAGGAAATTAATATCAACAATATGGATGTTGAGCTCGTCGCCCAGATGTTCAAAAACTACCAGTCCAATGTTCTCTTCCATCTGGAGGGTAAGCTGTGATCTGATTATGAGGGATCTGGATATCGTAAACTGACGATAATAGCGACCGATAATCTCCGCGAGGCCTCATGAAACAGCCAACGCGAGCCATGATGCGCCCTTCTCAAGAGGGCAGAAGCAGACAACAGCTTCATGAGCGTTCTATGAAGACAAGAAATTCATGTCCTTCTGGCAGTCTCCCGAAAGGCCATTCGATACCTTTTCTCTGGATTTCATCTAACGCGGTGTCAGATTCTGCGTGGTCAACAAAGAACCCAGTATCTGCGCATGAGACTGTGCCATCAGTCACTTCGCTATCGAACAACGAGCCACGGAGTTTAGCAGTGCGGACATAGTTGACAGGGCAAGATGCCACGATATCTCTTATCCGAGGGCTGATGGTGCATTCTTTGACCTGGTCAAGCCCACCACCGAGCGCACGAAGGGTGGCCGATACTGCAAACGGGTGAGAGGACAGGATACCGTAACCACCGTCGTTGTCATGCTCGCTTAGCTTGGCCAGGAGCTAAAGAAACAGGTTAGCAGATGCCGTTCACTCCCTAGCTATGTCTTGTGACGCCATAAGGTACTATCGAAATGCATGATAGTTTCTCAAGTCAAGACATGTCCAGAGAGACGCCGAGATAAACTACTCGAGGTAGACTGCACTCTTCCTGAAAAGTATCGTGTCTCTACTCAACTTACTTTTGTCGCTAATCCTTGATTCCTGTACCTCTTGCATATGCAAAGCTGAGTGATCCAACACATGTCGAGGCCTTCAAAAGCCCACCGGGTAGCAAGAACATGACCGATCAGAACATCAGCGTCTTTGGCTTGCACAAGAAAATTACGAGCAGGTGCTTCGGGCAAGCAGTCGGATTTTAGGCGTGCAGGGCTGGAGCGTACGCGTTGACCTTGCCTCCTGCCTTCAACAGCCGTACCCCAAATGCCATAATTTTCTGAGAAAAGTGTAGCGATACCATGCATCATATCGTTCGTAATTTCGGCACCTTCGTGTTTGGTAAAGCTGATCATCGTGTTGTTCGAAGCTTCAAGTTTGAGCGACATGGGAGATCAAAAACCAGAACACAAACATAGCTATTTCTAGGAACTGGAACCCGTGGGAAATATCGATCATTCACTCAGCCAAGACAGATTATACTTTAAGATGAAAAGAGTAGTTGTCGAATGTTTTTGATTGGCGAGAGTGAAGGGCGAGGTCGCGGGACAGGGTTGTGGGGAGAGCATGGGCACGAACATCTCCAGCAACGCGAGTTTGTCCAAGCATCATGCAACGGACATCACAGCACGATGGTCTATCGCATATATGATATCAAGTCGGAGACGGCAAGCGGCCGCAACACACCTCCTGAGCGACCAGCCCAGGCCTACCACGTCAGCGAACCTCCATACGAGGGCTATCATGCTGTCGAGCAGAGCGCATACCGCAACAGCGCTCCCGACAGCGCCATAGTCATCGACAATGGTATGCTGTGCTCTTCTGTTCTATACCAGCCTATTAGCTGCTAACGCTTGCCATTATACAGGCTCGTACAACATCCGCGCCGGATGGCAATCCGATCGCACACCACGCCTCTCCCTGCCGCCGCTCATGGCTCGATACACGGATCGCAAGCTGAATCGCAAGCTCAACTTCATCGGCTCCGAGATCTATTTCGACGGTACTGCTCGAGGTCAGGCCAAGAACTTATATGAGCCTGGAAGCAACATCATCAACAACTGGGACGTCTTGGAGGGTGCTCTGGACTATCTCTTCATCAAATTAGGCATTGACGGCTCTAAGGGACACGTCGACCGTCCCGTGGTCATGACTGAGCCCTTGGCCAACCTGCAGTACTCTAAGCGTACCATGTCCGAGATCCTCTTCGAGCTGTACGGCGTTCCCGCTGCTGCATACGGCATCGACTCTCTCTTCTCCTACGCATACAACGGCGGTCGCACTGGTCTTGTTGTATCGTCCGCATACACCTCAACTCACCTTGTCCCCGTCGTCGACTCGAAGCCGCTCTTTGCTCAAGCTACGCGCTTGGATTGGGGTCGCTCGCAATGCGCCGAATACCTCAACAAGCTCCTACGCGCCAAGTACCCTGCATTACCCGGAAAGATCAATGACACTCAGATTGAAGATTTGGTCCGCCAACACTGCTACGTTTCTCAGGACTACAATGGCGAAATGGCCAGATATCTCGATTGGACTGGTCTGGAGGATCGCGACGTAGTTATTCAGCTGCCATTTACTGAGAAAGAGGTTGTCCAAAAGACTGAAGAAGAACTTGCAAGAGCTGCTGAGAAACGCAAAGAGAGTGGTCGAAGACTACAAGAGCAGGCTGCTAAGATGCGTCTCGAGAAGCTTATTCGCAAGGAACAAGAGCTCGAGTACTACAAGGATCTCCAACAAAAGCTTGCAACTGCTACCAAGAAGGACGCACGCACAATGCTAGAGGCTGAGGACTTCAACGACGAATCGCACTTGGAGCGAAAGATCAAGGACATGGAACGCTCGATTCGAAAACAGAGAAACAAGGATGTCGGCGATATTGACGAGCCCGAGGAAGTTCCAACTTATCCATTGCTTGACATCCCAGACGAGGAGCTTGATGAGGAGGGACTGAAACAAAAGCGTCAGCAACGCTTGATGAAGTCTAATCACGATGCTCGTGCTCGCGCAAAGGCAGAAAAAGAACGCGAGAAGGCTAGAGTAGCTGAAGAGGAGCGTTTGGACAATGAGCGCCGAGAGAACGACACCGAGGGTTGGCTACAAGAGAGGAGAGTTGCTCGACAGAACATGATTCAGCGCATCAAGGAGCGTGATCGTCTTAAGGCTGACCTCGGCAACCGCAAGTCACTCGCGAGTCAGATTCGCATGAAGAACATTGCCAATTTGGCATCTGACAACCCCAAGAAGCGTCGCCGGGGTGGAGACGATGACACCTTCGGCGCTGACGATGCCGACTGGGGAATATATCGTCAAATTGCCACTGGCGATCAAAGCGACGATGAAGAGGAAGAAGACCTCGGTGCCAATCTCAAGAACATTGAAGCCCAGCTTCTAAAGTATGATCCCACGTTCACAGAGCAGAGCACGCAGGAGGCACAACAAGACTGGACTAAGAGTGTACTTCACTCTTTCCTGCGCGGTCCTTGGCCTTTTGACCCAGAGAGCCAAAGAGAGCTCAATCAGATACACCTCAATGTCGAGCGCATCCGTGTGCCCGAAGTCATCTTCCAACCCGGTATCGCAGGCATTGACCAAGCAGGTATTGTCGAGATCGCCGAGGACATCATCACACAGCGTCTGTCCGGCTCTTCGAGGCGTGACGAAATGCTCAAGGATATATTCCTGACTGGAGGTTACACACACTTCCAAGGTTTCGAGGAGCGACTCCGCAACGAATTGCGTGCTGTGTTGCCTGCGGACATTTCTCTGGGCGTGCGCAAAGCCAAGGATCCTGTTCTGGACGCCTGGAAAGGTGCTGCTCAGTGGGCCGCTAGTCCTACGTCCAGACAGTCGTTCGTGTCACGAGCGGAATATCACGAAAAGGGAGCAGACTACATCAAGGAGCACAACTTGGGAAATGCAGCCTTTTGATAGTTGATGCAGGGTGCGAGCAGTAGTTTATTTTAGAGATGGGCTCGGCGAAAGTGGCGTTAGTGGGCGCAATACGATTCATACGAAGTGGCATGGTGATACCCGTTTTTTTCTCGTCTCAGACGACGACGACTCATGGCACGCACGAAGTTGATAGTTTTCTATTATTGCAACAAATATATGCATGCGAACCAAAAAAACTCGAAAGCCCTAGTTTTGCAAGGTACCTATTCTAATAAATGAATTCAACAGGCTTTCCAGTTAAATCGACTGGTTCTAGTGCCCAGACCGCCAGTCAGTGTGTCTGGTGTCAAAGCCATCACAATTTCTCTGCCGAGAATCTGAAACGCCACGAAACCAATCGTGATTCCTTCTGACAAGCAATTCGCCAGGGCTCTGCGACGCGTTTGAGACGGCGCGCCTTTAGAGGAGATCGCCAGGGCCTCTCAAATGACGGCGTAGACCAGGTCGTCCATGTGGACGTGCTAATGTGCGCCCCGTGCAAGTCGCCATACACGAGTAAGCACAGATGGGGCAAGCCATAAATTTGACGCAGGTACCAATGCACTTTGATACCGCGTGGGTCTGAGTAGGATGGTTGCCGATGGCGAACAGCGGTAAGCGTAGGTGCTTCTGTCGTGGGCCTGCTTCTTCTTCTTCTCGTCCTCTCTAGAAACAATCGTGAGACGCTTCAGACGTCGTCCTTTTCCTCAGACTTCCCGCTCGCTTTCGCTCAAGAAAAGCAACCTGCTATCTTATCAGTCCACTACTTCACCTTCCTTACTCTATCTCTTCCTGGTCTTTCCTTGGCGGTTATTGAAGCAATACTTTCTGGCAGGTCCATTCTCGGAAACCCTGGTGGTCCTTTCTTTTCAACTGGAGTTCTTTTGCCGCAGTTCGCGTATCACGAAACATGGGCTTTCTAGAGAGATCGAGGTCCTTACGACGTAAAGAGACACCTTTTATGCGCAAGAAGAATGATGAAGCGTCCACCGCACAGCAAACAGAGAGCGTTGATGTTGAGCAGCGCAATCTCAAGAGTGCTCATGGTCAGAAAGACCCGACATGGAAAGGAACACAGACCCCACCTTCGGATCTACCAAGGCCCTGCACTGCAAGTAAAGTGCCCGTCCAGGAGGTACAGCCGGAAATGCAGATGCCTAATTCAGCGAGAAATTTCGCAGAGTCACTCGCTTTCAAACTACCCAACAAGCCATCAAGAAGAATGTCTATGACTCCATCACCACGAACGACGACAACTAAGCTGACTCTTCATGCCAACCATTCCACCCCTGGTGTTGCATTTGAAAACTCACGAAGCCCTAAGCGGTCTATGACAACCCCCATTGAACCACTTCCCACTTTGACCAAGAAAGAGGAGAAACCTCTTGAAGCAGTTGCCCCGTCTAAGGTTGAGGTACCTTCAGCTGCTCCGCGCAAGGAGCCCCATCTGCGCAAATCTAAATCTGGTACATGGAGGTCATTCTTTTCCAGGAAACAATCAAAGCCACCGCTTCCAGACTTCAATCCAGCGGATATCGCGCCTCCACCAGCACTTCCAAAAGCGTCTGCTAAGAACTCTGTGCCAGCAATTCCAGCCAAGGATGGCAAGAAGCTCGATCGCAACTCGATCTCTGTAGACAAGACGAGGGCCGTGCAAAACCAAACCAGCACTCGAGCACAAGTCACAAAGAGCATTGGAGACACACCCGCACTATCCCAATTGAAGGCAGCCAACCTCCTGTCTCTGGAGCCTCCAGCTCGATCAAGTGCACGAAGTCCCAGTGGAGAATCAGCTGTATCGCAATACTTCGATGCTGCATCACAACACAGCGGGCCCTCATTACCAGTGACCCCTCTTGAAGGACCTAGTCAACGCAGACTCAATGTCAACATTCCTGCTGTCGAGATGGAGCGCTACAGCGTCATGTTCGAGAAGCTGCTCAAGCCTCAGAGTTCAATCATGGATCGACGACAAACGATGGTGAAACAGCTGAATCTCTCAGATCAGCCTTCAGGCAGGGTAAGCAGCTGAAGACTTGTGATACGCGCAAAGATATGAATGCTAACAATATGTGCAGCTTGCTCCTGAATCTCCTGCCTTGCAGCGCCGTGCTACCTCACCTAACCTCAGTTTGCGTACCCCTATGGCTACTGAGATGAATGGTGACAGCTCTCAAGTTGCCACTCCTGTACCTATTCACCGTGTATCAAACACACCACGTCTGTTGCGTTCGCAGACCGCACCACCCGGAGCAATTCAAACCTCGGGCCATGGTTGTGAACAAAGAAGCCAGGCACCTAGCACCACCAACAACTCCTCGGCATGCTCCACAAGTTCACACATGTGGAGCGATGCATCACGACCGCAAACTCCATCTTCTGATGCAGAATCTTTCGTTAGTTTTGATGTCAATGATGTTGATGACGACGACGATGAAGACAGTGGTGACGAAGACGACGAGCACGATGACACTGGTGTGTATATCCACGATGCCGTGGCCATGCAAGCGACGCCTCTGTTCAAAGATCCTCACTGGAGAAATGACACACCCGTCATGTCCTGCGCACCACCAATTCCACCTAAAGCACTAGGTCGCCAAAGTCCTCCTTCTTTCGAGCTGGAAAAGCAGGCGGCCACGATCAATCGCCCACACCCACCGCGCACAAGTTCCCTTGACGATAACGTGGCGAAACGCAAGACTCAGATTGGTCCGCAAATTGGTATTGCAAGAAAGATCTCTGTGGTGCGTAGAGCTGCTCCCAACAGCAGACTCAGTGTGCCTTCGCCTCCACAGGCAAAGTCTCCTGCTGCTCTTGATCCGACTAGTCCTATGCCAGTGTTCAGCAAGCAGCCGCTACGTCCAAAGCTTGTAGACGTGCGCAACCGCAAGAGTACTCTGGTCGTGCTCGACGAGGCCTAGATGGCACCTGTCACCGCTAGACCGCGGTTCTTGCTACAAGTTTGAAAACATTCTGTCCGCTCGACTCCTTCGCTTTTTGTCGAGTCTTTTTTGTTTCCTGCATCATCTATCAACCTTATAATGGCAGTGCCTTTTGTTTTTCTTTTCTTCCTTTTGTTGTTTTGGTATTTGAACCAGATTTTTTGGACTCGTTACATGAGTCAGCACCAGTTGTCTTGAGGACAGTGGGCAATTTTCGATTCTTATACCCTTCGTTTGTTTCACTTCCTATCGTTAACATTCTTCATTACTTTTGCAAAGATCGAGTTAGTCTCTATATGACACCATCAGAGATACATATGTAGAGACCATCTATCTAACCCAGCTCATATCCTTCCAGTGTACGAAAGTATGAAAAGCGTATGCTGTAAAAATGCAAGATACTAGTGAGAAACAGAGCGGTGTCCTCTGAGAGCGGTGTCCCCTGAGTGCCCCTGAGAGGGGTATTCCCTGATGAGAAGCGACTAATCATAGACTCTCCGTGGACATGCCTGTGTTTTCAGAGACTACTGTGCCTTTTTATGGTGTATACTCTGCTCTTAGCTGTACTTGGAGGACGATGGTTTGAACTAGGAGTTATAGACTCTAACACACGGAGAGAATACATGTGCCAATTCCCTCTAGAAGGCTGTTTGAAGAAATGTCTGTTCAATGTGCTTTCCATCAGTATCGCAGAATATTGAAATTTCGAGAGTCATAGAGCGATAACAAGAGAAGCACAAGAGTCGCAGCAGCACTTCCACGTCCTCGCGCCTCCACAGACCCGGACCCAACGCCAACCGCAATGCTTCCCATTTCACCTTTGGCAAGTACAAACCCCCAACCACCAATTATTTCACCTCAAGAAAAAAACCAAGTCAACAATGGCATCCTCAACACTAAACCACGTCATCGACCACACCACCCTACCACGCCTTCAAAGTCTAGTAAAAAAGCTATGCGACGCGTCTCCCTCAGCACGAGCTCTAGTCGAGCAAGAGCTTCTAGACTCCTCCTCCACAAATATCATCGATCTTACAGTCGACTATGAAGCACCAACAACTCAAACAGACACTGCAAGTGTCAAGAGACAACGCTATGTCATGTGCAAACACTGCAAGGAGGAATTCGACGTCACTGATAATGGAGAAGAAGATTGTCAATACCATGATGGTGAGTTGAATTCTACTCTTTTCATCATTCTTTTTCCCCTACAGACAAAAAAAAAACCCCCCCAAGAAGTTCATCAGAATCCATAACACCTTGACTAATTTGACCATCAAATCAAAACAGAAAACCTAGAAATTTATTGGGAAGGCGATTTCTGGGCCGATCACGACGAAGATTGTCATGGCACGATTGATCTTGATCTTGCCGAAGAGTTTCCTGAAGGCTTTGTATGGACGTGCTGCATGGAAAATGGTGAACATGAAGGGTGTAAGATTGGTCCACATGAGGTCGATGAGAGGTATAAACCAGAAGAAGTCAAGAGGAAGAGGATATGGGAATGAGCTTGTGTTTGTGGTAATCGAAGTAGAAACGTTGTGTACTGCGAGCTCGTTGGTCGATAGTCTATCGATTGCGAACTGCGTGTAGCACTGGAGCAAGAGGCGGTTGGAGCACAGTGGGACATGTCTGGTCAGAGATGCGAGAAAAGAGAAAAAACACATGGGTATCATTAGGTAAGCTACATGACAATGCAGCACGAGTTCTGTTTCTTGGCCTGTAGAACAAATTGTCAGTATCATTTCCTCGGTTGCTAGTGTTCTGCATCAAACATACCTGAGTATAGAACATCTTGCTCTGAGCACTAAGACCATCACTCTTGGCAACCAGATTATCAATCTTCTCTCCACGCTCCAAAACACTCTCAATAGTCTTGTGCAGCACAATCTTGGTCTCGTCCAACTCCTTCTGGATCTTCATGATGCTATCGGCAGCATGCGGGTCCTGGTACTTGACGATATACTCCTTGAGGGGAGGGAACGGCAACTCTGCATTCGAGTTTGCAAATGCCGAGCGGGGGTAGCGAGACAAGAACTCATCCATGATCTTGGAGAGCAGTTGGTGGGCGACCAGGGCAGGGTATTCTTGGTCGGAGATGATGATGCCGGCGACGCCTTCGCTGCGGCCGTAGGCGTGGAAGGTGTAGGATTGTTCTTCAATGTCCTGGCGTTGACCCGGCTTGGTGCGTTCGGCGACGGTCTTTGTGAAGAGTGACATGAACTCGCCGACACTGGAGCGGGTGAAGCGGGAGTAGCTGCTCAGGTCGCGTTCGGCGCACAGCTCGACGGCCGGCTTGTCTTCATTCTTGAGGATCTGTGGATGGGGTTAGTGTCGTAGAGGCAGTATAGACGACAAGGCGTTCAGCTTACGCCAATATAGAGAATCTTCATGTCGGCGGCGTGTATAGGGACAACGTTGGACGCTGCCTACGAGTAGGGGCGTGTGATGTATGTCCAAAAGGGTCCTGCCAAGCCGCCCGTCATCTCCCCCGGATCAGTCACCAGCATGTCATCATCATCAAAACACAGTCACTTTTGAGACCTACGGTACTTAACATACACTCACTTGCAAACGAAATATATCAATGTGAACGGGTATAATGACATTTGTCCATCGGACCTTCCCTGTGCTACCAACTCTAGATGTCGTGTTGCCAATCGTCAAGCCTCTACAGTCTAAGCTCCCTCACTACCAAACTCTGCAGTCCACTCAGCATTGTGCTTGAGATCTTCTTGACTGACAGTGGGTCTTGAAGCCTTGATTGCCTTGACGAAATCCTTGACCATAAGCGGCGGCTCCAGAAGCTGATCTGTTTCAACGTCCATCCAAGTCATCTCCATTGCCCCCTGGTCGCCCGGTGAGCATGGCGTGAGCTTCTCTTGACCATCGACCATAACCTATAACACGGAATTAGTATGTGAATACTGTAATCTTCTGATGACGGTAACGAACCTTCTTGTAGTGCGTTGCAGTCTGAATCTTCCGCACGGGCTGCATCAACGCATCCTGTACTGCAATGGTGATATCACTTCCAGAGTAGCCTTCGCTGAGCTGTGCCAGAGTTCTGTAGTCCTCTGCCTTCATCTCGCACGGTGTTGATCCAACCGCGAGCTCGAACATTCGTGTTCTTGCCGGTAGATCAGGCAAACTGATATGCACTCTGCGCTGGAAACGTCTGCGAATGGCAGAATCGAGCTGCCATGGGATGTTGGTTGCGCCGAGGATGAGGACACCCTTTGAATCACGTCCCACACCATCCATCTGCACCAGAAGTTCGGTCTTGATACGTCTTGACGCTTCCGACTCGCCTTCGCCTCTGGGACCACAAAGGGCGTCGATCTCATCGATGAAGATGATTGAAGGCTTGTTCTCTCGTGCCATGCCGAACAACTGCTTTACGAGACTGTTTACAGTTCAGTCAGTAGGCGCATGCTTATTGCAAGACGAAGGACATACCGTTCACTCTCACCCATCCACTTACTGACCAAGTCACTACTGCTGACACTGAAGAAAGTGCTGTTGGCCTCGGTGGCAACGGCTTTGGCGAGGTATGATTTACCAGTTCCAGGAGGACCGTAGAGCAGGATACCCTTCCAGGGCTGGCGCTTGCCGGTGAACAGATGGGGGAACTTGATGGGAAGGATGACAGCCTCTTTCAATGCTTCCTTTGCTTGCTCAAGACCAGCCACGTCCTCCCATTTGATGTTGGGCTTGTCAGTCAGGATAGCACCAGCAAGGGCACCTCGTAGCTTCTTAGAGTCGGGGTCTTGGTCGTCTCCATCATCGTCTCTGGAGGCGTGTGATTAGCGTGTGTAGACAAGTGTGGGACTCGAGAAGTACACACTTTCCCTTGCCTGCGCCGTTTGAGGTCTTCCCATTGGAACCTACAGCAGCAGGTTTTTTCCGATTCGTATCTTGTTCGGCCAAGTGATTCTTGAGTTTCTCAGCTCTTTCCATGTATTCGGCGGCCTTTGCGCGGATCATTTCCTTGGACTTTGCGTTCTTCTCCCCTATGGCTGGTGTGAGTGAAGTGCGATAATAGAAGCGGGCAATTAGAGCATACATTTCAAGGCGAGCATGAACAGTTCGACTAAAGCAGAGTTAGTGTCGGCAAGGTCAAGCGGGTGTTATGGTTGGTGTAGCACATACGGGCTTGATAGTAGAGTTGGTAGGCCTTCTCGTACTCGCCGGCCGTGTCCTGCTCAATGGCCTTCTTGACCACATCGATGGCACGGCCCAAGAAGTCGGTGTTGCTCATTTCGGACCTGCTACGAGAGAGTGGTGCAGTGGTGCAAGAAAGGTAGAGTGACGTGTGGCACCGAGTGTGCTCAGGTTGCGCTAGCCGAGTGCGAAGGTGTTTGCGTGAGTCGCGGAGGACGTCCCAATGGGTTGGCGGGTGTGACGATGAAGTAGGCGGACGATGGGATTATGGCAGGATCGTCGTCAGTAGATAGTGTATGCAACAGAGTCGAAGACAAGCAAGAGAGATGGATGGATCGCCGTTCCCCGCCGTCGTGTGGCTTCCCCACATCAACCAACGCGCCGTTTCCAACACCAATCTTGCACGCCGACCGCTGTCCAGAAAAGGCCCTTCCACGCCCAAGGACCATACAGGTGCATCACCAAAACTTCACAACCCTTCACAATGGCTTCTCCTGAACAACAAAAGCAATTGCAGGCTCTCTCAGACGAGTACACTTCTCTGCAAAACGGTATATCCATCAGAATCACTGCAGCCCTTAATCTCAATATCTTGCTGATTTGAACATATCAGAACTGCAAACCACTGTTGCAGCCAGACAAAAGCTCGAATCTCAACAACAGGAGAACAAGGGCGTCAAAAGTGTTTGTGATATCAACATATCTTCTGACTCAATTTTCAACTGACTTGTCTTGACCAGGAATTCGCTAACCTCGACGACGATGCCAATATCTACAAGCTTGTTGGCCCTATCCTACTCAAGCAAGATGTATCCGAGGCAAAGAGCACAGTCGATGGCCGTCTAGAGTTTATTGACAAGGAAATGTGTGTTTTCTCATGTTTTTCGTCTGCAGGCTCACACTGATCAATCAATAGCAATCGCATCGAGAAGCAAATCTCTGACATCCAAGCGAAGAGCGAAGAGAAGAAAATGGCTGTAAGTTCTCACCAAATTCTTGCAAGAGTGTCTATCTAGATTCTGACGTTTCCAGGTCTTCCAACTACAGACCGAGATTCAACAGAGCGGCCAACCAGCTGCAGCATGAGAGTAGTGCATGCTTGCGCCCATCAACAGTGGTTGCGAAAGTACTTCCCAGGACTCCCAGGACACCGAGGTCCAGAAGCCCACATCTCTGAGCGGTCGCTGGCATTCAGTGCGCGACTCGTGAGCGTTTCCTGACCGTGACATACAGCACGAGTACCCAAGGCAATCACTAAATTGACCTTGACAGTGCGTCGCCAGATTACGGCCTGCACGTATGATGTAGCGAAAATCACAATCAGGAGATCCTGGGTGTAAATGAAGAAAGCCAAGTCAAAATAGCCTTATGAAGTATATGTGTATTGTGTGCCAATAGTTTTGGAAATTGGTTGAGGACATCATTTGTTATTACGTCTCTCTGACTCTCGCTTTTTGTCTTCCTCGCCGGTTTTCCCCCTCACTAACAAGAAATCGGAGCCAACATGCTCCTGACGTGTACGTGATTGTCGTTGTCACGTCTGACCACACCCAAAGCCCAGCCTCATCCTCTTTCCCGACTACTGCCAAAACTTGGCATTTAACCAAAGAAGGCGCGAACGGCGTGCTGAACCTCTGGCGACATCTCAGCCAAAAGCTGGTTGGCATCCAGCGATGCCATGGTGACCAGAGCCTTAGCAGACTGCACAACCTGTTGTGCGGTTCTGCCTTGCAAGGTCTCGGCCTCCAGAGCCAGCGCCACAAAGTGGAAACAACGAGCTGCCTGCTGGATGACAGCAGGGTTTTGCCTAGGAAATATTATTAGAGATAGGTACTAAAGTTTTTCATTGAGGAACTTACTGGTCAATGAGTTGTGCCAGGAAGGCATAGGCATAGGGAGCAGCCTCTTCATCGTTAACGACAGGCAATGTTCCTATCCAAGCCTCAACGACTTGTTGACTGTTGGCGACCTTGGTGTTGTTGAAGTGAAGAATCTTGGCGATACTGGCGCAAGCGTTCTCGGTTGCGAACACATGGTCACCGGTACGGGCATCCGGTCTTTGTGTGGCCTGGAAGAGGAGAGGCAAGCTGGCGTTGGCGAAGTCTGACCATGGGGCACCACCCTTGTGTGCTGCAACACCAGCTCCGTATGTCGCGGCTTGTCTGTTGGCAGGAACGTCGTCTTGCATGCCGTCAACCAGAGGCTGCACAATGTGGCTCTCGAATGCCCACGAATCGGGGCCGCAGAACTCCAGAACATCGTCCATTATGCACAGCGCCCATTGTCTTTGTGTTGGGTCCTGGTTTACGAGTGCTTGGTCGAGGTAGGGCATAAGCTTCTGCCAGAAGGGAAGGAAAGTAGTGCCGTGGTGCTTGAAAATGGTATGGAAAGCCTTGTTCATGTCGGAGAGCAGGGTCTGATCGTCCTCGATGGCAAAGAGTGTCTCTTCGCTAGCTTCTTCGCCGTCTTCACGTTCGTTAGCTTCCTCAAGTCTCTCGGCGACACGAGTTTGGTAGTCCTTGAGAACACCTTCGGCAGAGTTGATGAAGACTGCCATGTGGTCCGGACTTAAACAGCCGTTGCCGCAGACTTCCACTGACTCGTAGAAGCATTGGTACATCTCAGCCAAAGTCTCGATAGCCGGTTCAGTCTCAAGGACCTCGAGCACCTTAGCGATGGTCGTTGACCAGAGTTGGCGGAACTGTGGTGATTGGAGGCCGTGGGCGAGCTTGTAGCAGTTAAGAAGCTGGGGAACACACTTTGCGGCGGCCTGACGAACAGGATCGTGGAAGAAGAAGGCAAGTCCAGGAATAGCAATGTTCTCCATGATGTCAAGAACGTAGTTCTCAAAGCTTGCAGCCAAGTGCTGAGCGTAGACGACAATAAGCTCAATGGCCATGTGCTTGTCATCGAGAGTGCTAGTCTTGATACCGATGTACTTGCCCTTGAGAGGTACAAGCTCCCATCCTTCCTCCTGTTCGAGGTTGTCTTCATCATCAAGCAGCTGAATATCGGCCTTGGCCTTGGCCAGCTCCAAAAGTGGGGGCATAACCGCAGGCAAGTACGGAAGGAAGTCTGCTCCCAAGATACGGCACATACGACCCCAACAGTGCAGCAGATATGAAGCTTGAGGGTCATCAGAGTCAGTAATGCCTTGTTGGATGGTACCAAGAATCTGGACAAGCTGGAGAGCATCGTTGCCCATGCGCTCCTTGCCGACTGCGAGTGCGATGAGAGTGGCACACTCCATGGCCTTGGCTCTAAGCAGGCGGTTCTCCTTGGATTGATCGGTCTGCAAAACGTTGAAGAGAAGGGGCATCAGATCGCTGTAGTACTTGGCAAATGCGGCTTCGGCGGAGTCGGCCACAGTGGCGATGGTCGACAAAGCTTGTTCCTGCACATAGCGGGTCTTGGTGTTGCGCAAAAGGTTGAAGAGGTTGGTGAAGAGACCGTCGAGGTAGGGGGTAAGAATCTCACGCTCGGCCTCCTCGCAGAAGTTGACGAGCGCAGCAGCTGCGTGGGATGCGACACGAGGTTGGTCAGATTTCAGGGATTCCACCAGGGCAGGGAGAACAATCTGGTGGAAGTTAGTCTGCATGGTGCCCTTGAAGTCAGTGCTCATCTGGCCCAGAGCGTTGCAAGCAGCCCATCTGACGCGAGGGTGGGGGTCGCTGAGTCTGGGAAGGACAAGGTCAAGGACTTGCTGAAGTTCGCTCTCCATGAGTTCCTGGCAACCCTCCGAAATGGCCGAAATAGCCATGAGGGCAGCGTGACGGTCTCTCCAAGCACCCGACTCAATCATACGGGGCAGCCACTGGAATGTGGGAGGGAGGATGGCCTGTCCACCCAACTTGTTTGCCAGACGATCCATGGTCTGCTCACCAGCAACGTGGTTCATGTCGGCCTCATCCAAATCAAGATCCTCTGTGGTGCACCAATCCTCAGCATCGTCATCGTCAGCGCCAACATCAGTCATGAGAGACAGGCACTGAGTAACCATATCGGCAGTGTAGTTGGGATCCTTGCGGCACATCTGAGGGCTGTAGTCGGCAAAAGTGGCCATGAGCTCCAGAGCATTCTGTCTAGCCTTGTCGTCGAGGTCCTTGTCTTGAATGACGGTAATACTGAATTTGACAAGCTCGTTGAACAAAGGCTTGAACATCTTGGGAGCAGCCTCGGCGAGATCGATCATGGCAACCAGAGCCTTGGTAAGGTCATCCGAGTTGGACATGTCTTTGAGTGGAGGGAGAATGTTGAGGATATCAGAGATCAAGGGGTAGTACTTGACTTGAGACTTCTTGTTGATTGAGTGGAAGAATGATGCGAATGCGTCCATGGCGGCCAGTCGGACCTATGGGTGGGAAGATGTTAGTCAGTCTGGGGTGGGAGAGAGAGTTTATTTGTAGCAACTTACGGCGACATCGTCGTCTTTGAAGCCCTTGGTGAAAGAACTCAGGACCACTTCCTCGTGCTGCTTCTCGATGATCCCGGGTGTAGTAGCGAAGATTCTGAAGGCCGTCTCGCGCTGACCGGCGTCAGGGGATTGACTGGCCTGGAACAAAGCGCCCAGAAGGTCAGACCAAGTATCTCTGCTGCCATCGTCGTTAAAGACGTCCTCGTCGGTGTATTGTCTGGCAATCTCGGCCACAGCATCGCCGACCTTGTTGCGAAGTGAAGGTTGTGCAACTACTGAAGGAGCAGCCATGCCTTGTAGCAATAGAGTTCGGATAGCATCTCTTTGGGGCTTTTGAAGGGTGAGGAACAGCTCGCGCGATTGGCCTGAAGGGTCCTTGGAGGTACGAGATGACATGCGACGGAACAGGACGGCAGCGAATGATTGGGCCTAGGCACATCAGTTGGAAGTTGGCCAGCGGTTAGTGACAGAAGGTTCATACAGTAGGAGAGTCGGCCATCTGGATCTGCTCAACGAGGCCCATGAGCAGGACGTCGGGCTTGGCCTGGGCCCATTCTGTCGAGAGACGCTCTTCGGCCTGGCTTCTGACGTTGTTGTCGGCTGCTTGAAGGCCTTGCAGCAGCTGGCCCAGTGCGCTGTGGGTCTCTGCTGGGAGAACCGACATGGTGTTTGTTTCTGGAGGGGGTGGAGGGGTTGAGGCGCCGCTGCGAGAGCGCCGCGTCGATCGAATCGTTGGTGTATAGGCCGTGACGGGTGCAAAAAAAGTCGTTATACGCAGTTGTGGCTCGGGAATCCCAGCGAGCACCTTGAACGGGCAGGACGATGGTAGCAGAAACAGGGAGAGTGTTTTGGCAGCTTTGTTTGATGCATATGTTTTTTTTGGTTCCATATCTAAGACCCTGAGCAAGCGGCTCCCTCCGTGCTTCCGACCTCCACATTCTCGAGCTTGACAAGCAAATTCTCGTCCAGCTTCAGCATAACCTTGATGTTCACAATCTGCTGCAGCCATCAAGATCATGCTCGCAAAAGACACGACTTTGTAACGACTTGTGACAGATTGTTGATTTGCACATGGACTATCACAAGACTTCTGCTACACCGACAAAGGAATGTTCAATTAAACTAAACTACAGTCATGAGTGGTATCGCTGCCAAAAGAAATGTAATCCTGCCGCCGCTCAGGAATGCGTGTCGTGCCCACACCTTACTTGCTTGACATCCTTGAGATGGCGAACACTCCAATGATGGCCACAGCTAGCGTTACTATCGCTCCAGGCAGAAGCAGCTCGTTGGGCAGACCGGCAATCAGTTGCTCTTGTGCTGCTGCCGGTGCTGCTTGACGCTCTCTTCTACGAGGCCTCATGGTTTCGCTCTCATCGTCTGACTCGCTGCGTGTCGACTTTCTCTCACGGACCTGGCTCTCGGATGGTGTTGCAGTCACCAATGAAGGTTGTGGGGCAAGTGTTGCTGGGAGTGGTGCCTTCTCGGGGTCATGTACGAACAGATCAACCTTGTCTTGGTGGGTCAATTGTGCGAGCGAGATGGCATCCAGCAGGTCGCGGTCTGTTGTTATCGAGACTGTGTCGCCTTCGTTATCAAGATAACTCAAAGCAAATCCGGTGTGACTGAGTTTGCCATCTTCGAAAGTAGGCACTCCACCGATAGATTCAGCTTCGCTGCCCAGCTTCTCAGCCACGACATTGACCAGCTCGCTCATGCCAGCTGAAGGCACTACCTGCAGTCTGTGCACGCGGCCACTCGGTGCCTTGAATTTGAAGGGGAACGCAACGTCTTCATATGAGTTGGGTGCTCCAGTAAAGGCCGATGGATCGGGTGAATCACGACCGCCAGTGTGAGAGGCTGAGTCGGTGGGCATGACACTATCACCCCGATCAACGCCAGGCCTTGACATCTCTGGTGAGATAAGGGATCTTCCATCTTCTGTTTGTGGGTGACGGCTACCGCCTTCGCCGGACATCATAGACTCGGTCTCGTTGTCGAAAGACATCCAGAATTTGTTCCAGGCAGGTCCCTCGCTATCTCCAGTTGACATGCTGTTGATCTACAAGAAGTTAGTTCACATGCATTCTAGATATCTCTCAATCTGGAAACACACCTGGTCGAGAGTGGCGTAGGTAAGCTTCAGGACATCGACCATGCCAACAATCTCGCCGTCGGCACTCATGACGGGCAAGTTCAAGTAGTGACCATCTAGTGTTTGTTAGCAAGCTATCAGGATGCCAATCATGAATAATACATACCATGCATCTTGCGTAGTGCAGATTGAATACTCATGTCCAGAGGTGCAAAGTCTGGGTGAGGTGTCATAACGCGGACAACACTGCAGTTGCTGGGATCAAGACCGGCAGCAATGACACGCAGGACGACATCCTTGCTGGTGAAGATTCCGGTAATGGATCCCTGGTCCGTCACCAGAACAGCAGTGGTGTGGTTAGCCTTCATCAATGACGCAGCCTCCTTGACAGAGGTGCGGACAGAGACGGTGACAGGTGGCATGCCGTTCAAGACAGACTCGAGAGTGGGACCAGACATCTTGTGACGAATGGCTTCCACATATTGAATAATCTGCTGAGGTTGGCTGGAACCCAATTCGGCCTGAACACCCTCGAGCGCATCGTACAGCTTCCTCGAGGAGCTGTATGCGCGTTCCAACTTCTCCATGGCGTCGTAGAAACATTTTGTGATATCGAGAATACCAGAGATATCGTGGTTCTCGTCCATGACAGGAAGGTGACGGAAGCCCTTGCGGACCATAAGATCAAGAGCATCAGTTGCGCTAGTGTCTGTTTTGGCGCACAGGGGGTTCTTGGTCATGATTTCGGCAATGGTGATGCTGTTGGCTTTGATGCCCTCTCCAACAACGCGGAAGGCGAGATCCTTTGCGGTAAAGATACCTGCAATACGATCATCATCGTCGGTAACAAGAACGCAGTCCTCACGCTTGGCGGCCATAAGCTGGGCAGCTTCTGCGACGGTAGTGTTCGGCTTGATCTGGAGAGCCTGACTAGGTCTGAGGGCAAGCACGGAACCAGGGGCAGCCTTTCGAGTCTGACGGGCGCGGGTAGGATTGGCTCTCTTCTTGTTGAGGTCGGTTTCGATCTTGCGGCGGATGGCCTGGGAGGAGTGTTGATTAGACAAACCAGACAAGACACAATGCTTCGAGGCAACACACCTCATCCCTCTTGGACTGTTTAGCCCTGCTGGCACTGAGGGTCGACATGTCGCTGGGTGCGGTGCTGGCGACTGATTCTAGCTTTGGTCTGGGGATGCCCGAGGGGCTTTGGAGAGCTTCGAAAGGATTTTGGCCTCTGACTTTGTCTTTGGGAGTACCACGATATGTACCAGTTGCGGACATAGTGGTTCGTGCAGTTCAGAAGTCGGTGCGAGGGCGGTGAAGGGAGGCCAGAGCTAACTATTTACGTTTCAAGCCTGCACGACCCGGAGCTTCTCCCTGGTCCCTGGAGCCCGCGATTGTAAACACAATAATAATTAGGGTAAACTTTGGTCAGCCAAGCCCCATCTGCCCCTATTCAAGTCATAAATATCTTATGCAACTTTTATGTGCTTCTGCCGCAACATGCCATAGTCAAGTAAGATGTTGGTTGTCTATCGGCTTAGGAGTACGAACTTCCTAATGGTGACACGAAAGTAATCGAGTAGTGCGAATCAGAGTACAGAGCTGCAGCACATTGTTTCCGAGCTCAGGTCATTCACTCCACGGTGCGACCAAGCCAAATGATTCGTCTACAAGATCGTGCAACTTGTAGCCCGAGCAGCACTTAACGCTCTCGTCACTCCAAGTGAAATATTGTACTGAAGTCAACTAATCGGCGTATGCAAAGTACTGCCAAAAGTGACTTTCTCTTCCTCAGAGATGCTGCAGTAAGACGATCAGAAAGTGTTGCAAGAATCCTCGTTCAAATTATAGTGCTGGTCTTGACGAGTGTAAAGCAGATTTGGTAGACATCGCAAATCAAGTGCTCGAGATCTCATTATGGGCACTCGGTTAGTAAATGTTGCAGTAATTCACAATCCTTTTACATATGCTAGTTGACCATCGAAAAGTGATGAGTAGAGTGAGTCTCGAGCGGAAGTGGTTGACGGATTTTGCCGTGGCTTCTCTTTGGCTTGGCAGGCGCACTTGGGAAGGAGCGAATTTGAGTGTGCCTGCGGACAACAAGCGAGATTCACCACGCGCCTTTTTGGGATTTCATACTCTTTCTGCTACTAGGAAGAGTCATCCGTCGCCAACACACGTCAAAATGGTCAAGAAGAGAGCCTCCAAGTACGAATCGCCTCGCCATGGATACTCACTAGATGTCGCGCTGACATTGTTGTTACAGCGGTCGCAACAAGAAGGGTCGTGGCCACGTCAAGCCCGTCCGCTGCTCCAACTGCTCGCGATGCGTTCCTAAGGACAAGGCCGTCAAGAGATTCACCATCCGCAACATGGTCGAGTCCGCCGCTATCCGTACGTCGATTCCGCCAGACTTGCACATCCTGCAAACACTTCCTTCGACCTCTCCCTTCAACCACTCCTCCAACCACTCGCCTCTGGTCTTCCTCGAACACCACGACTAATATAACTCCTACAGGTGATATCTCGGATGCCTCCGTCTTCGCCGAGTACGCCGTTCCCAAGATGTACTTGAAGCTCCAGTACTGCGTCTCGTGCGCCATCCACGGCAAGATCGTTCGGTATGCCTCACCCTGGAAACACCACCCTACTCGGGCGCAGTCCACCACCACCCGCTCGATGCGCACACGGAATACTAACACAGCGCAGTGTCCGTTCCCGCGAGGGCCGCCGCAACCGTGCCCCTCCCCCGCGTGTTCGCTTCAACAAGGACGGCAAGAAGATCAACCCCCAGCAGGCTGCTAAGATCGCCGGTGCCCAGGCATAAATGATGTGTTTTTTCGGGATTTGACAAGGCGTCTATCTTCCGGGATTATTTTGGCAGGCACGAGGTTGCATTCATGGCTTCAAAAAGAAAAAATGGAGAACAGGTCGGGATGCCATCTTCAATGAAGATTCTCAGCGGCAGCATGGAGCTACCTTAACGGGCACTGTTTTTCTCCTGCACAGCGGCTAGGTAGACTTCAAATGCACGCAAAAGCGGTCGTGGCTGCTACGATTGTTGAACTTCCCAAAATCACTGGACACTTCGCTCTTCTTTTGCACGTGTTATCATTCGAACATGCACTATCAGAGATCTAGTCGGATCGCTTCTCCGCAGCGCTGCCCTCCTGACCAGCCTTGGTGTGTGTGCTCTCAGGCATTTGATCATCGTCCCAGTCTTCGGCATTCTCATCCCAATTGTCCAACTCTTCAGTAACATTTGGTGGCTCGGAGCTAGACATGACGCCAGTTTCCTGGCCAGCAGTGCTCTCTCCCAGCTCAATGTCTTGGTCCTCGCCAGGCACCACTGTGTAGTTTCTAGCAGCGCGGCGTCTCTCCAGCATACGTTTGTGATACCAGCTGCAGGCCAGCAAGGCAAGCAGCGAGCCAACAACATTTGCAAGAATGTCGTATGGGTCGAAATCACGGCCATTCTAAGTGAACATGTTAGCGCAGTGCGTTGTAGTCGGACTTGAGGGAGAAATCATGCCGGTAGCAGTCCTTGGACGATCTCGGAACCAATGCTTAGAGCAACGGTACAGGCCACGAGGGTAAAGTGGATGACACGGCGACGGTTGGTTTCGATGATCCAGTAGAAGCAAAGCTAGCAGACGTGAAGGTCAGATAAGAGCCAGTGTCGATGATGCCAGACGTACGGTGATCAAGAAGAAGGTAACAAAGTGCAAGACCTTGTCACTTTGCTTGTATTGGGGTAGGCGGTTCGGAGCAAGGCCTAATGAGGCTGCTATGAACAGCAATACCACAAAGGCAGCTACGCGCAAGTGTCAGTCGCATAAACTTTGACAGAGCTGCGGCAGAAGTACGATACCTGCAAAAGGCTTCCTGATCCTCATGGCTCAAGCTAACAAGCTGTCGGTCAAGTGTGCTATCTACAAGGGCAAGCAAAGCGCAAGGTAGGGTGTGCTTGGAAGCGGGACTGTCCCAGTGGTGGGTAGTCGGAAGGGGGCGGCGTCGTTACTCGGTGCTTGTTCCTCTTTGGACTCGATCTCTTCTCTACCAAGACGACTGACAAGTATTCTAAATCGGTACCTGGATATTGTTTCTGAGATCATCGTCTTGCAGACAGATACAAATCTTTCTTGGTGAGCTGTGCACGCGACTGATTGATTCACAGTCAGGCGCGTCACTGTCTTCGGGGTGTGTGCTTAACCGCTGTCTACCGACGCAGCGCGACTCCTCCATCCACACAAGTGACCCCGTCAGTGCATCCATCATCCACGCGAGAACCAGCGAGTTTCCATCGGACTTTTTCCTTCTCCCGCCTTCTGCTCGTCCTCAGCTTTCGGCGCCATCAGATGATTGACACTCCTCTGCCATATCAGAGGTCTGCGTGAATGCGCAGCATCAGCACTCGTCCCCGGCTTGGCCATGAACAATAAGGAGCGCTCCAAACCCGCCTCGGCCAGCAACTCCCTGAATCGACAAAAGTCTATCGATGGCTTAAGTCCTGCGCCGCTGCTCAGAGATGCTTCAATTGCGCGAACCTCCAGGGCCGACTCCAACCCGAACGACGACCTTGACCATGACCCTGACCATGACCGCGATCCCGATGACGATGATCCACTTCACATTTCCCTAAAGGCCTGTTATGATACCACCCAGTCCAAAATCGCCCAGCTCTTCTCGAATCAACCCCTTCCGCTACAAAACCCAGAATCCAAATCACATCGTCCTGCTCGCGACCAATCACCCGTCAACCACTCCACCCCACCCCCACCTCCTCCTCCGCCCAAGAGACCTGCGCGCACCATTGATGAAGATGACTACGGTGACGATGACGACGACGATGAAGAGAACGAGCGCGACCAACAAACCCAACAATCACAGCCCGCTGCCGAGTCCCCTTCACGCTCAGGGCAAGCCGCCTCACCATCCTTGTCACTCAAGCCGACCATCACTCGCACCAGTACTTCATCTGGTTCCTCAGATAATGTCAAGTCCTCGGAAGATGTGCGCAAAAAACTCGAGCAAGACAAGAAGGCGGCCGAAGATGCGGCGCGAAAGAGTTTCCATATCATGTTCTATACCCTAGAGGCAGACCGAGACGCTATGATGGAGCAGCAAAAGCTGGATGAGCTGGATAGACAAGTCGAGAACGAGATGTCTGGCGTAGCCAATCCTGCCCCAACCTCTGATCCATCAGGTGTTCAACAGGGTTCTCTCAGCAACGCGGATCTTGGTGCATCCAGCTTGACCCTGAAAAATCTCATTGCTCGGATAGACGCCAAACGAACAATGGTCAACGCAAATGACACCCAACTTCGTACTCTGATCAGTGAAGTGCGCAAAGGGCGCAGTAAATGGGCCAGCGAGGAAAAGGTTGGCCAGGAAGAGTTGTACGAGGCTGCCGAGAAGGTTTTGATGGAACTCAAGGCCATGACTGAATACTCGACTCCTTTCTTGCAGAGAGTCAATAAGAGAGACGCCCCCGACTATTTTCACATCATCAAACAACCCATGGATATCGGTACCATGATCAAGAAGCTCAAGAGCTTTTCATACAGATCAAAGAAAGAGTTTGTGGGCGATTTGAATCTCATATGGGCCAATTGTCTCACCTACAATGCCGATCCCGCTCATCCTTTACGCAAGAAGGCTCTTTATATGCGCAAAGAAACCGACAAGCTAGTGCCTCTTATTCCCGACATTGTCGTAAGAGATAGAGCAGAGGTGGAAGCTGAGGAAAGGCGTCTACAAAATTTGGATGTCGACCTCGAGGGAGGAGAGGACAGCGACGATGGTAACGACGCATTCAATCAGACCTTCATGACGTGAACTGACTTGCTCACAGATCAACCTATCATGGCATCTCGTGGCCGCAAAGCACCAGGCAAGAGCAAAAAGGGACAATCAAATACTACTCGACAGACAACTCCTGGTGCACCAGAAGGCACTCCTGCAGCTGAGTCTAAGCCTGCAATTCACGCATCTGCATCTAGTCTGCGCAACGAGTTCCTACGTGCCGATTCAGATGCTCCTGCTGAGGCCAGCTCAAATGGGTTCTCCACGCCACCTCCACCTGGAACGATCACTCCACTTGGGATGAACGGACTTAGTCAAGCTGATTTGATGGAAGTAGACGGTGTCGGAAACTCAATTGTCATTAGCTCACAGATCGAGGACCTGGATGAGGACGACGCTGAGTACAAGACCTGGAAGCAAGTCACCAAGAAAGACAGAGCTATGGCTGCTGCTGAAAGAAACCGCCTGTTCCGCGGTGACCATCTCAACCCTGATGAACCAGCATTGTTGCGCACAAAAGCAGGGATGCGGAGATGGCTTCGACAACAGAAGCAAATCATGGCAGATCCGTCCAGCGCGCAATCAAAATCTGACGGCGATGAACCGGAGCCGGATACGAGTACCACAGGCGAAACTCTCGCCGAAATCCAGAAGGATCAGGATCGAACACTCCCGGACTACTACGATGTGTTGGCAGCAATTCCTGATCTGAGTGATGAACTAAAATGGACTGAAGACTCAGAAGGCAAAGTGATACCTCAGGTCGAGGATTATCTGCGCGTCTTTCCAAAAGAACAATTTACATCTGCGGAAAGCGGTCTTACCAAACGTATGGAAGCGAACATGAGACAGATGCAAGAGACTCGAAAAGTCTGCGCAAAGATCGGCATTGTCAAGCAAATGCAGATCCAGGCTCAGGTACGTGTCTTTGATACGTGATAAGAGCTAAAGTGTGCTAACATCTCCTCGCAGACTTATCAAAATCAGTTCCAAAAGTACGATCCCCAACCTTTCGTGGAACAAGATATTGGCGCTGTCGCTGTGTCAGAAGATGGCCCTATCATGTCACCATGGGTCTGTCGCGCTGCCTTCCAGAGAGCTGTAGGGAAGATCTTCTACCATGCCGGGTTCGAAGATTTTCAGCCCTCTGCACTTGATGCCGTCACAGACATAGCCAGCGATTTCTTCCAAAAGCTTATCCGCACTTTCACTTTATACAACGAAGCACCTAAGACTGAGCTGGACGCTCACAATTTCGGCGCCGAAGAGCAGGTCCTTCACTGTCTTCACAAAAATGGTCTAGATCTGGAATCGCTCGAAACATATGTCAAGGACGATGTCGAAAGGTTGGGATCAAAGTTGGGTGTGGTCCATGAACGCATGAAGGCACATCTCGCCGATTTACTGGTAAGTACTTATCGCTATTCTGCTGAAGGAGATACTAATTCATGTAGCGACCTGCTCTGGGCGACAGTGTTGGCGCAGATGGCGTTGGTGCTTTCAACGATGGCAGTGATCAGTTTACCAGTGGTGACTTTGCTGCCGACGTCGATGAAGATTTCTTCGGTTTCAAAGAGCTTGGTCTGGCCGACGAATTTGGTTTGGAGAGTCTCAGTGTGCCCTTGCATCTGCTACAGAACCGCATGCACAGCGCTTACCAGGCCAACCATACCAGCTTGATCACTTCATCTGGTGTCGTGTTTCCTGTACCTGCTCCTTACGATCCGATCTCGACGGACAACTTGCCTTCTCAGATTGGACTGGTCCAAGACTTCTTCGCGACCAAACTTGCTGCTAATCAAGGACGACCCTTGGTTGACGATGAAGATTTGCCGACCAAGCAGCGCTTCCCTCGACCTCGTCTGCCGCCTACTGGAAAGATCAGCAGTCCAAGAAAGCGACCAATCCGTGAGCAGCAACAAGCCGCCAAGAAGCGCAGAAAACTTGAGGAGAGCAAAGAAGAAAATAAACTGGTGAAACCGATTGGACCACTAAAATTGGCGTTACCAGGAGCCAAAGATAAAGATCCAGAACCCGAGAAAGATCACGAAGGGAAGAATGCCATGATGAGTCCGCCCGAGAGCATTACTGCGAGTTAGGGGTCACTTTGGGTTTGCACATAACACGGAGAGGGAAGACATGCTTTGATGTCTCTGTTTCGAATCTGTTTTGTTTTTCACTTGAGATAATTTGGCGTCAAGGGTTCTTCCGAATGTTTATACCCAGGCGGTCTCCCTGCATTCATTTCCGGTCTTTGAATCTTCCTGTGGACGCTATTGGTTGCAATGATCACTTTTGATGCTACGATGCGAGGAGAGGTTGAATAAAATTGAGATGCAGAATTATTAATATTCAGACTGTATATAGCATGAGTCTGGCGAGGAAAACTGACAAATGACGACAAATACGCAAAGCTCACGGTGCTTGTGCAAACAACAAATTCACGATAATGGGCGATTAGAGGCTTCACATAGAGAAATGGTATGAAGTGAAATAGTTGTCATTAAACTTTCGTATCATCATGTGCATAGCACTGCATCACTCTTCTTGAATATGAGTGGTATCTAGTTCGAGACCTTGTCGGGAACGTTCTTGCCTAAGAGATGGAAATCAGTATCCAAGCCGTGTTTTGTATATCAGCATCGATGAAAACATACCAGTGGCCTTCTCGAACATGCCGCGAGCAGTGTCGGTGACCTTCTCGTTGACAGAGCGGAGCTTGCTGGGGTCCTGGCCCTCCTTTCTCTCGAGAGAGTCGAGGCCCTGTGGATGTCAGGATGATGGTATTCCTTGCGAGAAATTGTGTGTACTGACCTTGTCAACGTAGTCCTCCTGGCCGCCAGCAGCAGGGTTTCCTTGTCCTTGAGGAGCAGACATGTTTGTTGATTTGAAGTTGGAGATGGGTTGATTGATTTGTGTAGTAGTGTAGTGGATGGAGAAGTAATTTGCTTCTTTTCGTCCTGTTTATATAAGGTGTTTTTCGTGCGAGGGGTGGTTCGAGAAACCTGTTCTTGACCCCGCCGACGTCACTTATCTGGGGCGAGAAACAGGTCGAGATCTTGGATGATGGCTGGCTGATGATTCCTCTTACGTCGTTTTTGATCTCACGAATGCTCACAGACTTGGACTCCTGGCGATCTTCATCAAGTCAACGAGTGTTGCTATGCACGTCACTTTGATGTCGGCTTCAGCGTCTGTTAGGTAAACAATAGGCACAGAGATCTACTCCGAGTAGGAACGGTCCCCATTGCTATATATAAATAAGCTTTTCGGTCAAAGCTTATACATATTCGGTTCTGTCTTGATGCCTTCTATTGTAGATATTTATTAGGATGTATGTGTATCAAGCAGCATCGTATACAGTTCAAGAGATCAGACACGTGCATACTACGATCCTGAATTGTAAAGGTCATCTTTTCAATATTTGTGTTTGAGCAGTGAGATGGGTGCTTGTTCGCCCAATTTCTCGTATGCCAGATTCGATATCCATGATTGACATGACATTCGCTACATATTGCTCCAAACCACCCAATTCGTGTTTGAAAACCATCAAGATATATTCACGGGTTCGTTGCAACTATGTCCATATTCTACAATGACATGTCAGACATCCGAGTGGACTCTCATGAAGCGCGCACGAAAAAGACAGGGTGGTATCGCCAGCGAAAGTAGAGCTAAGAGATTGTGGCCTGCGAGCCATCACATCGCTCAATGTTTGAATCGCCGACCACAACTCGCGGTGAGAGAAGATATATATCCTGCATCTGGTGTTTACAGATCCAAGATTTGTCTTTGACTGTGGACAGGTCTTTCCAGCACGCGATCACAAATCGATTCACAATCACACGGTTTGTTGAGGTCAAAGGCCTAGAACGGTCGTGCAGCTGAACGGCACACATCACCCCGTAGGGCCTCTCTGCCTTCCCCACGTGCACCTCCTACTATCTTCTTTTTCTCACTCTTTGATAGGGACGATATCTTTGCTGTAGCCGCGCGCTTGATTATTGTTATCTGCCGTTGTATTCTTTTCTTGTTTCCGACCCTTCGCTTTGTTTACTCTGTTTGTGTGCCTGCATCGTCCGTGTCATTGTTTGCACTGCCTCGTAAGAGCCAGTTGGTTGCTGAGTGCAGGTCTTAATACAAGCGTTTCAAATTTCTGGTCGTTGCAGAATACATCACCCCTTGCGTCAACGACAACATGCATACACCCACATTAGCGAGCGAGAGCTCGCCGGTCTCACCAGCCTTCACAGAGTTCCGAAAGCGCTCGTTACCTCCACACATCATCGAGTCGCAAAAAAAGGAGGCACTAGCGATGGTCACTGAAAAGGAATCCGAGGAAGCCGATGCACAGTCGCAACAAGAACAGCTATCTTTTCTCAAGCGGCATTTTTACAGAACGACCATAGTGTCTGGTGCTGGTGATGATGGAAGTAACGCAGAACCAGTTCGTCGTTTCTCGGTGCTATCTCGAGGGTTTCTTACACTGGCGGCACTATTTTGTCTGGCTATAGTGGTCACTCTCGTTGCGGTCCTAGCTACGCTACTCGTACGACATAAGCACGTGGAGCAAGAAATTCGCAGGTCTCCTGTCCAAGAGGCAATATTTGCCAATTTTGCAGATCCGATGGTGCTCAAACATGAGGACTTGTTCTACGCGTTCGCTACAACCAATGCAGCAGGTTAGTGGATCATCTTCCTCTAGCACTGTATATAGACAAGCTGACATGCTTAGGTATCCTCGCACAATCAAATGACACAGCCGCTCAAGAGATTCTTGCTCTCGGCAAAAGCAATGTGCAAATAGCGACAAGCCCGAATTTCAAGGACTGGACTTTACTGAACCATACACACGACCCCCTTCCACAGTTGGGCGACTGGGTCAGGCCCGGACTCACGGTCAATCTGAACCCAAAGGCAAATGTTTGGGCTCCGGCTGTCATCAAGAGACCTAGTGATGGCAAGTTCGTACTTTACTATTCTGCTGCATCAGCAGATTCTCCAGAGAACGCACCACGGACATCTCATTGTGTTGGAGCAGCAGTCTCGAATACATCTTCACCAGCAGGCCCATACATGCCATTGAACGGGACCATCGCTTGTCCTATCGATCAAGGCGGCGCCATCGATCCATCTCCCTTCATCGATACAGACGGATCGTTCTATGTCACGTACAAGGTCGATGGTAACAACATCGGGCATGGCGGAGAATGTGGCAACATGGTCAAGCCTCTCGTACCCACGCCTATCAAGCTGCAAAAGATGATGACGGATGGTGTCACACCAGATGGCTCCGACATCACCATCCTCGATCGCACGGATGATGACGGTCCACTCGTAGAAGCACCAGTCATCGTCAGAAGTCCAGAAGGAATCTACTTCCTCTTCTTCTCATCTGGATGTACTCGAAACCCTTCTTACGATGTGAAGTACGCGACTGCAAACGACGTTCGCGGCCCTTATCAACGAGCAAAGAAGCCTCTGCTGAGGACAGGCGACTTCAACCTGACTGCACCTGGGTCAGTCGGTGTCATGGATTTGGAAGACGGCACGTTTGGAATGGTCTTCCACGCTCGAGTTCAGGCATCGTACGGAAAAGTGCGAGCTATGTACACTTCGGCTTTCAAATTCAATGGGACCGAAGTCATGTTAGTTAAGAAGATCTAGATGACGAAAATGATAAATTATACGCCTTTATGCCAACTTTCAGACCATTGCAATTCCATAGTTGTCTTAGTTCCTTTACAATGCTGCAGCCACATCAAAGCCCGGATGATGTCTAAAGTAGGATCATAAGCTACAGACCAGCTCCGATATCTTGTCTCCCTTCACGGCGTCTGAGATGACACTGTGCATCAAATCAGCCTGTCTGGAGTCTATCGCGAACCAACGAAGCCTGATGAACATCCATCAATTTTTGGATTTTTCTTTGCATTTTTCTGCTCGACCAGCAAACTCTCAAGACCATTTGATGACTCGTAATAGCAGCGTGCCAGACGATCTCTTTAATGGTTGCTCATCGTGAGAGCGCGCAAATCTTCGAGCACAAGTCCCTGCCAGCCGTACTGGCTGATGAACCTAACGACTTGACGTCTGCCTCTTGAGTTTCTCAACTCATCCTCATTCGAATCTAATATAGCGCTATATCATCTACCAGACATAGCATGGAAGCAGTAAATTGATGTATGAGTCTGATAGGATCGAAGATCTATGCAAAGACCATCGAAGACAGGGTTCTCCTTCCAGCCTCGCCCCTCAACTACACGTGATACCCCGATCGCGCTAACTCGATGCGAGGTGTAGAGAGCTCTCGCAGCGTTTGCGATGTCGTGGAAGAAGCATCTATAGCTCGAAACTTAACAATCAAGTTTCGACATCATCTTCCTGATATCTAGACCTGTATAAGGCTAGGAAGATGTACAGCAGCCATAGACGTAGTAGACTAGAGAGAAGTGCAGCGCTTGATGACATATAATGGTCGACCTGCAGAAGCATCTTCTACAGATTTCTTCTTGTTTTGTTACTGTAGCCGTAAACATCCAGTGTTGTGTTTGTTCAGTTCAAGGGAAGAGGCCTTCGTAATCATCTTGTACTGGATGTATATCTCAGATTTCTTATAATCATTCTTGGATGATGAAAGCAAGACGTTGATGAAGAGGCGTGTTCTAATTAGCGTTCTGAGCGTAGTATGTTGCGATGGGCATGAAAATTTCCGAGGATAGAAAGCGATAGGCGCAATGTGTTGCGTTGGGAAAGACTCCGAGGACTGAAAGCAACGAATGAAGTTGTGTTCAGAAGATCAAACTCATAAATTCATTTCGTAGCAGGAGAAGCATAAACGCCTACAACACCCCCGCATTGTGCAATTCCAAGAAAGGTCTGGTCTAGAGAAGATATGTATGTAGCTTGGGGTATTGATATCATGCACCGGTCTCTTTGCTCTCTTCGAGATGGTAGTCACCGTTTTGCAGACCTTGAAGGACCTTCTTGCCCTCCTCGGTGAGCTCAGGAATACCAGCTGGAGTGGTGGCGCCAGTGAAGAAGCGAGGTGACCATTCAACGTTTCTGGCCTTCCTATCAGCCGCTTTTTGACGTTGGCGCTCCTCAAGCTCCTGTTTCTCTGACGTGGCTCTCGAGTATTGCTTGTTGAGAATGGCGTCGGTGACATTGTTCCAGAACTTGCGCGACTCGTTGGGCAATTGTTGCTCAGGAGGAGGAACAATCTTCTGCACGGGGAACAGCGGGTTGACATCAATCAGAAGAACCTTATCGGGGTTCTTTGCAGCAGGTCCAGGGCCTCTGGTGAAGTAGACCTTATCGTGCCAGGCACCTTCGATGCGACCAATGATGGCCTTCTCTGGAACGTCCTTGATCCTGGTAATATTGTCGTTGTCAACGTCACACTTGTAGACAACGCCTTCTACCTTATTCTGAGTCTTGCCCAGCCATCCTTCTTCAAGATATGTGAGGATGACCTTGATGCCTGTCTTCTTGCATGTTACAAAGCAGGTATCGGCGACGCTAACGTTGAGGTTGCCTAGCAGTGTGTCAGCGGTTGGCAACATGAGCCAGAAGCTGGGGTAATGATACCTCGCAGGAAGCCGCCTAGGTATGCAGCGGGATGAGTGAGATGGTATGTCTCGTTGTCCCAGTTGTGTAGAGTGACGTAAATGCCTTCGTTGTAAATGCCTGGAGTGACACGAATGCTGGTGCCGGTGAACTTTGCGCTAATCTGATCGAAGCCGCATGCAGAGATGCCTTTTTGAGGACAGTCGACGTAGTAGGCGGAGACGGGAGGATGATGCGAGGTTTGCTCGGTGAGGTAAGAAACCTTGATAGGCTTGCCGGCAGTATCGGACTTGACTTTGTTGCCTTGGAGAACGGGGACGTTGTCTTCGGTCTCCCATTGACACTGAACGAACATCAGAGACAGGACCCAACATGGAATAGAGGCAGACAACGTACTCTAAAGAACTCTCCGAGAGTCGAGTTGTATGGCTTGCAAGGCTTGCCCTTGACATACTTCAGGTCCTTTGTGAACCAGAAGCGCAAGCAGGCGAGGAGGCGGCCTAGCTCATCGTCCGAGTCGCCGATGCTGGCAAAGATGTCGGGTCTGTCCAGGTAATGCCAGTACTCTGCGCAAGGATGTGGTTAGAAAGTTGTTGTTCAAGGCTCCAAGTGGAGGCGTACCGAGGTTGGGGATGGGCTCGAGCAGCTGGGCAGGCAGGGAGAAGCGAACAGCGGCAATGTCAGAGACACCGATGAACCTGGACGGGCGTTTCAGTAAGGGCGCGCAGTGACAAGACACAAGCAGCGGCATCTCACTTCTTCAAGATGCCAACAAAGGTTTTGAGTTTACTGCTGTCGTCGGGCGTCTTCTCGACAGCGCCGGGGCCGGGGGTGGATGCTCTGGACGACTGCTCAGAAGCCGGAGTGGAGAGACCTGCGGATGACGAAGCCATGGTGGTGCGATATCGAAGAGCACAAGGCAAAGAAAGGGTTACAAGAGATTTTGGTATGCGTCTGTCGGTCAAGGATGTGAACGTCCAATCTCAACTAACATGGCGGGGCCTGCCTGAACAAGGCGCACGGCCTCGATGAATGACGTTGACTACAGCCACACCTTGACCCCAAGGTCCCCAACATGGCAGAGACAGCCACCGCTGACCGGGAGCATTCGACAAGTCATTCACCTCCTGCACTTGTTGTGCGTGATATTCGTCGTGTGTACTTCTGTACGGGCTTCGCTATCTTGCTCTATACTCTACTATGCAATAACCCTGATGCCCGCCCTGCCTGTGCCCGTCTGACCTACCACTGTCCTGCAGTAGTGCTGTGTGATGTTGCATCTACATATGACCGCCAATCAAGCCCGCACGCTCTCTTGCTGCCAAGTCTATTCGCATCAGGCGCTGCCACTCCTTACTTGCACCACTCGATCCACCAGAAACGTGCACTTCGAAATAACTAGCCAGGGACCGTGTTTCAGATAAGATGCTGGCTTTGATAAGCCTCGCTGTGCATTGTCTCTCCTATTAGCCAGTCCATCCCGGGATATGTATAGTTTCCGAAAAGCAAAATGCCCAGCCAGCGACATGCATGGCAATGAAATGCAGAACTCCTTGTCCCTTAACTCCCGCTGCCGTCTTGACTCCATGACTTCAAATCTCCTGCCTGACCGACCAGAATGTCGTCTCCTTAGATGCCTTTAATAGCAACGGTCCTCTCCTTCTCGAGGCGCTCGCGGTTGCGCTGCTTCTCTTCTTCCTTGCATGTCTCAAGTCCACTGCATGCATGACTCTCGAGCATACGGTGCTTGCCACAGAAGTGCCCGTTGCAGAACCCGCAGTCTCCGACAATACGCTGGGCGGCGTCCTTACAATCCTTGAACTGACAGCGGATCTTCTTGGGTGCTCCGCCTCGCAACGGAAGTGCCAAGTGTAATGTGCTTTCACGGCCGATGTTGTAGTCCGACAATGTGTTTGACGAGGTATCGAGATGCTTGCCAGCATACACGAGGCGCATGTCCTGAGCAGGAAGATTCGTGCGGATGGCGAGCAGAGATGAGAGTGTCGCTATCGAAGTGGACTCGGGAACCTCAAGGGCGAAGGCTGTACATGGTAAGCACGTGAGCTGAGGGAGCGGCATCCGGAGAACTCACTATTGCCGGCAATGTTCTTGATAAAGATTTGCATAGTGGACTCGGGCTCTGCTGACGAACAGCGCGAGGCCAGAGATGAGATGGACGAGATGGACGAGATGCTGTTGGAGCGCATCATGACCATGGTGGTAACGACGAGTGGGTGGTTGGACAGGTGGTTGGAGGATATGAGGAAACAAGTAGGGTGTTGATTGTGTTGGTGAGTGGCGGATGGCGAGTATGAGTGTGAAAGAACCGAATTCGAATCAGGACGAGTCGGTGGAAGATGCGAGAATAGGAGGACAAGGATGAGGACGACGACGACTACGACGACGACCCCGAGAGGCGAAGTGACGCGATCAGGCGCTCAAGCCGGCGTTTAGTCAGATTGGGCCGACGCTCCGACTGTCTCGTCTCGTTAAAGCATGATGGAAACCTTGAACCTCCGGCCAATTCCCCTATCTCAAATAGTCACCTGCACATGCAAGTAAATTTTGTCACCTGGATAGCTTAGTCCTTTTCGAGATGGACGAAATGGGCTATCGAGGCCAACTTCTGTAGTCACTTGGCATATAATCTCCAGAGGCTAGAGGTGACCCCAATCCGAGCACAACCGTGTCCTCTTGTGTCTCACATGCTGCACAAAGGAAATTGTCAAAGCTCAGCACATACCCAGAGAGGAAATGCACAGCCCTTTAACACTTGCAGTCACATCTGATTCTCCGGCATTGCTTGTAAGATCGTCGTCTCCCCAGTCTGTGTCGCTGAAGTCCGCTTGGCATGCTGCATCTAAGCGGTGATGATCGCCCTTTGACGGTCAAGGAGGACCTCGTCTCGAACCACTCTGCAGTCTCAGTCTATCTACCGTGCACACATGCAGAGCACACCATTCGATAATATCGTTGCTGAGAAAATGGCGAGTCAGTCGATGTGCTCAAACGTCTCCTGTCACCTTCTATGGAGTATGGCCTGTCCATCATGGTGATTGACCTGAGGCTGTCGCTGTTGACCCCCAGAAACCCTTGTGTCATGATTCCAACTCTCCACAGTATCCGCACAGCCACCCGCCGGGTAAACGTTTTCGATGCCTTATCTTGCATGAGTCCGTGGCCCTTTCTGACTCTTCAACATCTGCTTGTCTTTCCACCGTCTGGCATTGGCATCTTGGTATCCTTGTACGCGCCATAACGACGGTATGCCAATTTTTGATCAACACATTCGCCATGGCCGTGTTAGCAATCATATCAAAAGCTAAAGTCGTGATCCCAGTATGAATGCCTAGACACCTAAAACCAAGCAAGCTGTGCAGCGTCGGACTTAGTTGAGGAAAGCACAAAGCTTCTCATCACGTCCTTTGCTCGCTCGCCTCTCGAAAGCCCGCATTATCCAGCTGCTGCAATGCACAATAGTTTTAAGCACGATGTGCTTCCAAGAGATCAGCACATGATAGTGCCTTTCTCCTTGTCCGCAGCAATTGCAGATGCTCAATCGTTGCTCGCCAAGCCTCTCACAGACAGCTCAGCCTCCATCTCCGTACTCCAGACTGAACAGACCCACTCATCTGCCCCCGGATTGAACGCTATATTTCTTGATTATCTTGTGCAGCACAGCAGACTCCGCGCGGAGGGTTTGTCTCATAACGACGCACCACCAGACAAACTTTCTGCCATGGCTCATTACGCTTCTCGATCTGAGCCTGTCACCCAGGCATGTTCCATGCTCCTGCTATGGTTGGACACTCCCTATGCCAATCCACATTCCGATGGTTACCCAACATAAAGGCCAAGCCCAGACACTGTGCAGACAGAGTTGTTTTTCCCAGCGTTTCTACCTCGAGCGGTCTGTAGCTTTGGCGCCCTGCTTGGCGATTGTCTTTCAACCTGATAACGGGGCCTTTCGTTTTGGGACGACTGGTTCTTCTTGATGCTTGTTGGTGGGATGGCTTGCTCTTGGCTGTTACATTTGAGGCCTTGGCCCGCATAAGAGATATGGACGATCACAATCGTCGTGCTGGTCCTGACGCGTCCTGATGTGAAAGCAAACGTGCTCATGAAACTGGCAGTGCATGCGTGTAGGCTCTGGGGGTCGTGAGGTGTATAAGAGAGGCCATGTCTCTCAAAGGATCCCGAAATCATCCATCAGCTCCCTCGGCCATCTCGAATAGTTACTGGTCGAGAACATTCAAGCAACACTGTTCTCTCCGATCATTCCTTGCTTTGTGTGAAACATCAGGGCTCCTTGTTCATTGGAGACATGTCATCCTCCACCGAAAACGTCCATCCGGTTGAGCAAAGGACAGACTCTGACTCTTCAGAGAAGCAATTAAGCCAGACTCCAACTGTGGGATCCCTTCCTGTCCTGTCTCCTACGGTCACAGCTGTCGAGGATCTCGAGATGGATTGGCCAGTGGGATGGCGTCCCTACACAGCTTTGTTTGTATGGCACTCCAGTACCAGCCCCCCAACAGCAAGACATCGCTAACTGTCTCCAGGGTTGTTTCTTGCTTATGTTCAATTCTTGGGGCGTTATCAACTTCTAGTAAGTTGTTTTTGCTCGTTTCCAGCCTCAAAACCTGGTCTGACATCTGTAGCGGAACGTTTGCTTCATACTACTCCGAGTCACTCTTCCGAGGCGATGACTTGATGTTGAGCAATCTGATCGGCTCGACACAATGCTTCTTCGTCCTCTTCTTTTCCTTCATTGTCGGTCGGCTTCTCGATGCGAACTACAGCCGTCAGCTGCTACTGGCTGGCTCTGTCATCGTCACCATAGGCATGTTCATGCTGAGCATCTGCAATGGCAACGGAGGCTTGGACCAAGGCAACTATGGCTTGACGTGGTTGACACAAGGCTTGGTAACTGGTTTGGGCATGGCCTGTTTCTTTGTATCAAGGTAAGTTCATGTCAACCGTGATAGTTATCGCCAATGCTGACGTTTCATGTCCAGTTCTCAAAGTATGTTTGGGCAAAGTTGACTCATGTGGACGCGGAACTGACCTCTCGAAGTCGCAGCGACATGGTTTCATAAGAGAAAGGGATTTGCTCTCGGCGTTGTAGCTTCTGGTGCAAGTATCTGTAAGCGAATCAGTTATTCTTGACAGAAGGCAAGCAATGCTTACTATCTCGCAGCTGGACTTACCCTACCGATAATGCTTCGCTTCCTCATCACGTCTCAAGGCTTCAACAATGCAGTAAGATATGTTACCATCGTCATATCTGTCACCAGCTTCGCCGCAGTGTTGCTGGCGCGGCCAAACCCAGCACACACATTCAGAAAACCCGAGAAGTGGATGTCAAAGAAGACGTGGATTGATACATCAGCATTCCGTGATGGCGCGTTCTGCTGCTTCACGGCGTCAATTTGTGCCCTCTTCTTCGGATTCTACTGCGTGTTCTTCAGCCTTGAAGAGTGGGCAGCAACCAATGGCATCGCCTATAAAGGGACACCACCTCCAGGAGGCAAGGTAACTCTGTCGACATACTGGTTTTTGAGCATCATGAATGGCTGCAGCACCTTTGGTCGTCTCAGTTCTGCCTGGCTTTGTGATAAGTTCGGAGCGTTGCATGTCCACATGACAGTGACGATTGTGTCTAGCATTCTTTGCTTGTTCCTGTGGACGTTTGCCAACACACTGGCACCTGCTTTGGTCTTTGCCATCTTGTTTGGAGCCTTCTCGGGCAGTGTGATCGGGCTACCCACAGCATCCATGGCAGAAATCCTGAAGTACCAACCAGGCGGACAGGCCAGACTTGGACATTGGACAGGTATGATGTACACAGCGTCCGCGCCATTTGCACTGGTCGGGCCTGTGATCGCTGGTCACCTGGTCACGGAGTACCAGACCTATCTCGGAGTCCAAATCTGGAGTGGACTGTGTCTACTTCTAAGTGCAATCTGCATGGCAGGGGCAGTCTTTTTCACACGCAGAAAGAAGGCCCGCAGTGGCAACAACGAGAAGGTGTAATGGACCTGACAAATACTAGAAGGCTCTCGCTGTTGGTGATTGAGGCAGGGATCTAGGTAGAATTTGTATGACGAAGACAGGGAGAGGCTTGTTTGGCAATGAGATTCTTCGAGAAGCGGCGTTCAGGAGGATTAGAACAAGATTAGATATTTATGATTAATGGATGTTACGAGTGGAGCTCTAAGCACAAGACAATATGTGTAAAATCAAGGTGGAGGCAAGAATGTACTATGTGTGGCCACGTAAAGATTCGAGGTTCAAAGTGAGAACGTCAAACACAAGGACAATAGAAGTTTAAAGACAGAACAACCACGTAGCAGGAAGAGGAGTAGATGAGAGGAAGTGGTGGAAGGATGCAATCACCAGAGACGGCGTGACATGTAGATTGGCGGGGGCGGCGGAGGTGTCGGGCATGGGGCGGCGGACTCGACGACGCTCACAAGCTCGAGCATGGAGTTCCAATCACGACACGTCTTCAGCATAGTGATGAGTCTTGGATAGCCAGAGGCTTCTGCTGGGCGATTGGAAGCCAGCCAGAATATGGGATCCGCCGCCGAAGACGATAGCTCTTTCTGGCAGCGCCTGCACACGCTTCTGGACACGCAATGCGACACGCACGAGCAGATCGACGACTGTCTGCGCTCCTTCCTTGAGCTTTCGACCGACGGCTTCCTTGACACCGAATACGACATCGCCCGCTGCTGCTACCGTCTGATTGACTCGCCCCTCTTCATCCAGAACAAGGACTATGTGCGCCGCCAATTCGTCTACTGCCTGCTACAGGTGCGATCCCACCACATCCCCGACACTTGCCCGCGAGTTCTCTGTTGACAGCCCGCTGTAGGAGGAAGACGCACCCGTACTGCACATCGTTACCGCCGTGCTGCTCTATGACGGCCGCAGCGATGAAGCCGTCTTTGAGATGATGCAGCTTGAGGGCACGTTCCCCCGCCTGCTCGAGTTGATCAAAGGCAACAAGGACGACAACACCGGCCTGCATCGCCTACTGCTTGAGCTGCTCTGCGACATGTCCAGAATCCAGCGCCTGTCACTCGATGACCTTGGTGAGTGACCTCGCTCAGCTTGCCCCCGGACCTGCCTCTTGACCTGTTCTAATACATGCTGCTTTAGCTACTGTCGACGATGCCTTTGTCATCTACCTCTTCGAGCTCATAGAGGAGCTGTCCAACGACGCCAACGACCCCTATCACTATCCCACCATCCGCGTCTTGCTCATACTTAACGAACAATACATGTGCTACGCCGTTTCTCCAGAGTCACACCCCACCCTGACCAACCGCATCATCAAAGTTCTCTCCAACCACGGCCCTTCGTACCGTACCTTTGGCGAAAATCTAATATTGCTTCTGAATCGCGAGTCCGCCCTGGGTCCCCAGCTGTTGATCCTCAAGCTCCTCTATCTCTTATTCACCACCCCTTCCACCTTTGAGTATTTCTATACAAACGACTTGCATGTTCTTGTCGATGTCATCATCCGCAACCTCCTCGACCTGGACCCTGGGTCTGACGATGACGATCAATCAGACTTGCCTCGGTATGGTGGTGGCCAGCGAGCTCTCCGTCACACATACCTACGCGTCTTGTGTCCGCTTCTGAAGAATACACAACTGGCCCACGATAATGCTCACTACAAACGTGAAGAACTGCGCAAACTTTTCTGCTTGCTGGTCAACAGATCCTCGTTTCATTTCGCTCCCGTCGACGAGACTGTTGTGCGCCTGGTCTCACGCTGCAAACAGGTTGCATGGATAAGAGACGAATCAGATCACGAGGACCCAATCAGCCCTCCCACTGATGCGCATGTAGCCAAGCGTTTACTCGGAATGAACCTGGTGGAGGCGGGTGAGAGTAGTCTGAGCGTCTTGGAGGTCACTGCCAAAGTTGAGAAGGAAAAGCCCATGGTACCCGCTCCACGAAGGCGGAAGAGGCTGCAGCAGCAACAATCAAAGGAGACGGTCCTGTTGCGAGTTTCGCCCGCCAGTGCGCACAACGGCGATAGAAGCCCCTTTGATGATGATAATGATGAAGAGTGAAGCGGGCTTCTCTGTACATAACCACAAACGTAATTCTTCCTGCCGTCAACCAGAACTCGCAAATCCCCTTTGCAGCACAAGCCGTTGCCTTGAACAAAGGAGTCATGGCCAGTTAGTTCCTGGTCAAGGTGAATCGACCTGTTTTCTGTACAGGATTACACAAATGGCAAACGACACCTGCACCATGTATGCAACCGGTCGTTGTTCCTGCGTCAAGCTTTGCCATTGTGTAACCCCAGCATACGCCCTCCACCTCCTGCCCTCTCCTGCTTTCCCATTTCCTTGTGGTCACACTACATCTTCGATTCAACCTAATCATGCATGACAATGTTTTGTTCAGCCTACCCTGTCGTTCGCCAGCAAGGATCCGACGCCACTAATCTGGGTGGCCCTGACATGGCACAGCAAACAACCATCAGCACAGGTACCTAAGCTGCAGGTAGGAAAATCTGGGCCACCCTGAAGAAAGGGAACCTGCTTCGATCGCCAAACTTTTCGACACCATTAGTTTCTCAAAGACATCCGTCAGCAAGGAAGCAAGCCAACGGGAACATGTATCGCCACTGCCTGCCCTTGCAATATACGAGCTCATGAAGATGCTCTAATGTATAAGTAGAGCATCACTCGTTGCGAGAATTGAGCAGCATCATCAGTCTTTCGCTCATCTCTTACACAATCGTTCAAAATGTTCAGAACTCTTTCTTTCCTCCCTTGTATTTTGGCGGTCGCCTTGGCCAGCCCCTCGGCCTCCGATGATTGCTATGAACCATTCCCATATGGCAATTTCCCTACTGGTATGCCTCGTCCGACTGGATTGCCTTCAGGTTGGCCTCCTGCTCCATTCCCAGGAGCTCCCTACGGAGCACCCTTTCCAACATTCAACATCAGCTCTGTGGTTGTCGGTCCTACTGGAACTGGAGCATCGTCTGCGTTCGTCCCGTCATCGTCAGGTGAAGGCAGAAGCGGTTCACTTTCGAGCTCTAGCGGCACTGCTTTCGTCCCCTCCTCATCTGACGAGGGCAGAAGTGGCACTGCTTCTCCCACTTCCATGGTCTCGAGCTCGGCATTCTTCCCAAACACCACAGAATCAGTCACCACCATCTACTCTGAGACTACCGCAGTTACGACTGTTGTCAGCACCGTCTATCTGACTGCACCAAGCCCTGTGTCAGCCTCCAACATGACATCCTCTGCTTCATCCACATTCTCGTCCAGCGCCAATGTGACTACCATCTCTTCGTTCGTGACTGGCACGGTCATCGTGACGACCACTTTGACGCCTTCATCCTCTCCAGATTCACCTGTGACAGCTGTCAACAGCACTTTGTTACCTGGAACTGCAGTCTCCCCCTCGATGGTCACTGGTGGGGCTTCCATGACCGGCAACGGAACATCTTCAGCTGTTTCCTTCACCTGGTCTCCCTACGTCCCATATATTCCTGGTACTGGAGTCTACGGCGGCTACACGCCCTCAAGCTCGCCTGACTCGCCCGTCACAGCATCTGTAACCAACTCGACTTCAGCTTCTGCTAGCCCTACTCACGTCACCATCCACCTCAACTCCTCGATCACTCTGACGCTGGTTACCACTCAGACTATTCCGTTGACCACTGGATCTGCCTCAAATGTCACTTCCTCAAGCGCTTCCTCTGTATCATACACTTCCGGCGGTCGTAACGGTACCCTCATCCCCTCCAGCGGCACGGCGATCTCGACCATGAGCCCATCTTCCTCGCCCATCAGCCCTCCAACGGCCACAAACTCCTCCATTTCATTCACTGGTGGCAACCGTAGCGGCACCGGTGCTCCATCCAGAAGCATGTCTTTCCCTACTGCTCCCTCCTCGCACATGTCTTCTTTCGTCACTAGCGTCGTCAGCTCCAGCGCAGGAAGCTCAGAGGCTAGTGCGATCACTGGCTCGCCCTCTTCCACTCCTCCTACTTACCCCACTGCGCCTTGGTACGGTTCTTGGGGATATGGCTATGGCGGCGGCTACGGGGGCGGCTACGGAGGATACCGTGGTGGCTACAAGAGAGATGGCAAGGCTTAGATGATGGTAGATCAATGCACAGACACTGACCATGATAAAGCATACATGGCAACGATCTGACGGGGACGTGGTTGGATGGATTTTCCTTTTGTCGTTCACGTCGCACGATCTCTTTGTTTTCGATTCTTGGTCATTGCAGTCTTGCAGTGATCCTTATTTTGTGGTGGTGATTCTTGATCTGGGCCCGTTTGGTATCTAATTTGACATATACAGTTATCAGTCATGCCTATTTGCCGGATAACAGATCGTTAGTGCTATCATAAGGTATAATTGCTGTAGCCATTTGAACTTCATGAGTGCTATCTCATGAGCATCTTTATTTTTTTATGGAGTAGTTGCTGCCATTGACGACAACCTTGCCTTGCTCCTCCATGCCAGAAAGCAACCATCTCGTTTCGTCCTCGCCAAAGTTATATCCGCCTGGAACGACCATCTTCATCATCATTGTGATGCGTGCCGCATCCATGGCACCTCCGTTCGTCAACATGCCCATCATGAACATCTCGTACATGGGTTTGTTGTCTTGAAGTACAGCATCTTGAGACTTGACTGCTGAGATGACGTTATCGGCCTGAACCGGTGCCGAAGGGGCTGTGGCTGCCTTTCGGTCTGCAGATGGTAACTGCTCAAGGACAGTGAAGACGTCCGGTTCATCCTCGACCAGGACTTGATGGCCGACCCAAAATGCGAGCGCGTTGCGTACAAGCACTTCTTCCATCTGAAGTAACTCTTCCAGCTGTTGTACCGTTCTTGACGCCGGACTGACAGTCGATGCATCCTCGCTGTCATCCTGGAATGCATAGATGACACTTGCTTGCCACGTCTGAACACCTTCAAACTTGACCGTCCGATCCTCGAGCTCGAGCTCGACTGTAGCCTTTCCAAGCGCAGATAGCCAGTGCAGTTTGCGTAGATTCTTGATACGCTCAAAGTCTTGCTCGAAGTTCTTCTGCAGAGTAGAGATTGGTGCTGGTACAGCAAACTCATCTTCCCGTAGACTCGGCCAGAAGAACGAAGACAGAATTTGTGTTTGGAAGGCTGCAGACAACTCGGTATCAACACTGGACTCAAACATAGGTAAGTCTGGCGATGGATAGAGTATGTCTGAACCCTTCTCAGCGACGGCCACAGATTTGATCAGGGCAATAAATTTATGACCAGCCAAATCAGTCCGCGGTACGCGTGTGTTGAACATGCCAATGAGTGCCTGACTTTTGATTCCGGTATCAGGAATGGCAGCATGAACCTCTTGGGCTGTTGGAAAGTCGTCTTTTGGCCGAAGAGTATTATTGATGCGTCTCGAGTCTTGTATATCTCGCAGCATGACCTCGCAAGATTGTAAACGATCAGCACCGAACCGTGTCTTGAAGAGCTCTACAAGACGGATCTGTACACAGTAAGCACAAGCACAAGCTCAAGAGAATATCTGATCAAATACTGACCTCCTTTTCGAGTTCGGTATCATCGTAGCCGACACTCAGTAATCGTTCTCCTAATAGTGATTGGACTTCTTTGATAAAGTCAGCTTGCTCGAAGAGAGTAAGCATAAATGACATGACATCCTCGCTTTTGGATTTCTTGTAGTCTGTAAAGGGAATAATTAGCACGTTGCATTACATAGAACAAAGCAACTTACCAGGTCCTGCATCAATAGGATCAGGCATCCATTCCATATCATCCCAATCAAGACCTTTGTGCTCGACATGAAGCGCTTGACCCTCTGAAAGGTTAATTTCTCGAGCAAGGTCGACGCATATCTCTTCGGACGAATTGTCAAGAGACCCATCGTCCTCACCGACATCTGCTAAGAAACTGGCTGCGATGATTCTTACAGTGTCTTCGCGATGTCTTAGGTATGCACGTAAAGGTACAGCCACCTTGTCCAGGAGCACACCCCGTGGGTCTAGCGTTTTGAATGCCATAATGACATTGATGTAGATGCTAAGTAGCTCTGATGTTGTCACACCGGCATGTAATAAACGACGACTTAGCTGGCGTGTGAATGAGGTCGCAATCTGAATCTTGACATCTGATGAGTGCATGCACTCTTTCAGGTCCAGTATTGCTCCAGTTGAATGAGGCCATGCCTTGACATAATCGAGAAGATGTCTGATCCTTTGCTTTGCCAGACGTTCAAGAGCTGTGTTTTCCCAGTCCGCTAATTCATTAGGGGTTGAGAGGCCGACTGCAGGGACAAATCGATGGCGTATCCATTGGCGTAGTCGGTCAACAACGCTCTGACGCTGCGTCCAGTCCACTTTCATAGCAGCACTTTGAACAAAGACGTCCATGGCGGCGTACATGCCATGAGCCATCGCACGCTGTACATGATAATCCATCGAGATCTCTCAATGAGTGCAGTCTAAGCTTCGGTAGCATTGTGCATTTTTGGCGACTAAACAAGATGAGGACTGTGATGAAAACAACAAGGAGACGCACGCGCTTGGCGCCTTGATCGAATGACGCCGCTGCCATCTCTTTTCCCTCCCTTTCGACAACAAGACAGCAGTGGGTGTTCAACATGAGAATGTGCAGAATCAGCCTATCTAAAGCCATGCGAGGGAACCTGAAATTTTTAGACAAAATTCCTTTTTGAGTATTGTTCTAGCTATTTTCGATGCCTTTTTGTCGCTGGAAAACAGCCACAGGCTTCCTAGTATTTTGTCTGAGCCTGGCCGCAGATATTTAAAGAGCTCATGCATTCACCAATTTCACATATAGTCCGGCTCCTGACGTTGCTGAAGATCGTAGGAGATAGTTTTGTGCATCCATTCCTGCAGAAACTCCAGCAGCAACCCCTTCGGAAGGCAGATGCTTGGCGTCATCATGCGATGCATACCTAACCCCTACACTTGAACACAATCACAAGCTTACTAGAAGCACTATAGTCCTGTTCGGACCTAGCGCAGAATCGATTGTGTCGCAGAAAACATGAAGCTTCAACGCATCCTTGTGTTTGCGAGTTGGCTTGTGTACGCGCCGTCGACACTGGCATCCCGCGACCAGGTCGTTCTCAAGGATTCAGCGGCGGCCACCAGAGCCACGAAACATGTTGCTATTATAGGTAAAGCCCTCGAGTGATGTCTTTGAGTCTGTGTCTGACACTGTAATCAGGTGCGGGAAGTGCCGGCTCATCGACAGCATATTTTCTACGGAAGTACAGTCAGGAGCGAGGCATACCCATCAACATCACGGTCTACGAGCGTGACGGCCACATTGGTGGTCGTTCAACAACGGTCGGCGTATATGGAGACGAACAGAATCCGGTCGAGCTCGGTGCATCCATCTTTGTCGAGGTGAACCACAATCTCGTTGATGCTGCTAAAGAATTCAATCTCTCGACCTCTGGCATTCGTGAACTCAGCACGGAAGGGCCGGTTCTGGGTATATGGAATGGTAGAGACTTTGTTTACGTGCAGTCTGCTGGTGGGAGCTGGTGGGATACTGCAAAGCTTTTTTGGAAGTACGGTCTCGCACCTCTCAAGACCGTGAAGCTGATGAAGGCTACCGTTGCGAAATTCCTCAAGATGTACGAAGAGCCGTATTTCCCCTGGAAGTCGTTATCGCAAGTGGCCTACGAACTTGGGTTGGCGGCTGCTACCGCCTCTACTGGTGAACAGTTTCTTGATCAGAACGGAATCGGCAAGCTATTCGCCCAGGATATCATACAGGCGAGCACACGGGTCAACTACGCACAAAATCTACCTCTTATACATGGACTGGAGGCAATGGTCTGCATGGCAACCGATGGAGCGCAAGCAATAGAAGGCGGCAACTGGCAGATATTCTCCAACATGCTCGCTGCCTCTCATGCAACAGTTCTTCTCAACCACACAGTCAGCAAGGTCGAAAAACAAGAGAACACTACATATATTGTATCGACAAAGGAAACGGGGTCATCAGTAACGTTCGACCAGCAGACATTCGACGAGGTTGTGCTGGCAGGACCATATCAATATTCGAAAATCGACTTTGACCCCGAGCCTCGTCATCTGCCAGACTCGATTCCATATGTGCAGTTGCATGTCACACTGTTCACGTCGAAACACAAGCTTTCGCCGGGAGCCTTCAATCTATCGTCAGACAAAGAGGTTCCCCAAGTGGTTCTGACTACTCTCCCTCCAGGAGAACACCACGGCAGCAGTCCAGAAGGAGTGGGATCACCCGGTTTCTTCAGCATCTCACTTTTGCGACCGAGTATGGACACGCGTGAAGGTAGAGACAAGCTCGAGTACGTGTACAAAGTTTTCTCGCCGGCTCCACTGAATGAGACGTTCATGGCCAACATTCTGGGCCTGCCCGCAAACAGGACTATTAGCAAAGCGGATGTTAGTTGGATGTACCGAAAGGTGTGGAACAGCTATCCATATGAGTATCCGCGAGTGACATTTGAAGAACTGCAGCTGGATGATGGACTCTGGTATACGGCGGGTATTGAAAGCTTCATCAGTACAATGGAAACAAGCAGTCTGATGGGCAAAAACATTGCCAGGTTGATGGTGGATGCTTGGGAGAGTTAGGGCGTGTCCAGACTCATACAAAGCCATTCAAAATACAGTTCTCAGCTTCGACTGACATGCAATGATGAATGTTGAAACTGTTTTTGAAAAGTAATGGTGTTTGATGGTGAGAAGTGTTGCAATAATAGGCAGTGAGGGGTCGGGACTCGGGCCGAGTCAGTCGAGGGGCACAGGCCGAGTGTTTGTTTGTTCTGTTTGCCCGGGTGCATGGGCAAGCAACAATAATGCTGCAAGACCTTGATTTGCGACAACAACATTTGGACAAGACATCATGTCGGCCACTTCACCACGACAGAGTCGGCGGACTGCCGCTTCGAGACGCAGAATCGTCGATTCTGACGACGACATGGAAATGGACATGGGTGACGACGTAGCTCAAGGAAACAACACCAACTCTGCACACGAAGACGACGACGAGGAAGAATACACACCAGCACCAGCGCGCTCCACTCGCCACACCAAGTCTGTGACGTCTACACCACAGACGGCCTCCCGCACTCGCCGCGAGCCCATCGTCGACGACGAAATCCTAGAAGATGCTTCGCCCGTCAAGCCCAAGCGCCGTACTGCAAAAACCGCTCGTACTGTGCGCAAGAGCCGTATGTCTACATCAGCTGCTTCAGAGGTTGATGCCTCCACCATGTCGACTCCTCAACATTCAGCTCCACCAGCTGCCCAGAGACACGCTACGCCTCTTGCCGACATTACAGAGACAGCTGTGAATGACCAGACACCGCGTGCCCAGACGAGACCTCCACCATCCAGCCAGGTCCAAAAGGTCGATACCAACACAACCCTGTTGGAAAAGCCTATGGATATCGTCGTGCGTACCAGGGCTGCCGCGACTATGCCTGTTTCACAAGCTCCCGATGAGCCTCGATCGCGCACCGTTATTACCCACCTCGTTCTGAAGAATTTCAAGAGTTATGCGGGCCGTCAGGAAGTCGGTCCCTTCCATGCCTCATTCTCCTCGGTTGTCGGTCCCAATGGCTCGGGCAAATCCAATGTCATTGACTCCTTACTCTTTGTATTTGGTTTCCGCGCCAGCAAGATGCGACAGGGCAAGATCTCCGCTCTGATTCACAACTCCGCTGCCTATCCTGATCTGGACCACTGCGAGGTCGAAGTCCACTTCCAGCAGGTCATGGATTTGCCAGCCGGTGGCCACGAGGTCATTCCCGATTCACAGCTTATCATCTCAAGACGCGCCTTCAAGAACAATGCCAGCAAATACTACATCAATGGCCGAGAGTCCAACTTTACCGCAGTCACTACCCTTCTGCGCGACCGTGGAGTTGATCTTGACCACAAGCGTTTTCTGATCTTGCAAGGCGAGGTCGAGTCGATTGCTCAGATGAAGCCAAAAGCTGCTACTGAGCACGATGACGGCCTTCTGGAGTACCTCGAAGACATCATCGGCACCTCAAAGTACAAGACGCCCATTGACGAAGCTGCTACAGAGACCGAAGCACTGAATGAAGTTTGCGCCGAGAAAAACACCAGGGTACAACATGTTGAGAAGGAAAGAAATGCGCTCGAGGACAAGAAGGACAAAGCACTCGCTTTCATCCGTGATGAGAACGAGCTGGCTACAAAGCAATCCGCTCTGTATCAAATATACATCAATGAGTGCTCAAACAACGTTACTGTGACCGAAGAAGCCGTTCAACAACTCCAACAGCAGCTCGACGAGGAACTGGAAAAACACAAAGGCAACCAAGAAGGCATCAAGCGACTACAAAAGCAGCATAGTGCAACAGCCAAGGAGTACGAGCGCATGTCAGAGAGCACACAATCTGTTCTGAAAGAGATGGCAAAGCTAGACAAGGAAACCGTGAAACATGCAGAGAAGAAAAAATTCCTCGCCAACAAGGCTAAGAAGCTTACAAAGACGGCCGAGGACAGCAAATTTGCTATATCTGGCGCCACCACACAGGCTACGCAGGCCGAGGACGACATCAACAGAAACGCACAGTCCATAGCCGAACTGGAAGCCGAGATGCAGCAAGAAGAAGCACGACTGACCCAGATTCGAGAAAGCCTCAAAGGCAAAACTCAAGGTATCTCGGACGAGATCGCAGCCAAGCAGAAGACTCTGGAGCCCTGGCAAGCTAGGGTCAACGAAAAGCAATCCTCAATCTCCGTTGCACAGAGCGAGCTCGACATTCTGCGGGAGCGAGGCAATGCTGGAGCCAACGCCATCCAAGAGATCGAGTCAAAAATCACGGCACTTTTCGAAACTCGCGAAGCTAAAGCTATGGAGTATAAAGAGTGTAGACGAGAAAGAAAGGAGATAGAGCAGTCCGTGCAAGAGACGCAGGCTGAGATCGAACATCTCGTCTCACAAGAGCCCGCCCTACGCTCAAAACTCTCAGGAGCCAGACAGAAGGCCGACGAGGCAAGAGCAAGCTTGGCTGCTACGCAGACTCAAGGAAACGTCCTCACCGGCCTTATGCGTCTTAAGGAGTCTGGCAGAATTAACGGATTCCACGGACGCCTCGGCAACCTTGGTGCTATCGATGCGAGATTCGATGTTGCAATTTCTACCGCATGCCCTTCGCTCGATAATCTGGTCGTCGACTCTGTCGAGGTCGGCCAACAATGCATCGAGTACCTCCGCAAAAATGACTTGGGCCGTGCTAACTTCATTCTTCTCGACCGCTTACCACAGCGAGATCTTTCGGCCATACAAACGCCAGAGAACGTGCCTCGACTCTATGATCTAGTCAAGCCGAAACATGATCGTTACCGACCTGCCTTCTACAGCGTGCTGCAAAACACACTTGTTGCCAAGGATCTCGAGCAGGCCAATCGTATCGCTTATGGTGCCAAGCGGTGGAGAGTAGTCACACTTGACGGTCAGTTGATCGACAAGTCAGGTACCATGAGTGGTGGTGGTACTCGAGTCGCCAAGGGTGCTATGTCTTCCAAGGTTGTGGCCGATGTGACTAAGGATCAGGTCGCCAAACTTGAGGTTGACCGTGATACACTAGAGGAGACATTTGGACAGTTCCAGCAGAGGATGCAGCAACTTGAAGCTCATCTTAAGGAGTTGCAAGACCGTGTGCCACAGCTCGAGACTCAGGCCTCGAAGTTAAAATTGGAGGTCCAGAGCTTGGATAACAACATCGCTGACGCTGAAAAGAGAGTTGAGGAACTTCAAGCTGAGAGCCAACCTTCAGACCTAGACAACAAACGCATCTCTGAGCTCGAGAAGACTATCAGGGTGCTTGAGAAAGAGACTGAGAAGCTGCAGTCAGAAACCGCTGGTATCGAGGAGGAGATCAAAGCGTTACAGAACAAGATCATGGAAGTTGGTGGCGTCCAGCTTCGTACACAGAAGGCCAAGGTCGACGGACTCAAGGAGCAGATCGATCATCGCACTGAGGAAATGTCCAATGCTGAGATCAACAAGGCCAAAGCTGAGAAGCAAAAGACAAAACACGAGAAGACTTTCAACGATGCACAGTCTGAGCTGGAGAAGGTGACAGCAGATGCGGAAAAGGTCGAAGAAGAGATCAAGGAGCAGACTAGAAATACTGCAGGGTTCCGTAAAGAGGCAGAAGAAGCTCAAGAGGTATGTTCTGGAGACCAATGTCCCTACATGACACAAGACCAACCAAATGCAGGCCCTTGACACCAAGAAAGAAGAGCTTGAAGCACTCAAGAGTGAGCTTGATGCCCAGACAGCCATCCTGAACGAGACTCGAGGCATTGAGATTGAGATGCGGAACAAGCTCGAAGAAAACCAGAAGATCATGGCTGAGAACCAGAAACGCCTGCGATACTGGCAAGAGAAGCTAAGCAAGCTCACTGTACAGAACATCGGGTAAAATATCCCAAGCCTTTGTCGATGATAATCACTAACTGTGCTTAGGGACGATGGTGAGGAGCTCGAACCTCTACCTATGGCGCAATACACCAAGGATGAGCTCGAAGACATGTCTAAAGACGAGCTCAAGGCCTCGATCGCGCTTCTCGAAGAGTCAACGTCACAGGCAGTTGAGCTTTCGGTTCTGGCCGAATATCGCCGACGTGTGTCTGAGCACACGTCACGTATGTCTGACCTCAACGAAGCTCTGGCTAGTCGCGACTCAGCAAAGAAACGACTTGACGATCTCAGACGCATGCGTCTCGAAGGGTTCATGGAGGGATTCTCGACCATCTCGATGCGTCTCAAGGAGATGTACCAAATGATCACCATGGGTGGTAACGCAGAACTTGAACTCGTCGACAGTCTCGACCCCTTCAGCGAAGGCATCCTCTTCAGTGTCATGCCACCTAAGAAGAGTTGGAAGAACATCAGCAACTTGTCTGGTGGAGAAAAGACACTCAGTTCATTGGCACTGGTGTTTGCCCTGCACCACTACAAGCCAACTCCCTTGTATGTCATGGACGAGATCGACGCTGCTCTCGACTTCCGCAACGTCTCGATCGTTGCCAGTTACATCAAGGAAAGAACCAAGAACGCTCAGTTCATTGTCATTTCCTTAAGAAACAACATGTTCGAGTTGGCTGCGAGATTGGTTGGTGTTTACAAGGTCAATCACATGGTAAGTGATTCTCGCATTCTACTCAAGATTCATTGCTGACAATTCGATAGACCAAGAGTGTCACTATCGAGAACAAGGACTACATCCAAGCTGCTGCAGCATGATACTTTCTATGAATATCGGTCTGGCGTAGGAGGAGTTGTATGTTTGTTGATGGGACTGGTGGCGTTTTGTGAGAATTGTTATGATACCACGGCTGGATGTAGCAGGGAGCTATGGAATGCGAATAAGACTGTCGATTGACTTTTGCTTCTTCCCTCGCGTGCAACATGTTCGAATAGACGTTTTTACCACGATTGGGCGGCAAATTCAATCATCAACAGTGCTGAACCCAACATTGTCTGCTACATGTGATGATTCAAAAGCAATGCCATGGTGTTTTGCGCATATACTGTGTACTGATGCCGGCTGGCCAGCAAGTATTCTGGGGAAGGTGGTGGTGCTATGAAACACCAATCATGACATGCTTCCTTCCTTACAGACTCGCCACGTCTGGTCACAGGCATACCACAAAACACAAGAGACATTCGAAAACAAGTTCAAACCAGAATAGGTGTTTCAATTAAGGCTACAAACGCCTGATGATCATAAACGTAAACCCCTTTTGTTGACCTGTATCAACGTGATTTTCCTTCCTCCGAAGATGCTTCAAAGCAATCAGACCCAAGCGGACATGATTAAATCCCAGAGCCCAAGAGGCACAACACTTCATCGACCAAACCGAAGGGCTCGACTGCGAGATCATCAAGCCAAGTTGAAGAAGGAAGCAGCAAGGGCAGCCAAGACGCAAGTCATGCCGACCATACTAGTGGTGGTGGCATCGTTGGAAGGAACTGTAGTGGAAGTGGCGCTGGCAGAAGTACGGCTGCTCTCGGTGGCAGAGGGTGAGCTGGTCTCGGAGGCAGAAGCCGACTTCCAAGAAGTGCTGAAATCAGAAGAAGCAGTGACAGCAGAGACGACTTCGGATGAGGCGACGGTAGAAGTGACGATGGTGGCTTCGATGGAAGTGCCGCTGGCGCTGCCCGAGATGATGGTGGAGGTGGCACTCTCAATGATAGAGCTGATGGTAGCGGGAACGCTCTCGGTGGCAGAGTTGAAGGAAGTGGACAAGCCGCCCTCGCTGACGGGGCCGACGGGAGTGGGAAGGACGCTCTCGGTGGCAGAGCTGGTCATGCTCGAGGCAGTGATGGTTCTGATGGAGGTGCTGAAGACGCCAGCAGAGGAGCCAACCGAGCTGCCGCAGTCGGTGACAGTGACGGTGACGGTCACAGCCTCCTGCGAGGTAGCAACGGCGCCCATAGCAGCTGAGAACATGTCAGTAAAGCTGTAGTGGAGTGGGATGTGATCGGTTATGCTCACCGGCGGCGACAAAGGCCATGGTAGTAAGGATGAACTTCATTTTGATGATGGAAGATGGATAATGGCAATGAGATGATGGTTGTTGATGATTGGGTTGGTGATGATGTTTGGATGGAAGAGAGAAAGAAGAAAGCAAGAAATTGAGGGGGTGAAGAAATATATACGACCAGCGTTTGATGCGTTTGTTATGGGTGAGGTTCCGGAAGGTGCTACCATGTGAGAAGCCGGTTTTCTGGTGCAACTAACTCGCTCTCGTCCCAGCCACACCTGCCGATGTGAAACACCTTTTGAGCTGCGCGAAGCCGTGTGAAAGTAGGCTACCGACAGGAGGAGAATTTTGTGATCACTCATCCTGGATCTGTTTATTCTGAAAGCATTTTCGTAGATCCTAAGAATTCCAATCTATACATGAGATGGCTTCAGCTGCTTTTGTATAGCTCTCCAGGTGTCAACGCGTGAAGCAATGTACTGTAATTTGGCACCACTGTGTTGAAGTATGGCACTCTACGACAACTGTTCGGTAACGCCAGATGGAGGCCAACTCTTGGTCGAGAGACTATTTGACACATTCTCGCAGATACTTGAGCATACCCCCTTCTCAATGATACTCTTTGTGTTGCTCGTTGATTGTTCAGTAACTATTCAGTGGCAGAAGTTCAACGAGTTGGAACATGTGCAGGAAGCGGATTGCAGAGACGTCGACAAAACGTGTCGGTCGTGCGTGGTACCCATGAACTCGAATGGTCTGTTCAGGATACATGGAAGCTGAGCAATGAGCAAGGATAGGCAGGAGGCTCGAAAGTAGACCGCGCAGTCAACAGTATCTCAGTTTCCCTCAGCTGTATGCGCCTGCCAAATTAATCGGGTTGAGCGGTGGTTGAATTCACACACTGTTCTGGGTCCCCAACGACGAGCTGTTTTGGCAAGAGGTTGTGCGTTGCGACAGCCTGATTGCACTTCAGGCACACGCGTCTGTTTCTTTGTAGGCAGTGGTGATGACGAAGCGAATGGAAAGCGCCTACCTGTTGTGGTTTGTTGGGAGCTCTCTACAGTGCCTTCCCACTCACCGTACTCACCCCTTTATAAACCTCTCCCAGACCTCGATCAACTTCATCCGAACATCCCACTACATCCCACTCTCTTGCTCTCTCGCTCTTGTGCATTCACTCATTTACCATCACACAATCATCAAATCACCATCGCCACGATGAAGTTCTCCACTGTCTTTGCTGCCGCCATGGCTCTGATGATGCCCGCCGCCGTCTCTGGTCAGGCCATCGGAGACTCGGTCACCACCAGCGTCCTGGTCGTCGAGTACGTTCCAGCCGTCTCGACGTCGACTGTGTACCAGACCACTCAGTTCACCGTCTGGAGCTGCCCACCTGATGTCACCAATTGTCCACTCCGTTCTGCAACATCTCTCGCCATGGTCACTGCCATCGTCGGCATGTCGACCACCATCTGCCCGGTCACTTTTGTCAGCACCCGTGTCAGTTCGTACACTACACCCGCTTCGACCAGCTTCGCATCCTCGCCTGGTGCCACTGTCAGCTCGGCCTCTGTCATCTCGACTACCTACTCGACTGGCAGCTCTACCATCACCATCGGCTCGTCCACCACCAGCTGGAGCTTCTGGTCAACCATCAGCTACAGTGCCACTTCGACTCCATCCGTCGTCACCAGCCAAGCCACTCTCTACTCTGGCGGCCCTTCTCTCCCAACTGGTGTGACCGTCAGCTCGACCTCATCTGGCATCTCGGCTGCTGCTGCCTCATCATCGGGCTCTGCTGGCACCGGCCTGGCATCGGCCTCTACATCATCAGGCTCTGGTCTGGCATCGGTCTCTGGCTCTGGCGTCTCATCGGCATCGTCCATCTCGTCGGCCTCAGCATCCGTCTTTAACCCAGCAGGAGCATTGTCATCGTCGGCAGCCAGCAACGCAGCTTCTGCCAGCGCCATCGTCTCCACCAGCGTTGCTGCCAACGGAAGCTCTTACACCATCTCGTACTCGCCACTAGGCACCGGCAGCCTCACCTCTGTCATCAGCGGTCCAGGATCCACCAACAACATCTCTGTTCCATCGGGTCCAACTGGCTCAGGCCCATTGCCCACCTACACTGGAATGGCAGGTCGTGAGACTGTCATGACTGCCTTGTCTGCTCTTGCCTTCGGCATGGCCGCAGCTCTGGTCCTGGCTTGAACTTGAGGTGGATCGTTGATATCACTATCATTGGCGGTTGATGCATGGCGATGGTTGTAATGCTTGTTGGGGTTGACGTTTGTTTGTCTTGTCGCGTTCGAGTCTTGTTTTTTCTTTTGTCCACACCACTGAGCAGCCTTACCATACCGATGACAGCATCAGGGGAATTCCTCTCCGAATTACAGACAGCAACACATAGAGACAGCTTTTTATAATGATCAGACATACAGCAATTTGCATGACCTTCCCACTTTCAATGTGCAATGTACGTGACCGATGCTGAGCACCAGGTACTCTTTTCTGACGTCGAGGACAAGAGCAGCAGCTTGCCATACGTAAAGGCGGGGCTGCAAGACACCTGCTGAGCGAAGATGTAGCGCTATCCATGTGACGTGTACCGTCCGGCTTTCCAAGCATGCACCATAGGGTATCACGAAGTTTCAGCGTCAGGCGGCTGCTATTGCAGATGTTGCAACAGAACACTTCTCAGAAGGGCTTCGGTGTTGGTAGGGTCAAGCTTTTCTTGCCGTTCTCTCCAGATGCGCCACAACTCGAAGCCTACTTCAATGCTGATCAGAAATATGATAAGCCATTCCAAGCCCGTTGAGTGTTTCTCGCTCAGTCTCTCTCGCAGCACACTAGCAATTTCTCCGGCATAGTCCATCCTCTCGTTCAGAACTTTGATACGCACACCAACATCCAAGGCACGTCCAACCTCATCATAGTAGGCACTCAAGCCAAGCGAAGAGGGACTGTCCCAGAAGATGTCTGGCAGGCTGTCAGTGAGCTCAGAATAGAGGTTCAACTGTGCACGAATGGACAAGAGTTCGCCTGTTTTGCGCAGTATGAATGATCTCGAGAAGCGTAGCGGCGAACCGCGTGACAAGATGGTGGGTATAGAGCGGGTGCTGGAGAAGTACGAAGACAAGAGGTCTTCAAGGACAGCAAGTTTGGTGGAGCGGGCCAGGCCCGAGGAGAAGGCGATTTTGGCCAGGACAGTGTCCATTTCGGGCGAGGGCGGAGGGTTTGGAGAAGCAGCAGAAGCTTCATCACAAGTCTTTGTACCAAGAATGATGGTATCGCCTATGATCTCACTCGTGTGGTGTGAGGAATCCTCAACATATGCAAGGTCTTCGATTTCAATACGGTCCAAGTGTGGGTTCTCGGCAGAGGCAAGGAGAAGACGATGGACTAGCTGTAGCTGGAGAGACTCAGGCACGTTCCAGCACACGAGCGACCCGGAGGGAAATACAAAGACATCGCCTGGGCCTTCTAAGCGTTCCTTGGTAGACCCGTTTTGGTTGACTGGGCCGGGTGTTTGAAAATGGAGGACCTGAGGGTACAAGCCCGTGGTAAAGGGATCAACATTATAGCCACGCTGCTGGATGAGACGGGCTGCAGTAGGGATATTGTATTGTTCAGCAGCACAATAAGCAGTGACTTGATTTGTATGAACGTGAGGATCTACAAAGCGATGCTTTCCACTGCGGCGAATTAAAGAGTCGCGAGAACGCTGAGCTTCAACAGCAATACGACGAAGGGAGGTTGTGGCAGCCTGCGAGCGAGGCGATAGACGTTTGGGAGGGTTGGGTGAATGCGGTACTGAGGTAGAGCTATTGGAGTGTTTAAGTCGAACATTGGTCAGAGAGACGCGAGCGTTTTGTAAAGGCGACAGGCATGCCGAACGGAGTGACGGGCGGTATCGAGGTCGCAAGCATGGTAGCAGAGATGCAGTAGTTTTGGACATTGCTGCAGCTTGTTTGATGGTCTGCACAAGTATGAGACGTCTTGAGGGTCGGGATGATGGGACCCTTGGCATGACGGCGGTGTGCAGCTCCTCCCCAGAATCGAGGTAGTCAATTACTCCATAGCCATCTGCCCTGGGATCTATTTCTCGATTCTCATGCCTCTTGCGCTATGTCTGCTGCGCAAAAGGCAACTCGGCACAATGAGCTCGACGACCAACAATCAGACGTAGCCGCCGACCGCACCACCACCCCCGAGCCCACGTCCAACGACCAAGACGGCCCACGCGCCGACGACCATGACAAGGCCAGCCATGTGCACTCGGACTCTAGTGACGCCGAAGATGATGACGACGCCGACGACGAGGAAGAAGATGAGCCACATCTCAAGTACGACAAACTAACAGCCGCTCTGGTGAGCGTCTACCGCAATGGCGATGCCACCAGCTCGCTGTTCGTTGCTGGCGACAAGATGATCCTCGGTACTCACAATGGAAACATCCACACTCTCTCCCTGCCCTCGCTACAGTCTCTGCGCCTCTACCACGCCCACTCAGCCTCCATTACCGCCATCGATGTCTCTCCTACGCCGCAACCCTTCTCCAATCTCCCAAAACTGGACCGCTTGAACTCGAACGCCTGGCGAGCCCCTCCACTACCCATACCGTCGTCGCGCAATCCCAAGCAAGCCCCTAGCCTGCCTCCGACTCCTTCCAATCTGATCCATATCGCTACTGCTTCCATCGATGGCCATGTTTGCGTTTCGTCGCTCGTCGATCCTAAGGATGTTAGTCTTCGTAACTTTGCCCGTCCTGTCAATGCAGTCGCTTTGTCGCCAGAGTACAAGACCGATCGTACATATCTCTCTGGCGGTCTTGCTGGGAATCTCATAATGACTTCCGGTGCCAAATCTGGTGTGAGTGCCGACGCCAACACGAACAGCGCCGCTGCTGCCGCCTCAGGTTGGCTTGGTTCCATAGGTCTGGGACACAATACAGGCAAAGACACCGTCTTGCACTCCGGTGAGGGTGCAATCAGCACCATCTCTTTCTCGAACAGTGGCCGTTTTGTAGTCTGGGTGAATGAGCACGGCATAAAGATAATGCGCTCGCATCTGAAGCTTGAGTCTCATGAATCCGAGTCTGCTTGGAAGCGCATTGCTCATATCGACCGACCAAATCGGAATGCTTGGCCTGACATGGCTTCTGTTTGGAAAGCCCGTGTGCAGTGGATCAATGATGACGCTCTTGAAGCAGATTTGGACGAGCCGAGAGCTCCAAATGGCTCTGCTACTCATGATTCGAGTAAGGCCTCCAAGAAGGTCCATCCAGAGAAGCTGCTTGTTGGATGGGGTGATACTGCATGGTTGATCCATGTCTTTGCTGCGCGCGTTACTGCTGGCAAAAATGGTCCTCAGCGTCTACCAGGGCGCGCTGACATCCTGCACAAACTGACCTTTGAAGATTGTGTTGTGTCTGGGTTATCGCTCTACACACCTTCCTTACTTGCTGTCCTTGCTTATCGCACACGTGACGATCAAGACAATCCAATCCCTTCATCTGTGCAAGACACTCCAAAGCGAGGTAGACATCACCGCCAAACGGGTCTGCAACCCGAGCTACGCTTGATTAATTTCGCGACTGGCGAAGAGGTCGATGTCGACACCCTCAACATAAACAGATTTGAGTCTCTATCTGCTGCTGACTATCAACTAACATCTCTCTATGTACCTCCACCGCCTCGTCTTGCGCCGGTACAGAAAGGCGCTCTGGAGAACTTTGGTGCCGGCTTATGGGATGCAGGAGCGAGTGCAACGCGTCTTTTCAGTTCTGGTGCCAGCATGAAGAGTCCACCACCTAGTGAGAGTGGGAGGACTGCCATCAGATCTCCAGCAGGATCTGTTGGTGGTCCTCAGATTGGTACATCACCTCAATCGGCCCCTGATGCGAACCCTTTCCTCGCGCGAACAGGTATCAAGCTATTCGTCCACAGTCCCTATGATTGTGTTCTGGCCATCAGGCGTGAGCTCTCAGATCATTATAGCTGGTTGCTGGAGCGCAAACAGTACGGCAAAGCTTGGAGTCTGATAGATGACCATCCTGGCATCGTCGGCATACCAAATGATCGACAATCCATTCCTTCTTCGCCAAGTGGACCTTCACGCGCGCAAAACAGCCTCGCAGACTTCTTCGCTGATGAGGATGTATCTTCGACTACCATGTCCCCTGAGAAGATTCAAAATTCTCTCGCAACCAAGGAAAAGCAGCGGATAGGAGACTTGTGGTTACAACAGCTTGTTGCGAATGATGAGTGGTCAACAGCAGGAAAAGTAGCTGGTCAAGTTCTCGGCACTTCTTCACGGTGGGAGAAATGGGTTTTGGCATTTGCACAAGACGGTCATTTTGACGAAATCACGCCGTATATCCCCAGCACTGACATGAAGCCGGCTTTGCCTTCGTTTGTGTACGAAGTCGTACTCGGTCACTATATCGGTCATGATCGACCACGTTTCCGCGAACTTCTAGATCGTTGGGACCCTGAACTGTTCGACATTACAAGTGTGAAAACGGCGATTCAGAACAAGCTCGATTCAAGCGATGTCAATGAGGAGTCTGTTGAAGGCGGGGAGCGAGGAAGGGACTGGCGCATTCTGCTGGACGGATTGGCAAAGCTCCACCTCGCCGAAGGCTGTACAACGGACGCCTTGCGCTGCTATGTTCGACTCCAGAACGGCGACGCAGCCATGTCGTTGATTCGTGAATACCATCTAGCGGATGCTGTCTCTGATGACATCCCTGGATTGTTAATGCTCCGTGTTGCCAGAGAACAAATGAAGACAGCGTCCCTGGAAGAACTTGAAGAAGCTTCGGCTGAAGTCGTTCGTCTACTCGTTGATGAAGCCTTCTCGGGAAACATCCGACCTGAAGTTGTCGTGTCACAGCTTGAGCAGCGTGGTCCAACTTATCAATCCTTCCTGTTTTTCTATCTTCGTGCTCTTTGGACAGGACGGACATCAGATGAAGAAGTCCCATTGAGCAGAGCCGAGCGTATGAAGCTTCAACAACAGGTAGAAGAAGGCAGGTTACTGGTTGAACAGTACGGTGATCTGGCGGTAACGCTCTTCGCTCAATACAACCGCGATTTATTGATGGACTTTCTGCGGTCTTCGACATCATACACGTATGAGAAAGCATCGCATATATGTGAAGAGAAACACTACATTCCGGAGCTTGTATATCTCCTGAGCAAGACTGGACAAACAAAGAGAGCCCTGTTCCTGATCATCGGAGAGCTTGGCGATGTCAGTCAAGCCATCTCTTTCACCAAGGAGAACCCTGATCTTTGGGACGACTTGCTTGATTATAGCATGGATAAGCCAAAGTTCATTCGTGCGCTGTTGGAAGAAGTTGGCACATCTATTAACCCCATAACAGTGGTACGGCGAATACCGAATGGGCTAGAGATCGAAGGTCTCAGAGAAGGAATCGGCAAGATGATACGCGAGTATGAGATCCAACACAGCATCAGCGATGGTGTTGCCAAAGTTTTGAGAGGAGAGGTCACGTCAGGCATGGATGTTCTTCGAGCAGGACAAAAGAAGGCGGTCAAATTCGAAGTGACGCACGAAAAGCTTGATGAGGTTGAAGTGCACGCTGACCCAGTTCCAATAATCAATGGTGATGATGTGGACGCTGATGGCACTGATCACAGCCCCAAGCCAGGGCACTGTGTCGGCTGTAAAGAAGCGTTCCATCAAGACGGTAAGACTTGCCATTTATACTCTGATCAAAATTCGTCTATATACTAACAAGCATGGCAGAGAGAGAAACTCTTCTCGGATTCAATTGTGGCCACGTCTTCCATTTGTCTTGTCTCTTGAACTCTAACGCTGACGCTAACCAAGCCGATGTCAAGAGATTACAAGGTCAAAGGCTTTCGGAAGATGAGGAACCCATTGACAGTGGCAGAAGTGTGCAGGCCAAAGTCGAGCACGCGCACCAAATAAAGCGGGCTGTCCAAGGTGGATGCCCAGTCTGTACGCTGCCGGACGACAGCGCCTAGTCCGGCTCGTCCATCGCAGGAAGCACACCTTTGGGACTAGATGGCGGGTGACAGCCATCTCGGAGATATGTATAATAATACCCATAATCCTTTTGATGTAGGAATATATGTGCGAAGAACTAGTCTTGAGAATGAGGAAGAGCACAAGATATGCATATGTAATTCTGAATCTGACTAGTTTGGTAGTCTTGATCTTATATATTCGAAATGATCCGTGTTAAGGTGGGCCGGACATCCCGTGCTGCTTCTGATCAACACAGCGTCGCTACCTATCCTTCTGTATAAGGGGCCTCTGAAGTGCTGTTAACCGAGCCGGTCTAGCGACGGTTGCTCGAACACGGGGCAGCACATGCGAAACCCTGTTTGCTGGGATGCAAGATGGCGTCCCTGTAGACTGTCGAAGGGGGCTAATGGTTATTGCTCGAGGTAACATGTACCTGGCATTAGGCGGGTGATTACAATAGGGCAATCAAGAGCTCAAGCAGCACCTTTAGGAGGGAAAGCGCTCTCCTTCTTGTTGCCAGACTTGTTGACGCGCACGTAGCCAAGAGGGCTCAGAGCAATCCACTCGCCCTTCCAGTTGCGTAATTTTGTGAGGGTAGCCTCGCTCTGCATGTCGGGCATCCAGAAGCCGGACTCGTATTCTTTCTGTTCCTGATCCTGTTGCTGTTCGAGTAGAGTCTGCTTGGTGCTCTTTGGACGGCCTGGGCGGCGTTCGGCTTTGAGGGCAGCCATGGCTTCATCTTCGCGGCGCAGGTATTTCGCAATGACCTCGTGCACCTCGGCGTCGGTCAGGGGACGCAGCGGATCGGGGATCTCATCCTGGAGAAAGACGATACGGTTGACTAGAGCAGTGGTCAGCTAGAGTCGACTTCTCAAGACAGCGAGATAAGACATACGGTAGACATCGTTCATCTTCTCGCGCATAGCACCCAAACGTGCAACACGATCATCTCTTGCAACAGCGCTGCGCAGACGCAGAGCGTCACGACTGTTCTCGTGCAAAGCTAGGGCAGCGCCCTTCTTCTTGGACACTTGCTTCTGGACCTTTGCGAATTTGGACGGCATGGCTTGTTGTGTCTCGGGATGTGTAGAGTACTCGAGTGCTTGAATGGTTTTAATTTTTATTTTCTTTGCGGCAAGTCCGCAACAATTCGAGCAAGCCTAGAGCCTCAAATCTGGGGAGCCGACGGATCGGCCCGACTTATCAGGCAGGGCAAGGGGGAACGCGTCTGGACGCGCCTGCCATCATCCCGACTTTTGGACGCCACCTGCAGTCTTTGACGTTGGCTCATTCGTCTCGTCCACAGCCCACTGACACGTCTTTTGTGGTCTGCTTGCAGAGTATGGATATCTAGGTCGTCACTCGTCATGGGCATTCAAGGTCTCCTCCCACTGCTCAAGTCAATTCAGAAACCATGCCACCTTAAACAACACTTTTCTGGCAAGACCCTGGCTGTTGATGCATATGGTTGGCTACACCGCGGCACTATTGCCTGTGCCATTGACCTTGCCCAAGGCAAACCCACCAGGAAATGGCTCGACTTTGTCATGCACCGGGTTCGCATGCTTCAACATTTCAATATCACTCCTTATCTTGTCTTTGATGGCGACTATCTGCCCAGCAAATCCGGAACCGAAAAGGATCGTGCCGCTCGTCGTAGGGATAGCAAGGTCAAAGGACTCGAGTATTTGCGTCTAGGCAAGGCCTCTCAAGCTCAGGCCGAGCTGCAAAAAAGTATTGATGTGACGCCCGAAATGGCCCGTCAGCTCATTGATGAACTCAGAAAGCTCAATCTCCCTTACATTGTTGCTCCTTATGAAGCCGATTCGCAGATGGTCTACCTTGAACGCTGCGGTCTGGTTCATGGCATTGTCTCCGAAGACTCGGATCTTCTGGTCTTCGGCGCTCGCTGTCTGCTCACCAAGCTCGACCAATATGGAGAGTGTATCATGATCAAAAGAGACGACTTCACTGCCTGCCGCGAGATCAGTCTAGTCGGCTGGTCCGACGCTGACTTCAGGCTCATGGCCATTCTGAACGGGTGTGATTATCTGCCTGGCATCGAGAAAATGGGTCTCAAAACTGCATACCGCATGATTCGCAAGCACAAAACAGTCGAACGTATCATCCGTTCTGCGCAATTCGAAGGCAAGATCAAGGTCCCTCCCGGCTATCTTGAGGCTTTCGCCAATGCGGAAGCCACCTTCCTCTACCAATGGGTGTACTGTCCTGAATCTCGCTGCTTGGTCAACTTCACCGAACCCGCTTCCGATGTGGATCTCACTCAATTCCCTTGTATCGGCAAGCACATTGAGGCCCAAGTTGCAGCCGCTGTGGCAGTTGGCGACTTGCATCCACACACGAAGCAGCCTCTTTGTGCACCCAAAATTTTGCGAAATGCATTCCAGTCCAGTTCTCGCAACCGTGCCCAAGCTCTTCAGACACCCGAGCTGAAGAAACACAAATCAATCGATAGTTTCTTCAAGCCCCAACGCACCCCTCTGGCTGAGCTCGATCCCAACATCTTTACGCCCTCACCCAGTCAGCAGCATCTGTTACAGCGCAGTCCAGCTTCATGGTCGGCCGAACCTCTCCGGCGTCCCTCACTGCTCTCACGTGCAGCCTCGACTGCACATGCTCCGCAACTACCACAGCGCCCTTCGGTCGGAACATCTCGGAACAAGTCTAATTCGCCGAAGCGACAACGCTTGTGTGCTGATGGAACTTATGCATCTCCCTTATCGACACCGCCTGAACGCGTCGAATCGGGGACAAGCAAGTTTTTCAAGACCAACACATCGCGCAAAAGTCCTGTGCTTGAGAGGTCAAATAGTATATCAAGGGACGAGTTTAACCTCTGGTCTGACGACTCAATTGAGCAAGCCATGAGTTTGTTGCCCGGCCCAGATGAACAACGAAGCTCAGTCGGAGCCACGAGGAAGATTTCGGTCTTTCAAGATATTGGCAGCCCAGACGTGCCTGGCGAGACCTCTGACGCAACAACCGAGACGCCCTTTACAGCTGGGTTGGCAGACGAGATACAATCATTACGAAGCAGATTTTCCTACCAGCACACCACATCTGATGCTCCGACAGATCTGACCACTACGAGCGAGTCGAAACGAAAGAGGGATGAGACGGAGGCTGTGATTCCATGTTCGCCACCAGTGATGGACCGAAAGAGCAACGAGACTGTGCAAATCGAGGAGGGTCCGCACGATGATATCAATGAAGCCGACTGGCTGTCCGCAGAATCTCAACCTCTGAGTCGTGCGTCAGGCCAAAACACGCAATCCAGTGGTTCGAGCAAGCCATGCTTCTCGCAAGGTAGTGAAGATCTCTTGATCCCGGACAGCGAAGGTGAAGAAGAAGACGAGGAAGAACAGGGGTTACACCGTCGGCCTAGCTTTCCTCTGGATCTTGCGAGATTTGCGTTCACTGGTTGATCTCATTGTTCTGATGTTTGTTTGCTTTTTCCTTTTTATGCAGCATGGAGCTTGTGGTGTTTTCAGCAATGGCTTTTTGTTATAGCATATGCATTTGGGAGCATGGTTAGCATTGTACGAATCGAGTATGCATATACTCTGGAGTTTTTGACATGTCAAGGACTGGCTTGAAACTATTCTTGTGCTGTACATCAGCACTGACTCAATGACGAAATCGCGTTTTCTTTTTCAATCTTCAGTTGTCAAATGTTGCTGTGCGTCGTTTCATGTTCTGCTGATAGAGGAAGTAGTGCTCTGAGGCGTGCCATATTTCCAGGTTGCCGAAATTCTTTTTCCTGACCCTCTACCAACTCGCTACACCATTTTTAACAAAATCGCATCAACTTCAGTCTTATGGCATTATAGTCGCCGGAACTAAGATCACTTCAACAGACAAAAGCAGCAATTTACAAAAATTGTGGGTTCATCCAAAGCAATAACAGGTGTTCCACGGCATGACCCTGTCCTCTGATGACGAAGATGCTCACTCACAACACAACTCAAGATGTGTCACCTATTCTACTTGACCGGTTCCGTATGAATACACCCATGCTCCTCTAGTACTGCGAGCCCGAAAACCAAGTTGACGCAATTGTCGTGTCTCATTTCGTATAGTCATGCTAATGAACGCGATAATCCAACCCAAAACCACGCTGTTGGCAGTCTAAGCAAATCATTTACCAGATTCAAAATAGAACTTTCCTAGGTCACCACCCGGTCCACGAGAAGCATCGGGTGTTTCAAGACCTCCCTGACCACCCTCCGGACCAAGACGTTCGCGAAGGATGCGTTCAGCAGTCTCGGCTCCAGTGTCAAGACTTCTGCGGTCGACCATGTGAACGTCTTGCTGTTCCTGCTGAGCTTGAGAACTGACGGGGGTCAGGCTAGCATCTCTGTGTAAGGGTTGTGATAGACCTGAGGCGGTAGGAGTGTTTTTTGCTACACTGGGACTTCCAATGGCACTGTGACGGGCGGGAGTGCGAGCACCCTCTCCAAAGCCGACCAGACTGTTTGTTTCGGAAGCAGCACCAACGCTGGAGGTCTCCATGTCCATATCTTGACTTTCGCTCATTTTGTCGTGGTCAAAGACATCGCTCCCGCTAGCCCAAGTTGTGCGGCCTCCGACGCTACCAGTTGCCGAAGCTGAGCCAACAGTGCTGCGCTCACGACCCAGGATAGGATTTCCTTGGGAGTCGAAGTAGCCGCTTGCAGCGCCCAAGTGAGGAGCAGCGGCGCCAGGGGTTAGATTAGAGATGGGGGTCGGGTTGCGAGCGGTCGTCACACGCTCAAGACCAGCAAGACGTGAGATGCGATCGGCGCGCTCGGCGTCCAAGGTACCAGATGTAGGGGCTTGCGAGTTGTGTGAGTGAGGCAGGTGGCCTCTGTGGCCGTCTTTGATAGCGACGCTGTTAGCACAAGTTAGCACGTTGACAGCTCCAATTTATATGAAGACTGACGTTGAGAGCTCCGACATGGAGGTTGTGGTGGAGTTAGGAGTGCCAGGAGCATCTGAGGGCGTCATGGGGTCTGCAGGAGGTAGATTGATCAGAGTCGGGGGTACTGTCGACATGGTGTATGGCGTATGTTGTAGGTGCGTCTAGGTCTGTGGATATGTACGGGACAGGGCTTTGTAAGGTGCTGAGGAAGCAGAGAATAAGGAGTGTAAGGAGTCTTGGAAGGTCAAGCAGAAATACCGGTGCAGCATCAACACCCAATGAACAAGATTCACGGCAGGAACCAGGGTTCGCTCATTCCCCACATTTCATCTGTTTCAGGGTCCCGTCTCCCCACACATTGATGTCATGCTGTGTCTGTCATCCCTCCTCCCGCAATCCATCCCTCGATGCCTATCTCTTGTGTGTATACACAGTCTTGATGGCTAGTAGCGTTCTAGCAATGGAAAGACCATTCCGTATATCTCCATGATCCTGAGTCGCTGATCTCAGTACTAATGCACAGCTGTGCAGTCGTGACGAGGCTTGGGGCAATCAACCAAGCACACACACAGGGTATATTCTCCACCCAGATCTCGCCTTGCATATTCATCTTCAGTAGTTTACTGCCAAGTATGATTCATGAGCCAGCTTCACGTATTGCCGCCAGACTGTCTTTGCAGCTTGGTAATCCCGTCCTGAGTGGAATAGCTGATTTCATTAAAAAAGACTCCCGCTTCTTGTAGTATACCTACGCCGTGTTCACAAATCCTTTTCTCACATAATGTACAAACTCGCTTCTGTCTCAATTCGTCCGCTTTATGAAACGAAGCTCTTCATGTCTGTAATCTGTGTCAGCATGATGCCATCGTCTGCGCTGGCTAGCAACTTACTGTTCAACCATCCAATGTACTCCTTCTGCTCCTTCAAGTCGATGTATTCGGGAATGAAGAGGGCCATCTGGGTGTTGATGCCTCTCTCCTCGAGGAATCGCTCCAAGAGCATCTGAAGATCCTCATCAAGCTGGCCGAATGGAGGTCCCGTGTAGAGACTTCTTCTTGCCCAGTCCTTCTCGGCTGTCTTGGCCTCAGCCAACTCGGCAGTGGGGAAGTGGTAGACGTTCTCTATGCTAATTTCGCCATCTTGAGCCAGGCACTCAATGGCGAGGGCACCCTTGCCCTCGCGGGTCACGGTGACTTGAACACGAACGGGGAAGCTTGCCGAGTTGTCCTCCTCATCTTGGAGCTCAGGTCTGTCGGCAGGAGCGATCTCATCCTCGGGGGCGACACGGATGTTACCACCAGAGGTGCGGCCCTGGTTCACGGCGCCCTTGGTGTTGGCACCGCCAGACTGACCATCCATATCGAGGGCGCCGTCCTCATCACCGTAAAGAGCAGGGTCCTCAGCGTCGGCCTCTTCGTCGTAAGTGTTGAAGTCGGCAATGGAGAAGGTAACCTTGATGCTACAAGTCATGAGTTAGCAAGCTAGTGGTGTATACATCAGATAGGTGTCGTACTTCTCATCGCCGTATGTTCTGGTGAGGTGAACCTCCTCTGTGCCGGCCTTGTCCTCGATCTTGAACTCGCTGTTGTCGATGTATTCCTGGCAGTTGTAGCGGTAGCTGTCGTCTGCTTGCTGCTCCTTCTCGAGGGCGATTTCCGAGTTCAGCTTGGCGGCAAGCTCCTGAGTAGTGGCATCTGTAGAGAAACGATGAGCAAAGTACCAGACAGAAAGTGGCATGTCAAGACACACCTTGACGACGGATCAGAGAAGTGGAGAAGTGGGCGGCAGTTCTGGCAGCGGCAAAAGCGGGAGTGCGCAGAGGCTGACGAGCGGCGGTCGAAGTCAGACGAGCGACACCGCGGGGGAGTTGGCGAGAGAGTTGGCGCAAAGACAGCATGTTGATGTGTATAGGCGGATTTTGGATGGTTCAAGCAAGTCTGAATGGCGGCTACAAAAAAGGTCTTGGAGCTTCGGCGAGGGCTCGAGCACGGACAACGACACTCCCGGCCGCTGTCGCAATGACATAGGGCACCTCGGCCATAGGGTCATTGGATACTTTCTTTCTTCAGATGATCAATCTATTCAACGACTCTCTGACCACGAGATCGGTCTGTCTGCACCATGAGCGTCGCTGCGCCCGCTGAAAAGAAGAACAAGCCATCAGCCCTGCGCTCCATCATCGCTGGTGCCAGCGCGGGTGCTGTCGAAATCGCCATCACTTATCCCGCCGAATTCGCAAAGACAAGATCTCAGCTCAATCGTCGTCTTGCCGAGGGCAAGAAGCTACCATGGCCACCATTTGGAAAACAGTGGTATGCTGGATGCACTACTCTGATCATTGGAAATTCCATCAAGGCTGGTGTTCGCTTCGTCGCTTTTGATGCATACAAGAACATGCTATCAAATCCTGATGGCACTATCAGCGGCCCTGCCACCGTAATTGCTGGGTTCGGTGCTGGTGTGACCGAGAGTTTGCTGGCCGTCACCCCCTTTGAGAGCATCAAGACCCAATTGATTGACGACCGCAAGTCCGCTCAACCCAGGATGAAGGGCTTCCTTCACGGCAGCAGACTCATTGCCCACGAACAGGGTGTGCGTGGCTTCTTCAAGGGCTTTGTTCCTACCACCGCAAGACAGGCAGCAAACTCGGCTGTCAGATTCAGTAGTTATACCAGTTTGAAACAGCTGGCGCAAAGCTATGTTGCTCCGGGAGAGAAGCTCGGCGCACTGAGCACGTTCGGTATTGGCGGATTGGCAGGTATAATCACAGTGTACGTCTTGCAGGTCAACAAATTGTGCTCAAGCGACTGACGGTCTCACAGATACGTTACCATGCCCCTAGACACTGTCAAGACCAGAATGCAATCCATTGAAGCAAAGACCGAGTACAAAAACAGCTTCAATTGCGCGGCGCGTGTGGTCAGAGAGGAAGGCTTCCTCACTCTTTGGTCTGGCGCTGTGCCTAGACTTGGTCGCCTCATCTTGAGCGGCGGCATAGTCTTCACCATGTATGTCTTTTATAACCCACACTCGTACGCCTTGCTAAACATTCCATCAGGTACGAAAAGACCATGGAGTTGCTCGACAAGCTGGACCCAGAAAAGAAATATCTATGAGCAACCTTATGCAAACCCATGCTGCTTCCCCATTCTGTAGAGCCTTGCACACGTATAAGCATAGGATAATGATAAGGTGACTATGACACAACGGCCGCCAGCCCACTTTTGGTGTATCACCGTTGTGCTCATGTGGCTAGGACCAAGCTTGCTCGTTGCGATTCGCCTGTTTCGTAATTCAGGCTGTAGAGTAGCATCCTGTTGCTGCCAGGTTATCATCTGGTCAGGCCCAAATAGGTACGCGCGCGGTCGCTTGTCGCCACGGTGCGGGCCGGTCGATGGTCGCAGCTTTGGTTCGACAAAAATTAGGTTTCAATAATGGACACAGAAGACAGGTCTATCATGCAAGTGCATAGGTTCGTGTTGATAGTAAGGGGTGTTGAGCGTGCGAAGTGGAGACAGCATGCTGAGTTGGGCTATCACACAATGCGGTCAAGTCGTACCGACGGTGATGATCGAATAAGCAGTAGTTTCGGGCTAGAGGAGAGCCACTGAGCCAGGCTCCAGCAGCGCTGATCATGGATGTTCAACATGAGCAGAGCACGCTCCATCATGCAGAGAAGGCACGCTACTTGGACTGGAACCGACCCAAGCCCAAGCGATTATAGTTTTGTAAAACACCACGACGTTAAACCAGCCGACGTCCGTTTATCACCTGACCCAGGCTAACTCTCTTGTTTCTTTCGCTCCTCTCTACATTGTCTATCAAGGCTCTGTAACTTAGTGTGTGCTACCTGCGACTGACAGACTCGAAATTGGTATCCTCACAATTTCTGCGTGTTCAAGTATTAGGTGGCGTTGAAGAATGGCCGATGCCATCTATAACCCACCTTCGAAAGCTGCTACGGCCGAAAGAACCCGCCAGCCAAAGAACAGGCCTGCCGACCTGCCGCAAGGACAACAAAAAATCCGCCGCCGCAATAGGACAATCGCATCATGTAAGGGCCCAACTGTTTACGCCTCTGAATCAATCGCCCTGACTCTCCGCAGGCTTGAGCTGCCGTCAGCGCAAGTTGAAATGCGACAAACAAGTGCCATGCGGCAACTGTCAGCGGTTTCAGAGAGATTGTTTGTACATTGCTCCAGCCCTAGATACTGCTGCTCAGCAGAAGCTGGCCGAGATAAAGGATCGACTTGGTGACCTCGAAGAGACTCTTGAACGTGATGTCGCCCGCCGCGCTGCAGCTAATTCTGGTTCCGAACGCTCTACGGTCGTACCCAAAATCGAAGCTGAGGATGATGATTATGATGGCTTGTCGGCCGAAGATGAACAGGATCCTGAACCCTCGCCGCTCGGCATGTTTGACCAAGTATACGACAACGATGCCGATGATGGGCTTATGGACCTTGGTATCCAGCTCGGCAAGTTGCGAATGTCTGATAGGGTGGGCGGTTTAGGTATGTGGTTTTGCTTCAGGATCTGACCCAACGATACTAATTACTCGACAGTACGGCCGAAAATGTCTGATGAAGTATGATGCTGCAATCCAGTCCCCGTCGTCCCTCATGTGCTAACTACTTGCCCAGCTCAATGCAAAACTACGCAGCGCGAGCCACAAGAGCCAGAATCTTTACTGTCAACGCCATGGCTATACTGATTCAAATGCGTCATGGCAACCTGGGACTGCATCCCAAGACGCGTTCCTCAGCCCTGGCCCGGACTTCATCGTCCCATCCTCGAATCTCTTCTTTCCAGATCCCGTCACGGCATATTTCCTCCCTCCTCGACATGTCGCCGATCGACTCGTTGCACAATACCTGAATGCCGTACACCCAGTCGCTCGCCTCGTGCATCAACCATCCTTTGAGAGACAGTATAACCTGTTTTGGAGCAACCTCAGTAATGGTACAATAACACCAGCTCCTATTCAAGCCATTCTTTTCGCTGCCATGTTCTCGGCGGCCGTCAGTCTGTCAGGTGATGCAGCTGCATCCTTCTCTGACATGTCGAAGCATTTACTCGTTGACAGGCTTCGCGAAATGACCGAGTTCATGCTTTCCAGAGCGAATCTGCTGAGAACGACGAAGGTAGATACCATGCAAGCCTTCATCATGTACATGGTAAGAATGTTCGAAACAGACGTCCAGTATCTCGAGCTAATCCTTCTAGCTTCCTCTATGTCGAACAGAGATTTCTCGAGCACACTCTGCGCTAGTCGGAACAGCTATCCGTCTTGCGCAATGTATGGGACTCCACCGCGATGGCACTACATTCGGCCTCAGTCCTGTAGATACTCACGTCCGAAGGTTGATTTGGTACCAGATTTGCTACCTGGATGTTCGGACTTGTGAAGCCACAGGACCTAGACCCCAGATCCGCAAAGATGAATTTGATACAAAATTGCCACTTAACGTCAATGACACGGATCTCTTGTTACCCTCACCACCAACCGAGGATCTACCCTACTGGACGGACATGACATTGTCTAAGCTCAAATTTGAGTGTTTCGAACTCATCCGCCAACTTTGGGTGGATATGCAGCGTATGGACCAGAAAAAGCTCACTTTGACCTCTATCCTGAACAGGATCAAGAAGTTTCGCGCGACCACTGAAGCCAAATACTCGCTTCTGGTTCAAGGCAATACTCCGAAGCAGATCCTTGCGAAACAGATGTATCGCGCTTCGAGCAACAGGGCTCTGGTTGTAATTTTGCAACGCTATGCCGTTGGTACAAATTATCCCATGCCTGAAAGACTGCGTAAACTACTTACCGAGGCCTGTATGGGTACTGTTGAAGCTGGTATAGCTATGGAGACTCGTCAAGAGCTGCTACCATGGGCTTGGTATCGCGGAGCCATTCTACAGTACCATGCTGCGGTGCTTCTGGTGTTTGAAGTTTACTCCAGGCCAGAGATGCCCGAGGCGGCGCGGATATGGAGCAGTCTTGACTGGGTTTTCGAAACACCACCTCAATCATCCCCATTGGAAAAAGCAGAGGGCATTATCATGACGCTTCGTGATCGTCTCGAAAAATATCACAGCGTACGGAAACTGCGTGCAACAGCCGATGTCGAAAATCAATCCAGTCCAGGGCCATCAACAAATTCACAACTCAATAAATCTGCCACAGCACCGCATATTACTCGCTCTGCTCAAACATTCACCACCCCAACAATGGTCTATTCTCAACTACCTCACACTGAACAGGGCCCTGCTTCTGATGCCAGTGGAAGCCATGCAGGTGTGAACCGTGATTCATCATCTGATCCAGGCATGGAAGCAGTGGCCAACATGGATTGGGTAAGTGATATCTGCAGAACCTCTCGCCAACACACTCTTGAAGGAATTCAGCTAACCAGTCACACCAGAATGAATGGGACAAATACTTTGCTCCCAATGCAGAACTGGGTACGGTCGGTACGATGGCCAATTTCAGCCTTGGTAACTTCAACCCTCATCAAGCATACTTCTCGCTCCCAAGAGTCCACCCAGCCGACGCGCATCAACAACGATGATCTTTAAAGACGATCGGATGGAATTTTTGCGGGTAGGCTTCAGGCCGCGGTCCAGAACGTCGTATGATGAATTTCGCTCCCTGTCGCGTCTTTGAACAACTCGAGACCCTTTTTGAAAGCACTGGTCTCCTTGAAGGTCGTATGGGCGGATATCGATGACCACCCAATGGATAGTATGCAAGCTCTACCCTTGATACCTGGACCAAAGCTCTCGTGTTCGACGTCTTCCATGATCCAAGCGTACGTACACCCTAGGAAACCCTCTGCATGTTCCTTGAGTATCTTTGCGAACGAGCCTAGATTATCATCGAACGACGGCATCATCTCTGGCAGGAAAAGGGTTGCCAGCTCTGTGACAGAGGCAGAGATAGCTGCAGTAAGGTCACTGAGGTTTTCGAGCTCGAAATGGAAAAGCTGTGGAGATCCATCAAGAATACTTTCCAAGCTCTGTAGCATCTGCCCATACACAGGTAGCTTTTGGAAACGTTGATGATGCTCTATCGTGTCCCATACTGGCAATTGTCAACGGCCCACAATCTCCCTCAATTACTGGTCGTGTGGCTTCAAACCTACCTATGAATAATTGCGCCATATTTGGGCTTTCATATTGTAAACCGGAATAGATGTTCTGACAGCCATCCTGTCCTGAGATGATAGCGAGCATATGTTGCCAGATACGGTTCGCTTCACTGCCTCGCTTCCGAACATTGGAACCAGCAGACAGTGGAATGGTTGCGATTTCAGTCACAGGCATCATGCGTCGCAGAAAAAGCTAAGTGGTAAGTTTGGTCCTGGGAGTGTTGATCTCGTTTACGCGTATAGCAGCGAACCGAGGTGTTTGTTCAAAGGTGGAGCCAGCCCCCACGACATATGAACCACAAACCGATTGTGATCGGCTTCGGTTCCACCCATGACCGAAGTCCCGTACAGTAGTTCGCTTGGACATGCTGTATGTACGAATAGCCTGTCGATCCCGGATTTGTGATGTTGCGCCCCTCAATATGTTGATCTCAAGGGAAGGGTAGGAACTGCACACGATGCAGCCTGCTTTCTTGCTGCAAAACTCATTGAGCGCCTTGCTAAGAGCGACTATTCCGATTTAGATGCCCGGTTGAGCTCTCAGATCCACGACCGAGTACCAGGCTCGATTCCAACAACAAGCAGAAGGTAGGGCATCGAGTAGTAAGAGAGTAGGCGATAGCCATCGCATAGCAGCTATACTGACTGTGATAAACTCTATCTATTGACACTCACCACCGTATTCATAGCACCAACATTCTGAATTCGCGAGGCCATCGTGCGCCTTGGTGCCACAGCCAGAGGCATCGACTGTCGTTACATTGTCAACAGAACATTAAGGACATTACTATGACATTCGATAGCTTGTAGCGCACTGATATCTCGAGATGTGAGAGGGGCAATGGCAAGATCATAAGAGTCCTCAACATATAGCAAGGGCTGATCGTTCAAAACTGGACGATGGTCCACCTTCTCTAGTATGACGCAACCGTGGGGGTTCACGTGCATTTGCTAGCCTCTTCAGGCTGGATTGAGCCTCCAGACGAGAGCTTGCGAGAGGCATGCGATAGTTCACAAGCAACGAGGTCAATTCGTCTTCGGGGTTTGAAAAGGCATCATAGTCTGTATCATCGATGGCACTTGACCTTAGTGGCTTGATATGGTGTCTGTTTCATCTGCTTATCTCTGCTTCAAATATACGATAGCCTCATTTGCTAGCGGTACAGCTAGAGAAAGGGCGCTCGATTCCATAGCAACAACGAGTGTCCTGAGCTGAAGCACATGATAATTGTTGTTGCGGCGCGCAGAACGAACAAGACTCGATGGTTAGATGACGATACGCTCTTTGCTGCTCTTGGCTGATACACCCATGTTTTGTTTCTATGCAGAGATTCGTGCGTGACGATGAGCGTAGAGAGTAATTTGGAAAGGCGCGTGGCGGAGTCAAGTTGAGAATAATGGCTGAAGTGGCAGTGTGATAGAAAACACATCGAGAGAACTGCTAGAACAACGCGTAATTACAGTGTATTTTGGGTATCATTAAGTGGTCCACCGAGTGGGTGGGGAACAGAGAGGTGCGAGGCGGAAGTGTGAGACTGATCCGAGCCATGGCGAGCTCAGTGATCAATCGAGTCGAGTCCGGAGGATCACGACGAGTCTTGTTGCACGGTTTGCTGTTGAGCGGGTCAGTTTATGGCCAATCCGAATAGACAGACCCGCGTGAGCGGCAGCGGCAGCAGCGATTTGAACTTACCACCATCCAATCCATGCCCTCTGACACACCCCTGCCATCAATAGCACTGCAAGCCACGATAGTCCAGTTCCGGTCCTTGAGCTCACCCAAGCGGAGAGCTTCACTGATATCACCAGCACCCTTGGCACCCGGCTGATCTTGCTTGTTTGCAAAGACTAGCAGTGCAGCATCACGCAATTCCTCCTCGTTCAACATTGCAGAAAGCTCATCGGCAGCTGTGGAGAGTCGGTCGACATCAGTCGAGTCAATGACGAAAATGACAGCAGCGGTGTTGGCATAATAACATCTCCAGTATGGACGAATAGACGTTTGACCTCCCAAATCCTGTTTGATATGTCAGACGACAGACCCAGTGCGAAATGATAGCCGGGACGCATACCCAAACATTGAAGTTGAGGTTTTTGTAGTTTACAGACTCGACGTTGAAGCCTATCGTGGGAATTGTGGTTACGACTTCGCCAATCTACCGGATGATGGTGATTAGCACGGCATGAAGCCATAGTAGCACGAGACCAACCCACCTTGAGTCTGTAGAGGAGAGTTGTCTTTCCAGCATTGTCCTAGTGAGGCAAGACTGTCAGCTTGCTTTTGCCTGCTTGTGTGTGTCCAAGATGCGCGTACCAAGCCCAAAATCAGAATCCTAATCTCTTTCTTTGCCCATACAAGTTTCGACAGTGACGAAAGATAGCCTCCCATATTGTGCGGTCGGTCGTGGATATGTCGGTGTCGAGGCTGTGCTTCGCGGGCTCTTTTGTCGCCTGCTTTCGGAAAGACACGCGCGATGCTCTCGGATTTGTTGTAGCCAGAGAACAAGTCGATCCGCTGCTTAGTACGAGTTGAGGACGGTCGGTGTGAGGGGGCAGGCAAATGGTTTGTTGTTTACAGGTGGACAGATGTGCACCAACGTCTCCGTAGACCGAAACTAATCTGGCACACTGACGTCGCTGCTTCTCTCAAACAAAACAAACGCTTCACGAACGACGCGACGATTCTTCTCATACACAGCCAAACTCGATGCATTTGCATACATTATCTACACTGAATTCCTTATTTGGGTCGCGTCTCGACTCCAGCATACTCTCTGCCCGCAATGTAATCCAATGTCCGCTGGAAGTGTCTTCTTGGGTTGTCTAGGCTCGAGCTGTTCTCATTCGTGTTGAGGTTCGAGTGGATCAATTCGATCAGTCCGTTCAGATATTTGGTCGTCACCTGGTTTTCTAATCAGTATTGAAATGGTCAATGTCCGACGCGACCAACTTACAGCGTCATTCTCCTGGTCAAAGTAATAGACATAGCGGTTAAGAATCTCGACAAAAAGCTCGACCGACACTGCTGTGTCCATGCAAGCATCGGCCACACGCAGCGCACGCTGCAGACACTCAAGAACTCTCTTGCCATCGCGATAGAGCTGTTGAAAATATTAGCCGTTATCAACGATGGGTATCCGTCCACGACTTACCTCTTTGCTTTCTTTGCCCTCCTTGTTCTCTTCGCTTTCTTCTGCGTTCTTTTCGACAGCCCACCACAAATGACTGGCCAAATACACAGCACGACATTGGTCAGGCTTCTTGAGCAGCTTGCTACCGTGAAGCGCGCATTTTGTAATGAGAGTGTCGTAGTTCTCCCGGCTGAAGTTGCGCGCACCACTAAGACTTTGTGCAATCACGCAAATTGCTTGGAATTGAGCCCTCGAGTCGCTAATGCTCTCTTCGTAGACAGTGAACGCTTGCGCAAAGAACTCATAAGCGACCTCCTCAAATCCGCATTGGTCGGCCACAGAACCGCAGGAAATGAAGAGCCTTAATGCAAGATCGGGTACGCCAGGCGTGGAAACTCTGGTGTATAATGTGGAGATTAGTGTATGACAGAACTTGTAGAGTGCAGAAGACTGGCTCGACCAGTCATCTTGCAGATGCTCACGAGCCTTGAAACGGCGGGCAAGCTTGAGCGAGGCTGTGATCAATGCAGGTGTGGTGTACTTGATGCGTTCGTTGCCTTCTGCGTATGCATTACGGGCTAGTTGGAGCAGCTTGAACTGAGTGTTGCAATCCTCGCCACGAATGAGGTGCACAATGCGTGCAAGCCATCCTTGTTCTTCGACAGTCTCATCAGTCTCTGCAGCAGCTCTTCGCACCGGTCCACCAGGGTACCCGGAAGGTTGCTGCATTCCCTCTTTGATCAGAACTTTGAGAATCTCTAGTACTCCCTGTAGATTCTCAGAGGTTGATATCCTGGTTTCATTGCGCAACAAGCTTCGTGCAACTTCTCCAGCCACTGATCGGCGAGTGGGATATGGTTGAGCGTGAAGAAGAGGGATGAAACTTGGGATTGCGAGAGCCGTGAATAGGGAGAAGTAGGTCTTGACTGGCGCGAGAAGCAGGTTCAAAAGGTTGGCTTGAGATGCTTGTGAATGGAGATCGGCCGAATTGGCAAACCTTGAGACCTCTTTGTTTGTGTATTGGAAGACTTGATCGACGTATTCTAGTCGGTCAGGATAGATGTTCAAGGCGAGATTGATCAACGAAACAAGAAGCGCGGTGATGTCCTGGATTGGAAGTCTTTGCATGCTGACAAGATGGATGACTTGTTCGTGGAACACTTCGAAGAGGCGCACATTGTCGGGAATGCCTCTCTGCTTCTTGGCATCACCATTAGTCTCGACCGAATCTGTCTTGGTCGCTTCCTCGGTCGTGGAATCAGGAGCGGTTTCAGCAGGAGTATCTTCGGCCGGTTTTGAGTCTCCATTCTGGTGAGTTGCTTCATCACTAGCGGGAGCCGAGGCAGCCTCCTGAGCGATCTTCATCTTCTCTAGCAATCTTGCAGTGGCTTCGGTTTCAGCCTTCTCGCGATCTTCGGGAGCGTCAGACTCGGATTCACGAGCGGCATAGGCAGACAAGCGATCCATGAGGCCAATAACGATAGCTTTGACGTTGACATGAGGGTTGAGGCGGGCAGTGGCCGAGAGGAACTGATCGAGGGTGTGTAGATGGAACTCGTCAGGGAAGACTTGGGTAATAACTTCGAGCAGATATTCTTGAGCAAGCACATCTCGACACTGAACGACCTGCTCGAGCAAGGGTTGCAGGATGGACGACTTGTAGGCTTCGAGATCGACGAGTTGGCTGAGACGCACGAGGTTGCTACCGACAAGCAGCTGCAGCTCCTGACGTTCCTTTGTACGCTGCTCGCGCTCTCTCGAGTGGCCTTGATGTTGCAATCTGACCCAGAGCTTGTTCATCTCGACAAAGTTGGTAAGGACAAAGTTGACAGAATCCTGGAGATTGCCTTCAGGACCTTGACCTTGACCAGTTGGCAAGAAGTCTCTAGCTTGGCCACTGAGGTAGTAGCGAAGGAAGAGACCACGAATGGGATGCTGGACACCTCTGCTCATCTCCATCATATCCTTCATTATCTCCTTGACGGGAGCATCCTCAATGCCCATATAGACAGTGCCGACGGTGATCATGAGGTATAGGCGGGGGACGATGTTGCCCGCATATTGGACGAGTTCGTAGAGGTCAGCAAGGTGGTTGGTAGGGTGCGAGTCACGTAGGTAGACGGCGAGATGGCGCAAGGCATCAAAGACGGACATGTACAGCTCGTAGTACTGTTTGGGGCCGAGGCTGGACGTGCGTAGTTCGGAGACGAGGGTAGAGCTGTGGCATTGGTCAGTAGTGCGAATTGAGGTACGCTGAATAGTCCGGTACGTGCCTGCACTTGAGGGCATCCATGAGCTTGCCCGGCGTATCTAGGCAGCGGCGCATCAGGACCGTCTGCTGGCGCACGACGGTCAAGGCATCTTCCAGCAGTCGTGCCTGGTCCTCGACCAGCGGCGGTGATGCCATTTTCGAAGAGGGGTTGTGTGAGGTGAGGTGAGCGACGGCGCAATTGCTTCTACTCTGGTCGCATGACGACGGTATGCACCCACGACCTCCGCGTCAAGGGTGTCGTTGGGCCGAGCGCGAGCTCCACCGCCGCCCGACAAGTTCCAGCCCCCTCTCTGCCTTCAGCCACGACTCCTCCACACTACCAACGCTCCCATGTTGCATTACCATCGCCGACCATTCATTTACCTCAAATTTTTGCAATCACCGTGACACTGAGAGACAATTAAATGTGACTTTTGTTTGATCATTACTATGTATTATTATTCTATATATCATATGTCTGTCATCGACGCACGCTGCCAGCAGTCGTGGGTGTTTATCCTCCATCCATATCGTGATTGCCCGCATCCGAACATCACTATCGCTTCAAGACCTAGCCCCGGTGCGAAGTACCGTTCCAGTGATGTCCTGCAGCACTTGGTGCCAATGTAGGGAAATTCTTGACAACGTATGACGTGTGCCACATTCCATTGTCGTAGTAAGATGTCGAAGTGGGCGCTACTTGTGCTGGAACCACAGTCTGTGTCTGCACCACAACAATTGTCGAAACTGCAGAGGTAGACAATGAGGACGAGTTTAACGTCGAACTTGTGGCTTGGGCACTGTCAGTCAGTGTGACTGTCACGTAGTCTGTAGTAAGTGCTCCGCCGGTCACCTCGTATACAATCGAGTTGATTGATACTGATGGTGTTGTTGTTGAGCTGCTGCTGCTGCTGCGTGTCGAGGACGCGGCGCTTGTGATTGTGCTGCTCTTGACGGTGTGAGATGCAGATGATCTTGAAGATGACACCGGTGCATCTGTCGAGGACAAATCGGCAGATGATGTAACCAATGAGGGTGCCGACGCGAGCGATGTGGTGCTTGTTGACGATGTTGATGTTGATGCTGACAGCGATGACGATGACGATGACGATGCTGCTGATGATGGCGATGTCTTTGGCGATGATGGCGCTGAAGAGGTTTCTGAAGCCTGTGCTGATGTCGAAGAAGCAGCAGAGGGAAGGTTGGCTGATGTGGAAACAGCACTTGGTGTCTCTGTGACGGTCTTGACAGAAACAGTGGTTGCTGTAGCCGACGAATCGGTCACTGTCTTGTATACAACCTCTGAGACGGTTGTAGGCGCCTCCGACTCGACAACAGTGGAGATTACTGTCGTTTGTGCTGCCTCGGTGCTCGTGGCTGCAGAACCACCGTCTACGTTGACCACTGCGTAGCTCACGGCAGGCCTGGGGAGGGCGTGGATGCCAGTGGCAAGGTACGCAAGAGCAAGTGCAACCGAACGCATTGTCGCTCTCTGGAAGATTATGGTAGGAGGTGTGGAAGGAGTGGGAGATGGAAAGTGGTGGTTTTTGAGGGTGATTTGATCGTGCAGGAGACGATGGAGAAGGAAGAGGCAGGTAAGAGATTCGAGTGTGAAAACTTAGCTTGAGGGCAGTGTATGAGTAAGTGGGTCTACATGCTAGCCTGCTGATGACTGCTTTTAATATCTTGGTTGGCACAAGGATGGCTGGTATATCGGTGGCTGGGAGGAGGTTGGGTGACCGTTGGAAACAAATGCCATGGAAACCGAACAACATTCCAATAGGCTTGGTTTTCAATATTTCATCAACGTTCTAACGTCCGGTATACGGCACTCTGAGTGATGGGATAGTATAGATGGTCAAGGTAGGTGACGTGAGATGTTGCATGTAGTTTGGGAAGTTTGTCTCTCAGGAACAACAGACTGTCGCCCAAACCTTGGCCGCCTAACGAGTACGGTAAGGACCCCACTTCAGAAAAGCCAAGGACTCAAGAATCATGGCACTGAACCTGTTTCGATGAAGCTTTGATCAGATACAAAAGGCCTCGATTTCTCTATATTTCAATTTGTACGTATCTCATGAGTTGCAGAGTGAATGCTCAATCTCTCTAGAAGGCACCTGAGATAATTGGCGTAGTTATCTCCGTCTGGGGTTCCCGCCCTTTAGCCCACTGAGGCTTCGAACCTTGCTAGCTCACTGCGGGTCGTTGTGTTTTTCGCTGTAGATTGTCTGGTTCGTTCGGCAATGGATGGCGTAGCAATTTGTTAAGTACCGTAGATTGATTTTTGCCTCCGCCATCAGTCGATTTCTACATCCTCTTGTTTGCAAGTAGATGAGTCGTTGCTTTCGATACTTTGCAACTTTTCGCAACACATTTGTATTTCGACCATCCACAAGCATTCATTGCGCTCCATAACCATGGCTTCTAACGATCCTGGCCTTGCACAATTGGGCGCAGAGGCCAACGAACCTATCAAAGGAGCAGTCCTTGAATCAGTTGACCTCGAAGAAGCCGAGTGTCCAGTAGCTCCTGACCAGCTAGACGAACGCTATGAAACTTCGCGCTGGGAGATTTGGTGACTTTCATCAATAACAATATGACTAGAGCAGGCTAACAATCCAAGGTCATGGTACTTGTACTATGTTGGAGGTATCTTTTTGCCACTAAGAAGAGTGATTGGACTCATGGACTAACAGAGACAAACAGCAAACGGATTGTCTCTCTTCAATTTTGGCCCCACTGCCTTCCAAAACTTGCTATATCAGCAAGCCGGAGACAGCGAGATCTTGCACTTTATGGGATTGGATCGCACTATCAACTCCATCGTTCTTCTCAGCAACGGAATATCATTCGCCATACAGGTTGTGTTGTTCTTGATCATAGGAGCTTACGCAGACTTTGGTACCCTTCGTTCCAAGATTTTGATCGTACTCTCTATCGTCGCCTACGCTATTGGTTTTGGATGGCTCGGTGTACACACAGCAGACAAGTGGCAGATCGGAACGGGCTTGTATATTGTTGGTTTGATCGCTTATCAGGCCACGCTTACATACTGGAGTGCTGCCTTTGCTGGCCTGGCCAGAAACACCAGGGAAATCCGAGAAAAGGCACAAGATTTCGCAGATGGTACCATTACCCGCGAAGAGTACAATCATGCAGACAGCATGAAAAGAAACGAGCTAAGCAATGTAAGTCAAAGCTGCAACAATCATTACAGGTTTTCTAAAAGCCTTGTCTCCTTGACGATACCATAGGAGATTCTCAAGACTGAGTCTACAGGAATGATATTTGCTCTACTGAGACCGAGTGTCATTATAGAGCATACTCCATGTTCACCGCACGTTGTGCTGACGATACTAGGTTGCTTTTTACGTACAATCCTGTGGTGAAATGATCATTCTTGTAAGAAACCTTCCATATTTCCTTGCTATCAGCTTATTAACCACAAAAAGGCCGTTATCGTTGGAATCATGTTCGCAATGCATGTAGATGATTCCACCGCAAACAATAACTACGGCTTGTCTGTCTTGATCGCCTTCAGCAGTGGCGTATGGCTGCTTCTCTCGCTACCGTGGTTCTTCATGGAGAAGAAACGACCCGGCATGCAAACTGAGGGGTCAATCTTGATAGCTGGCGTTTCTCAACTCTGGTACGCCGTCACACAGATCTGGCAACTTCGACAATCATTCTGTTACCTTATTGGATATTTCTTGCTAGGAGACTCATTGAACACAATTGTGACGGTCATTGGCACTCTACAAAACGCCGTAGTCACTTACAACACGCTTGAGTTGACATACCTTCTGCTCGTCGGTATTGCCGCTCAAGCTCTAGGAATCGGTGCATTTTGTAGGTCGGGCTGGATCTGTATCTGCTAGCATACTGCTGACTTTCTTAGGGTACATACAAAAGCGCTATGGACTGTCTACAAAGACCATGTTCAACGCTGTTGCGATCGGAATCATTTTGCTAGCCGCGTGGGGCATGATTGGCATCTACACGCAGGTACGTGCACTAATCCATATTTCGATTTGGTAAACTAACAGCGTGACAGAAACTTGGATACAAGGTCAAGATTGAGTTCTGGTTCTATGTGGGAGGCCCCTTTCGAGTTCGATGACAATCATGGCTGACGTCTTGACAGCAAGTCTTCTACGGCATCTTCGTTTGCCCTTGGTATGGCTTTCCATTTCAACCCACAAGAGAGACACGCTAACTGTGTCCCTATTACAGGTACTCTTATTCTCTGGTGATGATCTCGGAGGTTACTCCTCGAGGCAAAGAGTATCTATTCTTCTCTCTGTTCTCCATGGTCGGCAAAACATCAGCATTTATCGGGTAAGCATCTTGAAAGTATAGATATCATGACCATGGCAGGCACCAGAAGTCATTTTGGCCGCAAGACCTGGAGTTCTCTGATATCGTACTATTCTCCTCACAAAAATTAGCTAATCCTACCTCGTTAGTCCTCTGGTGTCGTCGGCAATCATCGATGCGAGTCCCTCACACAACAACAGTACACCCTTCTACTTCTTGCTTGCGCTCAGCTTGGTCAGTTTTTTGTTCATATTCTTCTTTGTTGACCTGAGCAAGAGCCAAGATGAGCAGGCAGAATTCTTGCGCAAGGAGAAAGAGGCTCGCGGCAAGGCTGTCTAGTGCGAGAGCCGGATACTTTTGTGCCTCTCGATGGACGTTGCGCTATCTGCAGAACGTACTGTACAGGACATGACTGGTAAAGAAAGACCGGGAAAGAAAACCTGGCCTGCATATACTGAAACCTGTGACTTCCACCGTTCTCCGACTATAGCTGAGAGTCAAACGTAGACTATGGAAAGGCACGATTGGCACAAGAAGCAGAGGCATGTCCACAGAAAGTCCACAATTTGTTGCCTCTCAGTGGATACCATCGTGTTTCCTATCACTATTATGCATTTCTATAGCTATACGCGTTACAAACTTCAGTACACAGGAAGGGGCCAAAGGGACAAGAAAGGGTTGATGATCATCTGAATATTTTGTACAAGGGCTGGTATCTAGAAGCCTGTTTTCTCGAAAGTATTGCCTATAATAGTATATCTGGTTCCTCAGAATTCGCGAACAATAAGACTGGCCATGCCCATTCCTGTTCCAACACACATGGATATTAGGCCAATTTCTTGACCTTGTCTCTCCATTTCAGGCAGAAGCGTGGCGAGCTGTCTAGCTCCAGTGGCACCAAGAGGGTGACCAAGGGCGATAGCACCACCCTTGGGGTTGACCTTGTCCTCGGAAATGCCAAGGGTTCGGATACAGTGAATGGCTTGACTGGCGAATGCTTCGTTGATCTCCCAGATGCCAACATCGGCTGTGGAGATACCAGTGTACTCAAGCAGCTTGGGGATGGCGATAGCAGGACCAATGCCCATCTCGTCGGGCTTGCAACCGACAACCTGAGTACCTGCCCACTTGCCAATGATGTTCTTCTCGAGACCAAGTTGGATGGCAGTGCTTCTTCTCATCATCAATGCGGCAGCTGCACCGTCAGACACTTGACTACTGTTTCCGGCTGTGGCAGCACCATCAGGCTTAAATGCAGGCTTCATTCCTGCAAGGCTTTCTGGGGTGCTCTTGGGTCTGATTCCATCGTCTTTGCTGACGATAATCTCCTCGGTAACCTCAGGAGTCTCCGGGTTGGGATGCGTTCTTGTCTTGACGGGAACGATCTCCTTGTCAAATAGTCCATCTCTTTGTGCCTTGGCTGCCTTCTGGTGTGAGTTGGCGGCAAATGCGTCCTGGTCCGCTCTTGAGACTCCATAACGCTCGGCCACATTCTCAGCGGTGAGACCCATGGACATAATACAGTCCTTGGCATCCTTGACGGATGTGTTCTTGAGTTCGTCCCAGAGTTGTGTGGGGATGGCTCGGCTACCGTAGTTTCTGGTCATGCTCTCCATACCACCACCAACACCTACGTCGATGCTGCCGACAGCGATGGAATGAGCAATACCAGTGATGGCCGCAAGACCACTTGAACATGCTCTGTTGACGGTTTGAAACGAGGAGGTCTCCGGGTATCCCACATGCAATGAGGCCATTCTGCCTGCCTTGCTGCCACCAAGTTCTGAGAGGACATTGCCTATTTGGATGTCCTGGATCTTCGCAGGGTCTAAGTTCGGGTTGGCTTCGAGGGTCGCCTTCAGGACGTGTGCGAGCAATTCATGATCGTAAGCATCCTTGAATCCTCCTTTCTTTGCACGAGTGACTGGGGTTCGTAGAGCTGACAGGATAACGACGTCGTTGGGCTGCTTGGACAGAATGTTCTTGACGCCTTTTTGAATGAAGCCGGCCATGGTGATTAGAGATGGGACAGATCAACCGTAAGCTGTGAGATCCCAGAGTGCACTCAGAGGGGAAGAATCAAGAAAAGATATCGCCATCTTCGTCACGATGGCGAAGGTAGATACTTGAGTCTGGGGCTCTTTGCGGGGAGAAGACGGATGTGTTCTTCGGCACTGGGTCGTCCTTCGGCAGTCTTCCACGGCCTGACCGTCTTCCCGCGCTAGCTGCCCGCCCGAAAGTCGTGGCAGAGCATTAGGTGTTCATGGATCCAGGTGATTGTATACCACATACTCTGATATTGAAAGACAATATCACCATCACTGGTCTGCGAGGACAGTATTGATTACTTGGCTGAACACTTGCAAGATATCGTCGCCGGCTCGGACTTGAAAAATCAGATTGAGTACTGCCCAGAACTTCGTGCAACTCGACGTCTCGATCCGTCCCGAGTATCGGCTATGGCACGGAAAGGGGCACAGCAGAGTCCGTGCTATATTTCGTGAAGAGCAAAAAAGAAATGGTCCCTTGATTCCACACTGACTGAGAGAAACGCGCTAGGTATATACAATCGACGGTGATTAACTGTCTGCAAATTAAACGCCGAAAGGGAATCAGTCCTCCCACTATAAAGCCACTCCATCTGCCGTTTAGATACCGAGAGAGAATTCGACACCGACGTCGATGTCACGGGCTGTAAAGAGTATGTTAGAGACTTGAAATTTGAGACGAACAATTGACAAAACTTACCCATCTTGACGACCTTTGAGAACTGGACGGCCTTCTCGGCAGCGTTCTGGAGGTCATCGATGCTGAAAATCTTCAAGCCACTCTCGTTGATGAGGTTGTGGGCGGCTTCCATGTTGGTACCCTGGAGACGGGCAATGATGGGGATTCTAAGGTTCATGGACTGAACGACCTGGATGAGACCTGTGGCAATAGCGTCGCAACGGACGATACCACCGAAAATGTTGACAAAGATGGCAGTGACCTTGGGGTCGCTAGTAATGAGCTCGAAGGCACTTCTGATGGCAGCGGGAGTGGCACCACCGCCAACGTCGAGGAAGTTGGCGGGTTGACCTCCGTTGAGCTTGATGATGTCCATGGTGGCCATGGCGAGACCAGCACCGTTGACGAGGCAGCCAATGTCACCGTCAAGCTTGATGAAGTTCAAGCCAGACTCGGCGGCCTTGACCTCGTCAGCGTCCTCCTGGGTGGTGTCGCGCCACTCGAAGACCTGCTTCTGTCTGAAGTCGGCGTTGTCGTCGAAGTTGAGCTTGGCGTCCATGCAGAGAACCTGGTGGTCCGAAGTCTCGGAAAGGGGGTTGATCTCGATCTGAGTAGCGTCCTTCTCCATGAAGACCTTGTAGAGCTTCTGGATGGTCAGGGCAGCGTCGTCGATGCATTGAGGAGAGAAGCCGAGCTGGGTAGCAATGCTCTTGGCCATCTCGTCGGTAACGCCCTGGTGAATGTCGACCTTTGTGGTGATGATGGCATCGGGGTTCTCCTTGGCGACGGCCTCAATGTCCATACCACCCTGGGAGGAAGCGACAATGACGGGGCCCTGGGTGGCTCTGTCCATGAGAACGGCGAGGTAGAACTCGCGGCGGGCGAACTTGCGCTCGACAATGTAGACCGAGTTACAGATGCGACCCTTCTCGCCAGTCTGCTTTGTGATGAGCTTGTGTCCGATCATCTCGTTGGCGAGGATTGAGGCCTCCTTGGGCGAGTAGACGACTCTGACACCGCCCTTGAAGCCGTTGTCGAAGTGACCCTTGCCTCTGCCTCCGGCAAGAACCTGGGCCTTGATGACCATGTCATCGCCAGCTGCGAGTAATCAGCACGGGGACGTGTGTTTGTGATTTTGGAAGGGCGCATACGGATGCCCTTGGCGACCTGCTCGGCCTCGGCAGCATTGTGAGCGACATCACCCTTGGGAACACCAATGCCGTAGGACTCGAGGAGCTTAGCGGAGCGGTACTCGTGGATGGAGAGGTTGCGTCTCTGCTGCATAACAGGCGCATTCTGTGTAAAGGGTTGTGTTAGTCGCGAAGGGGTCGTCGACGCTTGAGAGCGGTGGGAGAGCCAACCTTGACGGCCTGGAATGCAGAGGCGGCCTGCCTGCTGCGGGCGAGCTTGAACATGGTGGAGTTGTAGAGGGGAGAGGGTGATATGAGCTTTGGTGCAAACAAGGCTCAGCAAAGAGATACAACAACTTAACTCTACGAACTCGTCCCGACAATCTTCGCGCGTGCCAAGTCTCGACGCCGTGGCCGGTTAAAATCGGCTTCTCTTCCGCTTGTTGCTCTTCCGCCATGCGACTCGCGCCGACGCAACCATACTCCATATCTTATCCAAAAACCATCAACAATGCCCAAAGACAGTACACCCACAGAAGCCGATGTCATTTTCAATCGAGCAAATGTCGCGCTCGCTCGCAGCCAGCGCTTAGTCCAGTCATGGCTCCCCACCAAAACTGGCCAGGAGACGCTTCCCCAGAAGACCGACCAAGAGTTGCTGAAAGAAGATGAGGAATTATTCAAACCCACACCAGAGCTGTGAGCATCGTCGCTTCCTCTGCTATAGAAAGAGATGGACTGAGAGCGTCTAGCCTTGGAGTCGGTGCAACCGCCCCCGATGCAGATCAAGACTCGCTGCTCAAAAAAAGACCTGGCGCAAACTATGACAGACTACTAGAGCAGTTGCTAGGCAAGAAGGCCGCTAAAGGCCATCGAGCTACTTCCAAGCCTCAGCCTGCTCAGAAGACGCCTGCGCTGCAGAAGACCACTGCAGACCAAGTCGACGCTGATGACGACGACGACGATGAAGAAGGAAGAGCGACTATGGTTGCCTCTAATTCTAATAAGAAGAGAAAGGGTCCTGCTCAATCGTCCACGAATAAGACTGCCTCCACATCTCAGAAACAAGACAAGGCGGAAGTCTTGTCAGATGACGATGATGATCCAAGGCCAAGCAAGAAGAGATCTGGAACATATCTTGATCAGCTTCTTGCGGAAAAGGCTAGCAAAAAGAAGAGGAAGCAGCAGCAGCAGCAGCAGCAGAAGGGCTAGCAAATAGATTTGTGTGTTGAAAATAAGCAAATTATATGATCGTAGTCCGAACTCTCTAACTTCTACTTGAACGATTTATGGTCTACCAATTTGATGATTTCTGTCGACTGACCTAGACCGATGACATGTAAAATCTCAAGCGACAAGCATCATTCAGTCAGCAAAAGTATGCAGCGACTGTACACATTCATTCAAAATCAATACGACAGTTCTGTGTCCAATTCCTTGCCTGTTCGACATTCATAAGTCGTGGTCAGGGGTGGACCCTGAACTCCGCAACACCTGGCAGGAGCTGGACTGGAAGCTCCATCTGGCGCGACTGTTCCCCTGTCTGAACACTTGTAATTCACAACAATCGACAACATGGCCGTCCGTAACAAGTACTCGGTACTGCTACCAACCTACAATGAGCGCCGCAACCTTCCCATCATCGCCTGGTTGTTAAACAAGACCTTCACCGAAAAGTTGTACCCCCAGACACTCCCGGCGCAAACAACATGTGATGCTGATTGTGTACCGTAGCAACCTCGATTGGGAACTCATCATCATCGACGATGCTTCGCCCGATGGCACACAAGAGATTGCCCAACAACTCATCAAAGCCTACTCTCCGGAACGCATCAAGCTGAAGCCACGAGCTGGCAAGTTGGGTCTTGGTACTGCCTACGTCCACGGCCTGCAGTATGCCACTGGCAACTTTGTTATCATCATGGATGCCGACTTCAGTCACCACCCCAAGTTCATCCCCCGCATGATCAAGAAGCAAAGCGAGAACGGCGCCGACTACGACATTGTCACTGGAACTCGCTACGCTGGAGATGGTGGTGTCTACGGCTGGGACCTCAAGAGAAAGTTCGTCAGCAGAGGCGCCAACTTGTTCGCCGACACTCTGCTCAGACCAGGTGTCAGCGACTTGACTGGCTCCTTCAGACTCTACAAGAAATCCGTTCTGCAAGAGGTCATTCGCAAGACTGAGAGCAAGGGCTACAGCTTCCAGATGGAGATGATGGTCAGAGCAAAGGCAATGGGCTTCAAGGTTGCAGAGGTACCTATCAGCTTTGTCGACCGTCTGTACGGAGACTCAAAGATCGGTTCCAACGAGATCACGGCGTATGCCAAGAGCGTCCTATCGCTCTGGGTCAAGGTCTGAGTGGGCAGCAGAACGGCCTCATTGTTTTCTTCTGGCGTTTTGGGGCGCTTCGAGCTGTATGGACATGGGCATACTAAAATCCAGCTTCTTCCCTATCCTTTTCTCTGTCTCCTGTAAGGCTCAGACTTCATACTAATCACAATCAAAAGAGCTTGAAAGATCTGAATTGCTATTCATTTCGTAGGGTCTGCAGCAATGAGGTCTGTGGCAGACCTAAGATGCTTCCTCCCCGTGTACCAAAAGACGTAACGCGTGGAAATGCACAATACTATGAGAAAACAGGAAGATGTCCGCTGAGAAGTGACAACCTACCGGCTCTCAATGGACATGCCTCTCTTCCAAGAACATCTGTGCCTTTTTATAGTATCAATCTTGCTTGTTGATGCAGGCGGAGTTCCGTAGACGATACATGCTTTAGTATGCGGGGAGGTTTTAAATTGCTGATCTATTGCTCGTCATCCTCTCACACCTCGAATCCAGACAGCCGAACAGTTCAACAAGCTGAGAATGCTTATGCTCTCTCAATCATGTTGTCCTTCAACCAGGCTTCAAATGACCCGTCGTCGATACTCGCCGAGAACTGGATATAACGTGCCATTGCTGCGCTTCTTGGAAACGGGCTATGCACGACAATGGGTTCAACTGCAATATGGTCCAGTCCCTTCACAGCAAGCAGCTCTTCAATCCACTCCATTCCTTCTGTACCCCTGAGAATGTTGAAATCTTTCGGCTTAAAAGCAGGAACCAAGTCCCAACCATCTGGACCGGGTCTTCCTGCAACGATACCTAGCGATAACGACCTTAGACTAGGAAGTCTCGCACACCACCCCATAGCAATTGCCCATTCTGCTTTTGAATATTCTTTGTCGTACGGCAAGGCGCGTTTTACCAGACGTATCGATCGTATACAATTTCGTGCGAAAGGAGTCAGATCTCCTAGAAAGCCGACAAAGGCCTCGATGTGCATGTCGAAGTCGAAGACGTGGTTTGAGTACAAGACTTCGACTGCCTCGGCATAGATTCTAGCGTTGGCTCGTAGTAGGGATGTGTAAATACCCGAGTTGCTAACGCAGAAATAGGTTGTAGGCACGCAGCCAGGGCGCAGGCCGCCAGAGCGGACGAAGAAGGCACTGCGTACATGTTCAGGAGCACGCGATTTGTAGTTGACTGGATCTTCGGCACGGATGGATAGAGTGGCAGTGTTCGGCTCTACATGGCTCGCTGCGGTGTGATGGCCTTCGTGGTAGTCTATCGAGGTAGGAAGGAGAGCAGGCTTGGTGCTTGCAAAGGAATGCGGATCATGAAGGAGGACTTGCTTGTAGATGTCAAGCCTCAATTCAGGAGGTAATCTAAGGAACAAAGACTGTGGCTCAGAGACAGACATGGTGACAGAATTGGGTTATGGAACGGGGAACAGGTCGCTCAACAAAAAGGACGGAGGTTTGTTCAAGTACTGTCCGGGTACATTGTTAAACGTATCTTGAATCACGATGAGCAATGGACAATTCAGTAAAGACTGGCTGTGACCCCTTGCCGACGACGGAAAAAAAATTGAGAACCTTGATGATAAATATGATGCATCATCATCGCTGATTACCTCGGCCCGGCCCGTTGATGCATTGTGTATCACTCAGTCCGCGTGCTTTCTTCTTCATGACGAAATCAAGGTCACATCGTTGTCTCAGTTTCAAAGAAATTTGTGATAGATCAAGTTGTATCTCAACTGGATTGCTGTGCCTGCTTAGAGGGTAGTTTAGAGCTCTCACTCAATGCTTTTTGGTTCCCTCCATGCGAGTCATGGCACCCTTTTCAGGACCATCGAAAAGGGTACATTGACACGATAGCGCCGAGTCGTTGGGATGATAAGCCGACTAGCGGGCCAATTTATCGCGAGCCAGAGATACAATACGTTTGTGTAAAAGGTCTCTTGCAAGTGTGGCCAGACCAATGCAAGATCCTGCCGAGAGATGGGAAACGCATCCATCAAAAGCCACCATTGCCATCGTTTTTCTCCGAACACAGCTATGGTTAGAACAAGACCATGCTTCGTCATAGTCTCTCTATCTTGTGGCATAAGTGTAATGAGTGACAGATATCCACACAGAGGGACAGGTCTACAGTGCCATTTGTTGCTGGTGTTCAACTTTCTGAACCAAGGGTATCGTGCATTGCCTTCTCATCCAGTAATACGACCGGAATTGCCCTAAACGAGAGGTCGTTGCAGCTTGCATCTACCGTCAAGCCAGTCTATAACATCGACCATATCGTTGCAGACTGCGAGACCCGCTCTTTCTCTTTTCGTGGTTACACCACCCATCATTTCTGACAAATGGTGTACCACAAGTTCATGGCGCATTCCTCCCTGAACAGCATAGTGGATGAATTTGGATACAGCCTCGATTGGTGTCTTGTCGAAGCCTGCGAACAAGGCAGGATTCTCCAGCAAGCCTCGAGCGGCCATGACGCCGTCAACGCCAGTCTCCTTTGTGATGCGGTGGGCGTCTTCTAGTGAATACACATCTCCGTTTGCGAGGACGGGTAATGTAGTTTGCGCTCTCAACATTCTGATGGCTTCGAAGTTTGGTGGTGTTGATGAGCGCTGATTGCGTAAACGTCCATGGATTGTGATGTAGTCTACACCTGCTGCTTCGACAATCTTGATGAATCTGATCGTCTCGCTGTGAAACATGTCAGCAGATGATGATAAACCCACAGTCATGATCAATGATACTTCAAGTCTTGGTGAATTCGGATCTTGCATGACACGGTTTTACCAGGTCCGATCCTTTGCTTGGCCTCTTTTATTATAGCAGCGACCTTCTCTGGGTGTGCCATCATGCTGCAACCAATTCCCTCTTTCATCGCCCATGACTGCGGACATCCGCAGTTTAGGTCAACACCGTTGACCCAAGGACCAATCATCTCTGCAGCGCGTGCAAACTCCACCGGATCGCTCGAAGCGAATTGTGCGATGACTGGTCCCTCACTGTCGTGTGTACTGAAGTCAGAAGAACGTGCGACGGGATGACGAATGAATCTGTGTAATGGCATCAGTTTGCTTTTGTCCCGAAGATGTTCTACGCGGAGATGTGGTAGAAGACGAAGCAGACAACGAAAAAGGTCTGAACTGAGGCAATGATAGTACCTACTCATGTGCAAGAATCATGGGTGTATAAGTAAGGTCAACCTTGTAATCTTGGACCAGTAGTCTGAACGGTAATTTGCTGTATCTTTGTAGAGCGACAAGATGTCAGTAAGATGACAGGTTTCTATCTCTGTTCATTTCTTACCGGACCATGGGACCAGAGACATATAAAGGTCTACCTTCAGCCTTTGTTTTCTCGAATAGACTGAGAGGACTAGGCACCATGCGGTCAGTCATAGAGTCGACAACCGGGACGACTTGATCAGGCTCACTGTATGTCTCGAGGCGAATTCATTTTACCGACTGTCATGTTTGCTTTGCTTGATGTCTCGTGAATACAGATGCACAATTTATAGTATGCAGATGGACGAAAAAACATGTGAAGCCGATCTTATCAATCTGATGTTGCAATCAAGCATTAGACCCACGACGTTCCAAACCCTAAGACGACGGTAGTCAACGATTCCCTACTCGAGTAGCTACTACATAGCGATTTTTGCTGCATTGAATGGAAGAGTGCGAGATGTATGTGAACTAAGTTTTCGAATGTAGAATAAGGGTATCAATTCGTTATTGGTCTGTGGGAATCTAGAATACAAAATCCTCTGTACGCGAGGCCTCACTTCCGGGTCTTTTGCGACCTCTGCAAACCCATAACGCCGCGCTGAATGCATGTTCAATAAATCATGATAGGGTAGAAGACAATTAGCCTTCAACCTCGCCCTCCTCACTACCGTGACTCTCGACGGTGCGAGAGGCGGCTTCGTGGCGAGGAACAGAAGTAGGGGCAGTAGCAGAATCGGAAGTACGTCTCTTCTTGGCAGCTCTATCGTCATGCGGCGGGTCAAGATGATGGATTTTGCTCCCATTGCTCGTGGTAGTATCTTGGTGTAGTATTGGGGCGGAGGGACTGGTAATAGCCTGTTTATTACTCAGCCTTGTGGCATCCCAGTCCGAATCTTGGCCATCGAGACGTACATAAATAGTTTGAGCGCCTTCATGACCAGGTTTGATGGGAACATGTTCGTAGTTGGCAGCCATGTAATTGCAAGCTTTCAGAATATCCTCAAGTGAGACGTGCTGAACGTGCCACCACGGACGGCCGTCAGGAGAATCTGGGAAGGCGACATTACAATAGCGGGCAGCTGAATACAGAGCAGCAGCAGCAATTGTATGGCTTGAGCAGAGCAGACAAAGTTGAGTGATGTTGCTATCGGTGACAAAGGCCCAGGCAGCGTTGCGCAGTTGCTTATTGTGATGGACTTGATAGTACTTGAGCATCTCGTAGAGCTGTTTGTGAGGAGCTTCGATTGTGAGATCGAAGCACAACATCTCGAGCAAGACATCTTCGTTCAGCAGGATAGTATCGCGCCATTTCCAGAAGTCTTTACTTTGCTCGTCGATCAACAAGTTTGGGTTTTTCTGAGCAACACGGCAACAGGCAACAACCAGGTCCTTCATCTTGCGGCATGACTCTTCAACTTTAGTGGCCAGAAATAGAGCGGTAGCACCGAGTGTGTAGTGGTGCAGTGCTTTTTGGCCGGGACGATCAACGAGACTGACGCGCATGAGGAAGCGGTTGAAGAAGATGGCAGCGGTTGACAGAGTGAGTTCGGGCAGCTTGAGCATGATGCCGACTTGACGGATAAAGTTGATACCCTTTGCGCGTATCTCCTTTTCCTTCTCAGGCGACATACCATCCTGAACTGATGGCGTGTGTAATAATTCTTGTTCAGTAAAGAGCCATTGCGCTTCGGCCTCAGCGAGTACACGATCCGGCGACTTTGGGCGCTGGCGGGCGGCGGGCTGGTGAGGGGGAAGGTGATCGGCAGACGACGCAGACGGCGGCATTGGGACGAGGCGAAGGACGATTGGTTGGCCTCGAGATGTGTAGAAGACTGGTGAGACTTTGGTAGATAGGTCAAGTTCGCAGCTTGCGACGGCGTCTTCTGTTGCGCTGCGGACATGGCAAACTTGACTTCCATTCTCCATTCCAAGCGCGCGTCACTGCGGGCCGCTCCGCGTTAGCGCGCGTTGCTTGTCGACGTTCTCAACGCGGTCCAGCCCTTGTTGCCCTCGTTGCCCTTCTTTCTTGTTCTGCCCCCGCAGTCACAATCATCTGCCTCGATTGTTCTTTTTCCTTTCCTGTCCTCACTCCACTCTATCAACCAAATACACATCCGCAATCATGCCTTCAGGAATGGGCAGTAAGTATCTGTGTGCTGCCACTGTTCTTCTATAGCTAACTTGCTCCCAGACGGCACCAAGCCGATTCACAGTGCGTACTGTCCTTGCCTCTCGCTCACCACCCATGTTCCTTAAACGTTCTAACCATACGCCTACATCAGACAAGAAGCCCAAGAAGGCTGCTAAGGAGGAGGACGAGGATGACATCGCATTCAAGGCAAAGCAGGCTGCTGGTTCGTGCATCGCAGCTTCTACACACATACCCGACTCGTCATTTCTGACTTCTTCCTGCAGACAAGAAGGCTCGCGAGGAGATGGCCAAGAAGGCTGGTGGCAAGGGTCCCCTCAACACTGGTGGCCAGGGCATCAAGAAGAGCGGAAAGAAATAAGCTCACGACTCACATCATTCTCTGGCGTTCGAAGGCTCGACACATACCCCTTTGTTTTCCTTAAAATCGAGCAATAACGACTATTTTCACCTGTGTTTCAACTTTTCGACACGATTCTCCGTCTACCCTTTCTGGTCACCTCTGGGAAGCCTGCACTCATTGCATTTTTTGTTAGAAGGATTGTATACACGGTCTTTTGATGATACATGCTTTTTTCAGTCTGTAACACGACGGAGCCACAATCCTGTGCTTCCATCTGCCTCTTCGGCTTTTGCCCTGGCCCGGCTCAGCAATCTTCCAACCTCGAATAGTTCCCTCTGCACTTCGTCCTGCCTGACACGCACTTCGCTCATTTTCTTTCGGTTCTCGCGTCGCATTCTTTCTGACACTTCAATCGGACTGGCCGAATCTACTTTCTCGAGGTCCTTGAACAGTTTCTGCATGTTCGTCTTCTGCACTTCTAGTGACTCCAGCCGGAACATCAGTTCCTCAACATGATTCATTGCCTGTCTTGTCTTGGGTGGTTGGGGGAGTAATTTGTGAGATGTTGCTTGTTGCACGTCTTGGACGTCGCTCATGCTGTCGTGTCTTTTCGGTTGCACTGATTCTCTTCCAGGCACGGGGCGTCGTCGTGACATGATCGAGGTAGGGTATGTGGGTGTCGGACTACAGGGTGGTGTGTCTTGCTGATATGTCGCGTCTGTATTCGTTGTCGTCCAACTAAAGCGGCTGTCTGGCTCCCCTGCGAGGTTCGTGTTGTCGATGTATGATGAGGTCGGCGAAACACTCCGCTCTGTCTCTGCGTAAGTCGTCCAACTGAAGTGACTCCTAGAAGGGTCGACTCGTGACTGCGTGACGGTTTTTGTCGAGTCGTTGCTATCGATCGAGTACCTCGCTAAGTCGTCGTGTTCTTCCAGACTCTGCTGCTGATATGTATTTGATGGAAGGCCAGTGAGGGACGAGGCGTCTGTTGTCGGATAGATAGGTGGCAGCTGCGGCAAAGGAACCTTTTTGACAATGTTCAAGGGTGGTATTGATTCCGTCGTCTCTGGTTCATCGTATATGCTTGATGAGACTGAACCACGCACGTTCCGTGTCTTGGAGCGAGCTGAGACCAGCGAACTCGTGCTGATGCTGGCGCGAACCCTCGACCCATCACGATACAGACCCGAGGCGTCCTTTACTGCAGTATATTGACTCGGTAATGATGGTCGTCTCCAGTCGTCTTTGGATCCAGCTGAGGCAGAACGACCTCCGAATGCTTGACGACCAAATTTGGCTGCTTTCTCGACCAATGTTGATTTCTTCGGCTTGCCACCTGTGATGGAGACTTCTGTACCATATCTCGAGTCATAGGGTCTGTCAAAGGCGCTTTCTGGTCTGCTTGGGACCTGATCATCGGACCGTGCTGTGGACTTCATTGTGGGCAGATAGAATTGAAAGAACTACCCCGAGTCAGTAAACGATCACCCAATTTATCTTCGTCGATAATGTGCTATTTTATAGATTCGATCCGGCGTGCCGAGTACGTCACGCGAGCAAACAGAGCAATTCACAATTATTCGAGCCATAGTCATACTGGTCGTACTCCTGCTCGAAGAAGGGGCAGGATTTGACTCTGTTACGAGGTGCAAAAGGACTCACTTATTGTAGGTAAAGAAGAGAAGATTGAAGCTGAAGCGGATAAGCCAGCCGTCTGTAGCAAGAAGAGTGTGAGAGAAAAAAAGCGTGGGTGATTAACAAGGCATGTAAACAGCAACAGCCACAACAAAACAAAGAGCTAAATCAAGAACAAGAAGAAGAACGCGCAAGCAAGTTTTGAACGACGATAGGACTGGAAAGCTTGATAAATGGTTTTTCCAAAAACATCCGACAACCGCCATGGACTACTCATGTCATGCAGGAGCTTCGTGTTTCATCTCGCGGCGTGTTTCAGCTTTAACTAGATCTCGCAGATGAACAGGACGTCGTTGACTTCCAAATCGACTCTTTGCATGTTTGGAGCCAGTGTAACATGATGCGAAATCGTAACTGTCAAAGACCCTGCCCGAGTGTGATGATCATTAGCAGATGCGGCAGAACCGCCTCTAGACCCTCTCAAGACTCGACAGAAGCTCAAGCGCTTGTGACTACCTATAAGGAAATTGCAGTGCGCTGCATCCTGCAGACCCAGGTGAGCGGGTTCAAACCGAGCTATTGTTCACAATATATCGATGTTGACCATAGCTCTGTAAAGTCGTGAGCTCATGAGGGAGGTCGCCTACACTCTTGGGGATAAGAGCTCATTCAGATGATGCGATCTACAAAGGCAATCAGGAACTCGGCTTTGTAAAACAAAACTATATCTATGACCAGCAGCAGTAACAATAGCGGAACCAATATGCGATTTCTGCCTGGTTGTGCTGGGATGATGCGAGAAGGCCGAGCAGGAAGATCGGCAGAGGCGGAAGTGGTCCGCCGCAAGCTCTCTCCACACCATCACGCATCTGTCAGCCAAAGCTTCCCAGTGACGCTCTTTCTCTCATCTTTCCACAACGGTCTTTGTCCGTGAACTACTCAAAAGTATTCAAGTGATAGACAAGACAAGCAACATGGCCGACGGTAAGCAATGTTAAACAATGACTCGCACATGGCTCTAACATTATACAGCAGTGTCACCACCTCCCGCAACTGAAGTGTATGTTTCTCACCCAGGTCCGATCAACAAATACTGAGAACAGATCAGTGCGACAATCGCAACACCTATCAACCTCATACTCATCTCACTTTTTATGGTTCTGCTCTATTATCGCCTTACACCAAAGACAGCAGCAACTCTACCAACTCCACCAGCACCAACAGTTTTCAAGACCTTCACACCACCCGAGCTCGAGCCCTACAATGGCCGTAACAACATGCCCGTCTATCTTGCAGTTCGCGGCAGAGTCTTTGACGTGACATCTGGACGCAACTTCTACGGTCCAGGAGGTCCTTATGCCAACTTTGCTGGACGTGATGCAAGCAGAGGCCTCGCTTGTGGTAGCTTTGACGAAGACATGCTGACCAAGGATCTGAACGGACCACTGGACACTCTGTCAGACCTGGGCGACGAAGAAATGGAAGCTTTGAGAGGATGGGAAGAGAGATTCTCCGAGAAGTATCTGGTTGTTGGCAAACTTGTTCCCGTAGGAAGCAAGGAAGCACAGGAGGCTACTGAGGCCGAAAAGATGTGATTGACCGAGGCATTTCATACTTGATGTGTGATAATAATGACATTGCGCGGAGGCACAGAGATCTATGATATCTAGAACATAACTCCAAACCACTCGCGTGATTGCATCATGCATATGTGATCCGAAGACACGACTGTGTAGAAGACGTTTCGTTTGTTTCAATCATTTAGCAAAAATGAAACAGATGGGATTCAAGTAGTAGTACTCGTACTCGTAGGCTCTTGCGGACAACGGAGGTGGATTGCCAAGCATTTCGAGACCAGCAACATTTGGGGACGAGCAGATGCGACCACAAAAACATAGCTAGGTTATTCAGACACCACACCATCGACCATGTCTCTGACCATGCGACCTACCCTTCTACCGCAATGCACATCATGCCTACGACGCATCAGCAGCCTGGGCCTACAAGAATGGCGTAGCGGACACCAAGTTCGCGGCAAGAAAAAGATGGCACACGCTCCTACCACCGTCACAGTTCGACTCACCAAGGATGTGCCGACTTTTGGTCGCAAGGGCACCTACGTTCCCATTTCCATTGGCCGTATGCGCAACGAATTCTTCCCGACAAGGACAGCCGAATATGTGACACCTGCGCAATTGAAGGAGATGAAGGCAAAGAACATCACGGCCGAACGAGACTTCCAATTCGGCGTGCCCGATCCGGCTGCGGTCAAGGCCATTGAGCAGCAATCGCAGCGCTCAGCCACACGCACTGTTGAAGTTGAAAAGTTAGCGGTAAGTCTTGCTAGTACATCAAATGATCTCGAGCGTTGTACTGACGAAGCCCGCAACAGCCCAAGCGCTCAATCGAACTTCTTTCCATGCTTCTTCCTCCAGTCATGGACTTCCGACGCAGGCCTCAGGAACCTGTTGCTCCTGTCCCCGAAACACCAGCCGCCCCTGTCAAGAAGGAACGAGGCTTCTCTAGCGCCGCTGCAGACCTCCTCGCAGCACAAGCTGCTCCCACTACATCTTCTTCCAGCTCTGCAACACCAATCTTCGGTACTGTCTCCAATGCCGACGTGGTCAGCAGAATCACCCATCTTCTTTCCGAGAACCAAGAAGCCTCGCGAATCGTCCTGAGTGCAGAAGATGTTAAGTTTGTCAACCTCTCAACGCAAACAACTGCCGAGGCCGACAAGATCAGACACCTGGGAGAATACAAGGTCGAGGTTAGAGTAAAAGGAGGAGAAACACCCGTCGAGAGACTCGTCCGCGTAGTACCCATCGAGACTGAGAGTGCCACTCTTCAGTCCAGCAGCTCTTAAGCCTCTGGAACGTGCGACATGTTCATAAATTCAAGGTTCTGGTTCATCGAAGACGATCTTGAGACTCGCAATTGTATGAATATACAGGTAGCGCAATTGTTCATTTCTGAAACTTAAATTCCTACTAATGCACTAAGTACTGTTACATACTGGCAGCAATAAACATCCGCCGAAACCAGCCTGCTTCAAGCAGCTTTATTCAATTGTCTGCTTCGACCTAAGCTGCATCTAAGAGCTTACCAACCAATCCACAATGCGTGCCGCCCTTGTTCTTATGATGCTTGGTGTTGGACTTGTTGATTTGTGGCGGTGATCGGTTGATCAAATCGATGTAGATCTTGTGCATGAGTGAGTAATAGCTTCTCCAAGAACGAAAGTACGAAACAATCGTTTTCGTTATAAAGATAAGGAGAAGAGGGTAATCACCAGTAAGGTCTACGGTCATAACCAGCGTCGTAGCCACGCTCGCGTCTCGGGGGAGGGCTGGGAGGACGGCCGTAGGGCTCTCTAGGCTCCCTGGGCTCTCTTGGCTCTCTGCCATGGCCGTTGGCGTAAGGGTCGGCCTCGTAACGGCGTGCCGGAGGAGGTGCACCATAGCCATCATCAGCAGGATAGGCGCGGCTTCTGGGCGGTGGGTAGTCGTCAACTGGAGGGCCGCGAGCGCGGGGTGGGGGAGAGCGAGCGTAGGGATCCCTACGGTCGTCATAGTAGCGAGGTGGAGGACTTCTACGGCGGTAGCCGTCGTCACGACGAGGACTGTAACCACCAGCGCCACGGGGAGGACCTCTACGGTCGTAGTAGTCATCCATTGGAGGTGCGCCGTAGCCACCGCCGCCACGACGGTGGGGAGGCGAGCGTGAGCGGTAACGGTGGTCGCGAGGAGGCGGGGGTGGCATACGAGGAATCTCGGACTGAGTCTGCATGGCGGTGTGAGAGGATCATCGACCAGTCGCAATATAAGGACTTACATCAGAAATGCAGCGGACAGTGGCTCCCTTGAACTCCTGTCCGTCTAGTTTCTCCACGGCAGAGACCAAGTCGGCAGCGGTCTCGTATTCGACAAAACTAGTTCATGCGATCAGGACGAGGCTCGATGTTGGCCATAGCAAGGATACTCACCCTTTTCCGTTACCGCTGCCATCGCGGTCACGTCCAACTTCAGAGTAGACAACGTCAAGGCCAGGCTGGCGAGCAAAGTCCTTGAGATCCTATAAGGGCCAATGTGAGTCCAGATCCAAGGGCTGAGTGAGAACGTCCAAAGCAAGAAGCAAGATGATCCAACACCAGTAAAATCAAGGCGCGACGCGGGCGACGCAAGACAAAAGACAAAAGGAAGAAGAAACGGCCGGGCAAAAGAAATTGTGCATCGAAGGGAGATTGCTAACCTGCCAGCTGGTTTCGAAAGGAAGGCCAGAGATGGACATGCGGTGGACAGTACGGCGCGGACGAGGAGGGGCGCGCTGCTCAGAGTGACCGTACTCGCGAGGACGAGTAGATCCACGAGCGAACTGAACGACGAGGCGCTCGCCCATAAAGTCGGAACCGTCTACGGGGGAGTTAGTATGAGGACAGGCGAGTGGGGTTGGAGATGTCGCCGAAGCTGGTTGGACGTACGGAAGGCTACCCAGAGGGCGAGTTAGCGGAGACAAAGCAGGAGTGAGCGGATGCGTACAAGAGACGAGAGACTCACCAGGAACGACGTCGCGGGCGTCCATGGCGTCCTTGTACTCGAGGAAGCCGAAGCCGTTCATGAGCTTGATCTCGGTGATCTCACCAGTTCCATGGCTGGCAAAGTGGTTCTCGACATCGGCCTTGGTGGCTAGAGCACGAATCCGATTAGCGGGGTGCCATCATCCAGGGCGGGCTTGCGCAGAGGGTTCAGAGGAGTCCAGGCGGTTTCCAGATCCTCAATGCTCAGGCCAGCTACACGAGCAGAAGCGTACCATTGCGCGGGAGATTTCCCAGATAGAGTCGGGTCGAAGACACGTCGCCCATGATGACTAAGATGAATTAAGAAAGACGATGGAACCAGATCCGTAACAAGGGAGCCGGGTGATGGCGCTGACTTGTTGAGCAAGATACAGGACCTTGGACGAAGCGTTTGAAGGCAGCGACGCTGCGTCGACGACGTTCACGAGGGACAGACTCAGAGAGTGCTTGGCGCAAGTGCGGGTGGCGGCGTTGGCGTCCCCAGCCAATCACATGCGCCGAGGTCATCAGCGACGGCTTTTTGGGTGCGTGCTCATCGTCGACGGGAAGTTGTAGACCGAGAGCATCAAATCCACTCAGCCGAGGCTCTCCTCAAGACCGCTGCACCCGACGACAAGGCTCACTTTATAACGCCTGCCTCTCTGCACCCCTGGTGCACTCGCCCTTCGCGTCGCCAACCATGCCGTCTGTCAGCAATCTCCCCTCCGCCACCACTCTTGGCCGAGCATTGGTCCAGGATGCTCGTCTGTTCCGACCCTCGACCCTGCGTCCCATAACTGCCACTTCCTTCGCCCCTCTGCGAAACAACTCAATAGCCTCTCGTCGTCCCGCTGTCTTCCGTGCAGGACAGCGTCGTCCTTTCTCGCTCACATCACGTACACGTCTTGCCACGCCAGATGACTCATTTAACCCTGCCGACATCGAGAGAGAAAGTGACCAGGTCGATGTTTGCATTGTTGGAGGTGGCCCTGCTGGCCTCAGCGCTGCCATTCGCCTGAAGCAACTCGCCAATGAAGCTGGCAACGAAGATTTCCGTGTCTTGCTGCTGGAAAAGGCTGGCGAACTGGGTGATCATATTGTCTCTGGAAATGTCGTCGAACCCTCGGCCCTGGACGAGCTGCTTCCTGACTGGAACTCTCCGGACAACCCCAACCGCTACGAGCACATCACACCCGCTACCAAAGACCGCATGCGTTTCCTCACAAAGTCGTACTCAATACCTATCCCTGCCCCACCTCAAATGAACAACCATGGCAACTACATCATTTCTCTGAACCAGTTCACCAAATGGCTAGGAGAAAGAGCAGAAGAGATTGGTGTCGAAATCTACCCTGGTTTCGCTGCCTCTGAGGTGCTTTACAACTCCGACGGTTCAGTAAAAGGTGTCGCCACAAACGACTTGGGCGTTGGTCGCAACGGCAAGCCTAAGGATTCTTTTGAGCGTGGCATGGAGTTCCACGCTCGAGTGACCCTGCTTGGCGAGGGCTGCCATGGAAGCTTGACCAAACAAGTCACAAAGAAATTTGATCTGAGGAGGGACAGCCAACCTCAGACATACGGTCTTGGTATCAAGGAAGTCTGGGAGATCGATCCTGAAAGGTTCGAAAAGGGTTTGGTCGTCCACTCCATGGGCTACCCGCTACCTGCTGATACATATGGTGGTGGCTGGATGTACCACTTCGGCGAAAATCTAGTCAGTATCGGCCTGGTTGTTGGCCTCGACTACCCTAACCCCTGGTTGGCACCCTACGGCGAGTTCCAGAAGATGAAGCATCACCCTATGTACAGTAAATATCTGGAAGGCGGCAAGTGCATCTCCTACGGTGCTCGCACACTTAATGAGGGTGGCTTCCAGTCCATTCCGAAGTGCGCATTCCCGGGTGGAGCTCTGATTGGTGACACTGCTGGTTTCCTTAACGTACCCAAGATCAAGGGCACTCACACCGCCATGCGTTCAGGCATGCTTGCTGCAGAGGCTGCCTTCTCTGCTCTGCGTGAATCAGACGATTCGAGTCCTGTATTCTTGTACGATTATGAAGACAAGCTACGCTCTTCGACCATTTGGAAAGAGTTGAAGGAGGTTCGCAACATGCGACCTTCTTTCCACTCACCGCTGAAGCTCTATGGAGGTATCATGTATTCCGGTCTCGAAGCATATCTCTTCAAGGGTAGAGTGCCATGGACCATCAAGCATGCTGGTACCGACCATGGAGCTACTAAGCTAGCTGCGGACTGCCCAAAGATTGAATACCCCAAGCCAGATGGCAAGATCAGCTTCGACATCTTGACCAGTGTCAGCAGGACCGGCACAAACCACGAAGAGGACCAACCATGTCACTTGCACGTGGAAGACTGGGATAAGCACGCTGAGCTTGAATATCCCAAGTACCAAGGTGTTGAAAACAGATTCTGTCCTGCCGGTGTGTATGAATACATTGAGGATGACAGCAAGCCGCTCGGTGTGAGATTCCAGATCAACTCCCAGAAGTAAGTTCAATCTTGATCAATGCTCCAACTAGAGTCCTGCTAATTCAGTACTTAGCTGTGTGCACTGCAAGACCTGTGATATCAAGGTTCCGGACCAGGATATCACCTGGAGAACTCCTCAGGTAAGTCTCATTGTGCAGGGTACTAGTCCATTTGCTAATTTGATTGAACAGGGTGGCGAAGGTCCCAAATACGTTATGACTTGATCGAGTGCATACACATCTACTTCAGCTTCTTGTACACAATTACATCCTCTTGTATTTCTACAGCATGTGTCGAATCTCACCCAGCCTTGAGCTTAGTCTTACAACTGGATGCTTTGCCAGCGAGCCCGGCTACTTGAAACAAATCAACAGATCTGCAACCTCGGGAAATTCAACATGCGCTTGACCTCGAGTATCGCGACAATGATGTCTTGAGATGATTGCTTTTATTCTTTTAAACTCTGCGCTTTCGTAATAGATGAGCTCGTCCGGGATCCTACGGGACACGACGAACATTGATCCCAGAGCAGCTTGGCGTCGATCTTACACGTCCAAATTTGAACATCCCCAGACTAGTGCACAGAGCTCCCCCAAAGTGTTATTCCCGACCATCGATACATTTGCGATTTGGCTCGCTCACACGCAGAAAGAATCGCGTGTACTCTACAGAGCGTCGTCTTCATCTCTCATTAACATTCGAGCCAACAGCCACTTGTCGAAATAGATGGACCTACGCTGAAACTACTGTTTGGCAACTTTGTCAGCTTGGGTACTTGAAGACTTCGTGCGGAGAAAGCTCAAAAACAAAAGTCATCCCAGCATCCTTGTGGAGAAGATGATTGGTTTCACATAAACGACACAGCTCCAAGGAAAAGAAAACGTGCAATCATATCGGTATCAACAATAAGTAACTCTTTCGTGGGAACGTCTCTCCATCTCGCCGGTCTCTGGTAGGACCAGCTACCTATTGCCACAAGCCAAACAAACTTTTTGTGTGTTCGCCGATGCGCCTTTGCCTTCCGTCACCAGGACGTGAAAATTCAAATCGTATTCGATCGACTACTGGTCGTCGGGCTGGTTCGACTCGTTTATGAGGACTCCTGAGGCCTGCGGTGCATGTTAGTTTGGAGTCGTCCGAAGGTGAATTAATGCAACTTACCAGACATCGTAACCGAAAGTATCCTTCATGTTGACGAAACGAGTGTGGCGACCCTCGGCAACTTTGTTGACGGCCTCGAAGTCGGCGTCGGTAAGCTCGATGCTCTTGAAGTTGCTGTCGATTCTTGAGGGAGTGGAGCTCTTGGGAAGCACGACATAGCCTCTCCTGAGACCCCATGCAATGAGGACCTGAGCAAGAGTGTTGCCGCCCTTCTCGGCGATCTCGTTCAGAACGGGGTTGGTGTTGACCTTCTCACCAGTGGTAGGAACCTGGTTTTGCGAACCGAGAGGCGAGTAGGCGGCGGGCATGATATCCTGCGAGAAGCAGTAGTCGACCAACTCGGTGTTGGGCAAGAAGGGGTGAATCTCAATCTGGTTGACAGCAGGCTTGACCTTGGCGAAAGTCATGAGCTGCTTGATACCGTCGATGGTCCAGTTGGAGACACCAATGGCCTTGGCCTTGCCAGATGAGTAAATCTCCTCCATTGCTCTCCAGGTGGGCTCGGGGTTCTTGGTCAACTCCTCCTTGATAACGTATTGACCCTTCTCGTTCAACTTGGGCATGTTCTTGTCATCCTTCTCAGCGGCAATGGGCCAGTGGACAAGGAACAAGTCAATGTAGTCCAGGCCGAGGTTGTCGAGCGAGTTCTGGAAAGACCACTTGACCTCCTCGGGCTCGTGAAGGTGGTTCCACACCTTTGTGCAAACGAAGATGTCCTCACGCTTCACGCTTGAGTTCTCCTTGAGGAAGTCGCGAACAGCGGCACCAACCTCGTCCTCGTTCTGGTAGAACCAGGCGCAGTCAAGGTGTCTGTAGCCAGTCTTCAGTGCGTGCAGAGCAGCCTTGTAGGACTCGCCCTTAGAGCCCTCGTTGGCGAAGGTACCGAAGCCGACGGCTATAGCTCGTGGTTAGAAATTGAAGCTTGGTTCGCAAGAATTCGAGCAGAACTTACCAGGGATCTTGACGCCGTTGTTCAGAGTGCGAGTGATTCCGGCAGACATGATGATGTTTGAATTGGTGAATATTACTTTAGGTATGAGATTTGACAAGATGTAAGATATGCAAAAGATGAAAAAAGATCTCACTCAAACTCCGGCCATGAGGTATTATTTACTGGCCATGTGTCCCACCGATGTCCTGCCACGACCTCGCTCCGAGCAAAGACAAGAACAACGTCATACAACAAATTTCCAAAGCGGTCAGGGGACTCCAAACAGTTGTTGGGGAGCTCAGTATCCACCACGGTGCTCACCGTGCACCAATTTCTGGAAATATGCAAGGGCGCTGACGTCGACGCCGAGCCAGTCTCGGATGGTCAACAAAACCCTAAACCTTAAACCGCCTCACAACAACCGTTTCGGCATCAACGCCTTCAAGCCAAAGGGCGCTTTTGCCTCAGAAAGAGGCGTTTTCGGCTGCAGCAGGAGTTTTGTTGCCTCGTGGCTCGGCACAAGGGTCCTCTTGTAGCTTGTTCCAACCTTCGTCATTGCTGAATGGTTCCGAGTCGAAAAATTTCGAAACATTTTTGTTGACACCGGCGATGATGCCACTGGTGGATACCCCCTTGTCAGAGCATTCTCGTTGCTGTACGGGCTCTGATTCAGCGTTAATTTGGCCCCGATCCACGAATATACATAAGCAAACCCAACGACCCCCCCAGTGACGCAGAATATACGATCACTCCTCCCTCCTCTTGCTAACTTAGCATAACTATCCATCCTCCTCTTGTCTCTCTTCCCTCTCCTCTACAACTTTTGAATCCTCTCTGCCTCTTCATACCATCTCATACATCCTACATCATGCCTGCTTTCGAAGACTCCGATCTTAACGTTGAGGCTCAGCCTGCCCAGCAGCAAAGAACAAACAGTCAGGCAGTCGGTTCCAGCTATGGCGGCAGCTTGCCAGTTCCCGGTATGGAGCCTGGCACCGACAGATCAGTCGAGGTTCCTGCCACCCGTAGCAGCATTGCAGACCCTTCTCCTTTCATGCACCAGCTCTCCCTCTCTCCTTCAATGAAGGACCGCAGAGGATCTCGCAACTCCTTCGGTGCATCTCTCCCTATTCCTCGCTCGAAGAGACAGTCCCGTCTCTCATCGGTCCACTACCCTGATGCCAAGTCTGGTCGTCCTGGCATGCCCCCAATCCAGCCTACTCGCGAGATTCTGGCATCCCAAATTCAGGACCTCTCCAGCGAGAAGGTCAAGGCTGCCAAGAACATGGCTTTCGCTTTCGACATTGACGGTGTCCTCGTTCACGGTGACCGCCTGATCCCTGAGGGCAAGCGTGCTCTTGAAATCCTTAACGGTGACAACGAGCTCGGCATCAAGATTCCTCACATCTTCCTTACCAACGGTTCCGGTAAGCGTGAGATCCCTCGTTGCGAGCAGCTTTCCAAGATTCTCGGCAACCCCGTTGCTGTCGACCAGTTCATCCAGTCTCACACTCCCATGAGAGCTCTTTCCGAGTACTACAACACTGTCCTCGTTGTCGGTGGTGAGGGCTACAAGTGCCGTGAGGTCGCTGAGGAGTATGGCTTCAAGGACATCGTTGTCCCCAACGACATCATCGCCTGGGACCCTACCATTGCTCCTTTCCGTGTCTTCACCGATGAGGAGCGTGCTACCTCCCGCCCTCGCGACTTCTCCAAGATTAACATCGACGCCATCATGGTCTTCTCCGACTCTCGCGACTACGCTACCGACATGCAGATCATTGTCGACCTGTTGAAGTCTGAGAACGGTCGCTTCGGTACCGTCGCCAAGGACCCCGTCAGCCAGCGTATTCCCATCTACTTCTCTCAGGGTGATCTCTTGTGCCCTAGCGAGCACCCCTACCCTCGTATGTCCCAGGGTGCCTTCCGTATCGGTCTTGAGGCCATGTACAAGGCCCTCACTGGCGTCGACCTCGAGCGTGTTGTCTACGGTAAGCCCGAGTTGGCTACCTACAAGTACGCCGACGAGGTCATGACCAGCTGGATGGAGCAGATCCACGGCGAGGAGAAGCTCCCCGAGAACATCTACATGGTTGGTGACAACCCCGCCTCCGATATCATTGGTGGTAACATGTACGGCTGGAACACTTGCCTTGTCCGCACTGGTGTCTTCCAGGGTGGTGACAACGACGAGAACAACCCTGCCAGCTTCGGTGTCTTCGTCAACGTCCTCGAGGCTGTCAAGACTGCCATGCGCAAGGAGCTTGGCCAGGACTTCAAGTTCGAGTGGAGCTCTGACAACGTCAACCCCGTCCTCTCCGGCAGCCAGGACCACTCCGCCATCGAGTAAGATGTTTGAAAAGCATACTGGTGTTTTCTCGTTTCTCGTTTGATATCATATCCACCCAGGAGGTGTTGATTTTGGCTTTTGGAGTTTCTCTATTTTCTTCCTTTTCATACAGCAGGAGCATGAATGGCGCTGAACTATAGACGGTGGGATACCAGCACTAAGCTAGAGCTTGTCAAGATATATTTATGAATGCTATGAGATTTTATCATCTACATCGTCTCGGCCTCTATTTAACATTGTGACATAGTTTTGGGGTACTCGAGTAAACGTATTCAGCTATCGACATGTGGAACCCAGCTTGAATAGGCGAGTCGAATATCGGCCTGCAGGATGTGCAGGTTCAGGCTTCACCGCAAAAGATTCCCAGGTTTCTTGCTTCGACTGAGCTAGCCATCGGCCAATCATGCGATACTACAAACTAGACCACCTGACATGAAAGTTGGTAAGTTTACGAGGTTGAGCTTCCGTCTACAAGGAGCAGCCGGATCATCCACACTGACGTAGCATTGCCAGACGACCAGCCCTCAACATCCTTGGTTATCTCTGCGGTCGATCGAACACGACGGCTTCCTACGGGATAACGTTTTCTATAGGCTGAAGAAGGCTCTCGAGCTGCCACGTTGTCCTGCTTGCACCCAACAATTCACCAGACACTTGCAAAGCAGAAGTAACGCCGAGCCGGGCGAGCGTACAAAGAGTGGATATGATGATATGGCAGCGAGCCAGCGACCGATCAAAGACGTGCGTGCACTCCTTCTGCTACACCGGACTGTTGGCAACTGAAAGCTTGATAGGAAACAGCAGACTCCCTTCCACCCGGTATGCTCCGATGCATCTCCGAGGTCAACTGCTTGTAGTATGACCACGAGTTGTGGGTACAATGGTGATATTGTTTCAAAAGCTATACTCAGGAGATCAGTGTTCGCAAGCATGTGAGTTCATTATTGTCATGTCCCGGGACAATCCCCCCTGCAGATAGGGAGTGTCTTGTCAGTGAATCTACAGGAGTTTTTTATTTCCTCTAGACTTTCATGGTCGGTCAACAGTGAACATCACATAGAATTCATCAAAAGACCTGGCTCGCCCCTGAATTTACTATGTCCATGACAGTGATCAAGAAGACGTCGTTCAACTATCCATGGATTCATCGAACCTAATGATACGTCCTTTCCATTGCTGTCTGCACGCACAAGAGACAGATAGATGTAGAGACAGGGTCATGGTCGCAACGGTTTCCACTCGAGTTGTACTCGCTCTTGTTGTGCCTCTATCATCCAGGATGACAACTTTGTTTGATTTTACTCTTGCGCCGCCAGCGATGATGGTGACAGGAACGTGGGAAGATGAATTTGTGATCAGCGCTTCGAATCTCTGGAGTGTTGTCATTCAGCTTGCATCGTGACTTTGAAGTAAGATGTGCCCAAATCAATCTTTCAAAATTATACAAGTCTTCGACGCCGGAAGTTCATTAAAATGATGTATAGTGAAGAACTAAACTATCTTGAAATTGTGTTTTCTAAGACCATATACAGAAGTTCGATAGCTGATCGTTCTATTTGACGAATCGTGTCAACTCTCGACTGAACTCTGAGACCCCTTGACCCTAGTGGCATGAGGCGAGGTTCTATAACAAAAGCAGGTATTTAACAATCCGAGCTCTCCGATATCAAACTCTACACGAATGATCCAGCTTTCTTCGCGCACCAGGCCCAGTAGGGTCGTGGTTCTTGACTGTTCGCAACCCAAGTGGGGTGTGGCCGGCATCAGAAAGTTTGCCGTGACGACTGGAGGCAGGGAGTGCGTTTTCGGATCCGGAACTAGGACCTTGGCACGGTTGTGCATCGTCCTGGACTAGTGTTGTGGTGCTTGTATGCTATCATAGGAACGTCCATGAAGGGTAGAGACGAATTGCATCGGTGCCGGACGAGAAGTGGCCTTAAGAGTATGTCTCCACGGCTTGCCAAGTGAGACCTACCTGGATCGGCTTCATGCGGTCTGTGGAATTCGTATCACCAGTAATTGTTGACTGTGCCTGACAAATCGTGGCTGCTAGGACCTCAGCCAAACTCAGGGACTTTCCAATCAGGCAAGCTCGAGAGCGGAGAGGCACTTCCTGCTGCCTCTTGGGCCTGAGGAGATGCCGAAGCAGCAGAAGACATCCTGCGAGGTGGTGCAAATTCATCCGGGAATTTCTGCTGCATGAACTCCATCACCCACAAAGCGTCGTCAAAGCGTTCCTGCTTTTGCAAGAGCTTGACAATATCGAAGAAGAAAGCGAAGACAGTAGATCTCTGAGATGCAGTAGTCGGGTTCAAGAATGGATGAGATGTAAGGGGCCTGAGCTCTCGTATGAAGTCCAAAGCTGGGTCCGCTGAGGGTGCGGTGGGATGATGTAGAGTAAGATTGGCAATCCTGTAAATGGCCCTGTCTGGGTGCTTCTTGGTCCAACGAGGAACAGCATCGATGAACTTATCATACAGAGCGACGTTGGAGTCAGAGAAATGTCCGAGTTTGACCAATGCTCCAGTCAATTGTACACCCGCATGGGTGATGGAAGCATGGGATGTCTGAGAAGTATCCAAGGCTCTGAAGAAAGCAGAGAGGGCAGATTCAAGAGACTTGTCAGGGCCAGAGAGATGAGTCTTGACTATGGAGCTGAGCAACAAGCCCTTGCGCATACTTGCTTCTTTGGCAGTAAGGTTGGGCGAAGTTGCAACAGGTGTGTCGATCAACTCCCACAAAGCAGACTCTTTGCCCTCGTGAATGAGGAAAAAGGCGAGATGGCTACAGAAGCGAGCATCTAGAGCGAAGGAAAGAGAGCGGGTGTGAGCACTAGTCCAGAGCCATCTCAAAGCACGGGATCCCGCAGCATAGCGAGCAATCTGGTCCTTTACTTCTGCAGAAGGTAGTGAGGAGAGAGAAGTGCGGAAAGCTTCAAGGCACAATCTCGCAGAAGGCAGGTTGGCACGTCCAGCGGCGACTTGGTCTTCGAAAAGGGCAACTGGGTGCTTTGACTTGGCCTTGAGTTGTTGGTGGACAGGCTTGGTGAGAAGGGGATTCGTCAAAATGGAAGCCAAATGGCGGTCGGTAGCTGTGGTGGATGATAGAGGGTGCTGAGTTGAGGCCGAGGCCGAGGCCGAGGTAGCAGAAGCGGCGGCGTCATGGCTGTGGTGGTGATGATCCAGATGGCTGCGGAAGGACGAAGTGAGGGCGTTTAGCAGACGCTGAGATTCGCGTTCGGACAATGGTAGCTGGGGGTGGATGCGCGATGTCAGGCTCTTGAAGGCCTGCTGTACTGACGAGGCCTTCATGTTGTGGTGCGTAGGTAATGGATGTCCTCGCGAAGGCGTTCAAGAGGAGGCTACGCAACCGCCTGCCTCATGACCGAATACAGAAAGCGCGCCAAGGCGTGCTGCCCGCGCGCTTCGTTTGTCACATGTTGCTTTGACTTACAGCATTGAAAACTCACACACGTCGATAGTAAATAGCTTCTCGCTCAATTCCTCTTTCTAGATTCTGGTCTTGTATGCAGATATATCGTCTTGTACATTGCAAAGGAACGGATCTGCAGCCATGTGTATAGACAGTCTGAGAAGGAAGTGGGATGTCAGCCATGCTACAGTATATAGGAAGTTGCATACAGCGCCAATATCAACACAACCACTTCCAGTATGACCATGTCTGCTGGTCTGAATGCTCGTTGTCATCTAATGCTAGTGGTCGATGGTATATCCATGTCGACTGGTCCCAATTGGCGATTGAATGGCATGCACGTGACTGAGCGGCGGCGGCGCACAGACGAACGAATGACGGAGCTTCACTCTGCTCCCAGTCTGAAGGCTGCACATCGACACAACCAAGAGAGCGACCCTCTCACCACGATAAAGTCTGTCACGAACAACCTCCCTCCCAATCTCCATTCTGCTGCTTGTCCCTGCCAATCGCCGCAGTCTCTTTCCCGAAATCCCTCCGTCTCGTTCCACTTACCCTTTCCTGCCTGTCCGCACAGGACAGTCGCTCCCATACCATGTCGGAATTCGACTCCAGACCCGTCGCATCACGGGGCAGAAGCTCTACCAGAGGTGGTCGTGCCTCGCATCCTAGAGGCGCTCCTCGTCAATCTCAAAACTCTTCCAACGCAAACTCATCGTCGGTGCAGTTCGACGATGCCTTTGACGAACAGGGCGAGTTGGGCAATATGAAGAAAACTTACTCGACTCAATTGAGCTTTATGCGCGACATGTTCCCAGACTGGACCGACGACGATCTAGTCTTTGCCATTGCAGAGGCCGATGGCGACGTTCAGATTGTCATTGATAGAATTACTCAAGGTCCGTCGCTGCTCTCACACAAGTCTTCGCACACCCTGCTAACCACCCGCTACCCCACAGGCAACGTTTCGCAATTCGCCCAGGTCCCCAAGAAGGGCAAGGATAGAGCGCGCTCAAAGGCCAAGGAGACCTCAGCCGCCGCTGGCGCAGATCAGGCCACCACCCCGCTGCGTGGTGGCCGTGGAAGAGGTGGCTTTGAGAGCTCCAGAGGTGGCAGAGGTCGCGGCACCGACCGCGGTCGTGGAGGTTTCCGAGGTGTCCGTGGTGGACATGCCGCTGGCACCGACTCTTTCCCCAAAGACACGGCCGCTGTGTCGGTTCCTACCACAGAGTCTCCTGCTTGGGACAACGTCGCTGCCGAACCTGCCGCTCCGCTCGCTTGGGACACCCCGGCTACCACTGAATCAGGCGCATGGGGCAATGCCACCGCCGCCGACACAACCCCGACCGCTGCTCCTGAGGTCGCAAAGACCGCTGCGCTTCCTGAAAGCTCGGGCAAGAAGACATGGGCTAGTATGTTCGCCAAGCCTAAGCCTCCACCTGTACCTGTTGTTCCAAAGCAACCTACCCAAGCTGCAGCCCCTGCCGCCGTGGCCGAACCTACACCTGCTCCTGCAGAGTTGACAGAAAAGACCGAGTCTGCATCCACTATTCCCCAAAACACCGTTTCCGAACCCACACAGCAGCTCGAGCCCGAGGTCGCACCAGCAGCCGTCGAGGAACAACCCACAGAAATCGCCCAAACCGAGACAGCTATTGCTTCTGAGCCTTCGCCAGCAGCTGCTGAGCCCTCTGCTTCCGCCGAGGCCGATCTCTCATCCGCACACGCTCCTTTGACCGAGGACAACCTTGAGCACCTTCCTGACACTTCGATCAAGCCCGCGACCCAGACTGTCGCTAGCACTGTTGGCTCAATCGATCCTCGCGTGGCCACCCCTGCCACTTCTCAACAAGCCCCCATTGGCCGTCCCCCCATGGGTGGTTACGCAGCCAGCGCATACAGAGCTGCTGGCACACCTAACCGCAACTCAAGCTACCAGCGTAGAGTGCTCGAGCAGCAAGAGGCTGTTGTCATGCCCGGTCACAACGCAGTCGACAGAGCTGCAGTACAATTCGGTAGCATGGGCTTGAACGGTGAACCCGATAGCCTTGACGTGGATGAGGAGAGAGAAGAGCCCGAGACACGCACTCAGCCTCCTCAGCAATCCCCTCCTTCTCAACCCAGAGCTTCGCTGCCTCCTGCCCCCAGACAACCTGCTCTCTCTCAAGAATCTTCAATCCACGAGAACGTTCCTACTCCCAAGCAGGCTCCTGGACTTCCTCCTGTCCCTCAGCAGTCCTTCGGCGGTCATCAGGATGCTTCGCCTATTGGCTCCCTTCCTCAGGAATCTTCGCAGTCTCAGGGCTACGGACAGTACAGCCGCTACGGTCAGAGCGGTATGCAGCAACCTGATATGAGCGCTCAGTCCCAGAAGTCGTTCGATCCTTTCAGCCACCAAGCTCCTTCCACTGCCTACGACCACTACAGCCAGCACTCAGCTCAGCAGCACCAGCCATTCGGTGGTTTCTCATCTGCTCCTTCCGACTACTCTCAATACTACACCGCCGACCAGCAGAGAAACGCTTACCAGAGCTACTACGGCGGCTCATATGGTCAACAGGCCTCGCAATCCCAGGACAACACTGCCAACCAGCAGCGTTCAACTAGCGGTTTCGGATCTGGTCCCAGTGATTCGGCCTTCTCCGCTTCTACCCCCCAGCAGGTGAGTCACGCCCAATCCTTGTACTCTCAGGATAACGAATCTCACGTGCCTTCCCAGTCTCGCTATGGCGGCGAAGCTCCCGGATCAGGCCACAACACCCCTGCTCCTTCCAACAGCCAGGCTCCCTCTGCTGCTCCTAGTGCAGCAATGCATCAGCAGCCTCACTCTGGCTACAACCCTGCTTACCCCTACGGCCACCCCTACTACCAGAGCCCCTACCATGCGGCTTACCAGAACCAGTTCGGCTACCAGCAGCCTGCCTACGGCAGTCCTTTCGGAGGTAAGGGCGGCATGTACGGACAGCCTCATGGCTATGGCATGAACTCGGGCTCATCTTACGACCACTCAGCCTCACCCGCAAATGCTGGAGGTTTCGGCGCACAGCCTTCGATGCAGTCTCGTGACTCTGGCATCAGCAGCGGTCTGGGCGACTATGGTCGTTCTTCCGCCCAACCTTCGAACCTCAGCAGTGGATTCGGTGGCATGTCAGAGCCCTTCGGCCGTAGTCAGTCTGGTTACCAGGGCCAATCTCAAGGCTACAGTCAGCAGCAGAGCACTGGTCAGGCCGATGACTTGAAGCCTTTCGGAGAGTCTAAGACTAGCGGCCCATCCCCTGGCCTTGGTCAACCTGGCAGACCTAGCTCGGCTGCCAACAGCGTCGGTGGACAGACTCCTTCGACCACATTGCCCCCTCCTCAGAGCCACCAGGCCGGCTTTGGCGGATACCCTGGCTTTAACAGCCAATACGGACTCGGTGGTCTCGGCGGACAGAGCCACCAGCAACAGCAACAGCAGCAAGGCGGATACGGCGGATATGGTAGCGGATTTGGAAACTCATACTACGGAGCACGTGGTGGTTGGGGCGGAAACTACGGTGGTCACTAAACCAAGGCGTTTTTCATGAACGGCAGGTTCGCCGTTCTGGGAGGGGAACATTGTACTCTACGACAAGATTTTTCTTTCTGTTCTATGGCCTGTCCATCTCTCGTCCATCGCACTTAAGCGATTATGCGGCATTATCGGAAAAGAATTGAAATTTCTAGCACGATTGGCTTTGATGATCTACTTCATTCTACTCTACTCACCTCCTTGCACACATTAGTGACCTTTCTTTGCCGTGTTTTGTTTTACCAGATTAGTTGCTGGATGCTTTCAATAGATTCCTACATGTGTATTGCCTGTTTTTTGGTCAAACAGTGAGAGATCAAGAGACTGATATGACGACCAAAAGGGGCATTGCTGTTTGGTGGGGCTTTCCCGAAACTTAGTAAGCTGTCGCATGCGCATAGCCCTGGACATTTACCAAGCATACTGCAACTTCGATTAATTTGAGCCAGTATACTGCCATGGCTCGGACAGCATCAAAGAAGGCTAACAAGCCTCTACAAGATCCGCGACTACCACCACCGCCTTTCATGAAGGTGCCAACAGCTCTGGAACCCTTTGTCGAAAGCCTGAACAAAGCTCATGTCTACATCGTCCATGTCGACCGATTCCCTGCAGCATTCAAGAAGCGCATTTTCACCGTACCCGTCCTGCTGAATATTGTCATCGCCGCACTTTTGATATGGCGCATCTACGCCATTCTTCCGACCTACCTGGCAATCTTCACCTCAGTCATTGGCCTCGACTCACCCGCTACAATTGACACAACCACCAAGACCAAATCTCATCTGGCATGGGTCTTGACAAAGCGCGTGGCAATGTTCATGTTTGACTTTGTCCTTTGCCGCTTCATCGTCCCATGGCCTGTCACCTTCTTCCTTGAGGCACCCGCCAACCCGTGCTACTGGCGCATCAAGGTCGGCTTCCGCGACCAAGAAGTCGCTGTGCGCATCAGTCGTGACTGGGGTGCCGAGGAGCTTCTGGCAGGTGTCAAGACCGGTGGTGAGAGCCCTTTCTTCACGACTCGCATTCTACCGGCCATTGAACGCAACTACATGCGCCAAAAGACGGCCTACCTCATGATGGGCAAGGACTGGGATTTGGACTTTGGCGCCATGGTATATGCTCACCGCCTCATTGACGATAAGAAGAACAATCTCGAAGACTTTGAAAAGAGTGTACTTGCGTACAGTGAACACCATGGATGGCTTTACTGGCCGGTACACAAGATGGACGAGGAAAGCGAGGAAGAAGAGAACAGGAAGAAGATTGTTGCGCTCAAGGATAGTCTGACTGTCATGGGCAAGGAGAGTCTATTTTTCCGCTGGATTGAAATTGTGCAGTACGAGAGCAGTCGTCCTGGCGGTTTTACCCAAGAGCGTCAAGTTGAGACATTCAAGAAGGTGCAGCAGGAATTTGAAAAGCACGGCGTCGACTTTAGAGAGCTACTCGAAAAGGTTGGTGGCTTCGACGGTATGCCTGGTCTCCCTGGTTCACAGGTCCCATCATGAGATGAAAATTAGAACAGCATCAATCATGTTCACATGTAACCCTACGGAGCATCAAAATACGAAAAAGTTTCTATAATTTCTATACACAACGAAGCAAATCGCAGCAATGGTATCGAACTCGTGCTCATCATCACCCCAAAACCTAAAGACTCTCCCTGCCGGCAACTTGGAAGAGAGTGCTTCCACTACCGGGCTTGCTTACAACAATGGCATCCTGCAACTTTGCGGCATCCATGTCGGGGAATCGCTTCTTGTAATACTTTTCTTCCCATGCCTTCTTGACAGCCTCGACCTTGGCCTGAGGCACGAGATGCACACTGCAACCACCCCATCCAGCGCCGGTCAATCTGCTTCCATACGCGCCAGCTGAGCGAGCGAGCTTACATAGCTCGTCGAGCTCAGGGCATGAGCATTCGTAGATGTCGCGGCATGATTCTTGTGTGTCGTTCAACAGGTTTCCGAGGCTCTTAAGGAGCTCTTCGCTCTCCTTTTCGTCAGATGGAGTAGGCGATTGAAGCAAGTCCATGAATTGCAGAACACGCACAGCCTCGCCAAAGACGTGCATAGCTCTTTGTCTAAGCTTGAAGGTGTCGGCACGCACGGGGAACTTGGTCATGTATCTCTTCTCCAACTCAGGTACAGAGGTGCCGATGAGCTCGGAGATCTGCTCGCGTGTGTATCCCTCTTCTTGTGGTAGGTAGTTGTCGACGATGTGAACAAGCTGATCAAGCTGAGATCTGAAGTCCTTGACATCGTCTCCAACAGCACCCTTCTTCTTGAAATAGCTGTCGTGGAAAGAGCGCAGACTGAAGCCTAGCGGAGACGAGTCATCGGGCAGATCCTTCAGACCACAGATGCTGGCCAACACACGAGCAGCTAGTGTGCACTCGACAACACGAAGGTTGTAGCAGACAGGAGCGGTGACGTGCTTGTCGGCTGCGACAAAGGATTGAGCAATGACGAAGGTCAAAGGAGTGTGTGTCTGAGGGAACTCGATGGTGCGAGCCGAGAGTTCTGGCTGGAAGCCAACATACAGAGCAGAACCTCTCTGTGAGAAGACTGAAGCAGCCTGGTCCATACCTCCGGAGTTGACACCGACAGCTCTTTCAGAAACAACAGCCAGCTCGACGAGCTCCTTCTTGTCGACCGTCTCTTGACCGTGGGCTCTCATGACTGCCAAAGCACTGGCACAGACAAAAGCAGCACTGCTGGACAGACCACCTCCTGCAGGAACAGTGCCATCGGCCAGAATATCCATGTTCAATTGGCCGATACCAGAAACGCCGTGCTTCTTGAGCAGCTCAGTGGCACCACGAAGGCCGGACTTGAAGTAGTTGGTCCACTCGTGCGACGTAGGGTCAATGTCAACTTCTCCATCTTGGGCAATGGTGAAGGAGCGGGTAGCGAACTTGTCCGATTGGACATTGGCAATGCGAACAGTAGGCGAGCCATTGGCGGGAGAGACAGCGACGGCGAGCAGGACATCGGCCGTCACGGCCATGGGAATGACCTCGTACAGCGAGTAATCGATGTGTTCACCGATCAAGTTGACGCGACCGGGACTGCGTGACACGAACTCAGCGGGGCGTCCATAGGCGTCCTTGAACGAGGACAACAAGTTGCTCCATCTCTTGCGCTGGCCCTCGAGGGCATCCTCGGGATAGATGTCGTTTAGCGACCGTGTGACGGGGACGTTGCCTGCCATTGCTGCTGGTGTGAGGAGAAAAGGAAAGGGTCAGGCGAGCAAGCAATAAATGTGGGCACCGGAGAATATATACCACTATTGCCCGTCCTAATTATCCACCCTGGGGTGTGGAGCTCACCTGCGGGGTCCTCGCCATCTTTTCTCGCTGCTCTTCACGTTCAACATGCTGTCTAACCTCCAGATGCAGCTAATATTATGATCACCATACAGAATACTACAGGTGTCTGATCTGTATCAATGTCCTGAATCATCCAGCTATATATCTATGCAAGACAATTCACTAGGTGCCGGGAGAATGCCTTCCCCATGTCTGTGCACGGCATCCCACCTTTCATCGAACTTCGTCATTTCCAATTTTCCACCATCTCATGTTTTTTTCCAAGAATCTTCGTGACATGACTTAGCCTCGATTCTTGAGCTAGACAGACTTCGAAAACAGCAGAACGACAGTCATGTCTTAGTCTCTGTTTGTAAAATGGAAAGCGCTGAAGGTGAACCCAAACAGATCAAGGTGACGATCTTGTCTATCGCTGCTGCTTTCTACCCAGCTCTCTGACCTGTGGACTTGGTGCTAGCGAGGGCCTCGCCAACATTCCAGCAGCCCCATCCAGGGCCTGAAAACTACTATCAAGTAGGTCGAGACCTCATCTAGCTCCCTGATCTTCTAGATTGCCTGATCAGCTTTCTCATTTTGCCTCTGCTCTAGTAGCAGAATCCGACTTGAACAGACAATGGTCGTCACGATGTTGTCAGGTACAATCTTTCTTGAGCTCATCATCATCATGAAGAGATTCATGTACGTCGAGCAAAGATCGTTCAGGATTCGCAAGAACGTTTTGACACTATCAGTCAAGACCTCGGTGATACAATTTGTCCAACCCAAACCAAGACGGGTATGCTGTGCAGCAGTAGTCAGTATCTGTCTCGTCACCACGAAGTCCAAACAAAAAATATTCGCTCTGCTTCCCTTCGTAGAATTCTATGTCCATGAATGTTGTTTTACATTCTCCTTTCGAATGTCCCTTGGACACTAAAACTAATATGCAAGAGTGACCAGCAGAAAGAAGCTATTCACTGCTTTCATCGGATAAGCCTGGAAGAAAGTGTTGAACATATACACCTAGTGAAAGTGATTATCTATGGCTCCCATTGAATGCGGTCTGACAAAATGAGTTATAGAAAGTCACAGAATTTTCAGTATCTAGGATATGGCCAGAGAGAATGACATTATACGTGCTCTCAGCGGAGGGGTTGGAACAGAAAGGAGCTATCAAAAGTCAGAGAGCAGTCAAATGAGCCAAATCACAATCGGGGTTAGAAGTCAGGGGTCAAATTTTCATGTAGAAAAATGTTTTTATTGTTATCTATGTTAAGCAATCCCAATGCCATCCCAAAAATGCACTATTAGTTGTTGCGGCTGTATTATCCAACGATGGACCCGCAGTGTATGTAACCCAAGAACGCCAAAAGAAACCTGTTCGAAATCGATGTTCTATGCAGTGCGGTATTGTCTAGTGTAGGCATAGTGTATGGAAAGTGTATGAAAAGTGTAGGAGAGATGTAGCTTGTAGCTGGAGAGGGTTTTAAGAGGTACTTTAGCGACCCCAGACCTTGTTGTCTCTAGTGATGAGAGCATAGATGTTGAGAAGGCCGTGGAAGTAGCTGAAGCAGATCATACCGGGAATGAACTTGATGTCCTGAGGGAATTCGCAGAAGTGAGGGATAATCTTGACAATCTTGGTGAAGAAAATCCAGGCGATGAGAGCGAGAACAGCAGAGTTGCGAGTGTAGGTGTCATAATCAGCCATACCACGGTAGAGAAGAGTGAGAAGAGAGCCGTCAATCAGGAAGGCAGGAGTTTGGAACTGGCCGATGTAGATTGCGTAGAGACTCCACATGTGAGTGTCATACCAGTAAGTTGTAGTCTGCATGACACGAAAATTTCCACGACCTAAGGTGAAGGTTCGTGTTGTATATGTTAGTAAATAGTTGGTGTTGGATCGCCGTGCTACATCCAAAGAGATCATCTCGTCAACACCACCTCGCTGTCGCTTCTAACAACCATCTCGCTGACTTGACCTCACTGTCCGTTCGTCAAAGACCGGGGCGCGTATAGCCAATCTTTCTTTTTGGGTGAGCTGCGGCGGTGGAAGGACACCAGGTGGCAATGATCGTTGGTAATTATAAGAAGCATCTGATGGTTTTGCAATCTTCCGGCCTCGGTACACAACAAAGTTGTCTATCGAGAGCAACTTCTCAGCTTTCCATGACTCGAGCAGCCAATCCAGATTGATGACTGTAAGTACATTGTCGTTATCGTTGCCAGGCTCTATATCCTCAGTCCAGACATTGGAGTTGCGTAAGTCAAGTTTTGCTCGTTTGACGGTGCGGACCTTGGTCAAGATGAATCTCGCTCCATGAATTTCTGGCTCAAGTTGTCCAGCAGAGTTGAGGAATTGGCAGCGGAAGTTGATGCTTTCTTCCTGTGTAAAGTGGGAAGGCATAAGAAACATTGATGGGTAAACTCCAAGATCAGGTCGTAGTGCACGAGAAGCCCTTGTCCTTGGTGTAATAACCTCTGGAGAACCAATCTCCGTTGAGGTAAGTGTGGTAAGTGTGGTAGGCGTGGTAGGCGTGGTAGGCGTGGATGGTGGAGATGGTGTATGCTCGTCGCTGTCGTATTCAACACCACGTTCATTTGCGAAAGCTTTGCCCTCCTTCTCACGGCGTCTTGCTTCGAGGCCGCTTTCGTATCGACAGACGACAGCATCTCTTTCCTCTAAAAGGCGATAGTATGCATCTCGAAGTGTTGCACCCCAGTTCTCAGGCCATATTGGGCATTGTGATCGCTGCATGTGATAGTATAGCTCCTCGCGCAGGGTTGGCCGATGTAGTGGAGGCATGCTGGATGGATGTCCAGTGATGAGGAAGCAGATATGGGAAGTGAAATATGACAATGGTTCAGGCAGCCTCCGCGATTGTGTCTTGTCCATGTGGAATTTAGCAAGAGTACGTTTTTGAGATAAGGTAAGACCACATCCGACACTTGGTTTGGACCACAATCTTGACACAAGCACAGAACAACAATGCACTTTGATCAGGTCCATTCCTAGCACAGACGGCCCATCCTGCTGCCTGGGGTGTGTAAGTAACGCACATCTCGAGGCACATTCATTGCCTAGCCCACGTCAACATGAAACGGGACTTGAGCTACAACGGAGATGCGAGACAAGCAGTCAGTGATATCCAGCTGATTACTCGCTGGGTTCAAAGTATGCTTCCGTCCGTCCTAGTGTTTGTCAATACCGGGCGACCTGAGCGCGATTTCCCTTTGTGCAAAGTGATAGAGGTGTTTCTCACATGTTTGCATGAACGATGCTATTCGAAAAAAAAAAAAAAAAAAAAGATAATCGAGCGCAAGACAGGACAGTTGATGCAACAAATAGGTCGATCAAGACACGCGTCCTGATCCATTGAGAGAGTACATCAAGAATTCGGACTAATTTGTGCGTGGTCACAAGCTGAGACAGGATCTTTGGGCGCACGTCTCAGGATGTCCCGCCACACGTGTCGCCAGTTATATGACCTCGCGGCGAGACACAATCCCAACGAGTATCACCAATGATGGGATCTTGAGACCTCCAGTTTTGTCGCGAGACACGTGCCGGACCAAACCACAATCTCGTAGAAAATACATTAGATCACAAAGCACGCTGCCTCGCCGCCGACGAGCTTTTGTTTTTTTGTTTTTTTGTGGTGAGCGCTGCCAGACACCATACCGCAAGACCGCCATGTCGATGAACATCTCTTGGGTCGCGACCTACGACGCGATGTCGCGCATAAACACTGGACGAGGTGCAGCGGCAGCCAGCGACATTGCCCTGCTCTTGGAAGGAATGAGGAGCCCAGGCCTCCGTGTCCTGGTATACCCAAGCCCGCCCACGGCAATCTGCGCCGGAGCTAATAATCCATCTCCAGATGCAAGACGTTTGCCCAGAGCTAAGACCCGAAGACTTCCCGATAGGGCATATCCATCCGGATGGTGACATACAGAGGTTGAGGGACACGCTCTGGTCCAAACGGTACACGCGACCACTGCGGCTGGGTATCCGAGCGATCGAACCGACTGTGGTGTGGGGCCGTGCGCAGATGACATGGCATGATTGTGTCACTCGCTTCGGTGCAGCGGTCCAGATAGACGCAGCTCGCTGTAACGACGTCTGCGGTGCCCTCGCCAGGCTGGACAGTGAGTGTGATCCTGGACGACGCTCGGCGACCACACTGACAATCGCGTCCTCGCAGGATTTGTTGATCCGAGGACAGGACTGGTACACAGATGTGCCGTGCCCGCACCATCCCGCAATCGCGTCACTTCTCCAGAGTGGAAACACATCTACCGGACAGAGTTCGCGCTGCTGCTCGCTGCACTGCTCAGAAAGGTGATCCTGTGCTACGGAGAAGAAGTCGGCGCGTTGAAGCCAGTGCTTGAGGATGTCAAAGAAGCCATCGCTTCGTTCATATGTGAGTTTCAGTCGACGTAGACCGGGCTTCGGCGTTGACGAAAACAGCCTCGATCCCAGGGTACGGAGACCCTCGCGATTCGATTCGAGCACCGTTGCCGCGCATGGACTCGGACGCGGCGCCGGAAACAGACGAAGTGCAGCCTCGCGAGACGCCCTCAGAATCGGCTCGCTACAGACCGTTCCACAATCGAGCTCAGATCTTACAGCCGGGTCTCAGGTTCCCCGATCTGGACGCTATTTTACGTGCGCCTCGAAGCACAGACAAGGCTCGTCAGCTCATGCCGATAGAGGCTCAAATCGTCGCACGCATGAATGAGTACATGCTGCTCGAGGGACGTATCGGTGAGTGCCACCCCTTCCGTGCGGACTTTTCCAACGCGATGTTGACACGGACAAACAGGGAGGATGCGCTATGGCAAGATCGGGTCAAACAAGGCCATGTCCATGTACTTTGCGCTCCGAGCCTGGTCCAGGACCGAGAGAGATGCCTATCTGGCGATGAGCCCCTACGCTCGCGTGCAGGCGTGTAGCAGCTTGTCGAATTGGCACTGGGGAAGGTTGGGAGCATGCTCTAAGCCCGTCTCACGTTTCGATAACGCTAACCGGGCGAAGTGGCCTCACGCAGGTAGTCGAGACGCAGCTCGTTAGCTTCAACGGGACGAGGCTCTACGTGAGCCTTGAGGATGCAGTAGTCACAGCGGTCCTAGGCGGTGGTGAGACGAGGTGCATGATGATAGTCGAGTGGGATAACTTGATGGCCGCTATACCCTTGGGAGAGCTTTTGAGAGCAGCAGCATCCGAGGAAGGTTATCCGCCAGGTGTTCGTCCCTCTCATCTACGGCGAACCGTGCGGCAAAAGTATGGCGAACGGAGATGTGGTTGGCTATGGGAGGGGAACGGGGTCAAATTCATCCTCAGGCCCATGTTTTCGCGACATTTGATGCAATCAGGGCGCATCGAACAGGAGCTTTACCAGGCGTTGTGGCCGCGCCTCGCCGTAGAGTCTGCCGAAGATGGACAATGGAGTACAGTTCACAGATACCTCCATCCTGAGGCATTTCCTCAAGAGTGATCGACAGATCGCTTCAACCACTTTAGTCAGCCCTTGTCTCTGATGGTCGCATTCTAGGCTCACTCTATCGTCGCCACTCGCACTTGAGTCTTGTCCGTGACTCGGATCAATCTCTAGGAAGTAGCACCCTAGACAGAGTGTCTCGTGCGGATGAGACAGGGCGGAAGGCAGCACGATAAGTAGACCTGATCCCCTTTGTATCCAGAGTTAGCATTCAAAAAGCAAAAACAAGGGGAAAACAACAACAACACCTTGTCACCATCGTCATGGGTAGATCTTTACGAGAACCTCACGATATCCTCAAGACGGCGCAGATCAACACTCGAAGTGGACTGATGGTGGAGGGGGAAGTGTTCCAGCGCATCGCAGACGCGGGAATCGACCATATCAGATGTGATGACCCACCTAAGAATATGACTGCGGGAGCACCACTGACCTGTGTACAGCTGAGGAATCCGCTCCCGTGGACGGCGCACTGGTCTGCCTGCCTCCAGGTTACCCTCGGCCTCCAAGCTTTGCAGATCAAAGTCATTACCAGCGTTGGGTCTTTGGGTGCGAAGCCGCGAAGTTCATAACGTTCGACGTCAAATACTCACAGATGATGACATGCGATCAGAAATCGAGAAACGTAAGGCGATCCTGTCCCCCGAACAGGATCACCTATGACTACGCGCCTTCGAACACCAATGTGAAGAGCACTCATCTGCACATTTATATCTTCCAAGGGCTGGAAGATTACGTTGCCATCGTACCTACGGCCGCTCTCAGGAAGAATTGGACTCGAGCGAAACAGAGCCTACGGCATACGGTGCGGGAAAAATCAGGACTGGCAAGTCTGCTCAGAAGAGCTCCGGTGTGGGCGTTGCCATTTTTGGTACACGTGAGAGATTTCGGCAAAGCGCTGCGGAATCTCAAGGACCAGCGGCAAGACTACCAGAATCCGACGAGCGGTGTCGTGTTGACCGGACTACGACTCAAGCCCACTGTAGCCTCACCCGATCTGTTCATCGTGAAGAACCCCACTAGGACAGGGATCACGCCCTCATCCGACATGTTCGTAAAGCTCAGAGAAGGCTTGGCTAGGTACAATGTCGACATGCGACCCAGGCCTTCGCAACCTCTGCAGGGAGACTTCAGTTTGCAAGTTCCCGGCGTCGCACAACCCTTGCTCATCGAGCACAAGATTGTCCCCCTTGCCCAAGACCCTTCTGGCGTGGGGATCCTGCGGTCGTTCTTCGAAAAGTATCGCGTTCGGTCAAATCCGTTGTGGCATTTCATGCTGCTGCAAGCGTCCGAGGATAAATTCATCCTAATAGGGCGTCATGAGCTCTCGGAGGAGGACGAACGCGAGCCGCT